CAAACTCATCAAGGACTCTTGTGTTTTCCCTTTTTCCAAACTCTAAACAAAGAAGCCCTAATATTATTTAGCAAAACTTGCTTACGCGGAAGGAAATAATTGGGAACTCTTGATAATTTCAGTATTCGCTGGAAAAGTTTAAAAATAAGCTCTTTAAAAAAGTACCTTAATTTGATCTGTTTGAGCAAAATCTTAGCTAATGGTGTTGCCAATCGAAACGTGTTTTTGTTTTTCTTTTAAAATGGAATGTTTTACATCAATAGAAACTTTTCCAGTCGCAGTTAATTAGACTGCGAAACAAAGCTGCCGCTTGATTAGTTTGTAAAAAGTCTCTCTTTACTTCTTTTTATTTTTTAGTCCCGAGAGCGAGATTTTGCATTTGCAAGCGGAGTCGGCGTTTTACGACCGATGAATGCACCGTCAGCGTCTTCTTTTTTTGCCGCAAACAATGAGAACACGAGCTCGTTTTCGAATCACAAAACATTCTCTCTTTAGCTCCGTGCTCGGTGAAACACGAAACGAAATGTGTGCCGACAGCAAAACACGGCCGGGAAACGAGCGACCATGGAAAGGCGCCAACCAAACAACCCAGTTATTTGGCGCCTTTCAAACTTTTCCTCTTTGCAATAAAAATACTTTAAAATTTACGCCTACACTTTTTTCAGTTTACATTATTTACTTTTGAAGTAGTTTCTGAGACCGAAAGTTTAACAATTAGAGATGAAAATTTGCAATTTAGAAATTGTGAGAAATTACAAAATTGAGACATTTTACCACGAAACCAGGTAAAACGGTTTTGCTGAAGTCAATTGATCAGCGTTTTAGTTGCAAATTATGAGTATTGCGGTGAACCACAAAACTATTCCTGCTTATAGCGAGATTAATCATCCAAATTATAAAAAAAAATTACTTGAATTTTACATGATTTAACAACAAATAAATAGGAAAAATAAATTAATTGATTATTAATTTTCTTAAAATTTTTTTCAGAAATATGGAAATATTTCGTGTGAAAATGAAAAATTTGAAATCAAAATATGATTACTTATCAGAAAAAGAAAACTAATTTTATCGCTCTAATGGCGGTAAATCCACTTCTTTTGTCACTCAACTCTCAAAACCTTGTAGAGCATCATTATTCGCTTTTTTCTCAACTTCTGACTGGCTCTGATTTTCCCAAGTTTAAGTTTCTATTAATAGAAGTTCTTGTGTTTTTGCTTTGATTTATTATTCTTAAAATTAAACGAATTAAAATATTCAGAATTATAAAATGAAGATATTTTAATTAATATTAATTTTTGTGTGTGGTAATCTTTAAAAATATTGTTAGAATTTAATTTCAAAAGCTCATGCAACCCGCAACCAGAACTAACTGAGCAGAATTAACGAATTGAGTATTTAAAAATTTTTAACTTGTCATTAATTGGAATGATTTTCTATTTCGGGCAAAATTGCCTTTATTCTGAACCCAATATAAAAAAGTTGCTCATCATCACCGAGGAAGCCGGTTTTTATTTCATCATAAAAAAACTCTAGTTTTGCCCAAAATGGATAAGTTTTGTGTTTGTTGAAATGAAAGGTGACAAAAATATTTACTCCCCCTTTTTTCTTCTTTGCTTTGAAACAAATGCAAATGCTTTGTGACTTTGAGCAATGGAGAAGGAGTTTTGAAATTTGATTTTCACGTGGCAAGGTGGACGTTGAGCAGGACACGCCATTCGTCAACCTTTCAGCCCGGCCGGCGAAATTGCGGCTCTCTTGGCATCGATTTGCGGAGCTCGCGTGACCACTCGGCTGAAATTCTCGTTGCGTGCGCGGCCAGATTCGGAAAGTGAGCGACAAGTAATAAATGAGGCTCGTGCGTATAAAGTGGCCTTCGAATGTGCAGTTTCGTTTTACAGATCAACCTTATTAATCGGAGCTTTGTTTTGCGCGCCAGAGTCGATTTTCCCCCTTTTTTGTCTTCACTGGACCCGCATCTGTCTCCGAGCAACAATCTGGCGATCCGAAAGGCATTAGCCGTGGAAAAATGAGGGTCGCTGGCAAAAACACTCTCTCCGGCCGCCCGGCGACGACAGCTTTGTCTCCGAGCGGAAATCAAGTCCCCCAGTTTTTATCCGGAAAAGCCAAACTAGCCGAACGTTGAGTCTGAATCAAGCTCGAATTCCCCCTTGCAATGTTTCAAAAGCCAGAGGAGGCCAAGCTGAACAAAAAAAGAAAATCACAAATCCAGAGTCGGGTTTTATCTTCATTATTTAGTTGAAAAGCAATTTATATTTTGACTAAATTAATATTTAAAATCAAAATTGCTTCAATTGTGGTTTTTGACGAGCTCAACAATGAAATTGATGCAACAATGGTGACAAAAACCAAATGTTTTTGTGAATGGCGTTGGATATTTTGTTAAATTTGGCGCTGGCCCGCAAATGATAATCACCACTCAGGGAAGATTGTGTGTCCGGCTTTCGTTTCTTTCTTTCTTTCGTGAAATTGGTGGGGCGATGAGCGCGTCCAATTTCGCGCGTTAAGGATGAGCGAGCGGCGAGCCAGAGAGAGAGAAAAAGCGTTTCTTTTATTAAAGCCTCCATTTTTATCCGGGGCTGCACATTCGCTTTTACGCGCGCGACAAATACAAATGCCGGCGCACCTCCTTTTACGATTGCCACATAAATGTCGCGCCGGGGGTTAATTAAAAGTGCTGCGGCCGCACCAAAATATGAAACCGACTCATTTATTGCTTCCACACGTTCCAACGCTTTTCGTTACTTTTCCTTGCAATTTGCTTTCCTTTATTTAATTAAATTTGATTGTGAAAAGTTTCGCAGCAAACTGATTCAGAGGGAAATAATTATTACACTGGAGTAAGAAGAAAGGTAAAAAAAGCCGCCAACTTTGGGTGAGGGGAATTAAAACGCGAGTCAATATTGTTAATTTAAATATATTTTTTGAATCCTGTTAAAATTTTAATGAAGAGTTTTTCTTTCATTAAAAGCAGTAAGATTTTTAGGATTTTATTGATCCTGGTTCTTTAACGCGTGATCTATAAAATTAAAAATCCCTAAACTATTCTCACAACTTCATGTTTAATGTAAAGTTACATGAACTACATATTTTCCTACACCTGCAGAAAAATCAAAACGGACCATCATCCCCAAAGTTCCAACTAATTTCGCTAAACAAATGACAAAATCGCTGAAAAGTGACCTTGACCTTTGACCTACAGCTTTGGTGCCAACAGAAAAGTTGTTTGGCATGAAAAATTGATTCTACGTGAATTTTTTATTCGCAGTTCCAGAGTTGTACACGTTTTATTTATTATTTTTATTTCAAAATGTCAAAAAAAAAAAAAAAAAAAAAAAAACTGGAAAATTGAAATGTTGGTAAACAATTTTCCTAATTAGAATCACTTTAACTTTAAGTGGAAATCAAAATGTTTGGTTTTCTGAATCTAATTCCTCCAAAGTCCCTGAAAGTTCTCGTGGAAATGCCCTTAATTATTCATTTTTAAGCAGAATTTTTTTGTCAAGAAAAACGATGAATTTATTTTTGTCATAAGAATTTGAACCTGCAGGAAATTTCAATGATTATTTTATATTTCAAGGTAATTCTCACGTGAAATTGTGTCCATTTTGAGATTACAAAAGCGTTCCTTTTCAAAAGAATATCGCATTTCCAGTTTTTATTGTGTTGTTTGGCAGCGAAAGAAGGTTTTATTTTCTCGCCCATTTGTAATTCAGCCCTTTTTGCGCGACACCGACGATTAACCCTTGTCCCCTTTTTTTGGGGGTGAAACGCGACCTCTCGTATGAAAGATCTCTTGACATTTTAATGAAACGCGCGCGCCAGAAGGTTCTTGTGTTTCGAGAGGTGCGCCGCGCGCAAAAAGCCAGAGATTTATCGCCGCCGGCATAAAAAAGAAAGAAAAAGTCTCGCGTCCTTTCCATTTGAACAAATTCAAATCCAATTTCAACTCGTAATTAAAGTCGTAAAATAATCACGAATTTATCGCCGCCAACAAAGGAATTTGGCCTGAAAATAACAAAATAAAAAATTTATTTCCCGGAAAATTGAATTAACCGGCAGGAAAGGAAGGAAAATTACTTCCGGTGGCCAGAAACCGTGACGTTGCCCCAATTGGCTTAATGGACTGTGGTCGGAACGAGGAAATTTAATAAATCCTTCGCCAGAAGAAATTCGTGGGGCGGAGAAAAAATTGAATTAATGCCGCCGCCGCCGCCTTTTTGCGCAGCTCGATTTGCAATTCAAACCGGCCGCTTTTGTGAAATCACGTTTCGGTCTTGGGGCTAAATTAATTGAGCTGAAAAGTTGCGCGCCTCGATATTCATTAAAGCGCCGCGCCAACATATTGCTTTTAATAAAGAGACGCGTAGAGTAATTAAATTCGCTTCCAACGGCGCTCCCTCCCCTCAAACCCCTCTCCTATTTATAAATTTGCACAATTCAAAAGCCAGCAAATGAAGAGAAGTTAAAATAAACTCTGAAAAACCGGATTCCAAGAAAGGAAAGGAAAAGCTTTTCAACGTTCTTGTTTTTTTGTTATCTCGGAGTGTTTTTGTCTTTCTGGCTCTTTTTTTACCTTCCATTAGCTAATTATCAGCGTCGTCGTTTTGTCAAACAAACAATTAGCGTCGTCGATCCGTAAAAGGAGACAAAATAACTCATTAACTGAATTTTCCAATCAATTCACTTGAAAGAAAACCAAAGAATAAAAGTAAAAACTTCCAAATTTTCAAGCATCTGTTTAGGGATTCATAAGAATCACTTTTCACTTCCAATTCTAGATTTGTACTTCAAATAACAACCGATTAATTTTAAATTAATTCCCTGATTTTCTCTGTAAAATAAACAAGAACAATTGACAGAAATTTATAATTATAAAATAAATAACCAGAGTAAGTTTTTGGTCTGAAAATTTGAGTTGTAAATTTGTTGAAACAAAAAATTTTAAAAACTGAGCCTGAATGTGATTGAATTTGCAGGGACGCGGGATCGCACGCGGCTTCGGAGCCGCAAAAGCTGCTGGCGACGATGCAGAACTTGACGGACCTTCTTCGGCACACGTTCAGCTCGCAGTTCGTGTTTCCCGCGCTGGGCCACGGTGACGTCATCGGCCACCACAACCACCACCACCACGGCCACCCGCACGCCATGACGGCGCACGAGCTGTACAAGAACGTGGCCGACATGTGGCGCTTCTGGCTCCCCTCCGAGGCCCTCACCTCCTTCCAAAAAGGTACTAAAAATTCCCTTCTTTCTTTTCTCTTGAAATAATTCTCAAAACTTGCACTGTTATGTAATTAAAAGTAAAGGGGAAAATGAAATTCAAAATATAATCACAAGAAATATTTTAATAGAATTTGAGAGAGAAAAAAATATTTCAAAAAAAAAATAATAATAAAAATAAAAAAATTCCCTCCAATTTGCTATTAAACTTCTTAATGAACTTGTGAGGCTCTAATTGAGTTCAAAATTTCACGACCAAACAATTTTGATACTCGTCAGAATGAATCTTTGATGACTGGAGCAACTTTTTTGCAAACAGTGAAAAATTTTGAAGCTCCGTGATTCAATTTGCGCTCGTTTTGATCTTCAGATTTTATTCCGTCATGCGACAGAGAGACGCAATAAGGAAAATTTCCAGTGGAATTTGCGCTTTTTCCACCGAGACTTTTCTTCTCAGATTTGTTGCGTTCCTTGCAGATCTCCTAGAATTCGTCCCTCTGAAATTTTCTATCCGAAAATAACGAGGTCCTCTTTTTCCAATTGAACGCGGCAAAGTTATTTGAATGAGAAAAGCGCCCCGGGCCACTTGAGCGCGGTTCAAAGGCCAAACTAATGCAAATAAAACGCCGGATCGATCGATCGCGTCGGTCCAGATTTCATTACAGATTAAGAACATGTTTTTGCGCCGCGGGAAAAGGGAATCCTCTTTTCTTTTACCTGCCAAGTAAAACAAACACAATTGGACGCGCGAGCAAACAAAAAGCCGGAAAATCTTGTTTCAAACCAAGCAAATGTTTGCCTCGCACACAATCATTCGTCACGCGTTTAATAATTACTTTTCCCAGCATTCATTCAAATTTCTATGCTGCTTCTTTGGGTCTGCAGAGAAGTTTGTTTGTCTTGAATTGGCTTATGAGCAAAGAGTAAGTTTAATTAATTTGAAAATGTGCCATAAAAATCGCCGCTCTAATATTTTTAAACTCATCAATTTAATTTACCTACCAGAACGATGAAATCGCGACATTGGTTTTTAAATCCAAGATGGCTGCCGCCTGGCCATTGTTCTGTTGCCAAAAATTCGCACCCCGGGCGACAAAAAGCTATAATATGAACATTTTCTTGAAGTAGACGAGATATCAATTCGATCTATGTAAAAAAGCTCAAATCTTGTCGCCTCCTTTAATTAAAATTTGTTGATAATTAATTATTAAATTTTTAGTAACACAAGAATTCTGATAGATTTTCCTTGAAATGCCTCTCGATTTGTTTAGAATTGAATTTGAGCAAAAATGTTTAGGCGGGAAAGCAACTTTTTCTCGTTTTCCTGTTCGGAGAGCTCTTCAGTGGCTATTGATGAAGCGGCAGGCGTGAAAAATGACGGGCGCCAAGTTTGGGTGTGGGAAAGGCGGCGATAAATTTGAGAGGATCAGCCGTGGAAATGAGCTGCGGAAAATGTTTGCTTGGCAGCTGCGAACGCCGCCCGCACCGCAGATATAAAAAAACCGACCGTCTCGTTTTTGCAGCGTCGAACGGCGAATTTCATTTCGAATTTGATTTGGACTTTTGATCGGCTGCGGCGGCGGCGGCCAAATGGAAAAGCTTCATCAACAACAGCTGCGCTTCCAATATTCGGAATTCGCTCCGGCCGCAAACTTTATCGCATTTTTGCTTGAATGTCTTGAACTCTGAAAACGCCGGGGAAACGTTTTCAACACAATTTCTATTGAAAACACCAAAATTGCTTCAATTCTTCAAGTGCAAGTCGATGACGAATAACTTTAAAGATGATGAAATCACTTGAAGGGAGCAAAATCTTCCACAAATAATATTAATTTGCACCAATAGGATTCTTTAACAATAAAAAAATTGAGAGACATCGCAAACATTTTTAAGATAATTTGAATTGAAGTTTGAATTTTCTACATTTATCTAATGCTAAGTAAATCAGCTCATTTTTGAACACTTGTAATTGAATCAAAATATCATGAAAGTTTGAATTTGGGTTCTTTAAATACTCAATTAGGCAACCTGATGAAAAATCTGAGATGGCCAAAAGATGCGCCGTGTCTCTTTGCATTAGAATACAAATTTATATTTTTTTTTTGAGGAACTGTTGATTTTAAAATAGCGTTGAAAAGACTAAATATTTTCTGTTTTAATGAGAAAATGGGACTTTTTGATCATAATTGGAAAAAATTCGGTAGTTTTATTGTATTTCAAATTAAAAGTGAACAATTTGAAAGAAAAAAGTTCGTTCTTGTTTTCATCTAATTTCATTAACTATAGTTTTACAAATATCAAGAATAATAATTCCTAAAGGTTTTCTCTTTGAATTTAGAATTTGGATGATGAGATTAATCAAGTAAAAACTCTTATTCGTGATATGCAAATCTGAAATTGTTATTGATGAGGACAGCCGAAATTCTTCTTGTAAAGCCGCCGCTGAATTGAGTTGGGAGAATTTGCAATCGGGCCAGAGCAAACAAGCGTCAAAAGGGCAAGTTGCGATTAACCTGCGGCGGTTCGCTCAAATATTTGCAGTTGCCAAGTTTGGCAGCAAAACACGGAGCGGCACTCGCGGCTAATCCACGCAGACCGTCGCGTTTTTATCGCTCTCATTTTTTTACCATGTGCATTTTACGGCGCCAATAAAAGTCCCGAAAACTCTCTCATCAATCAAAATGACCGAAATATTGTCGGGGCCGGGCGAGTGACGGACGCACTAATGGCCCAAATTTTGCACAACTCTCGTGATTAATGCGAATTCCGTTGAAACCGCAAAAGTCAAATATATTCCAGCCCAGGAACTAAATTTTCCTCCGCTCCTTTCTTTTTCGAAAAGATGCGACGGTTCAAAGACGCATAAATTGAATTTTCTCGAAAGTAAAAAGAAAAACGCAACCTGCTTGACAAGCGCGTCGAGCAGGTTGCATATCGATCGACGACGCCATGTGGTTCTTTGAAATGAAGTGAAAGAAACCAGTTTTGAGGAAAAAATGGTTCAAAAGTGCACTTCTTCCTTCACCTTTCGTTCATGAACATTTTACTATGAAGACAACGTAATGCCAGTGACTTTCATGAATTTGCTTGGCTTTTTTTTTTAGTACATTGTGATTTTGTTCTATTTTCTTTTGAACTTAGAAGCTATTATGTCAATTCAACCTTACGGCCGTTCTGTGAAAATCCTAGAAATGCCTTTTTGTTGAAAAAAAAACGACTTGTTAAGTTTCGCGCGAGGCCATATCACGGCCTGTGCAATTCGTTTGTTTGCACAAACAGCGCAAACAGAGCCGAGCGTAACTTCATTTCGGCTAAACATTTATGAATTGCACCGAAGCAGTCCAGTGGCGCAACTTGAAGCCCATTGAATACCAAAATAAATAGAAAATGAAATATCCACTTTTGGTTTTAGCCTAAAAATAATTTCAAGAAATTCTATTTCTTTATCGAAATCATTTTTTTTTTTTTTTTTTTTTTTTTGAAATTGCGCCACTGCGGAGCGCAGGCGAATTGTTTTCCGCCGTCTGGCCACCAATTTCAAAATATGCACTCGCCCAATGTAAATGATATTAATGAATTTGGCGCGCACTCGGCCGCGAAACGCTCCTTTGTGTCGATTCGGCTGCACGCGGAATAATCATGCCTGTTAATTGCTTTGAACGGGTTGAGCCACCCCGCCCCACCCCCACCAACCCCCTCCAGCCGAACGGAGGGAGCGGAAAAACCGAATTTACTGATCAGTCTGTGTTCAAAGAGCCTCTTTCATCTCCCATTTAAAATTTTGTGTCTCTAAAGGAAACTCAAGACGCCTTCTTTGTGGCATACGAGACGCTATTTTTGAAAATGCTTCAAGAAAAATTCATTCAATTTAATCCACACGCTTCCAAAATTATGGTTTTTTTAGTGGTCATTTTGAAAATTCCCTAGGCCTGAAATTTTCAGACTTATTCTGGTCATCACTGATGGTCCTGTATGAAATTTTATTTTGTAGTGGTCATTTTGAAAGAGTCCTATATTTATTGAGAATACAAATTCCTCGATTCATATTCCAATGTTGCGCAGTCACTTTATAATTGTGATCGACACTTTTTTACCATTTCAAATAGATTTTATTTATAAAAAGAAAAATGATATTTATGGCTCTGGAGGTCCTTTTGTTGATAAATCGCTAAGAAAATTATTTCTCGTTGTCGCGGGCCTTTTCCAAAAGTATGAAAAGAGTTCAAAGATGTTTGAGCGAAGGGAGTTTATTTAAAGTGCGCGCGGCCTCGATTACAAGTTAATAAATGCGCCGCGCACGAGATAAAAGTTGGCGCTGTCGTTACACGCCAACTTTCCGCCCGCAAACTTTGCCCAACTTGAGACGATAAGGAGCGCGAATCAATCTCGACACTCGGCTACCTTGCTGAAGCGAGCTATTTGAACCCATTTGAGCAAAACTGTTACTTTAATCGCCATTTGAATTTTTTTTTTTTTTTTTTTGAAAATCTTACACTCTACTCTTTTTTAGGCTTGGCATATAAAATTTATTGAGTTTTTATGTTCAAACACCTCAAAATAGTTTATTTTTGGTAGTTTTTTCTTTTACTGAAAAGGTTACAAATTATGCTTGTTTGCTCCATTTATCATTTTTATGTTGACGTGAATCCAAAATATCAAAATCAAATTGAATGTTTATGCTTCATCAGGATTTTTATGTCAGACTCATTATTCACAAAAATTAAGGTTACAAAAGTGATTAAAATACATGTAACAACCTCCCTGTTTATTTTTTTTTACCAATCATCATATATTTTTGTTAATCAAATTCAACAGATGAAAGTTAATAAGTTCAGTGTAAGACGGAACAATAGAAATGTAATTATTTCTCGTTGAAATTAAGTACGCTCGTGTGTCTCATTGGCGATTCGAAGCGCGAAAAATTAGCTTCTTTGCAAAATCGTCACGGAATTCATTAAAGAAGCTGCGCGCGAGAACAAAACGTGTGTGTTTGTGCGATATTTACTATTTATTCCGAGCAAAAGCGTCGGTGGCATAAATCATTTCTGGCTGCCAGCGCATGATTAAAATTCCGCTCCTCTTTTTCTCATTCGCCCATCGCGAGCGAGCAGGATATTAAAATTCTCCGCATCGAAAAGCATTTCGAGCGCGAGACGAGAAATGAGCTTCTTTCTTTCTTTCTCCACGTCTAAATTAGACTCTCGTGTTTGCTCTCGCGGTCGTCGTGCATCTCTTAATTCCTGCAGCCCTTTGACGGCTCCTTCAACAAGAACGTAATTCAGTCTGATAAATGCTCCGTGCAGCAAGAGATGAATCCAAATCGCGACCTCTTCCGCCTGCTCTCAACCATTATAATTTCCACCATTTTCCTTCCCAGCAAAAAAGGCGCGAGATCGATTTCACGCCACACTCTGTTCCACTTAATTAAGTTGCTGCGAATCCAACTCCGAATCGTGGAATTTCTTCACCTCTTGATCTTCCTTTCCAAATAAAAATCTAGCAAAGTAGTTGATAATTCTCAGCTTTAAATGTTCCTGCAGATTTCCTCTTTCGAAAAACACTGGAAAGTTTGCCTGATTCAATGAAAGTTGTTGTTTGAATTTTAGCAACAAGGAAACAGTGGCGGATGTTCACAATGTGTGGCCCCTGAAGACTTTCCCACATCAGCCGTGTTGAGAAATTTCACCACATCAGCCAAGTGTAAAAGGAAAGGAGTGATGGGAAAAAATTAGTCATTATTTTTCCATCTTTTGAAGCGTAAAAAATGCGTGAAATGCAAAACGAAATTTTGTAAATGGTACAGAATTCGAGGGAATGCCTAAACAAAAGTGTCAAATTTTATTTACTCTTGGTGAAAATTTGAAACTCAACTTATTTTCATCTAATTTGTGTGCGGTGGTGTGATTTCAGGAGGGTACTACACGATCGAGAACAAGGGCAACCGGCTGCGGCTGATCATCCTGAACACGAACCTGTACGTGCGTCGCGGGGGCGCGAGCGCCCCCGTGCGGCACCCCGAGGCGGCCGCGTCCTCGTCGCCGGGGGCCGACGACGACCCCTCGGGCCAGTTCGAGTGGCTCGAGATGGTCCTCGACAAGAGCCTCCGCCGCCGCGAATTCGTAAGTTTTTTTTGTTTTATTCCAAATCAATTTCTTCTGCTTTTTATGATCGCGCCACTGTAAATGTGAGTTTGTTTTCATCATTTTTACTGCGTCCCCTCCCTGCCGTGCAACACCTTTTTCACACGTGATCCTGCTGTAAAAATGCAGGCATTGCCAGTTGAATGCGACATACAAAAAGGTTTTACTGCGCCGTAAACAAGCCAGCCGACGTTCGCGCATTGTCTTTATTTATTCAATGACGCTGGCCGCTTTTTTTTCAATTTATTAATAAATAAAAAATGAAAAATTAAGAGCTAAATAATATATAAACAAATAAATTGATAATTTTTAGAATGTATGTATGATGTACCTGGGCAGTAATTGCCTTCTGATACAATCAATAAAGACACTTTGCAACTACATACAAACTACCTTTAAAACTCTCCTTTTAATTTTTGATTTCGTACCATTAAAAATCATCATTGAATGTTTTAAATTAAATTGTTTCCCTCTCTTGTGTGATTTCAATTTTTTAATTTTTATTGTTTTTTTTTATCTATTGATCTAATAACCTAATTTTTGTTTTAATTTTTTTCGGAACTGAAATGAATGTGAAATTGCAGGTGTACGTGATCGGGCACGCGCCTCCGGGGGCGGACGAGCGCGGGTCGAGCGAGGGCGGCCCTTTCCAGGACAAGTTCAACCGGCGCTACCTGCAGATCGTGCGTCGCTACGCCAACATCATCGCGGGCCAGTTCTTCGGCCACCTCCACTCGGACACCTTCCGCGTCATCTACAACGATCTAGGTCAGTTCTGTTTTCTAAAACCAAGTCCAAGACCGCGGCCGCCCCGAAATAGAAGAGCCTTGGCACGCGCTGAACGTTGTTGGCACCAACTTTCGTGCAAACAACGCCGGCCGACGCCAAATTTCGCAATTGCGCACCAACAAACATGTTGCTAAACTTGAAACTTTGAGAAATGCCCTTAATATTATTCACACTAAATATGCGACTAAACAGCAATTTACATTCAATTCAAGTTTTTGAATTTAAAGAAGTAAATATCAAATTATAATAAAAATAGTAAATTAATAATACAGATGAAACTTGCAAATTTCCATGGTTAAAAAAAAAAATTATAAGCTTTTTACGCTGCCAAAAATTAATAAAAAACCCGCTTTCAACATTATTATGAATTGGCAACTTCGACTCGTGGAATATAAAATTTTTTACCCCTCTGCAAAAACACTAAATGTCTTTACCATTTATTAATTAACAGAATTTTGTATTATAAAGAAAATTCAAATATTGAAATTTTCTGTAAAAATAACAGTGAAACGGTTCATGAATATATATATTTACTGTTCACAAACAAAAAATACAAAATGTCTAGCATACCTCACTTTTCTTTCACCAAAATGAGTTAACAAAAATTATCAAGTAAATTAAACCATAGAAAGGGAAAATCTGCTCTTCGACTGGCCATAAACTTCCTACTTTGATGCATTTAACATTGTCCGTGGGTCAATCAATCTACACAGATTAGTTGGGAATTATCAAAGATTGCGGCACAAAACGTCACTTGATGTTTTTAACAATAAATTCACGCGTCAGCATTTTGATTGGGCGCGGCGAGGAGGGCGCAGCGGCACTGCACGTGGTGCTGGACGAGGGCGTGGAGGACGCGCGTGGTGCCGTCTTTGCATTCGAACTGGATCGAGTAGTTGGCGGGGGCGACGAGGAGGGGCGCGTCGTCGGCGAGGGGGCCGAGGGCGGCGCGACACAGGGTCTGCTGGTTGCACACGAGTTGGTAGAGGGCGTCGGTGAGGGGGCGGCACCCGCTCAGGGTCTCGTCCTCGTCAGGGCGCAACTCGGCGGCCGCCAGTCTGCGCACGCCCGGCGCGTGCGCGGTGCGGCCGAATGCCAGGGCGGACCCTTCGGAGGAGAACTCGGCCTGGCAGCCGCTCAGGTGGCAGAAGAACACGGTCAGGGCGAACGCGAGCAGCGAAAACGCCACCACGATCCACAGGATGTTCAGGGCGTCGCCCACCCTCTCGCAGAACGACGCCCGACCCTCCCCTCCGCCCTCCTCCACCGTCACTCCCACGATTCCCTCTGCAAATATTTAACAAAATTAGAGTCAAATTGGCACTCATTTGGCCTAAATCGTGTTCAAGGGTGGATTGTATTGAAAAAAATCTCGCTTTTAAGGGTTGAAACCAGAGGGCCTAGCATTTCCCGCCAAAATCAAGAACTTGACAATTGAGAAGAATCTTTTTTAATCGGATTTACAAAATCCAAAAGGTTCAAAAGCTTTTGGCGGGAAAAAGTGAACTCCTCTTGCTACCTTTAGGAGGGTGAATTTTACCAAAAATTGTGATTTCCATTCTTGGAATTCGTCCTCTTTCTAATTCAAGAACAAAAAATCGCAAGTGGAGAGGCCCTTTAAAATGTTACGAACATAATAATCAACGTACTGAGGAGCTTGAGATGGAAGGCAATGTTTGCAGATTTGCGTTCTTTTTGTCGCTAATGAATGGGCAAATCCCGAGGGTGTAATTTTACGAGAGAGAGCAAATCTGCTGAGAAGAGTGGAATGAAAATGACGAAAGTTGGTGCGCGGAATACCTCGGGAGCAACTCTTCTCCATTGTGTCTCGCTCGGCGTTTATGCAAATGCAGCACACGGAGGCTGTGCGGCGCGTCGTCTTAGCCTCGCCAGCGCCACCCGCTCTCGTCGCTCCAAACACGCCACTCTATAAATAATTTCGAGACTGCGAAACCTCAAATTTACGATCGCGCGCGCTTTATCTTGCTCTTGAGATTGCCAAATGAAATAAATACGTGATAAGAACGTTGGCAAATTAGTTCGAACGAAATGAAGTTGCACTTGACTTTAAAGAAAAGTGAATTAATTTCTAAAAAGGCTGATTTTATTTCGAAATAGTCTTGAATAGGTTTTGCGGATTGAAAAGTCAAACAATAGAAACTAAATTTCTATTCAAATAGAAAGAGGTTTTGTAAATTTCTTTGGTTTAGTTGCAAATGCAAACGAAGCACAATTTGTGTACCACACAAATGAAATAATAAGTAAAAAACGTGGAGAAGAAAATATAAATTCAGAGAGAAAAAAATCATTTCGGCAAACTAAAAATGGAGATAATAAATTTAAATATTCCTTGTATAATTATAAATGTCTGAAAATCCAAATTTAACAACTCTTCGGGGGAAAAACCCTATTTATAGATTAATATGTTTGGCAAGTGATTCAACCGCAATTTGTTTTCAGTTGGGTTTGAGTTTTTCATACAAAAATAAATGGAGCGTTTTTGCGGCGCGGCTGGAAAGTAATTGTAGGTGCAAAGTGCACGCAAACCGCCAATTGATCACGGGCGCGACAAAACAATGGCGGCGCGTCTGACTCTCGGTTTGTTCATTAAAAACACGCAATTGATGTTGCCGCCGCCGACACAAACACATGTTCCATTGTGCGGTCGCCCGGTCCGGTGCTCACCGCGACCCTGATTTTTAATTCCATTTAATAAAATGATTCATTTTGTATTATTGAAAAGCCTAATATTTTTCCAAGAGATGCTTTCATATAAATAAAAAAATTATATCAATTGATATAATTTTTTTGATAAATTTGATAATAAATAATTAATTATTTATTATCAAATTTATATTTTGTCCGGTTCTTGCATCAATTTTTAATTTTGTTACAGATCATATAGAAACAATAACACTTTTGATGCAAAAGTTTAGTTGTTCCAAATGATATATTTCTTCAATTTAAGACACAAAAATACGGAAGTGACAGAGAATCGGAATTTAATCTTTTTGAAAAAGGAGATTCGAATTAATTAATTCAGTCTGAGGAACCAGAAACTTTTGATGAATTCGATTCCAGTGAAAAGAAAGTTAAATTTTAATTATTTAATTTGTATTTAAAGCAATTTCCTTCTGGCATATAATTTGCTATGAATATTGCAAGTAAATAATTGCTTCAAATTCGAAATGAGAACAATTTGGAACTTAAGCAAATCAAATTTCTCCCTTTTCCACAATAAGAAAAAAAAATGAAATGATATTGCAAAAAAAAGGAAGTAATTTTTAATTATTAAATTTCAATCGTTATATAATTTATATTCAATTGATAAATGTAAGAAATGATAAAAATTTGTACTGTGAGGGAAATTCTTTTGTCGCTTCGCTGCATTTCATATTTCTCTGAGCTCGCAAGACTGTTTTCAATTAGGAAGAAACGAGAACGGTGGCGAAATATAATTTTTCTCGTTCTTGCTTTCTTTGTCGGCGCGGAGACGGATGGGTTGTTTCGGCGGCGCCAGCAAAGGGTGGAATCGGGCGCGGATGGTGTGTCGGGGTGCAATTTGAGAAATAAATAGGCATTAGTTTTGTGCAGGCGGCGCCATTAATTCGGATTACGCGCGGGCAGAGCGTGAGAGCGGCTTAAGGCGAAAACACACGCCCCGAGACGCGAGCACCATAAATTTCGCGTCAACCCCATCATCATCAGCGCTCGACAAATATGATACGTTTAAAATTTCAAATCCAATCTAGGATAAATTAAAATGCGAGGAATCTTGGAAGCAAAATATTAATTATGAATTCAAGTTTTCCTCTACATATTAATTTGCATAATTAAAGCAGAATAAATGTTAAATATTTATTTTGAACACAAATTTTAAGTGTTTTTTGATCAGCAATTGTCTGGCGATTTTGAAAATAGAATCGTGCAACTTATATTTAATAAAAATTATTTTTACAAGTTTATTTCGTTAAGTCATCAACGAATTGACAACTTTTAAAATACGTCATTCACATATTTATACAATTTACAAATCAAATTTACAACTGAAAAATTCGTTCATGTCATAATACTGATACTTGTATACAATTTCTCTTATTTTGCTAATAAACTCGTTACTTTCCACAGTCATTTTTACACTAACAGGTAGAGAGTTGAATATTCTTGCTATCATAACTACAGGATTTTCAATCTCGACATATAGGTCATTTACACAGTGCTTGCTTTTTGCACTTTTTGTTTTCGGACTCATACAATTTGGAATTTCTGATTTTTTTCTAAATTTTTCAGGATGATTTATAAGGAATTCCATACATTCTAATATATAGAGAGAGTAAACAGTCAATATACCATATTTAGCAAACAGTTGAAAATTTAGTGTGTTTTTTTTTCATAGATTTGTTTACGAATCGTTCAAGTTTGGCGAACAATTTGGCGGTTGCGCAGCCTTAGGTCGTTTCGCACAACAACGGAAGCTGCAAGAAATTTAGCGCAAACTTGGGCCAAGTTTCGAGTGGAATTCGGCTCGGCTCTTGATTAGCGGAACAAACACGAATTATGCCAGTCTCGGTGCGCGCTCACGATTTTTGTAATGAGGGGGTTGCGAAAATCACAAACACAGCTTTATCGGGGGTGGAGCAGGCGGATCGACGCACCCCTTCAAGATGAATAAAGCCATTCTCAAGTGATTTACCTGCCGACGCGCCCACAAATTGCGTTTTTATCTTTATGCAGAGAACGGGCGATTTGTTTTTTATGGAATGAAAATATATTAAGTTTAAAATTTAATTATCAGAGACGAAATCAGACTTTAAGCCTGCAAGAAAAAGTTCACACTTTTGCGAAGCCCTCGAAGCAGAAGTCATCAATTTATTTTAAATTTTTTTACAAATGCAAAAAACGAAACTCTTTAATGTTATTCTTGTTTTAGATCAAATACAATTTTCTTTAATTTAGACCTTTAATTAAAAAAGCAGCGTTTAATTTCTTGGTTAACCAACGTGCAGCGATATTTTTATGATAATCTGAAAATTTAGTTTATTTTGTATGAAAAATAGCTCAAAATATTTATATAATGGATGAGTTATTTTAGTATTGGTGATGATTTTTGATAAAATAATCCAAATAATATATTTATTTAATAAATATAATATCCTGTTAAAAATTTTAATATATGAATTCATACTAATTAATTCATATTTGAACATAAATTTATTTAACCCAGGTTTTAATTGGATCAGGCGCTTTTTTAAAGAAACGTTCACAGCTTATAATTTATGCGCCGACGCGATTTTTCACAAGAAAATTGGAGCGTGAAATTGATTTTGAATGAGTTTGATTGAGTTTTAATTTTGTAATTGCAGGCGAACCGGTGAACTGGCTGATGGTGGCGCCGTCCGTGACGCCGTGGCGCCCGCCCAGCGACTCGGGCAACCCAGGGCTGCGCCTGTTCAAGTACGACACCGACTCTGGCCAGGTATGTACATATAATTCCACCGGCTTCTGGCCCGGCCGGCCCCCCTGGGGACCATCGGATCCGCCACTTTACCGTCCTAGCTCGCTGCAAATTGGATCGCTCGCGTCAAATCGCATTTTAACTCGCAAAACGAGATTGCTCGCAAATTACTCCGAATTGAACTGACAAATTCAGTCCCGAAAAACGTCACTTTGAACAAAAGAAGAAAAAAATAAGAGCAGAAATTGCCAAATGCCAGCTCGGATAAATGAAAAAATTGGCGCGCAGATCCATCAAAATTTATTTAAATGAAGTTATATTTTCAGCTTGTTTTCAACAATTATTTTCTAAAAAAAGGATATCGATCAAGATTACAAATTTTTTACATACCCTGACTATAATTATGCTCAAAGAAGAATGAATTATGTCAATGATTTTTTTCTCACGCCCATTTTTTTAAATATATTATGTTCTTTTATTTTGGAAGGTCTGATTTTTTTTAAAATCTAACCAATTGATATATAATAAATTTTTGACTGCGTTTGAGATCAATTGATAAAGTTTTATTATCTTAAAATTTTTTCCTAAATCACAAATATATTTATAATGCATCACTATGGCGGCCATATTGGTTTTTGAATTAGAAAAAAAACGTTTGTTTTCAGTAACTCTCAGTGATATAATTGAAATTTTCTTAGAGAACCAATGATACTAGGTTATCGTTCATTAACTCTTCTAAATCAGGAATTTATTAGCCGCCATTTTGCACAAAATGGCGCTGGATTTTGGGATAGTTTGTTAATTTGCGAGCGTTTTGATTTGCAGATCCTGGACTACACGCAGTTCTACCTGGAGCTGGAGGAGGCGAACCAAAAGGGCAAGGCCGAGTGGCAGCCCGAGTACAACCTGACGACGTACTACGGGCTGTCGGAGGTCACGCCGAGGTCACTGCACCGGCTGGCCGAGACCTTCCGCCACGTGGCCGACACGGAGCTGTTCGAGCGGTACGTGCGGGCGACGCGCGTCTCCACGCAGCCGGCCACGCACTCGTACTCGAGCTACCTCGACAGCAGCTCGTCCTCGGGCTTGGTCGACCTGGCAGGGTCGCAGGGGTGCGAGGGGGCGTGTCAGCGGCGCCACTACTGCGCCGTCACCAGGGTCGCCTACCCTGAGCTGCAGCGCTGCCTGCGCGACGACGCCGTGTGGAGCTCGCGCGCGCCACCCACCCTCGCCGCACCTCCCCTCCTTCTCCTCCTCGCCCTTACCCCACTCCTCACGTCGCGGTGACTCCTCCCCTCGCCTGCTCACGAGGCCAACACGTACCTGCATAAGAGAAATTAATGAAAAGGACTTCTCAGCGCGGCCAACACGTTTTGAATTCAAATGCGAAATTTTTCGTTTCAATAAAAAAGAAAGCAAGTTCTACGGGCACAAGATGACGTGTGTTACTAATCTTAATTATGGAAAAATTTAAAAGAAAAACGCAGATATATATTTGTGATATTTACCGTTAGCGGAGTGTTTGCCATTGAATTTTTACTTTTTCGACTCCAATTGAAATTATAAATTGTTCTCGTTTTGCGCAAATGAATTTATACAATTATATTATAAAAGTTCTACGTGAAAAATTTTGTGGACTGGCTGATTTGTATGTTCCCTTCTTCACTAGAGGTCTTAATTTAGAGGAAATTTTCACTTAATTGCACAGACAGAACAAAACCAACGGCAAGCAATGTAAATTCTAATCTTGTAACTTCAAACCAGTTTCGGTTCCAAAAGTTTGCAATTTTCTGTTTTTTTCTCCATCCGACAACCACAAAGCCATTAAAAACATTGGTTCTATATTTACTATAATACATAAGCAGACTGATCACAAATTTACACTTATTTTTTTCCACCTTTGATACAAAACAAAAGTAGCAATAATTTTTCTTCTGTTGGAGTTAGAACAAAATTTTTGATTCTAAAATGACCCTCTTGATGTCCTCTTTCAAACGATGTGTCGTATGTTACGAAAGTTGTGCCACTGACTTTTTGTAATCAGGTCAATATGCGTAATAATGTTATTAAGAACAGACCAAGGCGCGGATCACGTTTTGTCGTGTGATACTTTGGGCGATCTGCTCAGAAATAAAGTTGCAGAGACTCAGAGAGGCGCGTTTCACAAAAAATAAGCTTTTGGAAAACCACGTTTTCGATCTCTTTTTTTTTAATTTGATGGGAAAAAGCATCTAATTATGGTTCATTTTCTTCAGTAATGTTAAATTTCATGCTCTACAAAATGGCTATTCCAGAATCAAAATAAAAGTGAAGGTCACGAGAAGTGACCTTGAACTTAGACCTACCTACGATTTTGCTTTCAGAGTTGTAGAAACCAACAAGATAAATTCAAACATACCCAGATTTTTGTTCTACAATCTCGAGAAGCCGAGATAGAGCCATTTGAAATTTTCCCAAAATCCAAATTTGAGTGTCCCTTGAAACCCGCAAATTTTGAGAAGACAAGGCAGTAGAAAATTTATTTTTTAAGATCTTTTGGCATGATAATGGTTATGATTGGTTGCCAAAGTAATGATTTCTGTTCAAGCAATTGAAAAATTTATTTAAAGTATAATTTTGGTTTTCCCTTTTGAAACAATGGAAATAAAACAAAAAAAATCAGCCTCTGCAGATTTTTCCACTCAGTAGAAAATACTCGCCATCTCCTTGTTTGATTTGGCCCAACAATGTTCCTCGTCTCAAGAGCGACTTTGAGGTGTTTAGTGTGTAGAAAAAAAAGAATATGTCCAGAAAGAAAGCAATTCAATGAGCAGAGTCAAAATTTATGATTGAATTTTCCGGAGCGCGGAAAAATGAGTTCAAGTTTAGCGAAATTTTATGTGATCGACTCGCGCGAATGTGCTTGGGTGTTTGGTGTGTACTCAACTAATCAAATATACAAGAAAGAGAGTGTGCGTGATTCTCACTTCTGCTGCCAAAAAACGAACGAACAAGAGCCGAGAAGAGCTATTTTTCAAACAAGTTCTGCAGTGCGACGAAAATATTTGATTCTGCGAATACAAAAAAAAAAAAAGTTATTTAAAAAAAAAATGTGTCAATGTCTGTCAGGGACAAACTTTATGCATTTAAAAGAGTCGCTCTCACTTAAGGGACACTTTTTGTAAATTCAAATAAATATACAAAGCTTTACAAGGAAAAAAAACTACCAACGTCAGAGAAGGAGGAAATAATAAAGCAAAATGTTTAACTGTAATTTCAAATCGCGTTCATCAAATAAAAGTATCTTTGATGTTTAAAAGCAGCTTTGGTTTTACTCTTAATTACTACTTAATTAAGTAACACAGGTGTCCTTGATGAGCTCGACGGTCTGCTCGAAGCTGAGGACCTTTTTCTCACCCGAGCCTGCGGTGAGGAAGAGCTCGAAGGTGGGCGTGGCGCAGGCGGCCGTCCTGCCGGCTACCACGATTACGGGGTAGCCGAGGCGGGACGCGTCCTTGCACCGCCGGCCGATGGTCAAGGCCGTCCGGTCGTCCTCGACCACTTCCCCCTCCAGCCCTTGGATCGATGACAACGCATTGCCTAATTTTTGAGCCAACTCGCTCGCGTCCGCCTCTTTGCTCCCCTCCTGAAAAATTTCCAGACGAAATTACCAAAAAATTTCCAACAAAATTTAGGTGCAACATCAAAATAAATAAAGGTTTGATGCAGGAACAAAATCCACGCAGGAGTACTCTGGATTTTTAAAATTTTTAAAGAATTCGGTGTTAATTTCAATCCAGGGCATTAATTAAAAACTGATGTCATCAGATAAATTGATTTTATATGAAAGTAGATTTGCAATTATAGTGAATCACCTTGGGAGGGATAATGCAGACTTTGTAGGGCGCAATGCTGAGTGGCAGGCGGAGTTCCTCGGGGGTCGAGAGGCACTCTGCGGCCGCGGCCAAGATTCGAGACACACCCAGGCCGTGGCATCCCATCACCATCGGCTCGTTTTTGCCCTCGTTGTTGGTGAAAACGGCCTTCAGGGGTTCCGAGTACCTCGTCCCCAGGACAAAACAGTGGCCAACCTTAAAATAAAAAAAATTTGTCTATTTTTCTAATTTTTTTTTTTTTTATCAATTATTTTCACCTCAATTCCTCTTTTTTGCACAAATTCGCATTTTCCGAGGGCGGGACACTCCCTGCTTTCGACTTTGAGCTCCGCGTTGACGCCCCTGCCGCAGCCGGAGCAGATGGACAGGTGGTCCTCGCCAACCTCGGCCAGAAAGTGGAACTCCTCGCTCCGCAATCCGCCCATCGACCCTGAGTCTCCGTCCACTGTAATTTTGAAAGTATCAATAAAACAAATATTTTTTCAACGATTTTTGACCTGCGACGTAGGGGACATGGAGGGCGTCGAAGATTCCTTGATAGGCGTGTCGGACGAGCTGGTAACTTTTGTCCGCCTCGTCGAGGGACGCGTCGAAGGTGTAAAGGTCCTTCATGAGGAACTCCCTGGCCCTGAGCAGGCCCGAGCGCGGCTTCATCTCGTCGCGGAACTTGGTGGACACTTGGTACAGCTTGAGGGGCAGCTGCCGGTGCGAAATGTGTCCGGTGGACGCGAGCAGGTCGGCCACCACCTCCTCGTGGGTCTTTCAACGTTTGTTAGACATTTAAGGCATCATCAAGGCTAAGTTCAAACTCACAGGGCTGAGCACGTAGCGCTGGCCGTGCCGGTCCCTCACCTTGAACAGCTCGGCCTCCATCGTCTTCAGCCGACCTACGAAAAGCTCAAATTTTTGCAAAGTTAATTTAAATTGGATAAAAAAATTTTACCGCTCTTTTCCCAAAGCCCGGCCGGCGCTAATGCGGGCAGTGATAACTTTTGGCACCCGATTTTGCTCAGTTCGGTGTCGATTATGTTGACGATCTTCTGGAGGGACCTCTGGGCGAGCGGCAAAACGCAGAAGGTGCCGGGCGCCGACGGCCGGATGAACCCGAGCTCCAGCAAAAGCTGCAAATTCATAAACGTGCATTTAAATTGGATTTGCACAAAAAAAATTAGGCACTTGTTGGCTGACGGAGTGAACGTCCTTGGACGACCTGGCCACCGTCTCCTTCAGCAACGTCGAAGGCTTGAAGATGGAAGAGACCTTGGTGACAAAAGGTCGACACGAAGGCTGATGCAATCGGCCGCGGTGCCGCTGCACCAAAGGCCGAAAAACCGCGTTCATTCCCGCGCTCAAAATGAAGAATGCACGCGTCGACTCATCTTCGCTGCAAACTAATATTATAGTCTGTTTCTGCTTTCGTTCGGAAAAGTTGGAAGAAATACACAAAACACACCGCTAGCTGACATCAATGTTTATCGCGGGGCCAGCTGCGCCAAAAGTTTCAAATCTGCCGCCCGAGGAAAAGAATCAAAGCCCCGCCCCCTTTTGAGTGACCTTGTCTTTCCAGTGTTAAATGCTGCACTTTTGAGTTTTTCTATTTGATTAAAATTCAATTCGAAATGCGGAAAATTTAGGTCGAAGGAAAAAATTTGCAGATTTAGATGAAAATTATTTGAAATTATATACGTTAATTTTCTCCTCTGAATATATAGCCCGGATAGCTCAGTCGGTAGAGCATTAGGCTTTTAACCTAAGGGTCCAGGGTTCGAGTCCCTGTTCGGGCGTGATTTTTGAAGTGAAAAATTATCGCATGAAAAAAAAATTATAATTGACATATGAATGCAAATTGCCGTCGAAATTTTTATATGAAATGAAATATTATTGTATCACGCAATTGAATATTTTATAGCTCAATTTAAGATTGTCGCTGGTCAAATGAAATAAAAAACATGGGTTTTCCTACAATAATAATCATAATCAGATATTCACAGCATGACATAGAACGATTTAAAGCATATTTCTTCACAAAAGATCATAAAATCTTTCCTGTGCTACAATTCTAGCGTATATGGTAGGTCAGTACCATAATGTCAGGGTTAAATAAATAATATAAATTGTTCTCAACAGAAACAAGGGTGCTTGTCACAAGCGGCGAAATCATTAAAAAGTCCGTTTTAGTTGTTAAAAGTTAAAAGAAGACTTGTCTGGCGTCGTTGGGGTTCTGCTCGACCGGACAGTACGGACACTTGAGTTTGCTGCCGCTGCTGAGTTTGTTGAGGGCGTCCCTCGAGATCACGTGGCCGCACACGAGCCGCATGGGCGGGTTGTTCTCGGTGCTCTGCTGCCGCAAAATTGGACACGCGAACACCGAGTGGTACCGGTGCTCCTTGCCAAGGTCGATTTCAATTGGCAACTCGTCCTTGCCGCTCCAGATCCCTGTCACCTGCCGCTGCTGCATCACCTGCATCAGAAAGATACATTTCAGTCAAAATTATTTACAAATTAAATTTTCCCCTAAAATAGCCTTTATTTAAAAAAATTCACAAAATTTGTTCTTTATTTTCAATGAGAAATTTTGGGATTTAAAAAAAAAAAATAATAATAATAACGGCTTAGAACAAGAATTTGAAAATTTTGGGAATGGTTAGTTTCCAATTTTGCCCGTTTTCAAGTTTTTAGCCAGTAGAAAAATTACCAGTCTCTTTCATTTTTAAAAACAATTAGCACCCTTGATTTGCCTTGAAAAACCAGGAAACCCCAAAATACAAGATGGCGTCCTCTCGGAAATTCATTTTTCGGCTTAAGTATGAAGACGGAGTGACATAAAAGTGCCAATTGAGGTACTTTGAAATAATTAATTGAAATAATTGCCTGTTTGATGTTGAGGAGGGCGGGAAGGGCGGTGCAGCCGGCGTTGATGCAGACCGAGAGGGGGCTGTCGACGCTCTGGCCGAGGAGGGCGCACGCGTCCTTGATGAAGACCTCGTGGATCTCGACCCAGACGTACGGGTCGAGCAGGTGGCTGTACGGGGAGGCGGGCAGCCCCTGCGGCAGGAACAGCAGCGCCCCCATCAGGCTCTGGATCTCCTTCTCGTGCCGCCCCACGAACTGGCACAGGTGCGTCCGCGCGTACTCGACCGCCTCCGCCTGCTGCCCCACCCCCTTCTCCACCAGGTTGATGAACTGCAGTCGGTGCAGCTTGAACTCCAGAGACGAATTCTGCAAAAAATTCAATTAAAATTTTAATTTCGCACTATAAAAATTTCACAAACTTGTGCTGCCAACGTTTCCCTGTGCGAGGTTGCCCACTCAAGGGCGGGCTGAAGGTTGCGCTGCTTCAGACAGTCGAGGATCCGGTTGAGCTCCTGGAACGGCTCCTTGTTGCTTATGTCAGTCTTCAGCCCAGCCTCCTAAATTTCCACAATCAATTAAAATATTTTAATTTCTATAACAAAAAAACATGCCTTCGCCAACTCCTCAGCAATGTCGATCATGCCCTGACGATAAAAGTGCTGGCACATGACCTTGTTGAGCAGCTTGACCTTTTCGGTGCCCGCGAAAACCTCCTCCCTGCTGGTGGACGCAAAGTCGGAGACAAAGTTCTGCAAAAGACGTACATTTATCTCTCGCAAATTCGGGTCGAATTGAAAACGGATACCCTGTCGATGGCCTTGCCCACTTTGGAGACGGTGCTGTGCAGGTCGCGGTGGTCCGAGGCCAGCCGCTGCACCGTGTCCTTGACCTTGGCCACGGCCTGTTTCACGATGAGGATCTGCGCGGCCGTCAACTCGTGTGGTGCTGCGTATAAAAGTTTCAGAAATGTAAATATAAGCGGGTCATCGAACTTTTCTTACATTCTTCGATGCTATCTTTGAGGCTCTCGATGTGGCTGCACAGGTCGGACAGCGTCCGGTCAGCGTGCTCGTTGATGCCGCCAAACTTGTGCAGAACCTTGTCCACCTCCTTCTCAACTCCCGTGCACGCATCCATGTTTGTGAGTCAAGTTTGTTTGCTAAAGTTCTGAAAAATTTAAAGAAAAACACAACACAACTCTGCCAACTGCCAACTGCAGGAAAATCGCCCGCCCGCAGCGCCACGGTGTCAACGCGGCGAACAAGCATAAAAGTGGTATGTAAGCAAGGGAGATAAATAATTCCAAACTTCTTTCACGGTGCTCGATATTGATTGGACAAAATTCCTGGCAATTTACTATTTTAATCAAATAATAACTTGTTTTCAAATCCACTTTGCGTAAATTTCATCCATATTTCTTGCGTTTCAAACAACAATCCCGAGAAATGTTGAGCTCCTTCTCATTCTCCCTCCGGGTGAGTCAAACTTTGGCGCCTAATTGAGCAGCCGACCAATGAGAGCGCCGGATTTGGCTTATGCAACATTCGTTTCGTGGTTGTAATCTTGGTTGTAATATGGCGGACGTAGCGTTTGGCAAGGGGAGCACCGCGAAGAAACCCGAAATTGTGAGTAAAATTTGAGTAGCGACCTTTTTTCGCACTTGCCATCCGTATTCAAAAGAATGCGGAAGACGAATTTTCTAAACCCGAGCGCGGTTGGCGCCGAATTGCGGCGGAATTCGGCCCCGCCGACGGCGCCGACATTGCCACATGGCACCTCGCCGCTCCATCATGAACTTAAATTTTGTTTTCTCACTTCTCACCCGATTACGCAGCAATGAGCAAATTGTCAAAATTCGCTAAGAATTTGATTCGTTTCAGGACTTTCTAAAATTGAGCGCCATCTCCCCCGAGGTCATCTCAAAACAGGCCACCATCAATATTGGTAAGTCATGTGCCGACTTTTTAAGAAAGTTTCTGGATTGTATCTTTTCCGGCTGCAGGAACGATCGGCCACGTAGCTCACGGAAAATCAACAGTAGTGAAGGCCCTGTCCGGTGTGCAGACCGTTCGCTTCAAGAACGAACTCGAGCGCAACATCACCATCAAGCTTGGTGAGCCCCTTTTCTTTTCTTTGATCGGCCGAGCGGAAGGCATTGCGAATTTACTTGTTGATTCTCTTTCTGAAAAATTATTGAATCGATCGGGGCCGATGAAGTTGTCACTGGGGGCAAATCGAAACTCCCTTTCTCCGACGCAAACTGAACCGTTGCTTCTTATTTTCATTCTTTCCTGATCAGCACGTAATTTTGGTTTTGCCTTCCGTTGCCTTGATTGCAATTCTAAACGAAAAAACGGTTTCAGATTGTTAACATGGAGAAGGGTGAGGCGGTGGAAAATTTGGTGGCGCCTTCGCCGAAAAAAACGGTGAAAAACGGGCACAAAACTCAGCAAGTGGCAGTCGACGGAAGCATCAAGTGCGTCAGTGAACCTGTCGCGGAAATCGCCCCCTTGGAGGAGAAACCCAAGAGGGTCTCCAGCACCCGCAAGAGGAGTATCTCGGAGTCGACGGCCCCTTCGAACCCCAAGAGCCCCAAGCCAAAGTAAATCAATTGTCTATCCAATTAGAAAGTGCGAATTAAAAATAAATTACTCTGCAGGCGCAAAAAGTCGAGCATCCGTGGGAAGAGGCGGCGTCCGATGGACCCCTGCAGGTCACTGGACGCCAGGGACACAGAGACTAGGGTCGTTGACCCCAACGACCCGAATCCGGACGAAACCGTGGGAAAGGTGGACGAGGAATACGAGGTTGAGGACGTGCTGAAAAGGGTTTATTTTGAAAAGGACTTTCACTACCTGATCAAGTGGAAGGGGTGGCCCTCGGAGAACAACACTTGGGAGCCCGAGGGGTCTCTGGGCAACGCCAAGAAGTTGCTCAGGGCCTTCTACGACCGCACCGAGGAGGAGCAGCCGTCCCGCTTCAGGGACATAGCCGCGGTGTTGCCGCAGCTGCAGCCTTTGGAGGGCGCCGCGGCCGTCCATGAGTGCAAAGTGGTCATGAAAATGACCAAGGCGGACTACGAATCCATCTTCTACCTGCCGGCCAAGGAGGAGCCGCTGCCCAACCACAAGCTGCTGCAGGCGCACATCAAGAAGCTATCCAAGAAACCTGACGAGGAGCTCGAGAAGAAGGTCAAGCGCATGATCTTGCAGCGCGAGTGCGTCCGCCTCCAGTTTGAGCAGCAGAAAATGCTCAAGGACTTTGTCGACGAGCTGAACAAAAGCGAGGGCGACACATTGCTGAGCATCGAAAACCAGGTCGACCTTTCCTTGCCTCCCCTCAACTTCAAGGTGAATCTTCTGTCTAGTTATTGAAAATTCATTTTTAGTCATAGTTATTATAATTTTTTATTTAATCTTACATGATAATTAATATGGAATATTTCTGGATTGCAAATTTTGAAAATTGTCTTGACTTGAGCAGCCACTGAACAAGAACCAGCCGGTGGTGGAGGTGGTGATCAGCGACGATCCGCCGATTGGCTGCGAGTGCGACGTTTGTGATGGGACGAGCAATTGCTGCCCGCGGCTGGCTGGCGGCAAAGACATGCCCCACGAGTTCGCCTACCACAACAAGCTGCTGCAGCTGCCCCACGGCAAGCCCATCTACGAGTGCAACAAGAAGTGCAAGTGCTCGGCCGACTGCGGCAACCGCGTGCTGCAGAACGGCCTCAAGGTGCGCCTCAAGATCTTCCGCACGCGCAACATGGGCTGGGGCGTCGCAGCCCTTGACGACATCCCCCAGGGAACCTTTGTCTGCGAATACATCGGACAGGTCTTGGGCAGGTAAAGAGTGCAATTGAAACGCTAATTCGGAAGGAGTAAGTTCTTTTGAAAAGTCACCAAAGCATAAAGCTCAAATTAGAATTATTTTGGTTGCTACACCTGCCATCAAATACGATTTTTGGAAAGGAATCAACTTTTGACAAGCAAAGTAGAGGTCATCGTGGTCAGAACTCAGAATTGTGCAAAAAATGGTAATTTAAAGCATGAAACGATCTGATTGGTCTGAGAATTTCCTCCACCACTTAATTTTTATAGCAGCACAGAGTGTGACACATCTGGAAAGGTCGGGTTACAAGGAATCGATTAGTGACCAAATAAGTTGGGTTGACCATAAGATCCCTCAAAAAATGACAATTTTTCGGATTTCAGCCATCTTATTGGTCCATTTGCTTCCCCCGCCACCAAATTTATTGATTAAACATCAACATCCACAAAGAATCGATTGGTGGTGATTAAAGCCAAAATCTTTTCTATCAATTTTTAGAATATTGCAAGCTCATTGGTTTGTTGATTTCCCCCGCCACCAAATTAATGTTCGTCTTCAAGCACTGGCACATCATTTGAAAGGTCAGGATGGGATTTTGAATCAAAAACCGTGGTTCAAATAAAATTGAAAGTTTTAGGAATCGTGCAATCCCATTGGTCCATTGATTTCCCTCGCCACTATAAAGTATTGGTTTTAAAATATGTATTGTGTGACACGGTGTGACACATCATTAGAAAGGTCTCGTTATAAGGAGAATTTTGGTCATTATAAAAAATATTTCTAATCCATAATTCACTTCATTGTACCAATCAGATAGTTTGATGTTATATTGATGATCTTTGAGGTGAATTTTTTTTTCAAAAGAACTTTACTCATTTGCATTGCTGGTAGGATGATGAGGGAATTGTTGACTGACTGGTTTTGTGTGGTTCAGGTGGGCCGTGCTGCAGCGGCAGGCGGAGGAATACGCTGGCAAACCAAACTACATCTTTGACCTGGACTTCAACAAGCTGGATCCGGAGGAGTGCAGGGACGAGAATGGTTACGAGCTGTTCCCGTACGGAATCGACGCGACGGTGGTGGGCAACGTGGCCCACTTTGTGAACCACTCGTGCGAGCCCAACTTGGGCGTTTACGTGGTGTACGTCAACTGCCTGGACCCGCAGCTGCCGCACCTCGGCATGTACGCCATCAATGACATCAAGGCCGGAGAGCAGATTTTTTTTGACTACGAGGCCCAGTACCACAAGCGCCGCCGCATCAAGCCAGCCAAGCCCAGCAAGAAGGGCAGCAAGTACGCCTGCGGCTGCGGCAAAGCCTCGTGCCGACGCATGTCCTTCCAGAGCAAGTGACCAAAACTGTCTTAAAAACACGACGCTGATGTTATATTGACAGAAAGTCTTAATGGATTTTATTTTTTAGACTTAGTTTCTTGTGCCACTACTTGGACTCAACTTTAAAGATATTTTAGTGTAATTCTGTGCCCAATGCGAATTCTTTAATAAGGACTGAAATCTGCATTACTGCAAATTATTGAGGCACTAATATTTTTTAAAATGTAACATTTCCCTGGGAATAAAGAAAACTTTTTCATTACTTCAGGCTTTTTACTTTCTATTGCACATGCAAAGCTTCGCTGAAAATGATTGCTGTTCTTTTTTTATTTATTTGTTCCGAATATTTTCTCGTAGGATCAATTTAAATTTGTGATGTTGGCTTTCATCTACATTGGGTTGATATGTACGTGATTTGGTAAACTTAATGTCAATATAAATGTTGACATATTGAAAAAAATTTTAATTTAAAAAATTTATTTCTCCAATGGCTGAAATTTCTCATTGGAACTGAAATTTAGACAAAAATCACCATGCAAATCAAGAAGGTCGTTTTTTTTCTTTTTGCAAAAGCCTCCTATTCCGCTTGTCCCGCCAGAGGTTGTTGATCTTTGCGTCTAACCAATTTGCTTTCAGGCTATGCTAACGCCAAGATCTTCAAGTGCAACAATGACAAGTGCCCGCGGCCCGCTTGCTACATCTCGGGCGGCTCCTCCAAGGAAAACTGCTTCCCCTGTCAGCGGCCCAACTGCTCTGGACACTACGAACTGCTGAGGCACGTGTCCTTCGTCGACTGTCCCGGACACGACATCTTGATGGCCACCATGCTGTCGGGCGCCGCCGTCATGGACGCGGCCCTCCTCCTCATCGGTATAAATCTATTACTATTTCATCCTTTTTGAGCAAATTTTGATTTATCTTTCAAAACCTTAGCCGGAAACGAGTCGTGTCCGCAGCCGCAGACCAAGGAGCACTTGGCCGCCGTTGAAATCATGAAGCTGAACAACATCATCATCTTGCAAAACAAAATCGACCTGGTCAAGGAAGGTCAGGCCCACGAGCAGTACCAGGAGGTCCTCAAGTTTGTCAAAGGTGATTTTTAAAGAAAGCCACCTCAGAGCAGCAAAATCCTTCTCAAAAAGCCGTAGTTTTAATACTGCTGCCAAATAATTAGAAAAAAAATTAATCATGTCTTGTTTAAAGATAATTATTTTGAACAACTGAAAAGTTGAAACTTAGAAAATGAGGCTTATTTTCAATACTATTTTTTGATAGATTATTTGTTTTAAGGATGTGATTGACTTTTGCAGACACCGTGGCGGACGGGGCGCCCGTGATTCCGATTTCGGCGCAGCTCAAGTACAACATCGAGGTGCTGTGCGAGTACATCGTGAAGAAGGTGCCGGTGCCTGAGCGCGACCTGGCCTCGCCCCCGCGCCTCATCATCATCCGCTCGTTCGACGTCAACAAGCCCGGCTGCGAGGCGGCCGAGCTCAAGGGGGGCGTGGCCGGCGGCAGCATCCTCAGGGGCGTGCTCAAGGTCGGCATGGAGGTCGAGGTCAGGCCGGGCATCGTGTCCAAGGACTCCAAGGGCGAGACCACCTGCAAGCCCATCTTCACGCGCATCGTCTCGCTCTTTGCTGAGCAGAACGAACTCGACTTTGCTGTGCCCGGAGGCCTCATCGGTCAGTTCAAATTTACAATTTTCATTCCAGGAATCAAAATGATAAATAATTCATGATAATCTGTAATTTTCACCATCCGTGGAGACAAACTACCTGAATTTCCTGCCGCTACAAAAAGTACCTTTGAATGGTGGCGTATTTATGATTTTTTGTGGAAATTTTTCTATTCCTTGTATTTACATGAGACCAACGCCATTCGATAGGAAATTTCATTGGCTTTCAAAAACTTCCAAAGTCAAATAAAATATGGCCATATTTGGAGCCAAAATTTTTGATTTTTGGAATAAAGGTAAAAACATGTGTTATTTTTATTTGTTTTTTGGTTCTAGTTCTTCTGGAAAACTTTTAAGAGAAAAATGTTTCAAACAAAAGTCATAGAAAATTTAATTCTACAAACATTTTGTATTTACAATTTTCTTCTACATCCAAAGCGGCAAAAGTTATTTAAACGGAAAGGTTAAAAAATGTGACAAAATATTGACTCTTTTCAAACAATGTGCATTTTTGACGCCAAAAGTGGTCCAATTTAAGTAATCTTAGTAAGCTTATAAAATTTCCTATCAATTGACGTTAATCTCTTGTAGGTTCATGTAAAATAAAGATTAGAAAAAAAATACGCCACCTTTCAAAGGTACTTTTTTAAAAATTGGGAAATATGTCTCGGTGCTGAAAATTTCAGACTGGCATGAATTTTTTCCAGGTTGAAACCGTATCTGCTGGACTTTAAATGCAATTTTCAAAATCAATTTAAATTTGATTTGTGAACAATAGTTTCTGAGTTTTTGTGGAATAAATTAAAGCAAATTCATATATCCTCTTGCAATTTTTTATTCATTTTATGTAAATCTTTTCAGGTGTCGGAACGAAAATTGACCCGACGCTGTGCCGCGCTGACCGTCTGGTGGGGCAAGTTTTGGGCGCCGTGGGCACTCTGCCCAACATCTACATTGAAATCGAAATCGCCTACTTCCTGCTCCGGAGACTGCTCGGTGTCCAAATCGACGGAGACAAGAAGGCGGCCAGGGTGCGTTTGAATAAATTTCTCATGAAATCAGCAAAATATTCCATTTTTTTAATTGCTGAACTAGCTTCATTAATTTCTAGATAATTTGAGTTTTTTTTGTTATAAATTTCTAATTCCGAAAATTTGACTTTTAGGTGCAAAAGCTGGAGAAGAAGGAAGCGTTGCTGCTGAACATTGGCTCCATGTCGACCGGAGGTGTGGTCATGCAGGCCAAGGCGGACGTGGCCGTCGTCCGTCTTCAGCTGCCCGTCTGCACCGAGCTCGGAGAGAAGGTGGCCTTGAGCAGGAGAATCGAGAAGCATTGGCGGTTTGTTGAAGAAGAAAAATTATAAAAATATCAATCATTTAAAAAATCTTTGCTTTAGGTTGATCGGATGGGGACAAATCAGGCGTGGCAAAATGATCGAGCCGCAGGGAGGTCGCTGAACATGAACGATTCATCATTTGAAAATGTAACCCTCGACAAGGGCGACAAACAGTTTATAATAAATAAAAACCACTGGAGACGGATTAATTAAAAGGCTGTAATTATTTTCAAATCGTTAAGAAAAAATGAGATAAGTGGAAATTTCAAAATTGGCGCTTCGATGAAGTAAGTGGGCGTGTCTTGTGTCTTGTTCGACCAATCAAAAAGACTTGAACACACGTGGGAATGTTGACTTGATGTTGACAACTTTCGAGCTGAACATGTGAATTTTGATACCGTTTGAAAAAGAGTTTCTAAATAGAAATTTGAGTAATTTCGGCCTTCTTTCTTAATCGCATCGGTTTCCTTTGTTGATGTTTAGGTCGTGAGATTATTAGTATGAAAAACGGACACGTAGAAATGTCCCCAAAAATGTCCAAAACCAAGAGCAGAGTGGTTGTTCTGAAGCACCGGTCGCCTCAGCAAATGGGAAGACTTCTCAGGTCTGGAAAATTTTTCTCAAAACTTATTTCAATTGATCGAATTATTCTAGTGGTTTGCCGAGAAAAAGACAGGGCAGCTCTTCTAATGGATTCACCGTGACCGAAGTCGAGGAAAGTAATCCCGATTCTGGCTTGCCAAAGAGGAGCAAAGAAGAAATTACCAACGGAGATGAGGTGAATTTTAATATAAAATTAAAAATTTTTTTTATAAAAATTAAAAACGGGTTTTTCTTGCAGCACCGATTTTCAGAGTTCAAGAGCACGTCGGTGTCGGACGCGGTGGTTTTCCGGCAGGTGGAGCCGGAGGTGTTCGAGGTGCAGTTCGTGCGGCGCCACCACCTGCACTTCCTCGGCAGGGTCAAGGCCGTCCTTGTGCAAGGGTCGGTCTCCGTGCTGGGGTACGCGTTGGAGGCTGACTTGGCGGTTTGCGTCTTTTCGAGCAGGGGCGCCTCCCTGATGGCCTTGGAAGGTGAGCCGGGCGCCGTCCTGCGCCTCTGCAGGTTCGAGTCGCACCTGGACGAGTGCCTCTGCCGGCTGCAGCCCATCGGCCTCTTCAGCGGCCACAAGGAGAAGCCCGGCGGACACAAACCGGCCGCCACGGCCCGACTGCTGGCCGAGCGCAGCCTCGAGTGCAAATTCCTCTCGCCGGACACGGGCGAAAAACTCCTCAAACTCGATCCCGCCTGGCAGATGCACATCGACCACCTTGTATCCTTCAGCAAATTCCCAGGTTTGAGTCAATCCCATTTTTTTTACTTACACTTCATGGTGACCTTGACCTTTCCGGCCAGCAATCGATTCCTTAAGTAATATGACCTTTCTAACAATGTGTCACACTTGAAAATTAAAATCCAATTTAAATTTTATGAAGGGGGAACGTGTCTGTCCAATGTGATTTTTCGGTTTCTTTAACTGTCGTTTTCTTTACTCATCGTCATGTGGTGACCTTGACTTTTATGTACACCAATCATTTAAATGTGAATTGATCTTTTAATTTAAAAGAAAATAATAATTTAAATAGATTTACCGAGATTTACTAAATTTTTTCTTGAGAAAATTCTAATTTTTTTCACTCTTTTGATTAAAAAAATTTCATTGATGAACGTTTTATCAAATTTTCTATTTTTCAGGGTTCCGAACCGTCTTGACCGGCGGCAAAGGCATCGGCAAGTCAACTTTACTCCGCGTTTTGAGCAACCAAATTTTGAGCCAGCAGAAGAGTGGCTTGTTCGTGCTTGACCTGGACCCAGGGCAGTCCGAGTTCACCGCGCCAGGGTGTGTGTCCCTGGTCGAGGTCACCGAACCCCTGCTCGGTCCCTCCTACACCAACCAGAAACCTCCCCTCAGGTTTGAAAAGAAGGATATTTCTTTTTCTTTTAAAGGTGACTTTTTGTTGTGACAACAGGAGTGTCTTCCTCGGACAAGTGGACGTGACCAGGTGTCTGAATGAGTACCACGAGGCTGTCCAAGACCTTGTAAAGTTTTTCTCCAAACTAGGCCAAAGCAAACCTCTCATTGTCAACACGATGGGCTTCAACTCTGGTTGGTATCAAAATGATTCATATTAAAAATTTATAGAAAAAAATCAAAAAGTTGTTCAACTAAAATTAAATTTTTTAATAATAAATGATAAGGTTTTTTTAAGTAATTAATTTAAAAACAATTTTTTTTTTATAAATTTAACTAATTTTGAATTTGTCAGGAATTGGAGTTGACATCATGTCGATGATCTTGAAGCTGCTGATGGAAGACGTTCCTGTCAATGTAGTCAACCTGAAAAGCAGGGCGGCCAAAAGGAACTTCCCTGACGCCACCTTCGACCTGGGCAGCAAGTGCAGGGTCGTCGTACTGCCCTCAGTGGCGGAAAAGTCGGCCGGTTTTGGCTCCGAGTCCTATTGGTGTGGATTTGCGGAAAAATCTGTTGTTTTTAGAATATTTATTGATATTGTGTTTTTCATTCACAGGGGAATGCCCGCGGTTGTTCAGAGGGAAATCTGTCTGCTTTCTTACCTGAGCCCCCTGACGAGGCCACCAAACTATTCCATCCTCCGAACGCCACCATATGTGTAAGACTTTAAAATGGTCAAGAAGTAAAATTATTTTTCTTTGGCTAGTTTAACGTTCAATTGAAATTTCTTATGCTCATCATGGTTAATTATTTAATTTCGTCATGAAAAATTTGGATTTGTGCAATTTTTACTATAATTTTTGTAGCTTGAAAATGAGCAAATTTATACATAGCATAACACAAATTGCTCCTTATGTCGGACTTGATCCCCATGTGTTATCATTTCCATTAGGGGTTTCAACTTTTACAAATATCAAAACTTAATAGAGAATATGTTTATTAAAGGATTCCAAAAGTTTTTAAATACTCGTATTTTGACCAAAATTGGCAAAGTTTCCTGAAATAAAAATATGGCCGCCATATAAAATTTTTGGAACCAAATTAATCAGTCAATTAATATTTCAAACGCCACTGAAATTGTTATGAAAATCGAAAACTGGATCTGAAATCTGAATTCAAATTTGGTTTCAAATTTTATTTTAGAGGTATTTCCCCCTCCCCCCTCTTTAGAAAAACTGATATTTTTTCTAGGAAAACCTAATTTTTGTTCTGCAGAATCCGCATCGGGCACCTGGTGCTGGGGGTGGTTCACGAGTTCGTTCACCCCAACCTGATCCTGAAGGCGCTGGTGGGCAACCTGGTGGCGCTGTGCAGAATCGACGAAGCCTCTGCCCGAATCCTGAGGCCGAGAAACGCGAGTCCGATGACCTCGCCCGGGGTCGTGGCCAAGCCGGTCCCAGCGCTGCCCTGCTTTGGCTACGGCAAGTGACCTCGGTGACCTTTTGTGCCCCTTTTGACCTTCCTTTTGCAGGGGTGGTGAGCGGAGTCGACCTGAGCGCAGGGCAGCTGTACCTGCAGAGTCCTGAGGCGGCCGAGCGTGTGGCCGAGACTAACTGCCTGCTGCTGGGGGCGGTTCAGCTGCCCCCCGTCCTGCGCACCGCGGGGGCCGCCGGGCCCGTTCCTTTCCTCTGCACAGAGGCCGCCTCCGAGACGAGCAATCCCGTCAGACTCACCTTCAGACCTATCGCCTCCCTCATTGTCAAGAAGTGAAATTTACCTCAAAGATAAGTGAAATTTTCTGTAAACTAGGCAATTTACAGATAACGAAGATTAAAAATATTAAATATAAAACATTTTTAGTAAAAATTTCTTTTCAAAAGAATAGTACGTTTATTAAATTTAAATAGTGTACAAACGGTTTAACCTAGCTAGAGAGAACAATTGTTGTATTTAATTTCTATAATTTCCATCAAAAATTCTAAACACATATATATATCTTGCTAGTTACGATTCCAATTTTTGCGGCACATAAAGCCGAGTTTGCATTATTAGCCTAATTGAAAGGTGCTTTGTTTTGAGGACAGCCACCTTTGCAGTCCCTGGAAGCCCCAGGGTGCTCGTGTAAGGTGTGAGAATAGAGAAAGAAGGTTCCGGAACCAAACCAGCTTTACGTTGTTGCCATAGTGGACTGCAAAGTGCAATGCATTCCATCCGTCCTTGTCGAAAACGTCCTTTTTTTAACGAGCCACTCGCAAATCCTTCTGTTTCCTCCCCATGCAGCCAATTGAAGGGCGTTAATTTTATTAATTGTTTGCTTATGAATCAAATTCTCGTTTTGTTGCTGCAGATATTTGACCAGTTATATTTTACTGAAAAATAAGTGTAGAATAAAAAAATTGGATGGAATGAAAACTTTTTTAAATATCGCAGTATTAAAGTACAATAAATTTATGAAAATTTATCTCGCAGGCTAAATTTTTTCATCGTAAAACTTTAAATATGATATTTTGAACAAAACATTAAATTTACAAGGAAATAGTCACTAGGTATGTTTAAGTAAAAATTATAATTGTCTCAAAGTGAGGAAACCCATGACAAGCATAATCTTGTTAACAGAAGCAGCTCTCGCTGAATAAAGTGATTTAATTTCACTCACTATGATATCTGGTACCTAAAGCAAAATGAATTCATTGACTCATTAATAATTTTCAATCAAATCTAAAATTCTACATTCAAGTGAGTTAAATAAGAAATCCTTCACCATTGTGGAAAATTTACAGATGAAAATTTTTGTATTTCCTCCTGTAAAAAATTATTCTTCAGACGACGAAGTTGTCAATTAGAGAAATGAACCCCAAATATAAATTATAAACTTAATAGAGCGATAAAATGCAAACCAGGAAGGAGGGTGAATTTTTTAAACAAATCCGCTCCAAACTGGATAGAATTATTATTATTTTTGAAGTTTTGGTTTGGAATGGTATCGGCCAGGTTCTTGGAGATTTTCCTTATTGCCATTGTTGCCTCCAACAATAGAGGTATTATTTGCTTTAATGATAATTATTAAGACTAGAAAGATAATTTCGATGAAGCCAGCCAGACTGATTTTCCCTGGACGAAACAAGTTGCTACAAACAATGCAGAAGAAGTAACTTAACTTTTTATTTTTTTAATTTTTTTTAATTATCTCTGTTGATTTGCCCAAAGGAGGTTCATTATTGCAAGGAATGTTCGAGAGGTGAGGCCGAGTATTGCGGCTGCGACTTGGGCAGGAATTGCATCGCTTGCCAGTTTTTGCCCCAAACACCTTCAAAATTAAAAATAACATCGAGTGAAATTAAATCCAAGAATGAACATCTCAAGGACTGCAATCGAGGATTATAATGGTGACCATTAATTGTGAATTTGTTTGAAGAAGTTGACACTCGAGGAGATGATCATGGAAATGAAGAGATCGGGCTTTTCCTCGTTGCAGAAAAATTGTTTTTATTCAAAAACAAATGGCTCTACCAGTTTCGGTCACGGTCTGCGACCCTATTTCATGAGCAAGAAAAAATACAAAAAATCAGCAAATTGAAAAAACACCACATTTTAAATAAAAAATTAAATTCTTAAAAACTAACAAATTCAGGTACCAACCTATTTCATGAGCAAACGCGCTGCTCGCTGACTAATACAAGAATGAGCTAGCTAAAGACAGATTGATTGGGGGAGGTGATCTTTATTGGGTGATTAGCGCGCGGCGCGGCCGACCACGGGGGCGCCGAATGACGTCGGGCACATTATGCGTTTTCGAGAAAAAGCTGTTTGCTTCCTCTCTCAAAAAGGACATCCACCTTTGATCGAATTGGTGGCTCGGTTGGCTTATTACATTATTACCGCATGCCATTGCCATTGCTTCCAGCACTTTTCTTTTTGATTGATTTTGTTCGAATTTAATAACCGTTGCATCTGACCAGGCAAAAGAATGGCCAAATTCAGTCGCGTGTTGAGCTATTTGAAAACCATTGCTGTCCGTCCCAATTGTGGCCGGATCAAAAGTTTTTGAAATTGCCCTTTTATGCTCGTCAAATCGGAAATAAACGTGTCTTTTTGTCTCCTTAATGTAAACTGAAGAGCAATCGGCGCATGGCACGCGGTATACACAATTACGCAGAGCAGGTTCACATTTGGGCTTTACATGCATTAAACATTTTCGCAGATTTGAAGAGTTTGCGAATGCAACTCGCACTCTGGCAACTTCTTGGCTGATGGCCCTGATTTTCTCTGATTTTCCTTTAAAATAAGGAATGACCATTGTGGTTGAAAATTGATCGGGGGCTTTGGGTGTTGGAGGATTTTTCGCTTTATTGTGTGCTTTGTTGATAAAATTTACGGGGTAACAATTTCTTGCTCATGAAATAGGGTCGCAGACCGTGACCGAAACTGGTAGAGCCATTTGTTTTTGAATAAAAACAATTTTTCTGCAACGAGGAAAAGCCCGATCTCTTCATTTCCATTAATTGTGAAAACTGTTTTTTACGAGTGAGTTTCATTTTGATTAAATGTTCTTCAGGGCAAATCTTGAAAAATTTGGTTTCCGCATTTTAACGTGTTTCTCTTTTCTTGAATTAAAATTTTCTTTAATTTTGTCAAGGTGCACGCAAAAATGCAATAAATTTTCTGCAGATAAAGCCACCAAGCAATTATCACTTTGCGCCCGCGGAATTGTTTTCTTTTTTTTTTAACTGTCTCACTCTTATTTTATGTTCTTCCGGCAAAGCAAGATAAGTTTTATTTATGAATTTTAAAACGTTGTATCGTTTTCCCCAAATAAAATTTTCTTTATTAACGTAAACAAGAATGTCAAGAAAAAAACTGTCTCACTCCTTATCAAGTTAATTGCACAGCCCGGGAGCGTGGAAAACTATAAAAGATCACAATTATTATTTTGCAATAACACACGGCGAGCAAAAGTGCAGAAAGCGCAAATCATTAAATTTGTGCTCGTAAATAAATTCGGTAGAAATATTTGGTACAAATAATTAATTTTTATTGAATATAATATTGACTAATGAGATGTTCATTTTTTTACATGTGCATTTCCAAATCAAGAATGAAAAATTATCCCAAACCAAAAGAGTAAAAAATCCCAATACATTATATATTATAATTATTATTGGTGTTTATTCACTTTTCATTATTTGCTTTATTATTTTTGCAGATGACATAAAAATCTCTAACTAGTCATTTTTCATTTTTATACAAGCGTGTGTTACAAACATATTATTGTTATTAAATTTAAATTATTCTATTTTTATGGAGAAATAAACTAAATTCTAAATATTAAGCTATGAAATTCATATTCTGCTTCTTAATGAAATTTAAAATGAAATATATTATTTTAAAGAATGTCAGACTGATGTTTTCATTTCCAATAGGTTTCGGTCAATTTTCGTCTTGAGGTCTTGACCAAATTTTTTTGGTCAACAATAATCTCTTCTTGCGTCCACGTCCACAAAGTTGCTTCTTCTCAAAAAGTTGACAATTTCATTATTAAAGTCACTCTTTCTTAACATTAAATTTTTTAATTTAAAACTCATTTGAGTACAACAAAATGTTAAAATAACTGCAAAACGAGACCTAAATTCTCCCACTCAAGAAGAAAAATATGGGGAAAAAATATAGTTAAATAATTTGTTCTAAATGGAAATGTATAGGGACAACTTTTCCCAGGTTATGATTTTTTTTTCTTTTTAAATTGCATGGTTTGTGAAATTAGCCTTTAGAAAAAACGATTTAGTTTTTTTTCTTAAAAAAAAAAGAGATATGGAAACACCAGGGAAAACGAACAAACGAACTTCCCTGTTGCACTCGGAACGACAAAAGTTAATTGCAGCATTTAAATCACACCGAAGGCGAGGGAAAAATGAAATTTATTATACACGCCCGTCGGAAAACATAAAGTGTTCTAAACTAAAGCAGAAATTTCTTATCAGCAAAGCCTACGAAGGGTATAAAACGGAAAAGCGGGCAAAGGTGTTGGTTCAGAAGTCGCGAACAGTCCAGAATCGTCGTCAATAATTTATTCAAGAATAAAAACTGCACGCAAGAATAAGATGATGTCGCTGGTGCTGATTCTACTCGCCTCCCTTTTCCTAAGTAACTCGTTTCTCATATTTTCCATGTTTAGAATTCTTGTTTTTACATTTTCCTGTCTTCTTTGTAAATCACTTTGATATTTGGAATATCTAAATGAATAATTTGTCCATAATGTTCTCTGACGATTGTAAATTGAGGATAAAAATTTTTTTGGGTAGCAACTTTGGCAACTTTTGGGCCGACCGTGGACGCCGACTGGGCCGGCCAGTTTCCCTACATCGTAAGTCCATACAGATGATTTTACAATTGATTTCAAGTCACTTTTGTCCATATATCCTGAAAATAAGGCGAAGCTCGAAACTCCTTCGGATCCGATCGACATCACCACTCCCGCGCTGGTCGTGAGCCAAAAAATGGTGGTCGCTTCCTCTGAGCTCTTCCAGTCAGTTGAAATCTCAAAAAGAACCGGAAAAAGTCCACAATATTTTCAATTTTGTGCAGCTCGAATTCGCCTGCCTCGTACACGATGACTGACCACAATCTGGAGGTTCACCAGGTGGCAAGATTGGTGTGGATCGACGACAAGTTCGTCGTTGTGAAAACTTGCAAACCTTTTGGATCTGGACGCTTCAATCTGACCCTGAGCGAATTCTTTGATTATCAGGCCGATGACCCAGACGCCGCCATTATCTTCTTCCAGGCCGACGTGAGTGTTTCATTTCTCACTTTTCTCCAAAGCTATAATGTCAATTCAAAATGGAAGTTATTAGGGAGGGCTTTTTTTCAATATTTGTTGCTGAAATTAACCTGTGTTAACTAGCAAAATGACAAAACAGATGAATATTAATTTACCGAAACTTTTTAATTTTTTTATATAAACTTTAAACTATATTTAATATAGTTAATATCTAAAATTGCATTTGAATTTCTTCAAAAGAATACGTTTCGTTCATAGTTTTGGAATTAACATTAACTATTTCATGCTCAGAGTTTGAAGTCCAAGTCGACGACGGTGCTGTCGGACGCGACCTGCGATTCAACCTTCGGATCTGGTTACAGTGGATTTAACACTTGCATCGCTCAAGACACGACTGCCAATATTTGTGCGGTATGCAAATCGTTGCAAATAATTATATCTTTATTTAATTAAACATTGGAAAATAGTTCCATCCCATCCCTTTTAATTTCATTTCCATGCAAAAAAAATAAATTGAAAATGAGAATTGTGTTCGCACGCAGACGTACTACACCGACAGCCTTATTGTCCCGACCTTCGTGCACAAGCTGTTGTTGGTGGTCCAGGGCCGGGTGCAGGCAACATTGAGGAACGCGAGCTGCGACGCATCAAACTCCAACTTTAGGCAAACCCAATTCCGCAAGATCGACAAGTTCCGCACGAATATTCTCAGAATCGCAGGCATTGTCGTTGACAATCCTTGACCAAAAACTTTCAATTCTCCTCTCCGCTCTGCTTTGCGTTTTAATTTGACGAATAAAAAAGCAACTGCTGTTTTGTTGTAAGTTCGCCACTTTTAAAAATTTTATGTTGCGCACGAAGATGAGGCAAATTTACTTGAACCGATATTTGGTCTGTGGACAATAAAATCTCGTTTTTTTTCAATTTGAAGAAGTTTTGAATTATTTAATTTAATTTCTCATGACTATGTGATTTTCGTGATTTTCAATGATTTTGTTTTGTTTGGTGTGGCAGTAAAAATTAATAAAAATGGAAATTAGATGATTTTGAAAAAAAAAAAATGTTAACCACATTGAAATAAAATATTTTAGAGGGAAGGCTGCTGATTGATATTTAAGCCAAGTGGAAAATTACAAAATGAATTTTTGAGTGTGCGAAAAGAAACAAGCGAGAACTATCAGAAATATTATAAAGGAATAAATAAAAAATGTAGAGAAATTGCAATTAGGACAAACCTCGTGGGGGCTGGGGAGTCCTCTCTTTCCTCACCCAATATTTTTATTAAATTTATTTGTATTGAAAAAAATTTATTGTTAAGCTATTTAATACTCCGCAATTCATCGCGAGAGAAAAAAGTCGCTGGTGATGCACAGTGCATGACTCATTCCGCTTTGATAACTAATTTTCGTGCAATGTTGTTCCAGATTTTTCTCTTATCAGTCTCGTCTGATATTTCGCACGGCCACTGTTAAAATTTGTGCAGAACATAAAATAAATGTATTTATAAAACCCCAAAGTTGTATTGAAAATTTCTTTCTTTATTAATTTAAAAGTTTCTCTCTTGGTCTCTCATTCTGATGCGAGCAACCTGCTTGACTTTCATGCCCTGCCGGTTGCATACATTCACATTTTGTACCTTTGAAATAAAAAAATTTTGCTCTCCTTTTCATCACGTAGGTTCTATTATTATATTTTTTCTTATTGTGAATAAATAATTCTTGGAAAATAAAAAGGCAAATTCTTCTTTCAAAATTATTTATGATTCAAACCTAAGAGCTGAGAACAAGGTTTTTCAAACATCGAACCAAAACTCCTGTAAAAAAGAGTAAAAAAAGACAAATTTTACAAACTGAATCAAATTTTTCAATGAATCAGACACATCATTTTAGGAACAGCTCCTTCGTAGTCTTCATAAGCTTCATATTGCCTGAGTAAGAATGTTTGGGTAGCACTTGTTGAACAGTTGGTACCTTGTTATGCACGAAATGCTCGATACTGTTGGCGAAAAACGCATTAAAACTTGCATATGTGGATAACACTTAATTGGTACCTGTGTTCGGGCAGCTCTGCAAGATTTGATTGATTTAGTTAAATTTGGGGAAATTATTATGAATAATTGCAAATTACGTGGATCGTTCTGAGGAGGACGCACTGCACCACGACGAACGCATTTCCAGGGCAATTTTGATTTTGCCAGATGAAGTCGGGAATGTCAAGTGCTGAAGTTCAAGATTAATAAAACAGGCCCATTGGTGTTTTGTCTTGTTTTACCTCCGACAGTGGAAATGCATTCGGACGCTGCGGCTGAAATAGTCTTTTTCCAAAAGCTGCACGTTTGTCTGGCGGTCAGAAATTTGGCCAGCTTGGTCTCGTCGATTACGTATTGCGCAGACATCTGCAATTCATTAGGCAATTTTTTTTGTTTTAAATAGACACAAGTGGCAAGGATCCTCTGATTTTGAAGAATCTGTTAAATATTCTAATTTCGGAAAAACACTTTTTGGAAAAATTCAGACTCAGAGACCCTGTAAAAAAGAAAATTTTGAAAAATACTCAAATCCTTTGGTTCTATTTTATCTTACACGTTAAATTTAAACATTTTCATCAAAAATTGGGGGACCCAACCCATGTCAAGATTTGAAAGGAAAAAACTTTCTTACGATCTTCTTTTTCATCAAGTAACAATTGACAAAGCACTGAAAAGTTTCATTTGATTAGTTTTTGTATCAATTTTATTTGAAATGACGCACGGCGTCTTTGCCAAAGGCCAGTTTGACCTGTTGACTTTGGAAGCGGATCGAGTTGGCCGGAGAATTGAGGAGAAGTTGCTGCTTGTTCAGCGAGAAGACGTTGAACGCGTTCAAAGCTCCGTTGGTCGAGCTGCACGAGGTCTTAGAGTTTTTGCTGGAAACCAGACTTTTAGGCCCGTTCTTGCAACACTTGAACATTTTCTGCGAGTGCGTTTGTTTTTTAATTTGTAGAGGTCAATTTTTTTCAATATTCTCACTTTACCTTGTAACTGGGAAACGAACAGTTTCCAGGTTGCGACACTGGAGGAGCTGCATTGCATAAATTGATAAAATGTCCATAAACTTTCCATGTAATTTTTCCAGGAAAATAAATATTCATAAAAAAATTTATCTTTCCTATAATTTTAGGATTTTAGCCTCACATCCTATTATATTGAATTGCATTTTTTGTGTCAAAAAAAAAACTCAAATAAATGAAAATATCAAATGTGCTATACATAACTATGTATTAAGAACCAATTTGATATATTGCCGAAAAAAAATAATAATAATATTTATTGAGAAAATAATGCCATTCTGAAAATCATCCTTCAGAAGCCAAATTTATTTGTATTTACATTAAAATTTCAAAACGTTTTCCGGAAAATTTTTTCAGATTAAAAAGTTGCAATAGGAAGTGAAGCGAGCTGATCAAAATTCCCTCACAGTTATTTAAGATAATTACGTTTAAGAGCAATAAATAGGAGCTAATATTAATTTCAAGCAAACATTTGCACCTGTATGAACACAGACTAATGTCATACTTGCTTAAATGAAGGTATTGTTCATTAAAATATAATAATTGAACGCACTACCTGTAGTTGTTGATGGCTGCGTTGCTGTAAAAGGCTCTGTGGTGGTACTTGTAAGTGGCTCGGTAGTGGTACTTGTAAATGTTTCTGTGGTGGTACTTGTAAATATTTCTGTGGTTGTACTTGTAAATGGCTCGGTAGTGGTACTTGTAAATGGCTCAGTGGTTGTACTTGTAATTTGCTCAGTGGTGGTACTTGTAATTGGCTCAGTGGTGGTACTTGTAAGTGGCTCAGTGGTGGTACTTGTAATTGGTTCAGTGGTGGTACTTGTAAATATTTCTGTGGTTGTACTTGTAAATGGCTCGGTAGTGGTACTAGTAATTGGCTCAGTGGTGGTACTTGTAATTGGCTCAGTGGTGGTACTTGTAAGTGGCTCAGTGGTGGTACTTGTAAATGGCTCAGTGGTGGTACTTGTAATTGGCTCAGTGGTGGTACTTGTAAGTGGCTCAGTGGTGGTACTTGTAATTGGTTCAGTGGTGGTACTTGTAAATATTTCTGTGGTTGTACTTGTAAATGGCTCGGTAGTGGTACTTGTTGTAAATGGCTCAGTGGTTGTACTTGTAATTGGCTCAGTGGTGGTACTTGTAAGTGGCTCAGTGGTGGTACTTGTAATTGGTTCAGTGGTGGTACTTGTAAATATTTCTGTGGTTGTACTTGTAAATGGCTCAGTGGTGGTACTTGTAATTGGCTCAGTGGTGGTACTTGTAAGTGGCTCAGTGGTGGTACTTGTAATTGGTTCAGTGGTGGTACTTGTAAATATTTCTGTGGTTGTACTTGTAAATGGCTCAGTGGTGGTACTTGTAATTTGCTCAGTGGTGGTACTTGTAATTGGCTCAGTGGTGGTACTTGTAAGTGGCTCAGTGGTGGTACTTGTAATTGGTTCAGTGGTGGTACTTGTAAATATTTCTGTGGTTGTACTTGTAATTGGCTCGGTAGTGGTACTTGTAAATGGCTCAGTGGTTGTACTTGTAATTTGCTCAGTGGTGGTACTTGTAATTGGCTCAGTGGTGGTACTTGTAAGTGGCTCAGTGGTGGTACTTGTAATTGGTTCAGTGGTGGTACTTGTAAATATTTCTGTGGTTGTACTTGTAAATGGCTCGGTAGTGGTACTAGTAATTGGCTCAGTGGTGGTACTTGTAATTGGCTCAGTGGTGGTACTTGTAAGTGGCTCAGTGGTGGTACTTGTAAATGGCTCAGTGGTGGTACTTGTAATTGGCTCAGTGGTGGTACTTGTAAGTGGCTCAGTGGTGGTACTTGTAATTGGTTCAGTGGTGGTACTTGTAAATATTTCTGTGGTTGTACTTGTAAATGGCTCGGTAGTGGTACTTGTTGTAAATGGCTCAGTGGTTGTACTTGTAATTGGCTCAGTGGTGGTACTTGTAAGTGGCTCAGTGGTGGTACTTGTAATTGGTTCAGTGGTGGTACTTGTAAATATTTCTGTGGTTGTACTTGTAAATGGCTCAGTGGTGGTACTTGTAATTGGCTCAGTGGTGGTACTTGTAAGTGGCTCAGTGGTGGTACTTGTAATTGGTTCAGTGGTGGTACTTGTAAATATTTCTGTGGTTGTACTTGTAAATGGCTCAGTGGTGGTACTTGTAATTTGCTCAGTGGTGGTACTTGTAATTGGCTCAGTGGTGGTACTTGTAATTGGCTCAGTGGTGGTACTTGTAATTGGCTCAGTGGTGGTACTTGTAATTGGCTCAGTGGTGGTACTTGTAATTGGCTCAGTGGTGGTACTTGTAATTGGCTCAGTGGTGGTACTTGTAATTGGCTCAGTGGTGGTACTTGTAAGTGGCTCAGTGGTGGTACTTGTAATTGGCTCAGTGGTGGTACTTGTAATTGGCTCAGTGGTGGTACTTGTAAATGGCTCAGTGGTGGTACTTGTAATTGGCTCAGTGGTGGTACTTGTAAGTGGCTCAGTGGTGGTACTTGTAATTGGTTCAGTGGTGGTACTTGTAAATATTTCTGTGGTTGTACTTGTAAATGGCTCAGTGGTGGTACTTGTAATTTGCTCAGTGGTGGTACTTGTAATTGGCTCAGTGGTGGTACTTGTAATTGGCTCAGTGGTGGTACTTGTAATTGGCTCAGTGGTGGTACTTGTAATTGGCTCAGTGGTGGTACTTGTAATTGGCTCAGTGGTGGTACTTGTAATTGGCTCAGTGGTGGTACTTGTAATTGGCTCAGTGGTGGTACTTGTAAGTGGCTCAGTGGTGGTACTTGTAATTGGCTCAGTGGTGGTACTTGTAATTGGCTCAGTGGTGGTACTTGTAAATATTTCTGTGGTTGTACTTGTAATTGGCTCGGTAGTGGTACTTGTAAGTGGCTCGGTAGTGGTACTTGTAAATGGCTCAGTGGTTGTACTTGTAATTTGCTCAGTGGTGGTACTTGTAATTGGCTCTGTTGTTGTTGTTGAGGGTATCGTGGTCGTAGTTGTTGGTGTGGTGGTCGTAGTTGTTGGTGTAGTGGTCGTAGTTGTTGGTGTAGTGGTCGTAGTTGTTGGTGTGGTGGTCGTAGTTGTTGGTGTGGCGGTCGTAGTTGTTGGTGTGGTGGTCGTAGTTGTTGGTGTGGTGGTCGTAGTTGTCGGTGTAGTGGTCGTAGTTGTTGGTGTAGTAGTCGTAGTTGTTGGTGTAGTGGTCGTAGTTGTTGGTGTGGTGGTAGTAGTTGTTGGTGTAGTGGTCGTAGTGGTTGAGGTTGTTGTTGTGGCTGCGTAATTGAATATTTAATTCTATTTTTCAAATTATTCAATTCATTATTATTTATATATTTCAGCGGGTGGACAAAATCCTGACTCCGTCAATACGGTTTTGATTAAAAATTTAATCTACATGGGTTAATCAAAACTCAGACATGACGTGTCGCTCCCGCGCATTCGCTCCGCTTGCGCTTGAAATTTTGACATTTTAATTCGTTTTCTGAGCATTGGATTCCTCACTCAGTTTTGGAATCCTCGTTAAAATTTCTTTTGGGAATTTAAAACGGAAACTGGAATACACTTAACAACGCAAACACGACACAACACGCTCACACTTATAAATAATAACTTTCAAAAACATTTGACAAAATTACAAGAATTACCTAAAAAACTTGTTACATTACGTGTTAAAAATCATAGAACGCGCAACTGAGAGTATATAGTTGATTAATTTCAGAGAACCTGATTTATTTTTACGTGCGATAAAATTATCATAAAAGGAGCGGGTAGCGGAGCGGAAGAGCGTGAAAGCGGAGCGAAAAAATTTGAAAACTGAAAGAGCGGAGCGATGAGTTTGCTAATGAGAGGGAGCGGAGCGGGGAGCGCAAAACGTGGAAGCGCGTCATGTTTGTTAAAACTACACGTACTTGGAATTTTTGATGCAATCCACGCTGTAAAAGCAGCAACGCGCGTGAAGCTCGTCGCTTTTGCCAAGCATTGGTTTGAGATATCGGAGACAATTCCAATTTGTATCCAATTGTTGCTTCCATCAAGGTACACCAGTGGATCACCATAATCTCGTGTCTAAATCAAATTTATGAATTTCTTTAAAAATTTCTTATTGTCGATCGATTCCCCCCTCCTTATTTACAACAAGCGTTTTTAAGCTAAAGGAATATAAAATTGTACCAATCTCAACAATTGAAAATAAAAACTGGGCGTGTATTGGGAAATAAATCTGCTGGAATTTCATCTCACCCCGCAAGGCGCTTTCGCGCCGTTGGGATCTTTGGCGCAAAGGTTGGAGCTTGTGTAAGACCCAGATCCGAAGGCTGACGTGCACAGTGTCCCGTCGTTCACAGTCAGGTCGATAAACCTCAGAGTCGTTGAGCTTGATGACCCTCCTGCAAAAAGTTATATGAGTCTTATAAAGAAAATGAATTAGTGACCACAAGAAATTTCCCTCGAATTTAATATGGGATTGAGGAAAATCTAGAATCATTTTTCTTATGATAAAAAAAAATCATAATAACCGGTGTCGGCGATTTTCCCGAATCCCATGACGGTCGCCACTTGGCCGTTGAAATTGTTGGTGGCGTCGAGGGCGAGCGTCACCGGCTGGATGTTTGCTGTGGGGAATTTTATTCACTATATTATAGATTGAAAATAGTTGAAAACTCTCACCTGTCGTGGCGACTGCGGGGATTTGCAACAGGGCAATGTTGTTTTGTTGCGAACTCGTGGTGTACAGCTCGTGGACAAAGATGGCGGTGGGCACCACCACGACGTGCCCTGACGAGAACGGCGTTTGACTCGCCAAATTTCCCAAATATATTTGGTAGCTATTGAGCTGTGTCCTGTGTAGCAACAAAATTTTCAACTTGAACCGAACAAAATTTAACCCTGGCTTTAAAACTGTTTGGTTGGTGAAGAGAATCGTCCAAAAACCAAATTTCGTGGTTGAATACACTGAATTTGGCAAGAATATGATGGTTGAGATTTCGCGATTTTATGAAAAGTAGGTGATCATGTGATTATATTGTGAAACGAATAGTTTGTCTTTTTATATCCAAATGCTTACTCAAAAATCAAAATTTCATTGAATATATATAAATAATCAAGACATAATTTCTTATCGTCCGAATGCACATAAACTAGTCTCACCCCGCCAGGCCACGGGCCGACGTCATGACCCACTCGGTGGAGATCAACGAGCCACCGCACTGCGGGTTGCCGTTTTGATGAATGAGAGCGAAGAACGGAAACTGGGTGAGGATGGCGTTGGACCCGCCGATGATCCGACCAGCAATTCCGTCGCGATGCAGCACTGGAAACAATGAAGATTCAATAAAAATTCACACCAAAATTTTGTAAAAAAATGCACTTCTCTCCTCTTCCAAAGTTGGCCACGTGTCGTTAGCCATCGCTTGACTTTCGTTTCCATTTCCGGTTTGCCACAACGAAGAAGATTCGAAAGCAAATATCTAAATTGGATTGGAAATTAATTTATTTATTACACCCCGAGTTCGAACTGGAGAAAAAACGCAGATTATTCTGACGTTCAATTTTCCTGCATCAAGTTAAATTAATCAACTGGCGGTTGGGAGAAAATTTTGTTGATTGTAACCATAAAGCAAATTACCTTAGTCCAAAAACTAAATATTTGGCTTTAGTAACTTCATAAATTTTATCATTCTATTGTTCTCGAGACTTTTGGTTTGATAACTTCTGACACAACTAATATTTAAATATAATTTTATCAATAAATAACCAGAGAAACAAAACGTACGGATACGGAAGCCACAATTGATACTTAAATAAAAATCAGTACTTAAGTTTCTCATTAATAGAAATGTAGGAAAGAAACAAATTAGTGTAAGTAAAGGGTTTGATTATTTTCACCTGTATAGGAACGAGCAGGAGAAGAATCCCTTGACACCTCATCATGTCTTGAAGTGAAACGTACGTACGACCCAATATCGAGGTTAATTGCCAGCGACGAAAACTTGTACGTGGACTCTTGTGGTTCGGGCGTGCACCTTTGAATTTACGACTTTTCCATCGCTATGTTTTTCCAACCTGTTCCACATTTCAAAGGAAGTGTGATAATTTTTATCACAATTTGGTTTTTCAGTTTGTAGATAACACGCCATTTAACTTTCCTCTGCCGTGCTGGTATTTTTCCAGAGTTTTCGACAAAAAATTCAAAACATAAAAGACAAGTGTGGGTTGCTTGAATTAAAAATGCATGGTCCGCGGCGGGGGGAAATCGTCAAAAGGTTAAACAAAGACATTCACAGTTCATACCCGTGTGTGCGAGTTAATTTTAATTAGGCTTATCGTACTGACCCAGCAGTTTCGAGATATGGTTGCGACAATGCGCTGTGTAAGAGAAATAAATAAATTGGTGTTCTTTCCAGAGAGGTTCTGCCTGCATCATTGATGCAATGTCATTTTATTTTTTAGAAAAATTTTTCATAAAATTACAACCCTTCAGAATAATGGAGTGCTGGGTCTTTAAAAGGAAAATCAATTCTTTCGTGCAAAGTTATTTATGGTTCAAAACTTAAAAACCGAACCAAAGATTTACTTTTTCATACAGATTAAAAAAAACTCGCTATAAAAAAAAATACACAAATATATGAAACACAAAATTGTGGACTGAATCAAAATTTTCAATGTATCAGACCAGGCCTTCGTAATCATCATTCATATTGCCTGAGTAAGAATGTTTGGGTAGCACTTGTTGAACAGTTGGTACCTTGTTATGCACGAAATGCTCGATACTGTTGGCGAAAAACGCATTAAAACTTGCATATGTGGATAACACTTAATTGGTACCTGTGTTCGGGCAGCTCTGCAAGATTTGATTGATTTAGTTAAATTTGGGGAAATTATTATGAATAATTGCAAATTACGTGGATCGTTCTGAGGAGGACGCACTGCACCACGACGAACGCATTTCCAGGGCAATTTTGATTTTGCCAGATGAAGTCGGGAATGTCAAGTGCTGAAGTTCAAGATTAATAAAACAGGCCCATTGGTGTTTTGTCTTGTTTTACCTCCGACAGTGGAAATGCATTCGGACGCTGCGGCTGAAATAGTCTTTTTCCAAAAGCTGCACGTTTGTCTGGCGGTCAGAAATTTGGCCAGCTTGGTCTCGTCGATTACGTATTGCGCAGACATCTGCAATTCATTAGGCAATTTTTTTTGTTTTAAATAGACACAAGTGGCAAGGATCCTCTGATTTTGAAGAATCTGTTAAATATTCTAATTTCGGAAAAACACTTTTTGGAAAAATTCAGACTCAGAGACCCTGTAAAAAAGAAAATTTTGAAAAATACTCAAATCCTTTGGTTCTATTTTATCTTACACGTTAAATTTAAACATTTTCATCAAAAATTGGGGGACCCAACCCATGTCAAGATTTGAAAGGAAAAAACTTTCTTACGATCTTCTTTTTCATCAAGTAACAATTGACAAAGCACTGAAAAGTTTCATTTGATTAGTTTTTGTATCAATTTTATTTGAAATGACGCACGGCGTCTTTGCCAAAGGCCAGTTTGACCTGTTGACTTTGGAAGCGGATCGAGTTGGCCGGAGAATTGAGGAGAAGTTGCTGCTTGTTCAGCGAGAAGACGTTGAACGCGTTCAAAGCTCCGTTGGTCGAGCTGCACGAGGTCTTAGAGTTTTTGCTGGAAACCAGACTTTTAGGCCCGTTCTTGCAACACTTGAACATTTTCTGCGAGTGCGTTTGTTTTTTAATTTGTAGAGGTCAATTTTTTTCAATATTCTCACTTTACCTTGTAACTGGGAAACGAACAGTTTCCAGGTTGCGGCACTGGCGGTACTGCTACTGCACAAAATTTACAAAATGTTTATTTTTCCAAGGAAATTACAAATCATTTAAACATAAAAGTACAGTTTTAAATTATTTTAAGAATTTAAGCGCTCAGCTTATTTTACATTGCAAATATACGGTTAAGTACGCACGACTTCATTTTGTGTGTCAAAACTAAATCAAAAATTGACCGACAAAAAATCTATGATGGCTAAGTTTTCGGTCTAATTTTCAGAATCAAGTTTTTTTAACCCAGCTCAGGTATGATAACTACATGACTGCCCAAATTAAAAAAAGGTGTGTTTACTATACTCTTAAAAGCTGATCACAAAATAATCAATTTTTTTTTTTAAATAGCTGTTATTTCAGCAAATCGTCGATGAAGAGTTGTATCCAAAGGCTTTCCCACCTTCTTAAGAATTGCATCTATTGATTTTTTTGCTCAACACATCATGCACAAATGTATGCGCTTTTATTCATTTAATGCAAACATTTGCACGTGTGTATGAATAGAGACCAACTAATGCCGTACTTGGCCTAATGAAGTTACAGGTAATAATTAAAGTAAACGAAAACTCATACCAATTTTTTTTCAAATCTTTCAAAATTAAATGTAATACAATAAAACCTAACTCAATTTGTTTGAAATAAGCCTTATTTTATAAACTGTACATTCTAAATTTTTGTCGAGGTCAATGACCTTTGATCTTGAACCTTGAACATTTGGTAGCAGTTTCAGTAAACCCTTGCTTATCTCTGGTGACCATATTAGAATTTGAAAAATATGAAATTTTTTCATTATTTGGGTATTGTACATAGAAAGCGTTTTTCTCACAAATTTATGGGGTGATCTCTAATTTTCTTGATATGAAAATGATCCCTTTGGTCCAAAATAAAAGTTTTTGAGGAGAATTTATGCAGCAGCTGCCATAATATGGTGGTTTCATCCTCTTTAAACATACAAACCTGTAGTTGTTGTTGGCTGAGCTGTTGCTGCTGTAGGCTCTGCTGTGGGTGTAGTTATCTCTGATGTGGTTGTTGACTCTGCTGGTGGTGCTGTTGGCTCTGCTGTAGGTGTAGTCGTATCATATGTGGTTGTTGACTCTGCTGGTGGTGCTGTAGGCTCTGCCGTGGGTGTGGTTGTGTCCGATGTGGTTGTTGACTCTGCTGGTGGTGCTGTAGGTGTAGTCGTATCTGATGTGGTTGTTGACTCTGCTGGTGGTGCTGTAGGCTCTGCCGTGGGTGTAGTTGTGTCCGATGTGGTTGTTGACTCTGCTGGTGGTGCTGTTGGCTCTGCTGTAGGTGTAGTCGTATCATATGTGGTTGTTGACTCTGCTGGTGGTGCTGTAGGCTCTGCTGTGGGTGTGGTTGTGTCCGATGTGGTTGTTGACTCTGCTGGTGGTGCTGTAGGTGTAGTCGTATCTGATGTGGTTGTTGACTCTGCTGGTGGTGCTGTAGGCTCTGCCGTGGGTGTAGTTGTGTCCGATGTGGTTGTTATTGGCTCAGTTGTGGTTGTGGTAGGTGCTGCTGTAGTTGGAGTCGTCGTTGTTGTTGTGGGGGTCGTTGTTGTTGTGGGAGTCGTTGTTGTTGGCTCAGTTGTGGTTGTGGTAGGTGCTGCTGTAGTTGGAGACGTCGTTGTTGTTGTGGGAGTCGTCGTCGTTGGTGTTGTGGTAGTTGTTGTAGGTGTTGTTGTTGTTGTTGGGGTTGTTGTTGTGGATGTAGTTGCTGCAAAATTGAATTTATAATTAAAACTCATTTTCCAATCTTTGCTAGTATTGAATATTTTCAACAATGGGTAAAATCCTGCGTGGATCAATGTTACAATTTTTTTTTACCAAAAATGTTATCCACAAGCGCGCGGTATTAAATTTAACGTACTTGGCATTTTTGATGCAATCCACGCTGTAAATGCAGCAACGCGCGTGAAGCTCGTCGCTTTTGCCAAGCATTGGTTTGAGATATCGGATACAATACCAATTTGTATCCAATTGTTGCTTCCATCAAGGTACACCAGTGGATCACCGTAATCTCGTGTCTAAATTAAATGGGAGAGATTTTTTTTTTAAATTTCTTCTCATCGCCTCCTCCAAAATTGCGTCTTGTGTTTTTGAACTAGGGGCAAAATAAACTTATTCTTATCTCTAATTTCCCTTTTATTTAAATGCCCGAAAAAATGAATTTTCATAATTGAAAGGCTGGGCCTTTGCAAATAAATTTGAAATATTGACTCACCCCGCAAGGCGCTTTCACGCCATTGGGATCTTTTGCGCAAAGGTTGGAGCTTGTGTAAGACCCAGATCCGAAGGCTGACGTGCACAGTGTCCCGTCGTTCACAGTTATGTCAATAAACCTCAGAGTCGTTGAGGACGCCGAACCTCCTGCAAAAAGTGACATTTGTCGTTATTAAAGAAAATGAATCGACCCACAAGAAATTTCACTCGAATTTAATTCGGTCTCAAATTATTTTTCTTGGATAAAAAATAAAATTTTAAAATAACCGGTGTCGGCAATTTTTCCGAATCCCATGAGGGTGGCGACCTGGCCGTTGAAATTGTTGGTGGCGTCGAGGGCGAGCGTCACCGGCTGGATGTTGGCTGTGGGGGTTGCGAATCATAGTCACTAGATTGAAAATAATTAAGATCTTTCACCCGTCAAGGTGACTGCGGGGATTTGCAGCAGGGCAATGTTGTTTTGGTAATTGGTCGCGGTGTACAGCTCGTGGACGAAAATGGCGATTGGCACCACCATGACGTACCCTGACGAGAACGGCGTTTGACTCGCCAAATTTCCCAAATATATTACGTAGCTATTCAGCTGTGTCCTGCGCAACAACAAAAAGAATAATCAAAAACCAAAATTCGAAGTTTGAAAAATTTCCAAAACTGAATATGGCAAGAATATGAGGTTTCAGATTTCACGTGTTTTTGACAAATAAGTTATTATTTGAAATATAACTTTGATTATGTTCCTTAATTGCTAGACGAGATTTTGAGATTTTTAGGTGAAAATAGTCCTCATGTGCGTCAACAGATGGCAACTTCAATTTTACCTTCAAAAGGAATTTGGGCTACCTTAGGAAATTTTAGTTATTGTTTTTGTTTTTTGTCCAAATTGTACATCACAAAATCAAATTTCAGTGAATTGATATATCAATCAACGCGTAGCACTTTTTAAGCAGTTAGAACAGGGAATTATGTCTCACCCCTGAAGGCCCCGGGCCGACGTCATGACCCACTCTGTGGAGATCAACGAGCCGCCGCACTGCGGGTTGGAGTTGTGATGAATAAGTGCGAAGAACGGAAACTGGGACAGGATGGCGTTGGTGCCGCCGATGATCCGACCAGAAATGCCGTCGCGAGGCAGCACTGGAAAAAAGAAGATTTGCTCCAATTTTACACCGAAATCGATTTCAAATTTCAAAAACGAACTTCTCTCCTTGTCCAAGGTTGGCCACGCGTCATCGCCATCATCGGCCAGCGCTTGACTTTCGTTTCCATTTCCGGTTTGCCAACGTGAAGAAAAGTCAAAAGTAAAAACCTAAATTGGATTGTAAATTAATTAATTTATATTACATGTCGAGAACACGGATGATTTTCATGTACAATTTTCCAGCATAAAGACAAATAAATCAATCGGTTTCGATGTGTATATAAAAGCAATTTTTAAACCTTAGTACTAAATAGCATACGATTTTGCTTTAATGGCTTCCAGAGTAATTTTTTTATTGTTGTTTATTAAAAAAGGTACTCAGCCATTTAAGTAAAACTTAATCTATTTTACCAAAATTGTTTTGTCAATGAAAGGTAGACTTGTGGTTGTTATGCTCCCACTTTTGCACATAGCAAACACATATTTTGTCTGTATTAGCTTTGGTTTCTTGATGAGACAATTCCAAGGATGCAAGATTATTATGTCATTGGAAAAAACTTAATTTTTAAAATTTATAAAAGAATTTTTCTCGTACAACCAAAATTGTTAAAAAAAATCACCAAATCACGTTCAATTAAGATGGAAACAAAATCAATACATAAAAAATTTTAATTGATCTTGGGAAAAGGTGAAGTTATAATTTAACTGTGGGTATTGTAGTCTATTTGTTAAATTTAATTACTTTGAGTAAAAAGTGCTACAATTGATACTTTAAATGAAATTGAAAACACAAATTTGAATGTGAAATAATTTAAAAAAAGGATTTTGTGATGGGAAAAATGAATATTTTCCACCTGAATAGGAACGAGCAGAAGAAGAAACACTTGACACCTCATCATGTCCTCAAGTGAAATGTTTGACCCAACATCGAGGTTATTTATCAGCGACGAAAACTTCTACGTGGACAGTTGGTTGTGCGAGTTTCGACGACATTTTTTAATATACGACTTTTCCTTCCTCTTGTTTTCCCGTCCTAAATTTCCCAGGAAGTGCGTTAAGTGCGATAAATTTTTAGTAGAATAAGCGGTTTTCATGAGTGTTGATAATGTCACTCAAGCTTTTTTATCATTCCTTTGCGCCGGGCTGGTAATTAACCTAAATTGGTTTATTTTTCATGACATGTTACAAAAAACTCATTATTTTTTTGAATACAACGATTATTTTGAACAAATATTGTAAATTTCTTTTGACCATAGTTGTGAAAAAGTATGTTGTGCCAATTGCTTACAACATAATCATGTTGTACACGCAATATTCAATCATCAATTAGAAGACCATTCAATTCTGTGCGTTCCTTCGAATACAAAATTCATGGTGAACGAACGCGTCCGGAGTTTAAACAAAAATAATCGCAGAGGCGTTAATTTTAATTAGGCTCGCCTTAATGGCCCAGCAGTTCTGAATGAGATAAGATTGCGAAAACTCGCTGCAGTTAAATTGCGTGTTAAAGAAAATTAATGGTGTCCTGTTTCAAGAGTACAGTTCTAACTTCAATACTAATTACTTTTCTTGTCAACCTCGGACGTAATTAATGACATTTTCTCCGCCACTCAAATTCATTAAAGTAATTAACAATTGTTGTTACGTTTTCCTTGTTTGTGCAAAGACATTTCTGAGGAAACAAAATTTAATTAAATTATACAAAGCTATACACAAACATTGAGTTATTTTTTCAAATAGGGAAGAAAACTATGCTTATTTTTTTCCATTCCTTTTTTCTCAAATAAATTTAGCCAACTCGTAATTACATGTATGGACTAAGCGTGACATAATTTATGTTCTATGTAGTTGTAATTTGTAAGCAACAATAATGATCTCTTGCTTGTTTATACCTGCTTCTCTTCACTTTTCGTTTAATTATTTTTAAAATAACAAAATGTTTGGTAGAAATTTGTTTTGAGGCCAATTTTGAATTTTTCAAGAAAATTTGTAGTTAGTATAATATTAATTTGTAATGTCCAAATACATGAAAACGTCACCATGATTCTTGTACCACAACCCATGTGAAATAAAATAAAAATTAAAAGATCGATAACGTAATAAGAAATTGCGCAATTGTTTACATTATCTTAATTTTATTAATTACCCATATATGATTAATACAACTTTCGCAGAAAAATCAAGGAAATGAATCTACGGGTAATAAAATAATATAATATATAATGTTCTAATCTGCTCCCTACCAACTCGTCGTAAAACTTTACAAGCTTTTCATAGAAATCTTCTGTAACGGAAAACTTCTTTCTAGGACCTAAAAATAAGATAAAAATTAATCACGCCTGTTTTATTTTTATTTATACCTTTTCGTGATTTTTTGCACAGAACGCCACATTTTTTATGACTTGGGAAAAATAATAAAAAAAAACCCTGCGGCGCTGACGCAAAAAATGTATGACGCGCGTATAATTGCAATGAAGCGTGAAATCCGTTTGTGACGTGTGAGAATGTGTGATTTTAATTCTTTTCCTTGGACTTCATTGGAGATAAGATACATACCGTGGCTTATCGGCCGCTTCTCTCTTCCTCGGCAGTTGGTGCGACGCAATCTGTGCGTGCAGATCGCAGATTCGCAATTGTTGGGCGAAATATGGAAGAATTGAAAATTGTGTTGGAAAAAGCCGTTTTCTTCGCCAGGCAAAACGTGTCAGGCACGATTTCGCTCAGAAACAATCAGCCACTCAAATTTCGAGGTGAAAATGCATGTTTATTATTTTTCTCAACATTGAAAATTTCATTTCACGCCGACGATGAGCAAGAAAAAGAAACTTAATTTTACCATAATATTTGTGATTTATAGTAATTAACACATTTCTATTTGATAAAATTGTACCAATGTTCTAAACAATATTCAAAATTAGATGCAGCAAATCTTTTAACAGGTTTTGACGTTTATAGGATGTGATGATGATTTGCTTTTTCGTGCAGAAATTAATTTTTTAGCCGAAATAGTGAGATTTTTAAGATAAATATGTATAATTTATATAATTCAAAAGAGTGTTCAACGGGAACGGGAAAATAAAATTTCCCGCGGGACTTGCGGGATTCTTGCGGGAACGGTGCTAATCGTGCTGAGCGGGAACAGTGCCGGGAGGAACTGGGACTTGATTGACGGTGCCGGGATTCCCGCGGGAAAATTATGATTGCATCAGATTTTTTCCTTTAAATAGTTTAAATAGCGTTTTACCTTGGAGAGTGATAATTACGTATGTACTTTTTCAATTAAATTAATAAGCGCATGCACACAAATTTTTTCCCTTTGCTACTTTACTTACTATCCGCTCGTACGGGGAGGAGAAAATGAAAAAAATAAAAGAGGCGAAAAGATGCATTAACGAACACACCCATCTCGTGGCGATACGAACATGACAGTAAACGAAACTAGCGCAAGTCCTATACCCCCTATGAAGAAATATTGAAATTTTCTCTGATTTACTTAATTCATAAGCATATCTGGCTACATATTTAACGATCTGCAACCAAATGCAGGTAAAGTATAGAGCGGTATATAGAAAGAGTTGATTGACGTAAAATTTCAAGTTGTCCTGCACCGAAAATAGTTAAAAATTAATATCAAGATTTATAAAGTTTTTCTTTTACACACTATACACTCATAAAAATAGCGCAAAATAGATCGAATCGAAAGACCTGTTAAACATAATAATATATGTATACGGTTTTTGATAAATGACCTTTACTACTTAATTCGACAACTGTTTAAATTGAGTAATTGAAACAAACTGAAAATTAAAAATTAAGTAATAAATGACGAGCTATTTTTATTAAATTTGATGATGCAACCAGAGACTTCATTTTATTCTTTTGGATTATTTTGTATGTAACTTTTTGAATACTCTGCATATTTTATATAAAATTTAATTTAAACTCACGGGAATAAATTATATTTTTCATATAGTAACTAGTATTTTGATAAATTATAATTTGGTTGCTGCTATCACAATAACAAGCCTTGAAAATTTTTAGAATTTGATTAAAAAAATTATTTCTAGAAAATCAAATTATATGCTGACAATTTAATTATATATTTGTATGCATGTCATATTCTATTCGTCTAGAATATTTATACATTTTTACTTAATTAGGATTTGGGAACTCTGTCATTTCTTACAGTGAAATTAATTTTATTAATTTTAGGAATCATTTTTAATTAATTACTGGAGCTTATCAAAGAAGAGCGAAGAAGGATAAGCAAACGAAAAACCAAGCTTAATAGAGAAAAATAACCTGGCTTATTTTTTCTTCTTTCTATATTAAAGTGTTTTATCAAAAATATCAACGATATTAATATAAATGCGTCTTGGCGATAAAGAATATTATTCTGTTTGACAAAAATAACGCAATATTAAATTCATGAATGCTCAAGTGAACTTTCTCAATATTTTTTTCAGGTCTATCTTGTTTCTCTCATAAGTTTTACTCGGCTTAAGATCAATTATCATTGAATCTTGTCAAATTTTAGTAAAAAATCGAGGTAAAAACAATATCCACTAATAGCAGTCTTAGCACTGCTTTTCGTGTACTGTCATAAGTCGCAGGTGGGCGTTTTCGCAGAAAAAAAGAGTATAGTGAAAAGGCTCTATGAAGTATGAACTATGAACATTGCAACTAGAAACTTAAATTAGGCAGGCCAAAATAAACTTTTCTTCAAAAGATCACATTCACATCACACTTCGGCAATATTAAATTTGACTCAATGTAGCTGGGGGCACAAAAGACTCATTCTCACTCGGGACGGAACGGAAACGTTCATTCACGGACGTGTATTTAAAAAAAAAATTTGAGCGGGACAGGAAGGAACGGGAATCCAACTTCAGGAACGGGACTCCCGCGGGAAAAAATTCCCAATCAAAGAGCGGGAACGGGCGGGAAAGGGAAAGAAATTTCGGGAAAGGAATCCCGCGGTACCATAATTTGGTCCCGTTGAACACACATTCAAAATCTTGTTAAAATTTTGTGAGATGTGAAAAACTGCAAATTGAAATCTAAAAACTATAATTAATTTTGTAAGTATCGAGTTACTCATTTTGAAATTTTGATGCAAGGAACGTCGCAACACATACATATGTATATAAGATCAGGACTCTCTAAGCTGAAGTTGGGCAACTTTCTGAACGCCCGTGTTGCGCGGTGCAGCATTATTTTCAATATATCCTCATTTTATCAATAAATTATTATTTTATATTTCGTTATATAATAATTTTATACGGTACAGAAGTAAAAAAAGCAATTTTAATTGTAAATCTCACCGTTTAAGTGCAATAGCTCACTAAGCCGAGGAAGGATCATTGAAGGCAAGAGTGGGAAAAAGAAACTTTATTCATTAAAAATCTACCACTTGCCTCATCCATAACGTGTGTAAAAACTACTGCACATTCTTTCTTGTAACAAAAGGTTGAATGTATACGACGGCAGGTGTTAAAAGGAATGCTAATTTGAAAATTTGCCAATTTGTTTTGCAACATTTTTGGTTTCCCCAAAAGAGATAATACCAAAGTGTGAGAAAATTGGAACTTTGAGGTCAAGAACGCCTAATGAAATTGTTCGGAAACATATTTATGAACAAAATACAAAATATACTCTATGGTTTTTATAAGGGCCAAAATAATCAAGAAAATATCTAAGCAATTCGTGTCGACGCTCTGCTCAGACTAGGTTTGACAATTGCTCACAGTGCAGATTTGCAGTGCAGAAATAGAATAGGGGCATCTCTATGCAAAAGTTACAAGTTCAAAAGCTGAATTTCTACAGAAAGTTCAAACTCGGTTGACGGGTCGGACACATACGCAGGCATTTGAAACATTGATGAACGCTATCGCTGAAGAAAAATGTTCTGTCCCGTCCTTCGTGGAGGAAGCAGATGATTATTTCCCTTCACCGTTGTGCAGAAAAGAGCAAAAGAATTAAATTAATGGTCTCATTTCACGTCCGGTGTCCTCTCTACTGATAAAAGCCCTGACGTAAACCTCTTGAAAATTTCAAGCAGTAAAATTATAAAAGGAAACGCAATAAGGTGTAAAGTGAACCGCGTTGACGTTTTTTAGCTGCTAGGGCAAAACAATTAAGGTAACAAAAACTGAAAAAAAGTAGCCTGGAAATTTCCCATTCTTATGAAAGTTATGAACTTGTCACCATATTGTTTTATTAACTTTTGTCGCCCAGAACAAATTTTTGGCTCAAATCTTACTAAATTTGAAGAGCAAAATTGACAACTGTGTCTGGATAATGCTTTTATTACTTTTGAATCGCCTGACGCTGCCGTCCCTCTTAATCACAATGCAATTAATTGAGCTTAAATGTTTACATCACCCAAGAAATTTGAACGCCCAATATTATGAAATTATGAAAAATTGCTATTTATTCAGAAACACGCAGATCAATTAATTAACCCTAAATTCTCAATCTCCAATTTTATGCCATTTTGGAATGCTGTTTTAAAGACAAAACAACTAAAAGCGGCTAAGAATAAGCACAGAAAGTTCATTTATGCAAAGTTGGAAATGCCACCACAGCATATATGTATATGGTAATCGCGTAACTTAAAATTATAAAAAAAAACGCGTGCATTGTATAATTTTCAAATCAAACAAAAACGAAACAAAATTTATTGTTTTGGCTTGGTTTCTGATAATACAGCCCTTTTTTGAAGGAATAAATAAAAATGGCAGATTCTTGCGATTTTAATTTAAAATTGATGGGACACTAGAAATAAAATTAAAATATCTTTCAATTAACTTGATCAAAACTCGGCGATCAAGAACATGAAACTCGGCGGGATTCATCGAACCTTTGAGGAAACTTTCAAGGTTGACCTGTGAATTTAAATCGGTTCAAAAATTTAACATATAGGGTTGAAAAGGAGGCCTTGTGACGTGTTCACCTAATTTTTCTTATGTACCTCCCCACTGTTGGTGTGTTTCCGGACGACGCACCCGGTATTTCAAGGAAGTCAAACTTGATTGTAAGCAACAAACTTTCTACGAACATGGGTCACTGCAGTTTTACTGCTCGCAGGCTGCTTTTGGGGCAGAGGTAAAAAGCTTGGTAATGTTACAGTACGCGCGACGTAGTTCCCAAAATCCCCCGATTTCAGTTGGCATCACTTGCATTACATCGCGCGTACAATAGTGGTTTTACGTCGCGCCTTCAATTCTGGTGGCGGTGTAATTTTTGAGGAAACTGATTTTTCCAAATTATTGCGGAAACCTCTATAGGAGGCGCGCGCGACGCATGTCTGCATAATTAAGAATTGCACGTTTCACGCACACCACAAACCAGACCACCGCACGATCCGGCAACTCGGCCGGAGTTGGGCAACCTCGGTGATTAATTTTTGCAGAAGCCGCGAGCGAGGGGTGGAGGCGCAGCGAGGTCGAGGACGTGGGGAAGGCCGTGCGTACGGCGAGGACAAAAGGGCGGTTGTGTTCTCGAGGGGGCTCACGATCCCCACCCTTTGTCCACGCTCTCGGGCGAGCGCGCCTCCAGCCTGAAGCTCGCAAACCCATAACGGAGTGGCCCACAATTGGAATTGTCATGAAAATGGAAAGGAACAATCTTATGATCTCCAAATGTATTCAATCGCAAATCGAGAAACACATAATGAACGTATCATGTTAAAAGTGTACAATGTTTATTCTGAAAAAATTAAATTCTTATGCGAGCAACCTGCTTAACTCGCTTGCCCTACCCGTTGCATACGTTGGAGCACTAAATTTTGTACCTTTAATAAAGAGAGAAAAAAACATAGGAATAATAAAAAAAAAACCTTAGCTCCTTTTCATCACGCTGTTTTTTTTTTGTTTTTGTTTAGTTGCAAATAAAATTATGTGTGGGGATTTATTAGTAAGAAACTCGCGGCTTCGCAAAAGAAACAAGAATGTACGCCTCTTGCAAAGGACGTGAAAAGTAATTTATTTAATTGAAAAATATTATTCAAAAAGGGAAACTTAATCTTACAACTATTTTATCTCTAGATTAAAATCATTAACTCTCAATAAAATCTTCTGAAGCAGAAAAGATTGCCAGAGATGGCTGCAGCTCTTCGTACTCCGCAAAGTCTTCGTCACCGTCGTACTGCCTGTGCCGCCTTGATCGTTTCAAAATATTTGGGTAGCATTTATTGAACAATTTGTACTTCCTCTTGCACGATTTGCTCGGCACTGGGAAAAAATACACATTAAAAACTGTTCAATCTGTTCACAATAAACTTTGGTACCTATACTTGGGCAACTCTGCAAAATTTGAAATATTGAAGTTATAACTTTATAAAGTTTAATGAAAAATTATTATATCCAATTGCATATTACGTGGATCATTCTGAGGAGAACGCACTGCACCACGACGAACGCCTTTCCAGGACATTTGTGTTTTTGCCAGATAAAGTCAGGAATGTGAAGAGCTGAAGTTCAAGATTTTAATTATACACAGGATGAATTTCGTGACCCATTGCAATTTTTTTCAATGATAACATTCTGTCCTTATGTTACGCCCAGTACGTTACGCAATTCCCAAAATTGTTTTCGAATTTTGACAATTTTTTGTTCAAAAACTCAAAAATCGAGATTTTAATTTTTCTATTCGAGATATACTTTGAGCTAAATATCGATTAAGCCACATTTTCGAAATGAACATCTCTAATCAAAGTTTTGAAGAAATGAAACGTTGCTTCGCTTATTAATTTTATGCTTTCGTAGGGATCATAATTCCATCACGAATTTTAATTTTCTAATCAAATTAAAACAAAAAATTATTCACTAATTTTGATATTTAACAAATCCATTCTAAATTAGACGAGTTACATTTTTGCCTATATCTCCAAAAACAAATTCGAAAATTGACTAGTTTAAAATCTAAATTTAGCTGAGAGTGACCTGGCTTGAACATATTCCTACACGTTTAGGCACCATTGAAAAGCTGATCCGCGTTGCAAAATTAGTCTAAGAAGGTTGCTTTGTTACTCAAGCAGAAAAACTAAAAGCTCGATATTTTGCTTTTTGAAATGAAAAAAAAGAACAAATTTTGGGGAATATTATAACTCATAAAAATTATTCACTTTATGTTTCGATCTGAAGTTTTCACGCATGTCCCTGCATTAAATTCATCACAGGCCAATTGGTATTGCATGTGTTGTTTACCTTGGACAGTGGACAAGCATTCGGACACTGCTGCCGAAATGATCGACTTCCACGTGTTGTCCTTTTGCCGGAAGGTCAGGAAATGGGTCAGCTTGGCCTCGTTGATTACGTAGTGTCCGGAAATCTGCAACAATCATATCATAATTTTAAAGAAGATTCTCAATTCAAAAAATTCCGATTTACAATTTCCTTTTTCATCAAGTAACAATTGACGAAGCACTGAAAAGAATAATTTGGTTAAATTTATTTCAAATTTCTTTTGGAATAACGCACGGCATTTTTGCCAAAGGCAAGTTTGACCTGATGACTTCGGAAGCGGATCGAATTGGCCGGAGAATTAAGGAGAAGTTGCTGCTTGTTCAGCGAGAAGACGTTGAACGCGTTCAGGGCTTCTTTGGTCACGCCGCACTTCCTATCAGATTCGTTGTAGAGAACCAGTTTTTTCGGCCGATTCTTGCAGCACTTAAATATATTCTGCGTGCGTGTTGATAATTTTTTTTTAATAATCAATAAAAAAAATGAATGCATTTTCACCTTGTAATGGGGAGCAGGGCAATTTTTAGGCGGGGACACTGGCGGAGGTCTGGCCGTGATTGTTGTCAAAACTGCAGTTTTAAAAATGATATTTGTATAATGCAAGGGAATACTTTGATTCCAAAATTAGAAGATAAGACAAATTAGTTTCGTACGAGATTTTTTTGCATTTGTTGGTGCTGTTTTGTGCAAATATTTTTTACAAAAATGTAAATCAAAATATTTGAATGTAAACACGAAAAATCGATCAAATTAAAACTATTCCTGCCTACATGAATGCAAATTTTAATAGTAATTTAATAATTTGTATTAATTTTAATCTGCAAATCAAAGGCCGCGCATCAGCTCTATTATATTGGCCAAAAAAAAGATGTCTTCCGCCCGAACCATAAGGCCCCATGGCTCTGACGGCAGCCGTGTACCAACATAATTTTGGGATGCGCAGCATTTGCTGCAAATAATGTTTCGCATATGCCAAGTCATATTCTTGTTCCTCTAGAAATTTTTCGATGCATTTCAATTTAAGGCATTAATATTGAACACATTGGAATACATTTCAATTTCCTTCAATATTTATGGATCAATAAAATACATTCCTGAAAATTTGCATCTACAATTTGATAAAAATATATGAAATTATAAAAAGGTCTGTACAAACCGGCAGTGGTTGATGAGGCTTTGGTTGTTGCTGTTGTTGGTACTTTCGTTGTTGATGATAGCTCGACTGTGGTTATTGTTGTCTCTAATGTCGGTGTCGTAGCATAAGTTGTAGTGCTGGTAAGCTCGGCCGTGCTCGTCGTTTCTTCAGTGGTGGTGCTTGTCTGTTCAGCCGTGCTTGTTGTTGCTTCAGTGGTGGTGCTTGTCGTTTGTTCGGTCGTGCTTGTAGTTGGTTCAGTGGTGGTGCTTGTCTGTTCGGCCGTGCTTGTGGGTGCTTCAGTGGTGGTGCTTGTCGGTTCGGCCGTGCTTGTAGTTGGTTCAGTGGTGGTGCTTGTCGTTTGTTCGGCCGTGCTTGTAGTTGCTTCAGTGGTGGTGCTTGTCTGTTCAACCGTGCTTGTTGTTGCTTCAGTGGTGGTGCTTGTCGTTTGTTCGGTCGTGCTTGTAGTTGGTTCAGTGGTGGTGCTTGTCTGTTCGGCCGTGCTTGTGGGTGCTTCAGTGGTGGTGCTTGTCTGTTCGGCAGTGCTTGTTGTTGCTTCAGTGGTGGTGCTTGTCGTTTGTTCGGTCGTGCTTGTAGTGGCTTCAGTGGTGGTGCTTGTCTGTTCGGCCGTGCTTGTCGTTGGTTCAGTGGTGGTGCTTGTCTGTTCTACCGTGCTTGTTGTTGGTTCAGTGGTGGTGCTTGTCTGTTCAGCCGTGCTTGTAGTTGGTTCAGTGGTGGTGCTTGTCGTTTGTTCGGTCGTGATTGTAGTTTCTTCAGTGGTGGTGCTTGTCTGTTCAGCCGTGCTTGTCGTTGCTTCAGTGCTGGTGCTTGTCTGTTCTACCGTGCTTGTTGTTGGTTCAGTGGTGGTGCTTGTCTGTTCAGCCGTGCTTGTAGTTGGTTCAGTGGTGGTGCTTGTCGTTTGTTCGGTCGTGATTGTAGTTTCTTCAGTGGTGGTGCTTGTCTGTTCAGCCGTGCTTGTTGTTGCTTCAGTGGTGGTGCTTGTCGTTTGTTCGGTCGTGCTTGTAGTTGGTTCAGTGGTGGTGCTTGTCTGTTCTGCCGTGCTTGTAGTTGGTTCAGTGGTGGTGCTTGTCGTTTGTTCGGCCGTGCTTGTAGTTGGTTCAGTGGTGGTGCTTGTCTGTTCGGCCGTGCTTGTAGTTGCTTCAGTGGTGGTGCTTGTCGTTTGTTCGGCCGTGCTTGTAGTTGGTTCAGTGGTGGTGCTTGTCTGTTCGGCCGTGCTTGTAGTTGCTTCAGTGGTGGTGCTTGTCGTTTGTTCGGTCGTGCTTGTTGTTGGTTCAGTGGTGGTGCTTGTCTGTTCTGCCGTGCTTGTAGTTGCTTCAGTGGTGGTGCTTGTCTGTTCTACCGTGCTTGTTGTTGGTTCAGTGGTGGTGCTTGTCTGTTCGGCCGTGCTTGTAGTTGCTTCAGTGGTGGTGCTTGTCGTTTGTTCGGTCGTGCTTGTAGTTGGTTCAGTGGTGGTGCTTGTCTGTTCGGCCGTGCTTGTAGTTGCTTCAGTGGTGGTGCTTGTCGTTTGTTCGGTCGTGCTTGTTGTTGGTTCAGTGGTGGTGCTTGTCTGTTCTGCCGTGCTTGTAGTTGCTTCAGTGGTGGTGCTTGTCGTTTGTTCGGTCGTGCTTGTTGTTGGTTCAGTGGTGGTGCTTGTCTGTTCTGCCGTGCTTGTAGTTGCTTCAGTGGTGGTGCTTGTCTGTTCTACCGTGCTTGTTGTTGGTTCAGTGGTGGTGCTTGTCTGTTCTGCCGTGCTTGTAGTTGGTTCAGTGGTGGTGCTTGTCGTTTGTTCGGCCGTGCTTGTAGTTGGTTCAGTGGTGGTGCTTGTCTGTTCGGCCGTGCTTGTTGTTGGTTCAGTGGTGGTGCTTGTCTGTTCGGCCGTGCTTGTAGTTGGTTCAGTGGTGGTGCTTGTCTGTTCGGCAGTGCTTGTGGTTGCTTCAGTGGTGGTGCTTGTCGTTTGTTCGGTCGTGCTTGTTGTTGGTTCAGTGGTGGTGCTTGTCTGTTCTGCCGTGCTTGTAGTTGCTTCAGTGGTGGTGCTTGTCGTTTGTTCGGTCGTGCTTGTTGTTGGTTCAGTGGTGGTGCTTGTCTGTTCTGCCGTGCTTGTAGTTGCTTCAGTGGTGGTGCTTGTCTGTTCGGCCGTGCTTGTGGGTGCTTCAGTGGTGGTGCTTGTCTGTTCGGCCGTGCTTGTAGTTGCTTCAGTGGTGGTGCTTGTCGTTTGTTCGGTCGTGCTTGTAGTTGGTTCAGTGGTGGTGCTTGTCTGTTCGGCCGTGCTTGTAGTTGCTTCAGTGGTGGTGCTTGTCTGTTCAACCGTGCTTGTTGTTGCTTCAGTGGTGGTGCTTGTCGTTTGTTCTGCCGTGCTTGTAGTTGGTTCAGTGGTGGTGCTTGTCTGTTCGGCCGTGCTTGTAGTTGCTTCAGTGGTGGTGCTTGTCGTTTGTTCGGTCGTGCTTGTAGTTGGTTCAGTGGTGGTGCTTGTCTGTTCGGCAGTGCTTGTGGTTGCTTCAGTGGTGGTGCTTGTCTGCTCGGCCGTGCTTGTGGTTGCTTCAGTGGTGGTGCTTGTCTGCTCGGTCGTGCTTGTAGGTGGTTCATTGGTGGTGCTTGTCTGCTCGGCCGTGCTTGTGCTTGCTTCAGCTTCTAGTGGTGGTGCTTGTCGTCTGTTCGGCCGCGCTCATCGTTTCTTCACTTGTGGTAGTCGTTTGCTCAGTGGTGCTGGTAGTCGGTGGCTCTATTACCCAGGAAACATAGAGTTTATGAATTTATTTGAAGCATTTGTGTCTTTTCTTTAATGTTTTATATTTTTAGATAATATATTTATATATATATATATATATATATATATATATGTTGTTGTCCGAACGCGCTGAGTTGACTGAATGCATTCGGTCTAAGAGCGCTTTGGTCTGAATGCATTCGGTCTAACGCCGCTTGGCCCAAATGCATTTGGTCTGGACCAAACGCAATCCACAATGAAATCTCCTAATCTCAGCGCGTTCGGTCTAACAACTTGGTCCAAAAGCAATTTTTTTTTAAGAGCTGCCAACTTTTGCGCTATTTTTTTTGTGATAACCGCGAGACTACGTTCGAGCAGGTTTAGAAGGAAATAAGAGGTGCGCAGAAGAAAATGATAAAAATTCAATTTTTATGAGACGGCAAGTTTATTTTTTAATTTTCTTTGGCCTATACAGCAACCAATTAATTAATTAATTGGTCTTGTTTATTACGTTTAAACATATTATTTGTTAAATTAGTTACTTTAGACAAAACGCCTTTTACGTGGAATTACATTCCGAGACGCGAGATACTGAGACAAAACCAATCTAAAAAAGTTAGAAAAATTCCTGTTTTGATAATAAAAAATATAAATTGAGGGCGAAAATTTCCCTAAATTAACACTTTTAAAACCACCCCAACTTGTGCTATCGATAACAAAGAACTACTCTCAGCTGGCTGAAATTCATTCCTGCTGAAGCTTTTGTCAAGGGTACTTGTACAAGGAAATCACATTTTATTAAAAAAATTAAAACAAAAATAATAATATTAATAAAAAATTTATGCGTGATGAAGTTCATATTCTGTAAAGATCTCTTTCCTGGTTATGTTCTAAATCCACTGCGATAATGTTTCACGGTTTTATCACTAAAAATAGCGCAAAAGTTGGCAGCTCTTAAAAAAAGTTGCTTTTGGACCAAGTTGTTAGACCGAACGCGCTGAGAGTAGGAGATTTCATTGTGGATTGCGTTTGGTCCAGACTGAATGCATTCGGGCCAAGCGGCTTTAGACCGAATGCATTCAGACCAAAGCGCTCTTGGACCGAATGCATTCAGTCAACTCAGCGCTTTCGGACAACAACATATATATATATATATATATATATATATATATATATATATATATATATATATATATATATATATATATATATATATATATATATATATATATATATATATATATATATATATATATATATATATATATATATATATATATATATATATATATATATATATATATATATATATATATATATATATATATATATATATATATATATATATATATATAGATATATATATATATATATATATATATATATATATATATATATATATATATATATATATATATATATATATATCGCTGCAAGTCCTTTCAAAAGAGCTCCATTGCCGGTCAGGTAGCAAAAGAGCTAAGTGCCAAAGGAGCTAAAAAGCAAAGGAGCAAAATCCCCTATTGACCTATAACGCGTTTTTTCGTGAAATTGGTTCGTTTTCACCTTATGAGTGACTGGGTATCATTAGATAGCAAAGTTCATATGGCAACATGGGTGGGGAAAGTGCCTATAATGATATGCCGTGGTTATGCAGCCGCGCCATACACGGTCGAATTTCGGTGCATATTAATAATGATCATTACGTTTCCTTAGTTTTCTTGATCCAATTTTTATAAACTTGGTGTCATTTGAGAGATAATTTTTCAAATTTAATTTAACATATAAAAATCTGAGTATTCGGCAAGATTAAGGATTAATATTATGCCATATTATTAAAACTAGTGAAATAAAAGTGTATAGTGTCACTCTCGTTTAACAAGCTCTGCTCGATTTTTCAATCGGGGAGTTGTTTTATGCATGAATAAATAATATTGAAAATACTTTTTCTGTCCATGAGTTAATCTTGAAAAACCGTATACATAAATGTGATGTAGAAAACAAACGTAGACAAGAAATCATGATTAGATAAAAACAAGTGAATTAATTGAAAATAAATTCAACAAAAAATGAAAGACCGCCAACTGAACATCAAGCATTACACAATTATTGATAAAAAAGAACTTCTCATTTGATATTGACCAGAAACACAATGAATGGTTTTAAAAAGCAAAAGCAAATAACAATTTAGTTTGATGATCGTTGTAAAAGTATTATAAAATATATTGATTTGACCTGTATTGATAACTTACAATAACTTTGATGATTTTTTTCCAATCAGGCTCACCAAAAGTTTTGTTTTTTTACGGTCATAAATTTGTGCTGACGTTGAATATTAAAAAATTAAAATATTTGGTCACAGCTGCAAAAATATTTTAATATTCCATTTAAAAAAATTCAGTTAGTAAAAATTTGTCATGAGAAACAGAATTAATTAAACTTTAAAACAAATTTCTTGCATTGCACTTAAATAACTGCAAGATGGTTTTCTTCATGTATTCTATCAGCACCATTGCTGAATATTGACTCTTGAACCACATTACCCATACTATATTTCCCTAGTGAATTAAAATTAATTATGCAGCACAGCCAGCACTAAATATATTAAAAGATTATAAATTATAATCTCCTAGATAATAAAGAAACTTCAGTTCCTAACAAAAATTATACTAAATTTATGAATTTTATATTTTGATTCGAAAAAATTGCGTTTAAATTTTAAATTTAAAATGCACCAGTACCTCAGACGTTTTGACCAGTAATACAATCGAGTTATTAAACTCATTTTTATTATTTGACACTTCAAGTTGGTTCTCAGTGGTAAATATTAAACACATCCTCCAGAGATGAAAAAAATCAGCCCATTATTCAAAGATTGACTGCTAAAAAAAAAAACTCAAATTGAGATTAGAGAGGATAAACCAGCATTTTAATTTTAAAACATATTGATATCCCATAAATTAGCTGTACATAAAAAAATAGTTACGTTTCTTGTTTTATACTTAAATTGATTGATAATTAAAACTTATTCTTCACATAAAATCGTCAGGTAGCGGTGCGAGCCATCTCAGAAAATTTCAAACTGTTGAGCAAATTTTGTTTGCTCAGCCCATCAAGCGAGCCACATAATACTAAAAATCGCGAGAATTATAACTAAAAAGTTTGAGAATGCGGGTTATCTTTATTTCTCTTGATTATATTATTGGAGTATTAATATATATTATACCAAATAATGTTATAAATAAGCGCAAAAATTAATCAAGTTTAAGCGGAGAAAATAATATTGAGTTTGATAAATTTTGCAAGAAAAATCTCAGCCTCAGATGATAAAGTCTGAAAATAATAAAATTAAAAAATCATGAGAATTATATTGGATTGGAAGGGAAATGCCTTGTGCAACACAAAACAGAAAAGAAAGTGAAAAGTTGGTGAACATTTTTACATTACTTTGTTAGTCTAAAATCTGAAGCGATGAATTACGAATTAATGCTGAAATTAGTTGCTACAAATTATGGAGGTGAAAATTCATGATTTTTCCCTTTTTATTCATGAACATTATAATAATCAACATCAACACCATTTAAAATTAAGATATCTTTAAAATTACTATTAAAATTGAAAAAAATAAGCGATAATTTTTTTATAATATTTCTAATATTTAATGTATAAAAATTTATTTTATACATTAAATATTATCAATTATTAAAATAATTAATAATAAATCATTTAAAAATTGTAATACTTCAATTCTAGTTTTTAATACTAGAAAAAAACAAGCAACTTGCAATTCTAACGTAATTAGTCTATTCTATATTGACCTCATTTTTTGGAACCCATTAATCAAATCATGCGTTTAAAATAAATATAATGCTGGAAAAATATGACTAATTATATCCTTCAACTTATTCTAAATGATTGCAATTATTGCATCAAAGGGTTCTGACTATATTCAGTTTTTTCTTCCTACTGAAAACTTTGAAAACGTGGATTTAGCTCCTTTGCTAGCTGACCGGCCATGGATTTAGCTCTTTTGCTACCAGACCGGCTATGGATTTAGCTCATTTGAAAGGACTTGCAGCGATATATATATATATATATATATATATATATATATATATATATATATATATATATATATATATATATATATATATATATCTATATATATATATATATATATATATATTTGTAAGTTCACGCTCAGCTCCTAAATATACTGGAATATTCAGGAAATACTCAATGTTTTCCTGGATTGCCATTATCTCACTTGTGGTAGTTGTTGGCTCTGTTGTGGTTGTCGTTGACTCTGCTGTCGTGGTCGTTGTTGAAGGTGTCGGGGTGGTGGTGGTGGGAGTGGTGGTGGTGGTGGTGGGTGTCATGGTGGTGGTGGTGGGAGTCGTGGTGGTGGGTGTTGTGGTCGTGGTGGGTGTTGTGGTGGTGGTGGTGGGAGTCGTGGTTGTGGTGGTGGGATTCGTGGTGGTGGTGGTTGGTGTTGTGGTGGTGGTGGTGGGAGTCGTGGTGGTGGTGGTTGGTGTTGTGGTGGTGGTGGTGGGAGTCGTGGTGGTGGTGGTGGGTGTTGTGGTGGTGGTTGTTGAGGTTGAGGTTGTCGTTGTGGCTGCGTAAATAATATATGTGATTAAAATAATTATATCCATTCGTGAATATATTAATTGCAAAAAATACATATATTTAAAAGGCGGGAAAATCCTGCCTGGATAAATATTTACTTCGGTTTTTTTATTATCAAAAAGTGTATCCTCAGCATCAGCAGCTGTATTCATAAATACGTACTCGGAATTTTCGATTCAATCCATGCTGTAAATGCAGCAACGCGAGTGAATATTGCAGCTTTGGACAAGCATGGATTAGCAGAGATATCGGAGGTAATTCCGATTTGTATCCAAGTGTTGCTTCCATCGAGGTACACCAACGGATCACCATAATCTCGTGGCTAAATAAAATGAGAGAACTAGCTTTATATTTTAAATTCTTATTCTCGTCGATTTTCCAATTTGCACCACCCGTTTTTGAAACAGATAAGCAAAATTAAATTTTTTATTCTCTAAAAACTAGGCAATTTAAAAATAAACTTGGAAATCGACTCACCCCGCAAGGCCCTTTCAAGCCATTGGGATCTTTAGCGCAAAGGGTGGAGCTTGTGTAAGACCCAGAACCAAAGTCTGACGTGCACCGTGTCCCGTCGTTCACAGTTATATCAGCAAACTTCAGTGCCCAGGCAAAAGTTTTGAGCAAGATTATTCAATTTGAGCAAGAATGAGCAGAGCAGGTCTTGCACAGTCTGCTCAAAAGGGTTTTTGAGGGATTCTTGCTCTGCTTTTTCTTGCTCAACCTGCTCGAGGAGCATGAGCAAGCTCTGCTCACTCTGCTCAAGGAAGCTGAACTTGCTCATTCTCGCTTTCCTTGCTCACCGACAATTTTGGCATCAAGCAAGACTTGCTCACGTCTGCTTTTTCTGCTCTGACAAAGTCCGGAGCACCAGAGCAAGGTTTGCTCACTCTGCTCGAGGAAGCTGAACTTGCTCATTCTTGCTTTCTTTGCCCACCGGGAATTTCGGCATCAAGCAAGACTTGCTCACGTCTGCTCTTATCTGCTCTAACAAATTCCGAGGTGGGTGAGCAAGCAATTTATATTGTTTTTTTATAAAAACATTATTAATCAAATAGTTTGCTACATTTATTGTTGTTTTTTATAATGTATCATTTATTTTATTTTTCAAATTTTAATTTTTGATTTTGTGATAATTTTAAAATAATTACTTTTTTATATTTAATATTTTTAAAATTGAAAACAAAATTGATTTATAATTTAAATTAACAATTTGTTAAATATTTAAATCCAAAATTAACTTAACGATGTCATAAATCATAATTTTAAAGTATCCATGAGTAATCATTGATAATTACAAAAAAATTTACATTCAATATAATATATTTTAAAAATTATAAAAGCCGCTTTAATACTCTAATCTAATCTCATAAATATAAGAATAAAAATTAAAATACCGGAAAATACTCTGGACGGAAAAAAGTTTTGAAACAAGGTAAATTTAATACCGAAATAATAATAAAAAATTAGAATCAGTTTGAATTTTTTCCCCAACATTTTTGAGTAATTTAAGCATTTAAATTGGTCCCTTATTCTAAAAAAAGCAAGCCTTGCTCATATCTTGCTCCATTGAGCAAGCATTGCTATTCTTGCTCTTGATCGAGCAAGGTCTGCTCAATCTTGCACAAGCTGCTCATGGCGCCACTAGTCAAACAGTTAAAACAAATGAGCATCGCTGTGCGTGCCGCGTCGCCGCGTGATGCATTGAGCGTTGGCAAGTAAACAAAACGGTCGATTCTGAGGGGATTTCGACTTCACACGATTTCAGGGTGGAAATTCAATTTAAAATCAAGCAAAGATTCAGCAAAGATGTTGTCTTAACGTAAGTAATCATAAATATGCTGGTTATTTGAAGATTAATCATGGCTTTTTGACAGAAATCCGCATATCCTTCTGGAATTGAAGCGGCATCTGCCTGATTGAAGGGACTGGCCGTTGTGAGGACACCTTCAGCGTGTGTTTCGTATCTATTAGGTAAATAACTAGAATTTTAATTTACAACTAACTCACTTGCCTAATTTATTCTCATTTTTAGACGCATATTATTTCCTTTGCTGGATCTCAGGATGGGTTTCCAGACACCACAAAACTGGCAGCCTTTTTACTACTCTCAACTCTAAAAGATAAGTAAAATTTACATTTTTCTTTTAGCGCAGCATGTAATTTTAATTAAAATTGTTGAATTTCTCTCAAAAATTAATTTTTTCATTATTATGAGATTTAAAAACCTCTGTTAAAAACTAGCTTATTCAATTAAACCACAATGGAAAAATTCCTTTAATTTAATGCCATAACAACTTTACTTTTTTTAAATAAATTATATTGTCTCTGATTTATTGTCATCTTGGAAATTATTTGTTTGGATTTCTCTTTCTAAAAAATAAAAAAATTTGTCAATATTGTGATAATTTATTGATTAGGAATAAAAAATAGCAAAAATTATGAACGTATTTTTTCTATCAAAATTTTATTTTAAATTTATGCTCTATGTAGAACACAGCGCATGTTAAAAGTTTTTTTTGTGCAAAATAAATTTTAAATCCTTCTTGCAAGTTGGAATTATTAATATTGATTATGCTTTTATATTTGTAAATTTTTTCTTTTAGCCATGAATGATAAAATAATATACGTATTGTCTAAATCGGTCTAAATTGTGTTTTCTGAAATGAAATTTGAGATCAGATAATAATAGTATTGATAGTGCATTTGCATTTAGTTTTTCTATTGAAATGTTATAAATGAATTGAAAAAATTATTAAATTGAATTAAGTCCTACTAAGTCAGAATTATACAATGAACAAATTGAAAAAGAAGTATATATATGAAAGAATATTTATTTATGGTAGCTTTATTTTTTAAGGTTGAAGAAGTATATAATTTTGTTTTGAAAATATTGAGCAAATAAAGCAATATAATACGCAAACTTCAAGCTAAGATTGTCAATTAGCGAGCTGAAAAAGCATGATCGAGCAGAGTTCAGAGCAGGAAGAGCAAGAATGAGCAGCCTACGAGCAACGGATCGGGGTTTGAAAGTCGTGAGCAGGATCGAGCAGCGCACGAGCAACAGGTTTGGGGGTCGCGAGCAGAGAAAGCAAGAACGAGCAGAGTTTTGAGCAAGAAAAGCAGGAATGAGCAGCCCATGAGCAACGGATTGGGGTTTAAAAGTCGTGAGCAGAAAGAGCAGGATCGAGCAGTGCACGAGCAACGTGGTTTGGGGGTCGCGAGCAGAGAAAGCAAGAACGAGCAGAGGATAGGGCAGGGTGAGCAAGAATGGGCAGGGTGAGCAAGAATGAGCAGGGTTTGCCTTCACTTTTTCTGTGAGCAGGCTGAGCAGAATGTGTTCGAATTGTAGGCTGGATTTGAGCAGGACAAGAATGAGCAAGCTTGCTCACATTTTAAAAGCTTGCTCAGAACTTTTGCCTGGGGTGTCGTTGAGGTCGAAGACCCTGTAGCCAAAAATGACGTTCTTTGTTTTATTGAAGATGAATTGACCCCATTTTTTTAGCCCAGTGAAATTTTTATTGGGTAGAAGAATTAACTGCGAATTGACTTGCTTGGATTTAGCATCTTTCATAATTTTTTTACTGATAAAAATTAAAATGAGAATTTCCGAGTGAGATTGAGGGGGCTTTGGACAAAAAATTACCTTATCTTATTTTATTAACATACTTCAAAGTGGGTGTCTCGAGGGGCCAATATTGATACCTCGAAAAAGGGGCGTTGCCCAAAATATTGGGGGTTGAAAAAATGACCCGAGATGTTTTTTTTCCTTAACTTTGGAACAGTTTGGGTTAGAACAATGATCGGAACGGTTCCCCCTCCCCGATTTTTCTTGGTGGTATAGAAACAATAATGTGGCCCGTGAAATTGTACTTTGGTCCTGTAATTTTCAGAATGGCTATTTTTTCAATTTTTGAGGAAAATTCAGTTTAAATAATGAAAGGGGGCTTTCCCGAGGCACATTTTTAGATGAAAAATCTTAAAAACCTGAAAAATCAATCGAAACCGCAATATATATTATATTTTTAAGCGATTTTGACTCTGAAAAGCAAAACTTACTTCATATTTATTGATTTTTCAGGTTTTTAAAATTTTTCATCCAAAATTATTCCACGGAAAAGCACGTTTTTCATTCAAACATATATGTATATCCTCAAAAACGGAAAAATGACCATTCTGAAAATTACATGGCCGATGTAAAATTTCAAGGGCTACATTTTTGTCTATACCACTAGAAAAATCGGAGGGCGGTATCATCGTCAAAATTTGACTTATATTAAAAAAGCTCTAAAAAAAGATATGTCCCTTAAGTCTACGACTTTGATGACAATAGCAAAGTTTTTCAGCGTAAAAAGTTAAGTTAGGAACATTTTAGATCTTTGTTTTAACCTAATCCGCTCTAATGTGAAGGAAATTAAGAAAATCTCGGGTCTTTTTTCAACCCCCAAAGTTTTGGCCAATTATATCCCTTTTTTGAGTTCAAAATTGGCAAGGAGGCCCCAGACATCCACTTTGACATTTGTTAACATGAGATACGGTAATATTTTTGTCCAATGCCCCATGCCCCCTCAATCTCACATCTCACTCGGAAATGCTCCGATAAATTTCATAATTAACCCGTGTCGGCAGTTCTTCCGAATCCCATGAGGAACGCCACCTGGCCGTTGAAGTTGTTGGTGGCGTCAATGGCAAGCGTCACTGGCTGGATGTTGGCTGTGGGCGTGGAAAATTTGAGTCACTAGATTGAAAATAATTAAGAGCTCTCACCTGTCAAGGTGACTGTGGGGATTTGCATCAGGGCAATGTTGTTTTGGTAATTAACCGCCGTGTACAGCTCGTGGATGAAGATGGCGGTGGGCAACGCCTTGACGGACCCTGTCGAGAACGGCGATTGACTCGCCAAATTCCCCAAATATATTGCGTAGTTATTAAGCTGGGACAGCTGGGTCCTGCGTAAAAAAAGTCAGTCCCCGCCTCTGCAATCTCAACCAAAAATAATATTTGCCCCGTAAATTAAAAAATTAATCAATCAACTCGCAAAAGACAGAATTGAGTTTTAACAAAGAAACTTCAAATTTCGAGGTTCTACACGGGATTATGGGCAAGAACAGAGTTAGAGATAATAATTTTTGGCAACGAATACGAGTATGTTTCGTACATTGTTCTAATTAAAAAATTTGTTATTTAAATTTTGTTTTTAATAATTATGTATTCGGTGACAGCTTTGATATTTTCTGAATGGGGATTTCCACAGTTCAATATCAAAAAATTATTTCTTCAAACTTTTGGTGTGGACTTCAGGATCTTTTGTCATAGTCAGAAAATCTGGGTCACTTCAGATCATGTCTAAGAAAAACAGAAAAGAGCAAATCTTTTACTATCCACATGGGTCCCCCCAAATTTGATGCTGGCGTCCTGAAATTTTCGAGGCTTAATCCTCATGACTTGAAAGCAAACTTCAAAAATTTTTATCAAAAAAGTTTCAAAATTGCGGGACATTTTGAAAAAATAAAAAACTTAATTATCTCGGCTCCCAGTGGTCGCATAATGAAAATCTGGATATGGTTGGATTTGTCTCATCAATATCTACAAATATAAATTAATTTCAAGGTCATAGGTCAAAGGTCGAGGTCATTTATTTCAAATTCAAAATTTTAATCTCAAATTTGAAGATGTGCCTCACGCTAAAAGTCAAATTTGACATCGGCATTCAATTCCTCGAGAAATTTTACGTAATATATGTCAAAATTGCGATGTGGTTATTTTTGGTTAAATTTTAAATAAAATAAAAAGATTAAAAAACGTGGATTTTTGCCCCTCGGTGTGCAGAGTTTCTTAGATTATCATTAATTACTCGATTTGTGTTGATTTTAGACATATATTGTTCATCACAAAAAGTGACATTCTCAACTAGACCAATTGAATGGTGTACATATCAATGACCTTTGGTGAACTTGGGTCAAAGGTCACCGTGACCCATGACCTTGAGTGACCTGACCTATATGTGTGATACGTAGTTGGAAAGATCTCGTTAAGAGGATAATTTTTGTCACAGGGTTTTTGTCTCTAGGTCTACTAGAATTCAATTAATCGTTGTTTTATGATAATTAAATCGCAATATCTGCATTATAAAAACTAAACCTAATAACTTCGGTTCTAGTAGACCTACAGACAAAAACCCTGTGACAAAAATTATCCTCTTAACGAGATCTTTCCAACTACGTATCACACATATAGGTCAGGTCACTCAAGGTCATGGGTCACGGTGACCTTTGACCCAAGTTCACCAAAGGTCATTGATATGTACACCATTCAATTGGTCTAGTTGAGAAAGTCACTTTTTGTGATGAACAATATATGTCTAAAATCAACACAAATCGAGTAATTAATGATAATCTAAGAAACTCTGCACACCGAGGGGCAAAAATCCACGTTTTTTAATCTTTTTATTTTATTTAAAATTTAACCAAAAATAACCACATCGCAATTTTGACATATATTACGTAAAATTTCTCGAGGAATTGAATGCCGATGTCAAATTTGACTTTTAGCGTGAGGCACATCTTCAAATTTGAGATTAAAATTTTGAATTTGAAATAAATGACCTCGACCTTTGACCTATGACCTTGAAATTAATTTATATTTGTAGATATTGATGAGACAAATCCAACCATATCCAGATTTTCATTATGCGACCACTGGGAGCCGAGATAATTAAGTTTTTTATTTTTTCAAAATGTCCCGCAATTTTGAAACTTTTTTGATAAAAATTTTTGAAGTTTGCTTTCAAGTCATGAGGATTAAGCCTCGAAAATTTCAGGACGCCAGCATCAAATTTGGGGGGACGGGGGACCCATGTGTTCGGCAAAAGAATTGCTCAAAAACGCATTTAAATTTGATTATGATTCGGTTGTGTAAAAGTTTCACAAAAATAATTTCATCGTATTTTAAAGTCAGTGAAACTAATTTTGGCTATAACACCAGCATGTTCCTTAATAACTTTGGTAAATATTTGGTCTAGAAAATTTGGGGTGATTCCATCAATTTTTGATAAGTTTTTTTTTAGGCTGAAAAATGTGATTTTCAGCAATTTTCACGTTTTTGAGAAAATGAAGCTCAAATTTTTTAGCTCTGGAATTTAATAATTATTTGTTTTCTGCAAAAATTTATGGTAGTTTATAATTGTGGTTTAAAAATCTTCAGATTTGGTTAATTCAAATTCCAATATGGTCGCTGGAGAAGTGGAGATACATAAGTGTTTATTAAAACCGCTGCCATATGAATAATTTGACAAAAGCTTTTTTAATTTACTCGGGGGGGGGGGGGGGGAGGTTGGAGCTAATGAATAATGAACCAAGGCATCTTTTCTTAATGGGCACCAGGTTTCCAGGTCGAAGGTCATTGCGTTAAAATGTAGAAGTTGAGGCTTTTTTATATTTGAAACAAATTGATTAAATACATTTTAATTGTATTTAAATCAAAATTGAAGAATTTGAAAACTATTTTGTAACAAAAGGATTCTATCTTCTTTAAATATTAGTCTAGGCATAATTACAACCTCAATTTTAAAACTTCAGAATGCATACGTTGATGGGCCTCATTATAGTACATTTTCCAAAGGGAAATCTATTTTTCTCATTAATTCCCTTTTAGAACATTGACCATAATATGGTTCTGACTTTCTGCGCTTCAGTTAGTATTGAATCAACAAATATTTTGAGAAAAAAGTCAATTTTTTTCAAAGGCCCTCTGTATTTTGTACGAATTAGTTCCCTTCTCACCCCGATAGGCCACGGGCCGCCGTCAGGACCCACTGCGTGGAGATCAACGAGCCGCCGCACTGCGGGTTGCCGCTGAAGTAGATCAACGCGAAGAACGGAAACTGGGTCAGGTTGGCGTTGGACCCGCCGATGATCCGAGCAGAAGCGCTAGGCAGCCCTGAGGGAAAAAGATTCGCTCAAATTTTGCACCAAAATCGAATTTAAAAACGCACTTTTCTCCTCGTCCAAAGTTGGTGAAGCGTCGTCGGCCATCGCTTGAATTTCGGTTCCATTTCCGGTTCGCCACCACGATGAAAAGTCGAAGGCCAAAACCTTAATTGGATTGTATATCAAATTATTACACACATCAATTTGGAACCAAACAAATACACATGTTTTTCATGTACTATTTCCCAGCATCAAGAAAGACAATCAGTTGGAAAAAAAATCTAAGTTACATAAATTATGTAATTTTAGAATGATTTTTCCATGATAAAATGTCAGTTGTACTGATAAATTAGCCGAAAAATTTCTTTTCCTATTTTGTGCACGATTTATTTCAATATTTTTGTTCCTTAGCTGAGACATTAAATTTGTTTCCATGTACCTTTTTTGCATAATTGGAGAGAGGCAAAAGAAAAGGTAAAAATAAAGGGCAAATTTTCTCAAGAAAAGTATTGGTTTGCATTTCAGTTCCCAAGAGGGATGGTAAGAAAGATTGAAGTCATGAGGAGAAATGAATTTTTGAAATTTAACATTGTTTTTCTGGGAATAATTCTTTACTAACAATTGGCCAGACGAGAAAAATGATAAAAATTTCAATGGATCATGTTAATATCACCTCGGTTTAGATGGAAAAACAAAATTAATAGGTCAACCAAAATTTACATTCGTTTGAAGAAAAAGGGTTGCGAAGTTCTAATTTCATATAAGCTCCTTGATAATTAAATTAAATTGCTACAGATTATCACCTTGAACATTACTGAAAATTATTTAAAACTGAGAATACGGAAGAAAAACGTACCGCGGCCACAATTGATATTGAAATGAAAATAAAAACACAAATTTTGATGTGATATATTATAAAAGGGATTAAATTTGTGATCAAAACAGAAGAAAAAGTGAATAAAACGAAATATTTTCCACCTGAATCGAAAAAAGCAGGAGAAGAAACGCTTGAGACCTCATCATGTCCTGGAGTGAAATGCAAGACCCAATATCGAGGTCATTCACCGGCAATCAAAACTTCTACGTGGACACTTGGTTGGGGCATTTGGGAGTTAGCGTGTGTGTCGAGAGCACTTTTTAATTTATGACTTTTCCATCCTTTTGTTTTTCCAAGCTGTCCCATATTTCCAAGGAAGGGTGATAAATTGTTATCACAACCGTTTGTATTTTTCACTCTTGATATGTCACTCACGCCTTTTTATCACTCCTTTGCATGCTTTGCCGCTCTACAATTTTTCCTTAATATTCTTTTAAAATTTCACAAAAACCTCAAGCAATTAAAGTTTATTGAAATATGTGTGCGTTTCGCATGTAAAATTCAAAGTTATAACGCGTAAAACGTTGAAATGAATCGCGCTCGTGTTAATTGTAATTATAAGTGTTTCTTGGCCTTTTGAGATAAGATTGTGACGACGCGCACTTTCAGGAAATAAATGGGCTCTCAAGAGTAGTTGTAACTCCATTATTAATTACTATGTTCTTTATCAGCCTCGGACGTAATTAATGACATTTTCTACGCCAGGCAAATTAACCAGAATAATTAAAAATTAAACTGGGACTGAAAAATAAATTGCTTGGAAATAATAACATAATAAGCTGTAATTGTAGGAGGGAATTAAGGATATTAATTATTGTCAGAGTCAGAAACGATTCAATGAAAAGTTTTCCCACTACAAATTGGATATAAGCTATAAATAACTGAATTTAAAGGCGAGAACAATATGCATATTGACTTAAAAAAACTGATAAGAATTCAGTAAAAATAAAAAAATAAAATCCAACGAAGTTTCACTTCAAAATTTATTAAACTTATTTTTGCCTTAATTTCGATTGAAATGAAGGGAGAAAAATCTTGATCTCTGAAGAGAAAAAATATTGAAGTAAGGGAATAAAAATAAAATTTGTTTAAGCAAATTCAAATCTTTTACAGATGGGTGTGTGGCATTAATTTTGAATTTGTTAAGAAAAAATTTGTAATTATAGTTTATAGTATTAATAATTATTATTAATTTTGAATTCAAGTAAACCTCACAAACCAGGTGAAATAACTTTAAAATTAAACGATTAAGTTTTCAAAAATTACGCGTTTCTTTTACAATATCTTCATTGAAATGATAAAATTTCAACTGAAATAATCAAGGAAATAAATCGAGGGTTATTAAGATAATGTTCTTATCTTCTTCTCACCAGCTTATGAGAGTGACTCGTTGTTAAACTTTATTAGCTTTTCATAGAAATCTCTCTGTCACGGAAAACTTCTTGCTCGGACCGAATAGGATAAAAATTAATCACGCCTTTTTTTATTCGTACCTTTCCGTACCTTTCGCACAAAACAAAATGTTTCTTTAGACTTTAAAATAAACTATATATTTCTATTTGATGGTAAAAGAGATAAATCGGAAAAAGAAATTTGAAAAAAAAAACCCTGCTGAAACAAAATTGGTGACGCGCGCACAATTGCACTGATAATGAAGCGTGATATCCGGTTGTAGTGAGAATGCGCGATTTCTCAAGGAAGATTATTTGATGCTTTTTCTCGGACTCAATTCGTGATAAGCTTATCGGCCGCTTCTCTCTTCCTCGGCAGTTGGTGCGACGCAATCTGTGCGTGCAGATCGCAGATTCGCAATTGTTGGGCGAAATATGGAAGAATTGAAAATTGTGTTGGAAAAAGCCGTTTTCTTCGCCGGGCAAAACGTGTCAGGCACGATTTCGCTCAAAAACAATCAGCCACTCAAATTTCGAGGTGAAAATGTTTAATTTGAAATATTTTAAAATTTCATTTCACGGCACTGATGGAGAAAAAAATTCTATTTTTCCAAAATATCTGAAATTAATTAACAAGTTTTTATTAAATAAAAATTGCATTATGAATATTTTTCTGAACACACATTTTTCAAATAAACGTCACTAAACAAATTTTTTTTACAGGCTTTGACCTTTTGTGAGATGATTTAAATTATGTTTTGCTGTTTTTTTTTTCACAAGCTCATTGATTTTCTGTCAAAATAGTGAAATTTTGGAAATCTCTAGTTAATTAATAAATTAATTATTCAATGAAAAAAGGCGTCACTTTAAATTTGACGGGGAAAGCCAAGGCGTCGTGGAGCGAGTCGGACGGCGACGGCAGCTCGACCTACTCAAAGAAGGAGCCTTACTTTAGGCAACAATCTCTCCTCGTTGGATCTGGTATTAATTATATATTCCACCCCATTATTATTTTTGATTAATCTTCAAATTCCAAAAATGACGAAAATATTATTGCGATGAATAGTTTTCCCTCCAAAATAATTTTAACCCTGACAAAACATTGTCCTGAATTGAAAGAAATTCAAATGAAAAAGAATTTCTAAATTAAACGAATTTAGCGGGAAAAAGAAAATATGAAAAAATTTATCCACCCTCACATCAATAATGAAAACTGAATCTTTGATGTAGTCCTTAAAAAAAAAATTGTTGACAGGAAGGGAGGAAATGGTTGTTGATGGTGGCCAACACCGGTACCCTTTCAACTTCAACCTGCCGAGGGACATTCCGTCGTCGTTCGAGGGCGAGCACGGCTACGTCAGGTACTGCCTGAGCGCCGTCGTGGACCGGCCCTGGAGGTCCGACCTCGAAACGACGGTGCCCTTGAACGTCGTCGCCCTCGTCGATCTCAACAACATCGACCCTCCAATAGCCGTAAATATCCGAACAAAATAATCAGTTGAAGGAATTATTATTATTATTATTATTTTTTTTTTCAAAATCATAGGAACCGGCGACGGCTTCACAGGCCCACATGTTCAGCTGCACCGCGGGTGTTGTCAACGTCGTCCTGTCGTTGCCGACGGGGGGCGTCGTCCCTGGCCAGACCCTTCGGCCCACTTTGGAGGTCGAGGACAACTCGAACGCCTCTTTAAGACGCGTCAGGCTCAAATTAGTTCAGGTTGGTTTAGAAAAATTTTCAGTACATTTAAAAATTGTAATTTTTCAAACTTGATGGAATCATAATTTTATTAAATTTCATTTGATCTTGAAGACCGAGCAATGATTTTTCAAACTAAAATCTGGAACAGAATAAATGATGAATTTTTTATTTGTTGAAGTCCGTAGAAAAAAATCTTTGATTGTGAGTTAAATGTAAAAAATTTGGAGAAAAAATTAAAAATTGTGTTAATATAAATTTAATGTTCGGCTTGCTTGTTCAATGAATTAAGTAGAGATACGAAATAATTTTTGCTTCTAAATTTCTCTTTGTTGTTTATTTCCGTCTGTGTAATTATTAATTTTATTATTTCTTTGAATAATATATCAAGCACACCTAATATTGAGCAATAAAATCTTCATATATATCTACATCATTTAGAAAATAGAAATGTCCATAATATAATCTCGAAAATATTGTTTCAATCATATTTGAAACATATTCATCATATTAAATCAACTTTCAATAATTTTATTTAATATTATACTGGCATCTCTCTTAAAATTATATAATTCTTTTAGATTGTGACGTACAAAGCAAGTGCAAGCAGAAGAAAAGTTTGCACTAAGTAAGACCATCATCAAGAGCGTGTTGGGCTCCGTCGAGCCTGGAAAGTCGCACACCTTCGGACAGGTCGGCATCAAAGTTCCCCCTCTTCCGCCCTCTATGTTGGGATTGTGCAAAGTCATCGACGTTCTTTACCATTTCAAGGCAAGAAAAATCTATATTAATTAGGTCAGATTTTCTTTGCAAAAAAGGGTAAAATTATAATCAGAAGAAATTAAATTGTTCGCAAAAAAGTGCCCAAGTTATAAATTTAGTTTAATTTAAAAATTAAATTAGTACTTTGTCGCGCCTTTCAAAAATTATAATTAAAAAGTTGATTTACACTTTAAATGTTGCAAGTTCTTACCTTAATTCTATTTTCAAGTGAATTACAGTTACCGCGACTATTAAAATTGCGGTTCTTATTATTTTGTGTTCGCTTTAGTCATTTTTTTTATACTACAAAATTGCAAAACTCATATTTTTAGCCCTTCGCAATTATTCGTGCAACTTTTTATGATTTGTAAGTATTTTTATAAGAAAATCGGTTTGTTCATATTTCAGTTGGTTTGTTGAAATCCGCTTGAAATCTGTGTGTCTTTCAAATAAATAATAATTTTTGCGCGCAGGCTTTCTTCACGCCGTCGTCGACCTGGAGCCGCGATTTCCACGTGCAAGTGCCGATCGCGGTCGGCACCATCCCTAGTCTGCGTGGTCCACCCTTGCAACCCTCGCAACACCAGCGTGAGTTATTTACCGTAACGGATTCTAAGAAAAAATTAATGACACATGCAACGATAGGGAAAAAAATTCTAATATTTTAACAGAAACGTATTTTCTGTTAAAAAATTTTGATGTTGCAGAGATTTTGAAAAAAAAATTGATCCAACCTTTTTGTTGCAATTTATCCAGAACAATAAACATTACTTCTTTACGGGGAAAATAATTTCCAACTTAAGGGAGGTTGGAAAAATGGAAAACGTTTCAGAGTCATTTAAAAAGTAACGATTTTTTAACTAGAAAACCAGATTTAATTCAAATTTAAACAGTTGTTGCGCATGGTCACCTTTTACATCATAACTTTTTTATATTTAAGAAATCTATAACATTCTATCTTGTGTTCAAAGCAGCCCCTTTAACGTACGACTACGAAGTGTGTGTTTTGGGCGCCGCCAGCAAAGTCAAGAAATCAGTCGGAAAACCCAAGTACCCCGTCTACAGCTGCTAAAACCTCTTTTATTCTAATAATTTGTACATCATTGCTCATAAAAATTTTGTAATTTTCAATAAATATGATAAACATGACATGTATTTATAAAAAAAAAAAACTCTTTGAAGTGTTGAAAAGGTCTGATTTGTTTTCAAAAGTTATAAGAGTTAATTTTTACAATCAAAATGTTTATCAATAAATGAATATGATATTATTATTTTAATAAATATGAGAAGCATGAATTTTATTTTAGAACACTGCAAGGAGGATGTCTTATTATTCTTGTAATGATAATGAATTTTATTTTTTCGGCAAAAGTTTTTTGTTTAAAATTCTTTCAAATCAATCTTTTTTCTGATGAAGGTTCACCTGGAACTTCATTAATAATGAGGGGCGCTTGAGGATTTTTTCATAGACGTGGGGGGGGGGGGGAAGAGGGGCCAGAGGGGGCGTAGGCATTGTCAGTAGTTGTTGTTTACAAAGTTCCGAAGGTGATGCCACGCGTTCCAATTTGGTCTCAAAACGAGTGTTTTTTCTTCCAAAAACGGAACAATGAAGACTCATTTGTGATTTGTGAATCGTCACGTTTTGCAGCGGCGACGCGATCAAGGTAAGTGTCTGTTTTCATCCCGATTTAATTCGCTCAAATTGGCCTCGCCAGCCGGAAGGAAACTTGAATTGCAATACATAAGTTTTTCTCGATGACACTTTATTGCAATCAAAACTTTATTATTCATCCATGGATTTATTCATCGAGACTCGTAAAATCTGCAAAAAATGAAAAATCAGATTGGATTATTCCTTTATTTTTCAAACTTCAAGCAGAACAATTTGTGATTCGATCGAACGCGTGAAGGTTTTTTATCATCTAAGGGTGTTTACCCTGAAGCACTTGTCAAAAAATGGAGTTGTTTTTAAATCTAAACATCAGAATTATATTTGCACAGTCAAACAGAAGATTCATTAAACCTAGCCCAGTCTGATTAAAAATTTTATATCATCATAATAATTTCGTAAGCACGTTCAAAAAAGCTTTTTAGTTTTTATCAATCAATCACTCTTGCAACCCTTTTTATTTCAGAAAATAAAACTAGCAAATTCCTTATAAACATAAGTTGAGGAAAATTGAAATTACACTTCAGCAAAACATTAGTCTCACATTTTGGATGTCGTTTTTTTTTAAATAATTAAAAAAGATCTCTCGAAAATGTAACATATTGAGTTAGAAAACTTTCGTTCAATTATGAAATTAGGTGAGAAAGAAACTAATATTTCTGTGAATGATTTTCTTTTTCTGTTTACTTCTATTCTTCTGAAAATTACTAATCTGCGAGTTGGCTGATTTAATTTTAATTGACAATCATTCTCTCTCAGATAATGAAATGTATCTTGAATTCATTGAAAACTCTTAAATATTCCTGAGCTGCAAACAACCAACAACCGCACTTGCTAATCTTTCAACTGAATCAAGCAAATTAGCAGACTCACAGTAGAGAACAAAACCTGCAGTAAAAATACATTCCATATTTCAAATTATAATCGATTTATGAGAGGAAAAACTTGCATTGATCTGGAACGTTTTTCCTGTCGTTATGTATCCGGCTAAAGAAATTTCTTGTTCGTGGAATTTGCAAATCCTGTGCAGAAATTCCGACATCTGTTAAATTTAATCCTATTGATTCACAAAACAGGTAAAATTGTTTACAAATACCATCAGTTTCCTTCCTTTGTTGATTTGAAATTGGCCTGTAACGGAAATCGCCTCCACCAGATTCAGTTTTATCTAAATATTTTAGGAAATAACATTTTTTATTTTTTAGTGGAAATAATTTTATTCAAAAAGTTAATTTTTACCGTCGTTTGCAAATTATGAGAGGATGAAGTGACGACATGAATTATCATAAAACTCATCAACACGGAGTAGAAATAACGAACGAAATCTTCCTTTGCGGTGCTCAAAAGATAGGCAATGAAAATAAATCGAATAAAAGTGTAAACCATCAAAACACCGATTGACAAGGAAAACACGTTTCCCAAATTAATCGTCACTTTTGATATGAGAAACCAGATTTTTCTGAATTCCAGCACTTCTGAATCAACGCAACTCTTCGCTAATAAATCCTGGGAAGTAAATATATAAATGTTTTTTTATTGAAATTAAAATAAAAATCTGTACCTTGTAATTTCTCAAAGTGTAATTTGAAAGCATTCGCAATCCTTTGCAGCTTAAAAACCACCACAGAACGATCAGCGTCTGATTTTGTGCGGCGATCATGTTGGTTAAAAACTGCAAAATCCACTCGAAAACCGTCGGACTTTCGATTACTTTCCCGATTTTTAGGTAAATCGTTGCAAAAATGACATAATTCGCCGCTAAGAAGATCTTGGTCGCAAATCTGAGCTCCATTTTCAACTTACTGTCAAATGAAGTCTGTGGTTTTCTGTTAAATTTTACCTTGAAATGCCAAATTCATTTTTTAAGTACCTGCATAAAGTTCCAATCGTTCAGAAGACGCACCAGGTTTTTGCTCTGCAGAAGGACGCAGATCGCACTCACGAAAGGCATGACTCGCCTTGTGTTCAAAAATTGCGTGGTCAAATAGTGTGTCAGCGAAAGGTATTGCAATCCCTAAACACGTTCAAAAGGGTTTAATTTCAAATTAACACACAAGAGACCGAAAAATAAACTGACCTCTCGGTAGATTTTTGCTTGGAGCCAGCAAAGGAGACCAAATTGGACCATTAAGGCGGAAATGCTGTAAATCAATTCGCAAATCCCAATTTCAAATTGAACAATTCCTTTAAGTGTGGAGACTATTTCCGATTTGCACGGAAAAAGGCCAAAAACTTTGAAAATTCGCAACAAGGGAAGTATTCCCCGCGCGTAGGCGTTTAGTTTCACCATTTTTATGAGGCGAAATCCATGCTACATTATGCTTTTTACTCTTTATCGATCCAATTTTGGAAAAATTACTGCACTTTGGAAACAAACATTGGCTTCGTTAGGGTGAATTATTGATTTATCGAACACTTTTTTCTTCCAATCTTTATTTGTTTTTTCTAACAATGTCCTCCAATGGGGAAAAAATTATAGAAATTAGCAAGGTCAAAGTACAAGTTCGTAAAACCTGTAAGATTTTTTTAAGTGGGCCACATTTTCTAAGAATTTGAACATTTTAAAACCTAAATTTTAGAAAAAATGATTATTTTAATTATTTTGGAGTGAATGCACTTTGGTAAATGTCTATGCTCTGCCATTAGCCCTTTTCAGCTATACACGGTGCAATAGTTAAAAGAGCGTAAAAAGTTTGAAACGTTTTGTCAAAATATTGGTGAAACTTGTTGGTGCACATATATGTGGAGCTCTTAAGTGGACCACATGTGTCTATAATTTTGAAAAATTCCATAATTTCAAAACTGCCATTTTGCAAATTCGCAGCAAGGGCAAAATTCCACGTGTGTAAGCAACCTTGCCATGTTTGCAGAAACACGGTCAGATCGGCTAAGGTAATAAATATTGCTCAATCGATCAGCTCTAAAAAGACTATTAAATGGTCAGTTATATTTTTTGCAACGATTCAATTCATTCTAAATTTTAAGTGTTCAATTCTTTGGAAAGGCCACAATGAACCAAACTTGTGTAGAGTCAGAGAAAAAACAAAAACCAGCCAATTTATTGTATTAATGATCTTTTTTCTCAATATATATAACGAATTTCATTACATTATTATAATTAATTAATTAAATTGTTTAGAAACTGTATTTATTTGAAAATTTAATTCATAAAATATACATTTTTGCTTCAAAACGTTTTTGGATTGCCATTGCTAATTTCTCAGCTGAATCAAACAAACGAATAAAGTCAAAGTCGAAGTTAAAACCTGCAATGGTTAACTTTATAAAGATATTTTCAGTTCAATAAATTAAAAAATACTTATACATTTAGCTGAAAAGTTTTGCCTATTTTTGTGTATCCCGACAAATAAATTTCTGGTTCGTGGAATTTGGAGAGCTTTTGCAGAAATTCAGTCATCTGTTTAATTAAAGAAATGATTAATTATCATGAAGTTGATATTTAAAATTAATTACCATTTGTTTTTCTCTTTCCGTGATTGGCAGTTTGTCGGTAATTGAAAGCGCCTCGACAAAATTTCGTCTCATCTGAGGGAAAAATCAATTCATTTCTAGTGAGAAGAAATTAATTTTACCATTGATACCGTGTTCTGCAGATTATGTGCGTTTGTAGTGACAATAAAGAGAACGCAGGAACTAAAGCAAATCGAGTAAAAGTGGCGCAGCAAATTGTCGCCGTTGGTCGCAATCATGAAGGCGACGAAAGCGAATCGCACAAAAGTGAAGATCAGCAAACAGCCGATTGGCAAGGAAAACACGTTCCCCAAATTAATTGCCACTTTTGAAAGGAAGAGCCAAATTTTTAAGAATTCTCCGACCTCAGATCTCCTTCCAAGGAAATCCTGAAAAAATTTTTACAATTGAAAATAAATTTAAATTCATCGCAAACCTTGTAACTGCATAAAATAGAATTCGAAACAATTTGCAATCCTTTGCAGCTGAGGAACCACCAGAGCATTAACAATGCCTGGTTTTGAGCGGCGATCGTGTTGGTTAAAAACTGCACAATCCACTCGGTTCGTGTCGGGGATTTGATTAATCTTCCCATATTTAGATTCACTATTATAATTATCAAGAAAATCGCCACTAAAAAGGTTTGCGTGGGGAATTTGAACCTTCTTTTCAACTCTCCAGGCCAAAGTTGATCCAATGAAGCCTGCATTTTTTTTTTTATAATTTTCACTATTTTAATGCAGTTAACATTTTTACCTCAATGAAGTTCCAATCGTTCAAAAGACGCACCAAATTTCTGCTCTGGAGGAAAACGCAAATCGCACTCGCAAAAGGCCAAACGCGCCGCGTGTTCACAAATTGCGTGGCGGCAAAGTTTGTCAAGGATTTTAAATGCAATCCCTAAGTTTAAAGTGTTTTTAATTTTATTTGCAAACTAAAAATCCAACTTGCCTCTTGTCCTTGGTAGATTTTTGATTCGATCCAGAAGAGGAGACAAAATTGCACCGACAAGGCAGAAATGCTGTAAAATACTTGACAAATTCCGATTTCAAATCGAATCGATTCCTTTTTGATTGAGGAGAATCTGAATGGAAAAAGGCCGAATATATTCAAAATTTGCAACAAGGGAAATATTTCGCGTGCGTAAGAGTTTACTTTGCCCATGTTTGTGTGAATTCATGCTTTATTATTTTATCCTGATCGATCAAAGAAGCTTTTATTGAAATTAAAAAAGTGCGGGAATGAGAAATAATAATAGGAGCAGTATAATTTGGAGACCGATAAAATAATGATTGTCTTCCTCATTTTTTTTTTTAGGTAAATCCACAAGTTGTAATCGTCACGGACACAACATGAAATATTCAATTTTTATAAAGATATTTAAAGTGGTGATGAACAAAACTTGCCTTTTACTCTCAGGAAAATGTAATTAAGAAAATCTAAATTTGCTGAAAATTTTACATTGGTTGAATATTAAATTTTATAATTGAAACAAGACAATGCTGAGATCAATTGTGGCAAAGAGGATGGTATTACAAATTTAGTTTATTGCAAACCAAAAATAATATTAGGAAGTTGCAAGTAAGGGGTTTGCATATTATTATACTGACTGATTATTTAATTGTTTATTTAAATTATTAATGGGTAATTGTTCAATAATTCTATTGTTTAAATTATTATTATTAATTTGTAATTGTTTAATAATTTATATTGTTAATTGTTTAAAACAATGCAGGTTGGCTTACACTGCATGGGCTTTATTTTATTTACAACAATTCTGGCAGAATGGTAAATTTCACTGACTCGAAATTGTTAGTTGAATGTCTCTTAAAAAATCAACAAATGGGAGCGGCGTTCCCTGGGTAGGCCGGCAGGCTGCCCTGGAAACGTCCTTGCTGGACACCCGGCGGCTCCCTGCAGGTCGGCGGCGGCTCTCGGCGCGGCCGGGGCCCACGGCGTGCGGGTCTCTGGCGGCGGACGTTCGGACGCCTTCGTCCGAGCGCTCGCTGGCGGCGTGCCACGTCGGCGCCCGATTCCTCGGACAGGAAGGAGCTGGGGACAAAAACAATGGGTCACTCGGCTGTGCTTCCGTCCCGCGTAGTGGTTTGACCTTTCGGCCAAAAGAAGGCCTCAGGGAGAGACTAATTGGAATCTCTCTTACCCGGCAAAGCTGCTCCGTACGGCTTCGGACGGCTCAGCCGCATCCGGGACAGTACGAGGGACACTGGTGTGTCTCTCGAGGGGCTCGGGACGCGGTCGGCCTTCCGGCTGTCCTCGGACGAGACAGCGTCGGGACAAGACAGCGGTCGGGCCTCGGGACGGCTCGGACGGGTGCGATGGAATCGGACGGGCGTCCGAAACTGCACTGGGTGTCCAGGTGTCCTGCGAACAGAGAGCAAAGGGTTAATGCTCTCCGTCAGCTGGCTCGAGTGTCGGAGCTTTACCTCGGATTTCTCTGAGGTCTGTCAGCCTTCCGCATCGAGCCAGCGGACGGAGCGCCTTTTATAGCGCGGGTAGCAGCCCTGGGAGGGTCGTGCAAAACCCACCCACCCATTTGATTTACATTGAGAACTTTCTAGATGCATCTAGAAAGTTCTGTGAATCTGCAGTTGAATTCTAAAATGCCTTTATAAATTCCCTTGTATCGAAATAGAAACCCATGAATTTTACAAGCTAATTCCAATTGAATTTATACTAATTATTTGTAATTTTAAAGCTACTTTAAATTTAAAATAAACGCAAGATTAATTTGAAAGAATTCAATTCAAAACAATTGCCAGAAATTAAAAAAAGAATAATTAAAAAGAAAGCCTTTAAAAAAATGAATCTAATTGTAAGCCGAAAATTAATTGAATGATAATAAATAAAAAAAACAATGAAGTTCTCCGATGACACAGCCACAGTCAAAACAAACAAATTAAGAGAGGAATAAAATAATTATTCCACACCAAGGACCTGCGAAGTAGAATTGCTTTTATAATTATATAATCATAAAAATCACACGCACCAAAAGCTCAAATTTTTGTTTTTGAATGACATAAAATAATAATTCCTTTTGATATCCTTGACAAGCTAAAAGTATACTTTTGCTTTGCGAAAAGGAATTATTCGAAATTATAATTAACAGAACAGAAAACGGGATTTTTTTTAAATTTAAATAAGTTCTGAAAACAGTATGAAATGAACTCGATCGATTCATTTGTCCATGTAACTTGCCCTCAACAGTAAGATTTATCTAAAAATTATTATTTGCGTCGGCGCCGAATCGCTTCACAAAGGCGCCGACAGAGGCGCCCGTTTTTGCGCAGCGACCAAAATTCGGAGCGATTCGGAGAACGGAGAGGGAGGGCGTGTCTCGGGTCTGCAACCGAGTGAGCACCAAACAGTGTTTTCGCATCTTTATTGTTTGCATACAAACAAGTTGAGGGGCGTTTCAAGGAGGCAAATTTTTGCGTCTACAAGTCGGCAGCTTTTTTGGTGAAATATATTCATAATTGCAGGTAAAATTTTAGTCGGCAGCACTTGGAAAGTTCATTATTTGCATTAATTTGTCTTTAAATTTCAAAATAGTTAGTGTGAAATAATTTCATGGGCCAAATAAAAGGCCCACTAAAAGTGCATTTTGCATGTTTTCGTTGCAGAAAATTAAGCAGACATGGGTCTGGACAAGTTTCAAATTATCTTTGACACGCAACCGGCGGTTTTCTATTCAGGCCAAACCATGAGTGGCCGAATCGTGGTCTTCAACAGCAACGAGGACAAATTCAGAGGTAACTTTATTATTAAATAAAGGTCACTCATTTTGATTGGCAAAATTCAGCCGCTTTTGATGAAATTCGGTTGAATTCCTGCCCTACTGAAGTTTCTGGGGGCGCAAAATTTATTTGAGTTATAATTATAGCTGATAGGAGGATTGAGGCCTAAAATTATTGTGGATTTTTAGAATTTTAAACTGGTTCTCCACAATGACATAAAAAAATCAAGGTTGCCTCTTCTGATCTTTTGTTTTTTGCAAAAATACCAAATGAATATGTTCATTGTTTGTTTCAATGTGATTAAAAATTCGTACTAATTCATAGCAAAAAAGGTATGAAATTTGGTCACAATTAATTCCTTTCTTTTTACTTTGAACTTATAGTAAAAAAAAAGGCGAAACCACTATTTTTATCCTGTGAAAAAATTCGACTTTTATTCAAATTTACATAAAAACAACATTTTTTTCTGTTAAATTTAGGAAAAAAAATTTAAATGACAAATCAATTGTCTATAGAACCGGTTCAAAACAGCACACAGAATTCAAAAAATTTGTTTTTTTTCCTACTAAATTTCAGAATTATTTTCTACTTTTAAAATTTGCATGATTTAAATTGATAGAAATTTTAAGAAACCAGATCCTGTCGCACCAATCAAGTTGGCAAAATCAATAGATGTGTCAGAGTCATCAAAATTTAAATTGATTTTATGAAAATCGGTTCAGTCAGTAAATAATCTTCTTACTTACGTGCAAAAGCGAAACTGCCAAATTTCATCAAAATCAACCATTGAAATTGATCAATAACTTTTGAATTGTAACAACCAAGATAATGATAAAATAAAATTAATTAAGGAATCAACGTGAAAATCTATGGCGAGTCTTCAGTGAAGTGGAGGTCGTCGCTGAGGCGCAGCTCGGACAAACGGGACGGTTTTTTGAACAACCTGGACATGCTGCTTTCGAACAAACACAACCGGTCGCGATACACCTTGCACGAGACCAACGAGGTTTACTTGGATCACGAGTTCCCCATATTCGGCGGCGGTGAGGAAATTTTTGAATATTTTTATATAGGTTTATTTATTTTTTCCATTCATGGAAAGAATTAAAATATTCATCTTTTTTTAAAAAAAATCTTATCAAAAAAATGACATAAAGTACTGGAGTTGGTAAAAATGGTAAATTGCATAGAGGGGGAGAAGCTGAGTTTGGAGCCGGGCGAGCACTCGTACCCCTTCACGTACACCCTGCCCAAGAAACTGCCGTCGTCGTTCGAGGGCGAGTTGGGCTTCGTCAGGTACACGTTCAAGGCCACCGTGGACAGGCCGTGGAAGACCGACTGCGCCGCCAAGGTCGCCTTCACCGTCATCAGCCCCATCGACCTCAACAAGGACCCCAACATGGCCGTGAGAATTAAACACATTTATTTTAAACTAAAAATTTATATTTAAAAAAATTGAAATTTAAAATTATATTGCTTATATTGATTTGAGCTTTGAAAATCTGGCAAAAATTTAGAAACATAATAAATTTCTCTTAATTTAGATAAAAAAAAAACAAAAACAACTAACCTTTAGAAATTGTAATTAAGGTATATTGTAATAAAAAAGACGGAAAAATATTTTATTTCGTTTGGTAGGAATTTTATCATTTTCATTTTTGTTTGATAAGTATTGAAAAATTCTAAAATCGAAAAAAATCAGAATGATTGTTGAAAAAGAAAGATTGTTCAATCACATCCAAAAGTTGCTTTAGACTTATAGTAAGAAAAATCATATGAAAATTTTGCGACATATTTTTTTTTTATTTTGCTTTAAAAGCAGTTTAAAAGTATTCTGGATTTGACAAAACAACGAAAAATTGCATATTTTCCGCTTAAAAAATTCACTTGCAACCTCTGTTGATGGTTTTTTCCTTTTAAGATGTAATATTAAGCGTCATGAAATTGATTTGAAAATTACAGATATTTAAATAATATTGATTAAAAATTCCCAAAAAGGATCCTGAAAAATAAAACGCAATTTTTAATAGAACGTTTTGTAAAAATATAGAAAGATAGAATTTGAATTTGACTTTTTTTTTTAATATAAATAATTTCCAGAGCCCGACGAGTGTGGAGTCGATTCAAAAGTTCGGCTGCTGCTACTGTTGCTGCGCGTCCGGCGCGGTGAAGGTGTTTGTGTCGGTGCTGACCGGCGGCGTCGTGTCCGGAGACACCCTGCTCGCCACCGTCGACATCGAAAACACCTCCAGGGTCGCCCTGAGCCGCGTCACCCTCAAATTCATAAAGGTCTCAAATCTGAAAATTATTAAAAAATATTTAAAATAAATTTAATTCAGGTGGCGACTTACAAAGTGAAGCGCAGCAGGGGCAAAAAGTGGAACTGCAGCCGCAAGTGCGAAGTGACCATTGTGGAGAAAAACCTGGGCCGCCTCGAGTCGGGCCAGGCCCACGTTTACCAACGCGAGGCCCTCAAAATTCCGCCCCTGCCCCCCTCCAACTTGGCCCACTGCAACACCATCGACTTGGACTACTTTGTCGTGGTACTACATTTATTTAATTTAAATTTAAATAAAAAAAAAATGTCATTTGTGTCCAAAGCTCAATTTAAATTTAATAAAAAAAATCAATTTTTAACAATAAAAGTAGTTTTAAACCATTTCAAATAATATTAAATTAATTAATTTCTAAAAATTAAATCACATTTAATTTTATTCAATCTCAAATCAAATGTTAAAACTTTAAGAGTCTGAATTTTTCCATAATGTACCGTCAGTTATTTTAAGATATTCATACTTACAATAAGTTCTTTTTCAAGCTATTTTTACTATTCACCATAATGAAAGATAATTTTGATTAATCTAAAGAACTTTTGAAAACTATAAAATTTATCTTCATGCAATTATTACTATTTTTTTCCTTCCAATTTCACTTATACTTTTTTGTGTAATTTTAGGCGCACATTTCCCCATTTGGCGCTCATCGCAATTTTGAAGTGCGGGTGCCGATGGTGGTGGGGACGATTCCGCTGCAGCAGAACTCGGCCCAGTACGCCCCGGCCCCTCAAAATCCACCCCTGGGATGGAACGTTGACCCGTCGGCACCTCCGCCCGAACACAGCATGCCCAGCATCTACCCAGATCTGCGTAAAAATTTTAAATAAGTTTAAAGTTTGAAATTAAACCGAAATTTCAATTTGCAGCTCATCCGAGTTTTGAGCAATCGGCGTTCGGAACGACAAACTTCTTCGACAACTCGGAAAAGAAAAATGTGTTTGGAGACAAAAACTTCGCTCCGATGTATCCTGTGTTCAACACAAATAATATGATTTAATTAATAATTTTTATTCATTTGAAAGGAAGTACTTTGGCCCTTTTTGGGTTGATATTCTGAAATAGAAACGTCACACGCAGAAATAAATTTTATAAATAAATTTTAGAGCTCTCTATTTAATTTAAAAAAAATTATTTAATATGCTGAATATTTGGGCAGCACCAATTTATACTTATTTTACAACTAATTTTTTAGCTGACGAACACATGTTAAGCAGCTGCAATTTTAGTGACAGACGATTGTCAAAGAAACATGATTTTTTTTAAATATATGTCAAAATCCTGCCGCAGAATAACAAATTTGATATTATACACAAGAACCTCTATTAGGAATCAAGTCAAACTAAAGAAAGATATTTAATAATATACCTTAAATTTTCTGCCTTTTATATATTTTATTGATATTGTAATTATACATTTGAAGTGTGACTTCTGCATTTAATGTATTAAAATAAAGTAATCTCAACAATGTTTTTGTAAACGGTCTTGAAAAGATTGTTTAAGTGCACGAAAATAGGAAAGAAAATTATGCAAATTGGTGTCTTAGTGCATTTCGCGCGCCTTTTAAAAGTGTGCCTGCTTTTGCTGTATTGTCCGGTGCAAAAACCAAAGTTGATGTATTTAACAAACACACGCAAGCTGTAATTAAAATAAGAAAAAATTCCCTATTGGGTGCTGGAGAACTTTGTTGTCAAATAATAAAAGGAGAGAAATAAAAGTTACAATCTGCTAGAAATGCGTCTCTTTAATGGAAAAATTTTTATTTATTAATTACATGAAATTGCATAAAAAAATACAGATTTAAATTACTTTACTTATTTATTTCAAAGTGAATAAACTTTTTTATGAAATGGAAGAGAGAAAAAATTACTCCAATTTGTTTTATAATTGAATTTTCTTCGGCTTTATAATTGATTTACCATTGAACCTGCAGTTCAATTTTCAAGCTCATTATATAGCAGGGCTTAAGTGAAACTTAAATAAATTGTCATGTAATTTCACGTTACAAAAGAAACACCCCTAATTTTGTTATCTATGCCTTATATATTTTTGCAGCTCAAATGCAAAAGGAATTTAAATAATATCAAGTTAATGAAATTCAGCTATTTTATCAAATAATAATATGCAAATGTCAAAACAAAGTTCCCATAATTGGCAGCGCGGTCTTATTGCTTTAACTATTCACTATCGTGTCGTCTAGTTGACCTTTCAGCCACTAGGAGCGTTTCGGTTCTGCTCAAGCTTTGCATTAAAAAGAGAGAATGAGAAAAGGGGCGGGGCCTCCCTATACCTGCCATGCTGAGCCAACTGCTGAGCTGAGCCGCTCCAATGTTATTGAATGAAAAGTTTTTTAAACCATTATCGTGCATATATGAAGCTTGTTAGACCAGCTGTTAAAGCTGTTCGACGCCCCATTGCAGCCCGGCTCGTTGTGCGACGTAATTTGCTTCTAATTTTGCAATTTCCGCGGCTAATCGCACCTGCGAGGAGGGCTTTCTCAAAATCTTGGCCCTTCCAAAAGGTATGCTTGTTTTCAGGCCTTTCAGGGGTCGCTTCTCGCTTCCTTCACCAGACCCGCAGATCCACCCCAACCGACCAAAACCCAAACCTGCGCCGTAATTTGCATCCCTAGCTCGCTCTCTTGGCTTAAATTTCCGTCCTTTTTGCCAACAATTGCACGTTTCCTTTATCAATTGCTTTTGAAATTCAAAGCCGCCGATAGAGAAACTGCAGTTGACCTTGAAACGTGTACAAAAATGCATCCCCTGTTGCTTATTGAGATAACACAATAACCTGCCTTTAAAGTGACAGAGACAGCATAATTATCGCAACAATGAAAACAAAAGTTGATGCGCGGTCATTGTTCGCAACTCTGTGATTGCTGCGCGTGAAAACTAAAAGTTAGTGTTCGTTCAAAATATAATTCAACAATTAAAATTCGCTCCGATTGTTGTTAATTGGTGTTAATTAAAAAGTTCAAGGTCATGAATTGAAATCTTGGTCAACAAACCCAGAATTTCAAGAGTTAAACCAAAATTTTGATCATAAAAGCAAGCTTTTTGAAAACAAATTTTAGGGACGGGGCCAAATTTTAACTTTAAAGTGTTTGTTTCCTTTTTCGGTTCCATAATGGACTTAATTGGCAATTTAAATTAATTATACTGTTATTGTTTTTTTTTTGTTTAATTAATTTCCTCAGTACATTTGTAACTATTTATTTAATTTTAATGTATTTAATTACGTTCTGCCTTGAAATAATTTTTCTTTAAAATTTTAATCTCTTTTTGTTAATAATTAATTAGCGGCTTCTTGTAATTTTTTTTTCATAATCTATTGTTGCTTTGTCCTTTTTTACCTGCGCTTCACCGTAATTAATTAATTAATTTGGTAGAAATTAATTAGAGTTGTCGGCTAGATTGAGAGCAATGTCGAAGGTTTGCGCTTTGCCCGTGCAGACTCAAGAGGCGACGGTGCCATCACCGGACACCAAAGTACAAGTGGTGCCCAAAAAGGTCGTCATGACGGTGGCGATCGAGGGCGCCAAACCCTTCAAACCGCCGCTACCCCAAAACTAGCAAAACCATTTACAAAAGGCAAGATTAACTCTCCGTATTTATTATTTACATAAACACTGTGTTTAAAGCCAGATTTTTTTTAATGAAAAGTATATTTGGTTTGAAATTTTGTCCCTTTTGAATTATATTAATTTTTTTTGATCGAAAAAAATTTTTTGAGAGAAAATTATTATTTTTTTCGTGGAAACGCCAATTATTCGCAAGTGCAAAATTTTCGGTACAGCCGCACAAATAATCGCACAAATTATTTTTGCTCCTCCCCTCCCCCCTGCCGCCGGCGCACCAAAAAATCACTCTCTCACGTCCTCACTAACTCGTTCGTTCGGTTTCAGTCGGAGAAATATTTGGACTTGGGCCAGTTAGTGTGGCTCAAACTCGCCGCCGGGCCCTCGCTCTATTTTCGCAAATTTTCCTCGCCGCGCTCGCTCAACATGGGCCTGGAAAAGTTTCAGATTTTCTTCGACAACCCGCAGGCCGTTTTTTACGCCGGCCAAAACGTCTCGGGCAGAATCGTCGTCGTCAACAGCACGCCCAAAAAAATTAGAGGTAAAAAAACTCAATATTCCTCATTTTTTTCAGATAAGAAAATTATTTTTTTTTCTCTAAATAATAGGAAATTTCGCACGGCCAGATAGCACCAGCAAATTCCATATTACGATTAAAATATTCCCCAACTATTTAAAAATAGGTTACATGACCTTTGAGTTAATTTTTTTACACTAGTTTTTAACTATTGATGCTTTTGTTGTAAAGGAATCAATGTGAAGATCAAGGGTGAGGCCGAGGTTAGCTGGACGGAGACGAGGCAGCACTCGAGCGACTCCAACAACACCACCATGGACAACGTCACCACCACCCCGAACAACACCACCACGGACACCCAGGAGACCTTTTCTGCCGAAGAGGTTTATTTCGAGAACAAATTCGTCGCCTTCGGAGGAGGTAAAAAGTTGATTCAAGCTAAATATATACAGTTGACCAACCTGAAATAAGAAAAAAAAATTGTAATTTTGGGAGAGGGGGCTCCTCTTATACTGGGAGTGAAACTTTTGCCAAAAAATAGGATTACAAAAACTTTAAATTGACTTTTTCTCGAATTTTTTCGCGGTGACCTTGACCTTTTGGACACCAACTGATTTCTCGTGACCTGACCTTTCCAATGATGTGTCACACTTGATGTTTTCAAGTCAATATGAATTTGGTGGTGGGGGAACCTCTTCGACCAATCAGATCGCTCAATTCCTAAAATCGTCATTATTTCAATTAATTTCCACGTGACCGTGACATTTTTGGTCACCAATAGGTTCATCGCGACCTCTACTTTCAAACGGTGCATTGCAATTCCATGAATACCAACAGAATTCAATAAAAATTAACGTTGACGACAATGAAATATTCAATTTCAAAATGAGGTTTTTGTCCATATTTTGAATAGTGACCTGCATTTGTTCAGCTGTTTTTACCCCTTGAATTTCTACTTTAAAATTAAAACTCATTTGTTCCATCAGGTGGTGACCAGACCCTGAACCCTGGCGAGCACATGTACCCCTTCAACTACGTCCTTCCAATCAACCTGCCCTCGTCCTTTGAGGGCGAGTTTGGACACGTCCGGTACACCGTCCGAGCTGTTCTGGACAGGCCGTGGAAGTTCGACCAGGAGGCCAAGGCCGCCTTCACCGTCATCAGCCCCCTCGACCTCAACGCCGACCCCAAATTGGCCGTAAAACACATAATTCAGGGTTAAGTAAACAATTTTAATAAAAATATATTACAGGCTCCTGTTACGAAGCAGAAGAGCAAAAAGTTCTGCTGCTGGTGCTGCGCCTCCAACCCTGTCAACATCGTCCTCACCCTTCCGACGGGGGGCGCCGTCCCTGGAGAGACTCTTCTCCCCACCCTTGACATTGAAAACAACTCCAGGGTCTACCTGAGTCTGATCACCCTCAAATTAGTCAAGGTTGCACCTTTTTATCGATTCATTAAATAAAAAATATTGCAAAAAAAAAACAAAGATGGCCGCCGTTTTAGAAACTTTAAAAGTTGAATATTTTCAGAAATTAACTTTGAAAACGGACTTTAAATTTTCTGATAGAAACTTCATTTTTTAAATTTTCATTTCTTTGAAGTTGCCAACCCCTTTAATTGTCTGATTTTAACCCTCAGTCGGTGACCTACAAAGCCAGGGGCGGAAACACGAAGAAGGTCGAGGTGAGCATCGCCGAGAAGAACCTGGGCTACGTCGACTCGGGCCAGTCGCACACCTTCGAGAGGGAGGCCCTGCAGATCCCCCCACTGCCCCCGTCCAACCTCAACAACTGCAGCGTCATAGACCTCGAGTACTACTTGGAGGTCAATTTACCATTCAATTTTAATACAAATAAATGGAAAAATTTAAAATTTCAGGCGCACTTTTCGCCCTCGAGCTTCTACTGCAGCTTCCAGGTGCGGCTGCCGGTGGTGGTGGGGACGATTCCCCTCTCCTTGAACTTTGCCCAGTATGCCCCGGCCGTCCAAAACCCACCCCTGGGCTGGAACTTCAGCCCCTCGGCGCCTCACAGGGACGGATCGCCCAACTACCCTGATTTGCGTGAGTGGATTATTTTGATTTAAAATAAAAATGGTTTTTAAAATTTGGATTGAATTAATTTTGACTCAAATTTTGCAGCCCCACCGACTTACGAGGCGTCCGTGTTTGGTGCTCGGAGCACGGTCGAGCGGACGGACAACCAGTTTGTGTTCGGCGAAAAGAACTTTGCCCCCATGTACCCTGTCTATCACCATTCCTAGAGGCTCTCTGTGCCTGGAGAAATTGCTGATTTTTTCATCAAATGGAAACTTTGCAACGACACTCCTGAAGAAAGTTTGCCAATTTATTTAGCAATGAAAAAAATACTAACCTAAGTAATGGTTAAGTTTTCTTGAGTTTAAGTTGGATATAAATGTTTGCTCTGAAAAAATTATTTTGCTTAATGTGTAGGTTGTAAGTGAAATCGAGGGAATAATCAAAAGTGGCTTCTCTACGTAGTAAAGATGAAATATATGTATTTATCATCAGAACACAAATTTTATGCTTTACTGAACTAGTGTGTTCTCTAAACTACAAATTTTGCCAATAGCTGTTAGTCAGAATCATTTATTATAATGAAATTATCAAATTGATATTAAAGTATTAAAATTGTAATACAATTTATTATTCGAGAGGTATGTAGAATTAAATTTGATTTCAAGTTGGCTCCGAAAGTTGCCACTGGTTGAAGTTAACACTACAGTCTTGTCCTAAAATTCAATTTTCTTTTACAAATTAATTGAGGAAAGTCGTTTGCTCAAATAATTGTATTGAAAACTAAGATCTTGAACAATATTATGTTTGCAAGTGCCTCTGCAATGGCAAGCAACATACACAGCTCTATGTTGAAAACCTTTTTTAACTGTATTCTCAGCTTTGGAGAGAGAGCGAAAGAGAATTCAAGAACAAAACTTCAAATTAATTAAATTTACTGAGAAGCAAAATTGAAAATTTATTTCAAATAATTACCATTATAAATACTTAATAAAAAATTAAATTGATTCAAACGGGGAAATTTATATTTATTATTTTTTTACAAAATTTTAAGAATGTGATCTCTAAGATAATATATTATCCAAATAGTATTGAAGAAAGAGTCCTTTTAATATTAATTTTGAACAAGTGGAAACCAGAATGAAGCAGAGATTATTGATTTTTACAGGTTTTATTATCTGGCGTTGATGAAAGAAATCTTATCTTTTTGGGCGATTAAGTAGATAAAATCAAATGAACTGTTTCAATACACTTTGCTGTCATATTTTTCACAAGTTGTTTGCAGGATTTTTCCCCGTAAAATAAGAAAAATGGCTGCTGAAGAGAATTTGGAGAAGTTTGAGATTTTGTTTGAGGAACCGCGCGCCGTTTTCTACGCGGGACAAAAAGTGACCGGACGGGTTTTTGTGCGCAACAATTTGACCAAGAAATTCAAAGGTACGAGTTTTATTCAATATTTTCCTTGAGTGTCATTTTTCTGTAAATTTGGTGAATAAAAAACGTCAAGTAATTTTAAAAACTCAACTTTGATAAAGTGAGCTAGGATCAAATGAATATATTATTAAGATTTTTTATAAATAAAAAATATTGAAAAGAACCAGTTTTTGTCTCATAACGTTGAAATTGAAAATTTTAAAGATCTGCAAAAATTGTAAATCTCGAATGATAATAATGAATTTCTTAAATTTTTTTACATTGATTTTCTGATATTTGCAAAATTATTCTTATTTGGAATTTTTCAAATTAATTTGCAAACTAAAATAATGTAAAAAGGGATCAAGGTGACGTTCGAGGGTGTCGCGCACGCCGAGTGGAGCGGGTCGCGAGCTTTGCAGGAGGGCGAACAAGTGGGTCCGTCCTTGAAGGAGCAACGGCCGCAGCTGGCCCAGGCCGCGCGTCAGCAGCGCCTTGGCTTGGACAAGAACCACAGACAACCTGCGGAGGAAACCTGGCAGGGTCCAGACACCGTCAGGGTCGCCATCTCCAACGACGAGCGATACTTCCAAACCGAATTCTACTTGGTTGGCTCCAAAGCAGGCCAGTTTTATTTTTTTTATTTTTTATTAATAAATTAATTTATCAAAAAAGAAAAAAACAACATTGGAAGTTATTGAAAAGAAAAATTTAAAACCCTGAAATTGTATACCAAATTTTCCAAGGAAAGGGGTTTTTCAGCTGAATAATTTTCAAAAATTTATCACCTAAAAAATTTCTTCATTTGATTTTAAAATTTCATATTTCTACAGCACTCTAAAATAAATAATTAGATTTGGTAGAAATATTCAAATTAATAAATTAATTAAAATATTATAGTAAAAAAATTAAAAATTGGATTTTATATATTGAAAAAAAAAACGATTTACAGCTTAATTTTTCCATATTTTTTTTAAAAATTTCCCTTACAATTATCACATATATATAATTCCTAATTTATGAACTTTTTGGAATTGAATAATTGAAAACTGATTATTTTCCGAAATATTGCAACAGAAGACGGCGCGGAAAAAATCTGCGTTGACGCCGGTGAGCTGAGCTACCCTTTTGAGTTTTCGCTTCCAAAGAGGATTCCGTCGTCCTTCGAAGGGTCGTTCGGCCACGTGCGCTACACCGTCAGGGCCGTGATGGAGCGACCCTGGGCCTCCGACCTGCACACCCAGGCACCCTTCACGGTCGTCTGCCCCCTCGACCTCAACGCCAACCCCTCTCTTGCTGTAACAATTATACAATTAATTTTTAATACGAACATTTAAATGTTAAAATTGAAGAAAATGCAATGCAACTTTTCGTTTGATTCAAACGTTTTTAATTATATAATTGGATTTGCAGATGAAATGGGCCGAGAAACTAAAGTATTTAAGTTTTAATAATAAAAAACATTGCTTCCGCCCAAAAAACTTACTTATTTGTATTTAACTATATCGAAAAAATTTCGATCTTCTGATAGTTTTCTTCCCCTTTAAAGGATTCGAATTAGTTTTCTATTAAATTTCATGAACCGAGAATAAATGATTATTTAGAATGCAAATCACTTATTCAAAAATTTGTTCCTGGAAAATGGTTTTAACCCTTAAAATTTTAGATTTTTCAGTCGCAATTTTGAAATCTTTATCCCGTATACAAATTTTTCCTTTTCCTCTTTATTTACTGAGTTTAATAAAAAAAAATCCACTGGTGTTGGTCTTTAAGGAGCCGGTTCAGGTGGCCAAAGTGAAAAAGTTCTGCAGCATTTGGTGCGCGTCAGGTCCTGTCAACGTGACCTTCACCCTGGCCTCAGGTGGCGCCGTCCCTGGCGAATTTCTCCTCCCCTCGCTCGACGTCGAGAACAACTCCAAGCTCCACCTGCACCTCATCAAACTGAAATTTTCCCAGGTAAAACTTACTTTTAACATTTAATTAATGTACATGAAATAAATTAAAACATTAATAAGATTAAAAAATTTAATTTTTTAAATAATAGATCGCAGTTCAAATATTTACACAAAATGAAATTTTAAATACAATTGATATTTTAAATTTGATATTATTATAATTATCTGTATTGAAATTAATTTAATTTAATAATTTTTAAATAATTACAGTAAATGAACTTAATTTACTGATCTAATTTAAAAAAATATTTACATACCTTGTAACAATGATATCAGTTTCATTTTTTATTATTATGTGAAATTTGTTCGAGAAAAAGTAGGCTTGGCACAAATTTTCCATTTTTCAAATCTAGCCTTACACAGTCTTTAATTATGTTAATTATAACCAAAAGAAAAAAATCTTTTTAATTTCCTAATTTTCCTTTTTATGAAAATTGTAGATCGTGACGTACAAGGACAGAACAGGCAGCGAGACACTGAGACACGAAACGATTCTCGCCGAACAAAACGTGGGAAAAGTGGACTCGGGCGACTCGCGCCTCTTCGACCGCCTCCACTTCTACGTGCCCCCGCTGCCCCCCTCCAACACCACCCACTGCACCTTCATCGACGTCCAGTACTACTTGAAAGTGAGACCGAAGGTTTTTTTTAATTTTAAAAGTAAAAGTTAGCTGCAATTTTTACTTGTTTTTATTATCTATTATTTCATGAGCAATTTGCTGGCAAAAAATGTGCCAAAACGTTCTCAAAAATTTCTTTAATTCTTGGCTCTTCTAAATAGAGAATAAAAGTGAAGAAATTAAAGTTTATTGTGAAAAAAATTGTATTTATAATTACAAGTTTATTTTCATAATTTTTTTAATAGAAATATTCCAAAGTCTGCGTTACAGATCAGTAAAATGAATATATAATTAATTAAAAATCTATTTTGAAAAAAAAATATGAAACACAGTTTAGAAATAGAAATTTCACCTTAACCATTTTTTTTTTTTTTAAATTAAGTTATATTTCATTAAAAAAATCCCAATTTTATTTGAGGGGATAAAAATTAAGTAGCCGAATTAAATTCCAGGCGAATTTCTACCCCTCGGCGTGCTACCCCGCGTTCAGCGCGAAACTGGCCGTGGTGCTGGGAACGATCCCTTTGCACAAAAATTTTGGCCGGTGCCACCCTTGCGAGGAAACGCCGCCCGTCGGATGGAACTTGAACGCCCTTGATCAAAATTCCTCCCTCTACGCACATCTGCGTGAGAAAAAAACAAACATTTTTCAAATTTTAGTTTCCTTAACAAAAATCGTTGCAGCTCCCCCGAGTTACGAACAAGTTGAAAAAGATGAGGACGTTTTCACGCCCAAATATCCGGTTCACAAACAAACTCTGCGATTTGAAGAGCCCAAAGCATGAAGTCTTTTTTTAAATTTTATTTCGAGCAATATTGAATTGTGGTTTTAATTAAAAAGATATTTCTCTCATACATTTCTTAATATAATTAATAGAAAAGACAAAGGAGATAATAAAGAATTTGTAAAAAAAAATGCAAGAAAACTGTTTCTTTTTTAAAATCTTCCTATACGCAAAACTGTTGCAGAAATTCAAATGTCAAGTGAAGAAAATTACTCAAGATTTACACTCTTGGACGTCTCGCCTGAAGTTCGTCGCCATTTCTCTATTGATCATTAATTAATCTACAAGTAAATTATACGGTACATTACATCATAATATTCTCTTCAGCTTGCATTTAATGCTGCTTGATATTTTCAAAATGCTCAATTAATGCTGTCAAAAGCGCCCTTAAGTGAAAATTGTAAACTATCTAGATAATGCAGGGTTAAATTCTTCATATAAAACAAAATTAAATTATTATTACACAATGAATTAATTAAAGCCCATTCAAGACATTGCTAAATAAAGTTGTAAATGATAAGGACAAAGGACTAATTTTTCAAAAAGGAATATTTAATGTACTTAACGTTGTATGAAACATTTTAAGTACTAGAAGTGAAAAAACGGACTATTATCCTCTCATTGATTCAATAATTTTTTTCATCTTCGATAAGCTTCAATTCCATATGATTGTCTTCTCGACATCTCGACTCTAATCTTTTTCCAAACTAAAATTTTTTTATTGACATAAAAATAAATAATAATTTATTATAAAACGTACAGTACAATTTCTTTTAATTCACGCGTCTGTATGTTTTTTACAATATAATTTCTCCAACATTCTAATCATAATCTGCATGAAAGAGCAGTATAAAATTATAAGTAAGGGAAATAGATCGATTAAGAAATAATCAATTTCACATCTAGATCAATAATTACAAAAAGTAAAGTTATATTGAAGGTGTTCAACCATTTTTTTGCAAGTTGGAGAGAACTTAATTAACGTGTTCAAAAGTTATGAAAAAAAAAATTTCGTTTGAAAAATTAATTTTGCATTTCGCATCCGATATTATTAAAATTTTACGTAAAAATCTCGTGTAAAGGACTGACAGGAAATGAATTGAGACCGACTTCCAGTGTTGGTGCAACTCGCACGTCCGACACACTCGTTCGGCGGCTCCGCTTTTCAAGTGACGTCATTTTGCAGAAAACGCTCAAACATGGTCACGCAAATTTCAGCGTTTTTAATTGCCAGTCTCTTCGTCCTCAACGTAAGTTTGTAATAATGATTAGAAAAAAATAATAATAATCGGCAAAAGAAGGTTTCGGCGCAGGACGAAGAATCGAGTGGGATTTGCAAATTAATATTTTGAATGAAAATTAAACATGAATTGTGCAGCGTGTGGCGATCGGATGCGGCGGCTGCGCGAGTTTTACTGCGTGTCCAACTGCATCGGCCTGTCCAGCCCGGAAAAGACGGCGTCGGCCATGTTGTCCGGACGCACCAAGGCCGTCAACGTCGGCTTCAACTGCTCCGCGCAAGAGTTTTCCGTAATTTCTTAAATTCGGAGCAAATGAAAATTTTCTAGAATAAAATATCAAAAAACTGAAAAGGGTCCGAAAGTGGGCGTTTGCTGCCAGAGTTTCCCGAATCTGCTGCTGTCCGAGGCGTCCGTGAGGACCGACTGCGTCAAAAAGAACACGATGAAGTCGCAAGACTTGGAAATGGCCCACAACGAATACATTTTCAACAAGTAAATCCAAACTTTTGGAGTGTAAAAATTTATTGGCATAAATATTGAACGTTTACGTTTTTTTTTATTAAATCATTCAAAATACCACCCTTGAATCAAGCATGACGAAGTTCTAAAAATTGAATTTGTTCAAATCGCAAATCGCAACGAATTAATATAGGAAAGACCAAAAAATTAATTAATTACAAACGTACAAATATTCAAAGAAAAAAAAATTATGTTTTGAATAATTTGATCAGTGGAAAAAAATTGTATTCTTTAATGAAAAATACAAGCTTGAAATATGAATGTGGAAATTAATCAGATTAATTTTAAAGGTGGCAGGGCGACGCGAACACGATCGAGCTGGAAAAGGCGGCCAAAGGTTTTAACATTTTTTGCCAGTTTTCCTTTCACTTATTATTCTTTAATCATTTTGTTATTTTTAGTGAACAACTTGGACAAGATTATCGTAAAAATCAAATTTAAATTCAAAATTATCACAAGTGAATTTTAAAATTTACGTCTAAAGCAATACATGGAGTGCCTTTTCCTGGCCGAAGTTTCTGTCGCCAAGTTCAAATTGGTATGAAATTTCAAATTAACATGCAAATCAAAGTGATTCATTCGACCAAAAATTGAGAGTAAACTGATTATTCTTATTTATTCAAACTTTGTAATAAAAATTATTGTTTTTATAAGTTAGATTAAAACGTCATAAATAATTAGTATAATTCTATGTATAATTTTGAAATTAAAATTGTTTTTCTAAAAAAAATTTATCTTGAGAATAGAACAAAAGTAAACAATGGTATTCCTTTTCAATAATTCTATTTTTAAAATATAAATATCTTTATGCAGTTTTAAAATAAATTCAAAAATGCCTAATAAATATTATTACTATCTTGTAAGAATTTAGTGAGATACCTGAGCCTTAAATAAGCGTGTTATTTAGTATCTAATTATTTTTACGCATTTATTGCAACAAAAACTTCCAAATACTATGCGTAAAATTCTAATTTTTAATTAGTGTTTTTATTAGTAAAAATTATTTTTTGAGCACACCACCTTAATTTGTAAAACTTTGAAGATGTCTCCGGAGGGGAAGATCGATGGGGACAAGACGGACGCGGCCTTCAAAGCGGCCCTTCCGGCCACGGCGCCAAAACCGTACACGGAACTTTTCACCCGCATCATCCCCAACTGCACCAGCAGCGTCCAACGTACAAATTAAAACGCAAATTTTTATCAAATTTTCAATTCATAAATTTAAAAAGTGACGTTTCCGGTGAGTTCGATCCAAGTGAACAACAAGACGGTGCAGGCGGCGCCGTTTCTCATCACGCAGTGCTTGCGCAAGTGGATCATAATGGTGATAATTTTTATTTCAAATTTCCTTCAAAAAATGGAAGGAAAATCTTCCACAAATCATTGAAAAATATTAAAATTGATTTTAAAAATTCGTCTGAACAACTGAAAATCAAAATCATCTGTTCTGATGAGGTTGGTGTGGTTTTAAAGATAATTTTATAATTTTGGGAAATTTTCGCCCTCAATTAAGATTGTTTATTATCACAACAGGAATTTTCCAACTTTTTTCACCGGCTTTCAAATATCTCGCGTCTCTGGACTTAATCTCACGTCAGGGCGATTAGTTACAAGTAATAAATTAAATATTTACCGTTTCGAGAGGTTTCTTTGGGTTTTAAATTCTTAAAAATCAGATTTTTTATCACATATAAATTAGAACAAATAACGCTGGTTTTATTTTTCGCCATTCAAAAATAAAAAACGGTTTTGCACGTTTTGTTTTATCCGCACTTTAATTCAATAATATTTTTGATAAGGAATGTCCGAGCGCCAGTTCGACGGTGAGCAAAGCTTGCCAGGACACGCGCACCAACGTCAAGAATTGCGACTTTTACATGTGAATTCTGGCAAAAATTACAATTGGGTTTTTCAAATAAAGGAGAATTTATTTCGCAAATCAATAGAAATTTTTGTATTTCGCTTCTCATCCGTTGTTTTTCTTTGAATCGACCAAGTCGTCCAGTTTGTCGGCGAGCGACTTCATCACCTTGGCCGCGTCCCTCAGTTTGCTGGACACCTTCGCGTTGTCGCCGCTGTTTTGGCCCCACTATGACATTTATTCTCCTAATTTTGGAAGGTGCACGAAATTTTGAAAAACTCACAGCACTACCGGCGAAAGCGATCAGCAGAACAACGAGGAGAAAAGCGAAGGGGCTCTTCATGTTTTATCTTTGGACGGGAAAACTAGCTGCGCTGACAATGAGAGTTAAATTGTTTTCGCTCAACCAGCAGCGCTGACACGTGTTCAACGAAACACAGGAAGTTGCAAAAAAATTATAGAAAATGGCTGCGCAGTCCATTTGGTTGCTGCGTACATCGTTGGTTTTATTTGCATTTTGAAAATTTTACCAAAGAATTTTTTCTGAAACTTATTCCGTAATGAATCCAAAAGAAAGCGTGTAAAATCAGCAATTATTTAATTTTGAAAATGAAATCACAGCTTCTTGACTTAAAAATAAATCATATGACTTTCAAGAGGAAAGAAATCTTCAATTATTCAATTGATTTATTTTCATTAAATATTAAATCGCATTTTAATTAATTCTGCAAAATCAGATAATTTGAATCAATCAATACGCTCTCTTTATTAATACGTCATTTTCAACAAACAGTGTTATTAAATTTGTTATTTTTTTTTAAACATATACATTTTTTTTATCCGTACTTTTCTTGCTTTTCGCAGCTCGGAAAAATTCCAATGTTTTTGATATTTCATCATTGGGGAAAATCAAAACGAGGAATTTCCCCATCTCTGGACGAAAAAATGTCAGTTAAGCGCGTGTTTTAGTAAAACTTGATGGGAAATGCACGTCAGCACTGATCGTTGACGCTGAGAAGTGACGCAAAACGATAAATTTTGAAAAGCAATGAAAAGTCACTCCTGAGTTGCATTGTGTTGAAATTTAAATGAAAATTTTCTAGAAAGGATCTCTTTCGAAATTTAAAACTAAGCAGGTTTTTTTAATGATTGATTCACTATAGGAAAAAAATTGTAACTTGGAAATTACAAGAATTAAGAGTTGGATGAATTTTTCGAATTTTTATAAAATTCTACATTGGATGCTAGGGAGTTCCAAAATTTTACAATGAAATAATTTAAAAGTTGATTTAAGAGGAGCGAAAAGATTGTGACAAAAAAAAGCACATTCTGAGGAACTTTTGAGAGCATCAAATTAATATTTCATTTTTCATAATGTAACAAAGGAACAAAAGTTATTATGAATTCAATGTTCTGTAAATTTCATTTCAATTGGAACGAAAAGCAATTCATAAAAATAAGATATTCAAACAATAATCATTAAAGATTTGGTTGGAAAATGAAATTTGCAATTTCAGCGTTGCGAAATGGCGAAATTGAAAACGAGGGCGATTGCCATGATTTTGTCAGCGCGGATTGATGACGATCAGGGCCGACCTTGGCGCCGGCAGGACACGCAACTTCCCCCGGCCTCGGCTCAAAGGTATAAAAGGGCCGCGCCATCCGCGAGGTGGTCACAGAGATCGAAAGCATCTTTGATTGTCGACATGAAGTTGCTGGTAAGTGCGAAAAATTGAGTCCGATTGTTGCACAGAGACTTGATTGGAATTCATTGTTTGAAGATGGTTTCGTTGTTGGTGGTGGCGGCCGCGGCGTGCGTGCTGGCCGACGACCCGACGACGCCCAAGCAGGCGTCGGACGTGCAGTCTCCGGACGCCAAGGGTGCTGCACCGCCGCCGGGCGGCCAACCCCAGCAGCCCCCCAGGAACAGGAAGGATGGCAAGAAGCAGCTGGCGCAGAAGAGGAGGAAGGGCGGCGAGAGGAGCGACAAGAAGAGGAAGAACAAGACCACCACCTCCACCACCACTGCCGCTCCTTAGTAATTTGATCACTGAATCATGTACCTAGAATTCGAATAAAACAATCCAATGCACAATTAACACCTCAACTCTGCCTCTCTTTTAAACGAATTGCTATTTTCCGTGGAAATGAGAAATGCTGATTATTGTGGCAATTTTCGTTGCGTTGGTGAACGTTTTTATTTAAAGAGAGGATGAAACCAATCTGAAGGGTAGCATAATCCTCCAAAAAACTGTAAGCTTGGACGATAGGGATCATTTTGATAACAAGAAAATTTAGGGTCACCGCATGAATTTTTGAGAAAAACGCATTTGAAGTTAACATGGCTTGCTTATGTAAAATTTTCACTAAAATTATTTTATTGCATTTTAAGTCAACAAAACTACCTTTGGCAAGGGTTGTGACCCACCAGCACGTTCCTTGATAACCCTGCGACAAATGTGGCACCTGAAAATTCAGGGTCGCCACGTACATTTTTGAAAAATTGTTTAATTGAAGGTTGAAAAATGTCGTTGTTTGCATTTTTCTCGTTCCCGAGACAACGCAGAAAAAGTTTTGAGCACTTTAATTTAATTGACTTCTACAATCAAATATAATGTAAGTTAATATTTTGGTTTCTACATTATCCTAATAATGAACAAATTTTCATATATTTCAAAATCCAATATGGCCGCCAAAGATAGACAAGGGTTTACTAAAACTGCTGGCAAATTAGTTTGGGTGCAGATTTTTTAATTTCTTCGTGGGATAGTGGAGCGAATAACCATTGTGTCTTTTCTTAATGGGATCCAAGGTTCTAGGTCAAAGGTCGTTGACCGTGGCAAAAGGTCAAGATATAAAGTTTTGTGGCCCTTTTTTTAAAATGGGCAACCCGTCAAAAAATCCGAGATAGCCAAAAGATGCGGCATGTCATTTTGCGTCAGAGTTTAAATTGCCAGAATTTTTGAACATGCACTTTCCAAATAGCATGAAATTAATTTTCCATTTATTTTTTTGGATTCAACACATCCACATTTCTTACAATTGTTGCATATTTTTCTAGCTTTCAAAAGACACATCTTCTATGCAAGAATATGAAGTTAAGACACATAAAATAAAAAATTATTTAATAATTAATAGCATGGATTGCGTGCGGTTTTATAAAGTCGAATTTGGCACACCATTTGCACATGGAATCCTAAAACAGAAAACAGTATTTTTTTGTCATTAAAAAATGTTAAAATTTTTCTTTGTTGTATCTGTTCAATGTAACAATCAATCTTTTTACATATGCATTTTTATTAAACAATTAGAACGCAGTAAGAATGCTGAATGAATTCTTGCTATCAGCGAAGAAAATATTTTTGTAAGAAGCTTTTTAGAATTGAATTATTACATATTATTTTTGACAGTAAAATTGAAAAACTGATAATTATTTCAACCGATTTCATAAAATTTTGAAAAGCTTGGCCTCGTACGTCAATTCAAAACGCTCTCAGCATTTCTATATTTTTCAATATAATATCAAAAACGTGACGCTTTCCAACTTCCCGTGTGTCGGTCGGTGTCCTCGATTTGCCAACGCGCAAAACACTGAATCGTGCAGCGTTTTGTTGCCAGGGAGGCAGAATTGCCGTCCGTGATGGTGTCCTTTAAATTTGACGGCACCAAATTCAAATTCACGCTTCCGCTGCTGACCTTGGTGCTCCAGGTAAATCAAAATTTGTTTTCCAAAGCGTGTCTGAATCTTAAAAACCTGCAGATTAATTTGCCGCCGGCAACGTCGGACGCCGGTTCGCTTTTTTGCAGTGCAATTTTCAACCAAATTTCATTTAATTTTTATTCAACGCAGCCAAAGATGAGATTCTGCTGCAGGTGTTCTCGACCCTGAAGGGCGCGCTCGAAAGTGTCCACCTCGATTTGGACAACAACATCGACGACAAAACAGAATAATATCAAAATTATCCAGTTTTAAAAGTTTTATAAATCAATTAATTAGGACTTGGGCGGCGATTTGACCAAGTTGGCCAACGTGGCCGAGGAGTTGCTCGACCTGACCGACGTGAAGAGCGAGATGAGCGCTGCCCTGACCTCGGACGAGACCACCGTGGACATCATGAAGACCATCGAGGACATCCTGCAGTACTTTGACGACAACCCTGAGGTGGCCGACGACAGCCCTGACGACGCAAGAGCTCCGTTTCGATTCCAATTTTGAAATTAATTTTGTTTTATTTGCAGCTCCAACAGATCGTGGACGTTGTGGACGAGATTTTGTCCGTTTTGGACGATGGCTCTTCGGACGGTGGCACAACCCCCAAGAAGAAAAGCAACACCACGGATGCTCCGGACGACGAAACAAAAAAACGTATTTATAATATTAACTAAAAATTCATTAGGTTATAAAGTCGGATTTTTTGATGGTGAAAATCACCAAAATGTAGTGCAAATTTCGATATTTTTGCAAACTTTTGAAGCTCACTTTAGCTCATATTTAGAAATTTAATTTCAAAAATATTTTTAAATTGTTTCTAACGCAATTTAGAGAAAATTGATTCCAAGTTCACTCACCGTTAAAATAATTGTTCAAATATTTAACCATTTGAATTTTACACTCTTCACTTCATAAAGGTTGATGATATTTAGCAAAAAACCTATATTTTTTCCACTAATAGGTTTTAAGAAATTGAAATTTCATTTGTTTCCTTGTCAACTCAAATCTTAAAGTTAATTCTATATGTTAATTAAAATTTGTTTTGTTCTTTAGCAAAAAAGAAACAGACCAACGACGAAGGGGACGGTGAAGACTCCAAACCAAGTTGGTGGATTTTTTTGCCTCTTTTTTTCAAGTAAAACGAATTTCCAGAAAAGAAAAAGACGACCGCGAGTGAGGATGACGAAGTGACCAAGGCCAAAAGCAGCACGACCGAGGAGGCAAAAACCAAGGCGGCCACCGCGAAAGCTTCGAGTGATCAGGAAGTGACCAAGTCGGCGAAAAGCTCGACCACGGACGCACCCACCACTCTGTAAAGCTTTCAAGAAAATCAAAAAGTTTTCATTTTAGTATTGTTTTTTTAACCTTTCAGCAAAGGAACCACTAAAAAGAGCGATGACAATGAAGACGATGGAGAAAAGTAAACATTTTTGCCTAAAAATCTTTGCAATCTGAAATTTATGAATTTGAATTTTTTAAATAGAAAATCAGCCACAGGAAAACAACCGGTAATCATGGATAGGCAACCTGCTCGACACCAGAGTCGTGCCGGTTGCAAGACTTTTTTGTTTTAAAATAAATGTTTCCATTTCAGGTGGACAATAAGGGTGAATTCGGTAGTGATTTTAGTAAGGTATGGTTAAAAATTCTTTCTCGTTTTTCAGGTGACGATGAAGAAGATGCTTAATAAAAATCGTGCAAATATTTTGTCTTTTTTGCAAAAAATATAATCATTTCAAAAAATTGTGAATTTCCTTTACAAATAAGTTGGAAAGCCGAGGGCGAAGGGCGCTTTGTCTGCAGTCGCCAGGAAGAAGCTTCCTCTTGTGCTGTTTCGGAAATGATTTTAAAAAAATGAAGTCAAATATTAATTAAAAATTATACTCTGCGCGCGTCGGATAGCCCATGAGGGCGATCTGGTTGGCGCTGCATGAGCCGTTCTGGTAATTCTTCCACGAGTCGCATTTGTGAGAAACAAAGTTGTCCGACTTGATCGACTCGGTGAACAGGTCGGCAGACCTAGCGTGGCTGCACGCGCCTTTAAAATTAAAAAAGTGGAAAAATTATAATTAATTTGTCAGAAAAATTTATCAATATTCAAGCAAATTATTTTTTAAACAAAACATCAATATTTAGATTAAATTTAAAAAAAAAATTTGTTTTCGTCTCACAAGAAAAGTCTGAGCCGCAGCCGGGCTGGGGAAATCCGCCGCCGTTGGGGAAGAAGTCGGCGTGGCCGATCGCGTCGGCGAAACTCATCCAGCCGCCGCAGGTGTGGATCACGTCCACGAAGGTCGCGTCGGTCAGGGTCAGCCGACCTGCGGGGTCGTCGTAGCTGAACAGAATCTGCGCCGGATCCACCCCGGTGATTCGACCAATTTTCCCTTCATTTGATGAGAAAGAAAAACATGAAATTAGTAAAATTGACCCAAAGTTTTAATATTTCTCCAAAATTAGAGAAAAATTTGTTTAAAAATCCAACAAAATTCCTTCAGATTTTAAATATCTACTAGAATTTGATAAGATTGATTAGAAATTTGAACATATTTTCAAGCTAATTTAAAAAAAGTAATAACAATAGAACAAACTTCTCTTAATATTTATTGACAAAAATAAATAATAATAATGAGGGCGATCCAAAAGGCTAACCTGGCCTGGGCTAATTTAACCCGCCATTCAATTTCGCTGGTGGGCTAAGTTAGCTCGGGGCTAAGTTCAAGTTAGCTTGGGCCAGGTTAGGCTTTTGGATCGCCCTCAATAATTATTAATTATGAGATTTCCAAATGAGAAAATTGTAACTATTAAATATAAAATCCTGTTTTTTCTTTTATACCGGTGCTGTTTTTTCCGCTGAAGCCGCACACGTGGGCGCCGAGACTGTGTCCGACGCAGTGGACTTTGTCCAGGTTTTGTCCTCGGCTGGCCAGGAATCGGTACATGAGCCGGAGGTACTCGCCGGTGGGGAGGGCGTTGGCCTTGGCCACGTTGTACAGCGGGCCCTGGGCAGGTCCGGACCAATCGACCAACACCACGTTGCAGTCCTCCGCGTCCAGAAAGTCTGATAAATTAAAATTTTTATTAGGAAGGAACGCAAAAATTAATAGGAAACGGGACTTTGCTTGGCCTCGACGGTCCACCAGGTGAAGCCGTCGTCGTTGTAGCCGTGAACCGTCAACTTGGTCGCCCTGCCAGGGTCGAACAGCCCGCTCAGGTTGCCCACCCACATCTGCTGCCCCACGTCCCGGTTCGCCCTGTCAACTTGAAACGTTAATTAAATAATTAGCCTTCAGCATTGTCTGAAAAAAAAATGAGGAAAATAATTCATTAGGAGTTAAAAAATTAGTGTAAATTTCAATTTCAGAAGTTTTTTTTTTTTTAATTTTTTTGATGCCAAGAAAACTTTAGAGAAGTTTTCAAAAATATGTAAATAAATATTTTTAGAAATCTTTAGTAAATAATTCGATTTCATAATTACTTTACTGATGCCACCAAATACACGTATTTACAAAAAATTTTGGAAAATAAAAACTAATATTCCTCAAAATTTTGCATTAAAAAAAACTAGGATAATTCTGTCATCTTTCGTACCATTTGAAGAAAATTCAATTGAAGACCATTTTGAAGACTAAAATTTATATCATTATACGGTGAAAATTTTGTTCTGAAACACTTCATGACTCTATAAGGGAAGAGCAGCCTATTTTGATTTAAAAAGCAAACAATTTGAATTGCAATTCTCTTATCAACCGAAGAAGACAATGCTGCGTCCTACGAGAATTCGGCCAGATTTAAAAGTGGCCGAGTTAAAAATGAAAAATTTAGTACAATTGAGCTCACCTTGTGAAGAGATGGAAGGTCACTTCCGAGTACGGGTCGATCAGGACGGGTTTGGGTCTGAATAGGTTGAGCCAGTAGCGGAAATTGCGGCTCTGCACAGACGCTGCCTGAACTTGAAATCCAAACAAAGGAAAACGGGAATTTTAATTAAGATAAATCACAAGAAAACTCTCATCTTATTGAAAATATTCCCAAAATTTAAGTCAATGGGAGGAGATTAATTTAATTTTTAAATAAAATATTGTTCCGAGGCCCCGTTTTGAATATAATATTAATTTTTATTTCTCGCTATCCTTGGTGGTTTTCACATTTTTCTTTGATTCACTTTAATCAAAATACTTGGGAAATCCTCCGGAACGTTTTTTTACTCTGATTTTTTAACGTTTATAGGAAATTTTTACGACAATCTTGGACCTTCTGCAAGATAAACATTTGAAGAAAATGAATTTCGGTTATTTACGTGTAATTGATTTTTGCGTACCTGCTGCTGAAAGGAGGAAAATCGCGACGAAAGCGGCGACTTGCCTACTCATCGTGAGCTTTCAAACTGCGCGAGGGACAAACAAGACGAGCTAGAGAGGTCAGAGGGCACAAGAGACGCAACCAAGTGCTTCTTTTGAAACGAATAAAAAGGAAAACGATTCTTATCTCGCTGCTCAAAATGATACAGAGATAAAAGTCGAGAGTGTTTTTGTTTCATTGCTGCCGAGATAAGCGGGTTGCAAAATAATATAAAGTTAAAAATTATTATAAAACATATGTATCAATTTATTAATATCACAATTCTTTGGTTTTTATATAATTTGTACCAAAAAGTTAGCCGAGGGCGAAGGGAGAAGCGTCGGCGGTGGCCAGGTAGAAAACGCCACGGGTGCTGCAAATATTTTTGCAAATTACGAATATTGGAAAAATATGGTTTTTTAGAAAAAATTTATAAAATTTGTTGGTTTGAAATCATGATTTGAAAAACGCACCTAGTGCTGGAAGGGTTGCCCATGACGGCGGTGGCGCCACCTGCGCAGTTTCCGGCCACAAAGTTGTCCCACGTGTCGCACGCGCGGCCCACGAAGCCGTTCGACTTGATCGACTCGACGAAGAACTCGTGCGATCGGCCGTGGCTGCACGCGCCTGTTTCCAAAACAATTTTTAAAAGAAGCATTCAAAAGGTCGTTTCTTATCCTGTTCTATTATTAATAATTTAAATAAAATTATGCTAAAAAAGAAAGATTTTAGCAAATTTTGACAGAATATATTAAGAAATCATATTTGCTTGAAATAATTTGAAATTACCGGTGAGGTCGTTGCCCTCGCATCCGGGCTGCACGAAGGAGCCGCCGTTGGGGTAGAAGTCGGAGTGGCCGAGGGGCTTCTCGAAGCCCAGCCAGCCGCCGCAAGAGTGGATCACGTCGACGTAGGCGGCGTCCGTGTCCGAAAGACGGTTCTCGGGAAAGTCGATGTCGAAAAGAGGCAGCGCAGGGTCCATTCCGGTCACGCGCCCCAGGGTTCCTAAAATTACATTTTGTCCATTTAACATAAAAAAATAATAATAATAATAATAATTAAAATTGAGTTATTTTTTTAAAATCAGCCTTTTTCATTTTAAACTTCAACCAAACGAAATAGACACGTTTCAAAAATAGAAGATTTGAAAATTTTTGGCCGCACAAAATCCAATATTGGAAAGTTATTGCAACAAAGTCAAGCAGATCAAATATTTTTACAAATAATAAAAAAGCTGGAATATTTTGTTTAAATTTTGTCAATTGCTCTCGATCATACCAGTGGCGTATTTTCCGCTGAAGCCGCACACGTGGGCGCCGAGGCTGTGTCCGATGCAGTGCGTGTTGCCGACGTTGTGTCCGAACGAGGCCAAGTACGAGTGCATTTGGGCCACGTACGCGCCGGTCGGGTCCACGTTCGCCCTGGCCTCGTTGTAAAGCGGACCCTGCGCAGGTTCCGACCAGTCCACGCAGATCACGTTCACGTCCCCTTGATCCAAAAAGCCTGCAATTTTTCAAAATTAACAAGTTAATTTGAAAAACCCTTCAAATATTGATGACGTTGTCCTATGCGGTGGCCATCTTTGTTTCCCAATAAAATTCAAATTGATCTGTTAATTTTTATCCACAATCAATATTAGAAAAAGTTTTTTCCACAACGCAAGGGACTTTAAGAGAATACAATATTTATCATCGAATTTTAATATTTTTTTGTTTTTGAAGTTGTGAGGGTCTTTAATGGAACTGACTGTTTTTCATGTTGATGGCCCATTCGGTGAAGCCGTCGTCGGTGAAGCCGTGGATGATGAACTTGGTGGGTTTGGCGGCGTCGAAGGGCGCCCCGTTCAGGTTGTCCACCCAGATCTGTTGGGCCGTGTTTCGGTTGCTCCTGTTTTTTCACCTTTTCATAATTTTCTGGCTTCTTTTGAATAAAAATTTTTCTGACCTTGTGTACAAGTGGAAGGTGATCTGCGTGTAGGGGTCGGTGACGTCGGCGCGGGACTCCATGTCGAGGATGGCCAAGTTCATCTTGCCGTCGACGCCGGGGATGTTGATCCACTTCTTGGCATTGGATTTCGCGCTTGGAGCCGCGCTCACTTCAATTTATAGAAAAATATTATTAAATAAAATTCAATGTCAAGGGGCAAACAAACGACTGCAAAAATTGAATAATTATTAATTATTTTAAAATTCAATAAAACAAAAACATTAACATGTAAAATATACTTAAAAAAAAATCAACCTGAATTGTGGAATTTTTTTGTTTTAGTTGAAAAAGCTTCAATTTGATGCGGTGTGAAACATTTTTTGCTATAACTCGTTTCAAATAATCATATAACAAAAAAAAAAAAAAATTGTATTTCGTTTATTTTTTTCTCCTAATAAAACAGGAGATTATCTGATACAATCCATCAGATCAAAGCGAAATTGTTGTTTTACCTGCGACGACGACGGCCAGGGCTAGGCAAAGGACCTTCATGTTGCTAGTTGTGCGGGTGTGTCTGTTGGTCGAAGGTTTTATACTCGGGCGTGCGCTCGAGATAACAATCAATCTCAATTAATTTGTTTTTGTATCCTCGCGAGATCGAGCAGTACATCCGATCAAATTTCCCATCGCTCAGCACAGTTACGTGATTGAGAAAACAATTGGATGGCGTTGATTGATTTTCAATTGCTGATAAGAAAAGCACTCTGCGCGTGTTGAAAAAGGTGATAATCGCTCAGTATAATTTGCGCCAGAAATTTATACCGAGATGCGCGGTAAAGAAACGGTGCGAAAATCCCCATGACGATTTTTTTGCGTTTCGGGAAAAGGGTTTAAAGGAATTTCGTTTCCAAATATTTACAATTCTACTGATTAAAATGATCATACGAGATCCGAAATGCCACTAATTCAGATTGCTGAAAAAGTTTGCTTTTTAATCTAATCAATATTTACTTTGGAAATATTGCATGTTTTTAAAAGCAAGAAATTTTGTAATGATAAAAATTTAAACTACTTCCTTTATTATGATGGAATTAAAACAGCCGCGTGTCTCTAATTGATTAAAAAAAATCAAATGTAAATTTAAAAACATCAATAATGCTAATGAATTTCTTAAGAAAATTATTAAATTACAGACACAAATTTGTTTAAGAAATATATACAAACAGATAATTGATAATTATGTATTTTTTTTTTTTATATAAAAAATTAGGGAAAGGAATTGCTTATTGAGTTATTGGAATATAATTTATTGCGCTTAAAAGTAAAAGCAAGCTGCTCGCTTTGAGATGAATAAAGTAAGAAGGTGATCGATTTTTTTCATAATTCATCATCCAAGGGCGAAGGGCGCGGTTTCGGCCGTCACCAAGAAAAACGTGCCTCGAGTGCTGCCAATTTTCAAATTAACAAAAAGTAATAAAGTGAAGCTTCTCAATTTACCTGGGGTCGGAGGAGAAGCCCATCACCGTCCTGGTGCTCTCGTCACACAGACCGTTCTGGAAGTCGCTCCAACTTGCGCACTCGCGTCCGATGAAGTTGTTCGAGTTGATCGACTCCACGAAGAACTCGGCCGCTCGGTGCTGACTGCAATGACCTGCAATCCAAAGAAAAAAAATGACAATGCAATTGCAATCCCAAAGTTCACGAATAAATATTTTTGAAAACCTCTTGAAGCTCCTAGAAAATGGTAAGGATCGCACGAGCCTTGCTAACGCATTGTACCTATTAGGAATTTTCGCAGAAGAGTCTTTTTGTCTTTTGAAATCAGAAATTTATTAATGCCTATTTGTCCAAAAATTCAACACTTCCCATCTCCAAAAACTGTTTTAATAAACATTTTAATTATTTGATATTTTTATCAATAAATAATCATCAGTATTGTCTTGGTTTTGGTGATTTCAACATAATTATACAAAAAAAGGGTCAAAAGCGAAGGTCTGTAGGTTTTTAACAACCTAAACATATAAAGTGTGCCCAGGGGGCTTCTGTTTTAACACATATAAGAAACTTTGGTATTGTTCACTTCTACGAATGCCTGAAGAGGTAAATTAAGACTATTTGCGTTTTTTTTATGTGCTTTAGCACCTTTTAAATCCCAATATCTAGAAAATATTAACTTGTTTGCAGATATCAAAAGATACGAGAATTAAATAGGATTTTCATCAATTTTCCTTTCATTTTTGAAATCCCAAATCGTTTAGCTCAGTCAGATATAATATGCGCATAATTTTGAATGCACGTGTTGTTGTTTCATCGAAATTGCCTTGCAAATCCAGAGTTGCAAATACTTGTGAAATAAAAATGGCGGACCTGTGACGTCGGTGGCGCAGCCGGGCTGGACGGAGGCGCCGCCGTTGGGGTAGAAGTCGGCGTGTCCGATGGGCGCGTCGAAGCCGAGCCAGCCGGCGCACGTGTGGACGACGTCGACGTAGGCGGCGTCCGAGGTGGCGAGACGGGCCTCGGGGGCGTCGAGGGCGAAGAGGGGCAGCGCGGGGTCGAGGGCGGTGACGCGGCCCAGGGCCCCGCCCACCGCCTTGCCGCTGAAGCCGCACACGTGCGCGCCCAGGCTGAAGCCGACGCAGTGGACGCCGTCCACGCCTTGTCCCAGGCCGTCCAGGTAGGCGTACATGGCGCCCACGTGCTCGCCCGTCGCCGCCGCGTTCGCCCTCGCCTCGTTGTAAAGCGGCCCTTGCGCCGCCACCGACCAGTCCACGCTCACCACGTTGCAATCAAAACGCTCCAACAGGGCTGCGAAAAATTCAATTTTCAAATTTTATTTCAAGACAAGTCATGAAAATTGCACCGAAGTTTTAAATCAGCCGTAAATTTTATCAAAATATAGAATGTTTCTTTTCCGACATTGCAAATCAAGGTGAAATTGTTTTTGCATGACTGAATCGAATCTATGAAAACTTCAAAAGTACTGAATTCTGATTAAGAAAGATGATACAGAAGAATCAATTTAAATTTTTTTTTTTTTGCTAAATTTTGTTCATTAATTGTAAAGCAAATAAAGCTGCTCTTGTCTAACTTTCCAGTGTCTTCAGTAAATTCACAAAGGGTGGGTCCGAATATGAGAGAATTGATTCGCGAACCGATTCTCGAGAATTGATTCTTGAGAAGCGATTCTTGAGAAGCAATTCTTGAGAAGCGATTCTTGAGAAGTGATTCTCGACTATGGTTAACTTAAAAAAAAGTAATGTTAGGCGTGCATTTTGATTAAAAAAAAATCGCCTTAAGTGACAAATAATTGTTTAAAACATTTAAAAATTAATTATATTATTCAAACTGCACGCCAAACTTGACTTTTTTTTAAGTTAACAATAGTCGAGAATCACTTCTCAAGAATCAATTCTCGAGAACCCAAAGAGTTTTCAGCGTCCTTCAAATTAAAAAATTAAATATAAAATATACATATATAAAATATCACAGTATTAGCTTTCAATTTGAATAATTTTAACAAAATGTTTTGAATAAAATACTAAAAAAAGTAAAGAAAAAAACCTTGTATTTTTCTTTTGTACTGTTTTGATAAATTTTATGCTTTAAATATAAAAAATTTCGGAATTTGGTGAACTTTCATTTATCATGAATAATGATTCTATTTCTTTAATGACCATTTTTGACGCCGATGATCCAGGGGGAGAGGGCGTCGGCACCGAAGCCGTGGATCAGGAATTTAGTCTCTTTGGAAGGGTCAAAGGGCGCGCTGTCCACGTTGCCCACCCAAATCTGCCGGGCCAAGTCAGGGTTGCTCCTGTAAATTTATTTAATTGTTCAGAAATAATTATAAATTAAAGATGTTGAAGGTGCCGCACCTAGTGTAGAGATGAAAGGTGACGTCGGTGTTGGGCTGGAGGAGGCGCGGTTTGTTGACAGGGTGGCTGAGCATGGCCAGGTGGGCAGTTTCGGTCTCGCCAGGGAACACGATCCACGCACGCTGCTGCACGTCCAGTTCCCTCGAAGGTGCGCCCTCAACTGCAAATTTTAAGGAAAATGTTTAAAAAAAAATCAAGGATTCAACTCATAAATTACATACATTAAAAAAGTTAATATATTAATATTTTAAGCATTAACAAATTATTATCAAGAAGGAAAAATAATTATAAACTGCAATTTCCCAAGATGCCTATATCTTTCAGTTATTGTGGTAAAAAAGAGCATTTGAGGTATGACAATTTTTTGATTAATTTTAATCTGGAATTTTCAGAGAACGATGTGAGAAAATTGACTAATTCTGCAAGAGATACATAAAATTCGTGCACTTCTAGCTTAAATACGTAAGGTTGCTGCGGGTGCAACCCAAATTTTGCTATCAGAAGACAAAATGAACTTTTCGAAATAATAAAAAATGCTTATCTTTACTTATATTTGTGTCATGCTTTCCTTAGGATGTATGAAACACCTTGATTTCGTCATATCCAAATTAAAATATAAAAGCCACTATTTTCGTCGTTGGTCAATTTACACCTTTTGCAAAATTTTGGACTTCTTTTGTTTGAAATCCTTCCTTCCACTGAGATTCTCCAGTCTGCTCAGGTATTAAATAGAGCGGTGGCTGCTCTAAAATGACTTCATTTTTAATCACGGTGCAGACATCGCTGTGCTTTTTGTAACATTTAAATATTTGTTTTTCATTAACTAGAATGAACTAAAATTTACTAAAATGATTAAATGGTTTTGAGAGTAACATTCTTAAAATATTTTAATAAATTTTAAATATCCATGCTCAAGAGCTATTTAAAAATTATATATAACGGTTTTTTTTTTGCTTCCTTTTTAAAATCAATTTTATGATAAAATATATTTTTATTTTTATCAATAGTGGACACCGGCGCTGTGAATATTTCATCATGTACAAACTAATTATTTTCAAGAAAGAATTATTTACCTGCGAAAAAGGTCGCCGCCGCGAAAGTGAAGAGAGTGCAGAGGCGATTCATGTTGTCGTTCGTCACAAGAATTCACTCGAATAAAAAGGTGCGAACAAGTTATATAGACACGGCGACGAGTGATAGCGAAAGAAAGACACGCACCCTAATAAGAATTTCTGCTCTTATCGCTGAGATTTTTTTACTTTCCCGTCAATTGGCCAAGTGAATTTGACACTATCGGCGCCCATAATCGAATGAGGCGTTGATTGTTGCCGATTGTCCGTGTCAAATTGACAGCCGCACCCCGATAAATAGTCATCGACGCTACAGAAACACGGCAAAAACACGTCCTCGAGAAACAATTAGAAATATATAATTCAATATAATTAATTACTTGTTATCGGCCATTTTTATCACCCCTTTTCAACGCAACCAGCAAATTTAATGGGAATTAAGTCGCAAAACATTTGATCGATTGTGAAATAATTTTTAAACACTGTTTAAAACTTGAATTGAATGAGGATTTTTTATGATACTCTGAGAAGAATGTTTATTGAAGCTTTTCAAGCTAAAATATATTTATTTGATTCCATTTTACTAGTTTATTGAATGCTGATTGATATGAACTAAGCATGATAAAATTTTCATTAGGAAAATGCTTAGGGGTGCGTCCACGAAACATTTGAGATGAATTGTGAGCTCAACTTTTGGAATTTGGAATCATATCGTTCTCATTTTTACATGTTTTATATGCGTTGATGACATGTTTCAGAATCCAAAATTTTGAAAATTTGGCCAGATTTTGGGTTCTTTTTTTTAATTTTGAAATGAGCATAGCTCGCTTAAAAATGAAAATAATAAGAAACAATTTTGACGTATTTTCATAACGTTTCAATGCAAACAACTTTTCCATTGACCTCGAGGTCATAGGTCAACGTTCAAGGTCACTAATGACTCCGGCGAGTAATTAAAAAAACTAAAAACTAGAATTTCTCATCGAGCCTACCTATGGATATGAAAGTGTTTAATACAAAAAAGGTAGTCATGCACAATCACACACTAAAAATTTGCGATGGCATGTTTTTTAGTTTTTCTTCTGCAAACTAATAACACGATATTTAAATGTAAATTTTGAAGACTACTGCTCAGGAAAACTAGGGAATAATTAAGCAGATTCGAATATCTCGACTTAAATTGCGTCGTTGACTTGCCGCGTCTGCAAGGTTAAAATTCTCCGCTCACTGCTTTTTTTCTATAATCTATAAATATATCGAGAATTGCCGCGCGGTGCACATGAATTTTATTTTAATAAACGTGGCGCGGGCGGTTGGAAGAATAAATGGGGCGCGCATGGGCCGCGGCGACGCCACCGCACAGCAGCCCCTCTTCGCTCTTAATTCTCTCAGAAACAGGCACGATTTGCAGTGGAGACGCGGCGCACTCGAAACAAGAAACAAACTCTTGCAATTGAAACCATGTTTTTTGTTTTCACGTCGACGTGCAAAGTGCTCTGCTTCGCCAGCTACGTCGCCGCCAATTTCCTTCCACTTTCCGCCGCCGCCGCCGCCCCCGACTCGTCGGCCGAGGACGATTTTCAAAAGTTGCAGCGAAATGTGAGTTGCAAATTTCATCAGCAAATGTAAAAAGATTAAATATATTTTTTGGAAATACCCGCATTAAGGAGACAAATTTTGATTAAACGCGTAGATTTTTCAGGGGAAAAATTAAGTTGTGTTGAAATATTTTGGCTGTTATAAAAAATTCCATTAATTTTTTTTTATAATTTCTTTGTTTCTTTGGAAAAAATTGAAAAGATTATGTACTTTGGCACCTCAATTCCAGCAGATCAATCAAGGAAAATATTCATTAAACCACACCCAAAGCAAAATTAAAAGTTACGAAATAGGCGACTCTGTAATTTAGGAGAGAATAAATATTCAATTTTATTATGTAATTTTCTCTCAATACATTATTTTAACTTTAATTTTCGTAAAGTAAAGTAAATTACAACATAAATTATTACAAAAATTGAATTATTGAAGTACTCTGAATAATTCATTTTCGTTTTAGAAAATTATAAAAACTAAAATTTTGCAAATATTTTGAACATTAGTGTAAATTTTTGGACCAAGATTCGTGCTATCTTATTTCTGGCGCTCCAAAGCTGCTCACGTCCGCTGTTTATATAACTCGTGTCTCATCACGCTGCATGTGCACACCAAAAGTTGAGGATGGTCTAAAATTAGCCCCGCGTCTGCAAATGTCACCGCCGCAGCTGCAATCGATTCGCCCCGTCAAGTTCGGCCGCCAAATTTTGCGGTTTTCTTAGTTACAAAAATTGAGTTTATAATTTGAAACAATTCAGAAATCTCAATATGAAAAACTTCAAGCTTGAGATAAAAGAAAATTAGTAATTTTCTGAAATGTAAATTTTTGCAATCTTGAAACAATCATAAATTATTGCAAATCAAAATTTCATTGACCATTCTTGTCTCTTTAATTGGAATGTGTTGATTTGTCAGGAGAGCAGCAGTTTGCACGAAAGGGCCCGAAAGGTGCTGGAGCTGACCTGGCGCACGACGACGACGCGGCCAGGGTGGCGCCGCGAAAAAAGGTCCGACGACGGCGACGTCATCGACTCGCGCCGCGGACCCTCGCGCAAGATCTTCCGCCTCACGGTTTCAAAATTTATTAAAAAAAAAATTTGAAAAATTAATGAATTTTAACAAATTCAGGGTCGCGTGGAACTTTCACCGCGGCGCCTTCTGGAGGAACTTTTCCACAAAATCGAGCAAGTGCCCGCCTGGAATCCGACCGTCGCCAAATCACAAGTTCTCCAGGTTTGTTTAATTATTCCTTTATTCATTTCCTCAAAATTCAAAGTGTTGCAAGAATTTATTAAGAGAATCACGATTGTTGGAAGGGAAATATTCACTTTTTATAGATAACGAATTACGATTAAGAGAGATATCAGGGATATGGGAAAAAACTTCACTTATTTGATGGAAATTAACTCAAATATAAAATCAAAGAGTAGAAATGGATCATTTTCATGCAAATATTTACAGTTCAAAATTAATTAATTATTTACAAAAAATCACCACTTTTTTCGCCTAAAATCAACTATTTTTCCAAAGCTGAAAAATTTTCCCACCCAACTTTGTCTCATTTAAGACTAAATTGTTATTCTCATCACTTTTGATGTGAATTAAAACAAAATGTTTTGAATTGGTTTGCAGAAAATCGACGAGAACACGGACATTACTTACCAAGTGACGGCGAAAATCGCGGCCGGCATCATTTCGAGCCGAGACTTTGTCGTTTTGCGGCAGTGGGCAGAGAAGGAGGGACACTTCATCGCCGCCGCCAGATCCACCTCCAACAACTTCAAACCCGAGCAGGACGGAATCATCAGGTGACAAATTCTCACTTGGAGATTTCCAAAGTGAATATTCAAATTTATAAAAAAAAAGAGCAAAAAATTTAACGATTCATTTGATCTATACACTCTGGGGCCGCAGGTGAGCAAAATCCTGGGCTTATAGGTATTTCCTCAACCCTAACGAGAGTAATTCTTTTTCTTCTTTATATTTTTATTCATAAACAGTCCTTTTAAGAGGCAATTTCAAAATTTCACCCTCAATAAAAGGGTGAACAAAAGTTATAAAAGGAAGAAAACAAAGATAATTTTTCTTTTGAACTGATGTTTGAATTTATCGGAAGAAATTAATTTTCATTTTTTGAAAATTTGATTGTTCATTTCAGGGCGCACAGCGGCCCCGGTTGCTGGTTGATCAGTCCGATCGAGCACGAGCCGGACGCGTGCAAGGTGCAGTGGTTGATGGACACGGACCTGAAGGGCTGGTTGCCGCGCGTGGCCGTCGACAGGGCCATCCCTCGCGCCATGGAGGACTTCATGCGCCACCTCAGGTCGCACGTGCGCACCCTCAGGGGCCGTTGATGAATTGCATTGCGATCGTTTTTAACTTTGAGATCTCAAAATATTTTAAAAAGCAGTGCTTTGATTGTTGAAAGAAAGAAAGAAAGTTTATTGCTTGTACAAAACTAACAAATACATATAAAAATAATATTTACAAGTGACGATTCGTGTCGATTTGCGCGGCCACATCAATAAAAATGATATCTTGTTGGAGAATTTGTTACATGGTGAGCAGGAGGGCCGATAAGAGGGCCGATAGGGCGGCTGAAGAGGCGGCGGCCGAGGCGCTGCTCCAAGGCAGGGCGTACTCTGCAAACGGTAATAATTGCTCGCGTAATTGCGCTGTTTAACAAAGCAGAGCGATCGATTGCAATCTTGATTGCCGCAGTTCGATCTGTGCCACCACCCGTCAATCACTCTGCTTTGACAAATAAATAAACCAGGCCAGGCGTGCGTGCAAGTGCAGGGGACTGCAAGTGGTGCTATCTGGGGTCAAAGTCCATCGTACCAGGGTCGTTCAGGTCCCACGGCTCGAGGCCCTCGCGGCCGTTCTGCACGCGCAGCCACTGCTCCAGGGGCGTGAAGAACTCGAGCATCGCCCGCGGGTCCAGCAGCGCCGAGTCGCCCCCCGTCAACTCCCGCAGCACCTCCGGCCACGCCTTCGACGACCCCGAAGACATCACCTGGCTTCACATCCATCAACAATTAGAATGTTTTTTCTGTTATTCTCACAATCAGTAAAACAATTTCATAATATATTCCAAGCCCATTTTAAGGAACAGACTCATTTATATAGATTCCAGTTTTATACAAGGGATGAATTGAATTGTTGGAAACTCAAGACCAGGGAAAGTGGATGGAAATTTTCATTGAATGGAAAATTCATCGCGTGTTGGAATAGAATCCTTTATATTTTTGCCCCAAATACTATTCAACATGTTTAATTTCGATTCTATTTCATTGAAACTCAAAGATTTGAACTTCTTTAAGAAAATGGAATGAAATTAAATTGCAAGAGGAATGGAACAAGAATCTATTCTGCGGAAACGATTCCAGTCTATTTCTCCTCCATCAGAGGTTTAACATAAGTTATGAGTTATGAATGAATTTTTACTAGGATATAATTATATAAAAACTCTCTTGGAGGGGGTTAAAACTTTGATATACCTGAGCAACTTTCCAGCCTCCCTCCTGTTCTGCAGTTCGCACCTGTGCAGGTGGCCCCTGTGGCCGGCGGCCCTGCACAGCGCCTGCAGCATCTGGAACTGCAGCAAACTGCTCACCATGTACCTATTCAATCCGACCAAAATCAGTTGTTATAAAATGAATTCAAAATTTCTAAGCAAAATACCCGATGTAGGGCTTGTGGGTGACCACGTGCTTCTTGGCGGCGGCGTCAAAGTCCCTCTCGGACCTTTTGGCCGGTGGCGCGACGCCCTGGATGCCGAGCCGCAGCTGCCACCAGCGCTCGTTCATTTCTTTGTAGCCGAACTCGCCGCTGAAGATTTTCCAACGCCACTTTCAAACAAAATATAAATTGAGAAATTTATACTTAATAATTCCTAATCTTTCTTCCTTCACAGACTTCCCCTTTCCCCTCAATACCTTTTAACCCTGTATCACCTCCCCTTACCACTCTATCCCCTTCCTAAACAACCTTCTTGATTTACTTATCACCCCCTCCCCTTCTTCGCCTCACCAGGTCAATGATGTAACTGTAGGGGACGAAAGCCAGCTTCTCCAGGGCGACCCGCATCAGGTAGTTCATGTGGATTTCTGCGTTGCAATAAAAAGTTTCATGTTTATTACCAAAAAAAAGAGGAAAGACGTTTTTTAATAATTTTAAACTTTGAATGCAATTTTGCTTGGTAAATTATTAAAAAAGTATCAAATCCTAGAGCCTGGGTGTTTCTCATAAATTTCTAATTTGAAGAAATAAAAAAATAAAAATGTTTTAAAATAAAGTTTAGCAAAGTATTAAATCGTCTAGCTGCAAAATTCTAGATTTTAAGTGCTCACTGTTGCATAAAACATTCAAAACGGACTAGAAATTCAATTGAAAATGCATTTCAAAGAAAATGATTATTTCAAATTTACGGCCACGGACCTTCGTCGTTGGAGTTGTTGCCGGGGAAGAGGCCGAGGCGCTGCAGGTGGTCAGGGTTGGTGACCGCCAGGGTGACCATCTCGCCGACGGCCTCGTGAAGCGCTGCAACAACCGCAGGAGTTAAGCAAAAAAAAAAAAATCGTTGAGGGTTTTTTTTAGCTTGCCTGGATTGGCGCCCTCGCGGAACAGCGTCGGTTGCGCCGCGTAGTGCATGTAGTACTGCACGTGCGCCAGTTCGTGATGAGCCGCGACCAGGTCAGCGTACGTCGGCGTCGCGCACATTTTCAGTCTGCAATTGAAAATTTCATAAAAATCAGCCTTCCGGCAAAAAATTGTTTAATACTTATAAAAAATTATAACTTAAAATTCAATTTGTTTAAAATTTTTAACTATTTGGGACCACTTTTGGCTTCAATATGATGAATCAAAGCTTGAGAAGGAATAAAATTGATTAATTTTACAAAATCGGATTTATCCAAAGCACGTAAATATCAATTAAATTTTCTCCATAAAGCCAGATTTGAAGAAAAAAAATCAAGTTGAGAAATCGCACTGACCTGTAGTCGACGCCGTCGCAAAAGTCCCAGGCCGAGGATCCGCACAGCACAGGCCGGTCCAGCGGCTTTTGAATGATCGACTTGCGCCAAAAGTCGGCCGGCATCGACGGCAGCCCCAGCGACGTGAACCACTGCTCGGCCACTTGCAACAAACTGCAGGTCCAAAAAAGGTTAAATTATAAAAACAAAAATAAAATCTTTTATAAACGATGTTAAAAATTTATTAGAATTTCATAAACTTTGAAAAAAATAATTCATATTAAACCAAATTATAAATTTTAATATAATATTAACAAATATTTCAGTTGTACAAAAGAAGGAAATAAAATTTGAATTATCTAGAAAAATAATTGATTTTTCATTATTATTTTTTCTTCAAACAGAGAGAGTAAATTAAATAAATGGACCTTGAATCTAGAATTTTTTTTATAAATAATTGATTTTGGCTGACCCGAGCGGCGTGTATCCTTGCCTGGCCATCTCGGCGGACACGTCGGGCAGTCTCTTGAAGGGGAAGGGCGTGACGAGGTCCTCGACGGCGGCCCACGACTGCGACCACATGTTGCCGAGCAGGTGGGCCGGGATGGGCCCACGGGGCCGCACCACGCCCTCGCCGTACTGCTGGGCCAGTTTGCGGCGCACGTAGGCGTGCAGTTGGCGGTACAGGGGCTCGATCTGGGCCCACGCCGCCCCCGCCGCCTCCATCACGTTCGGCCCCGTCCCCGGCAGCAAATCCTGGTCGAACTCGGACCGCCACTGCTCGCCCACGTCTCGGAAACCTTAATTTGAGTATTTGTTTATTATCAGTCACAATTTCTTATTTGAATTTTAATTAATTAAATCAAAAAATAATTTACTTTTGTTTCATATTTTTAAATAATGCCATTTCATTCCTCGTATGTAACAAGAATATAAGACAAGATATTGAGATAAGAAATTTTATTTATTAAAAACACTAGGTGTATTCGAGTTTTTGCAACATTATAAAAGCGACATTTGTTTGATTTCTCAACAAAAATAATTTTCATTTAAATACATTAATAGCCTCATTTTGAGGCGTCTGTAAAGTAGGCAATTTCTTGACACCATTACTTGCTTCACCACTTGCTACAACCATTTGCTTTAAATTCTTGGTAAAAAGCACAATTTTTTCCCGATATTTGAGCTCAGAATGTGCAGGCTTTGAACATATCATTTGAAAAGTTCACCTTTGTTTGAAGAGATTCACCCAAAGGATTGCATTTCCTTAAAAAAAATAATTCATGGAGCAAAATATTGCATTTTAGATGACAACCTATCATGATTCATGATATTATTTTGAAATTACAAATTTTGTTACAATGAGGTTTCTCAATTCTGCTGATTTTATGAATTTTTCTTTCTCATGAAATAGAGCATTGACCGTAACTCTAGAGCCGTTTTAACAATTTTTACCATTTTTTTTAACTCTTCATTTGCATATTATAATTTATAATTAATTAAACAGTGCTCAATTCTTTTTCAACTAAAATATCCTTTTTCTTTACTTTTTTTTCTTTTATTCGATCTATTTACCAAAATTAAGAATTAAGTAATGTTTTGCAAAGGTCACAAGTTCCTTTCATAATTGCAAGGTCAACGGAAGGCGCGCGCGCGCGCTTGACAGTTCTGTTTTCTTTTGGTGTGTAATTGGATCCGTTTTTTCGCGCGTTGCATTCGGCGCTGCCGTGTGTTTCAAAACTGCAGCGAGACGGAAAAGGAAAAATCGACACGCAAATCTAAACAAAAGCACCGTTCGTTTTCCTTTTCTACGGGGCAATTTGGCTCAGGCGTGGCCCTCGACAGATCACTCTACCGAAACTCTCGTAAATACTTCCGAGATAGAGAGAAAAAAACGAAATGAACTTTGAGGTGCGGAAATTATTGTGTATTTATAAAGTGCGTCGACCTCCAGAAATAGAGAGATTTATTTTACGTCTGTTTCCGGCGGACCAAAATAAAACTCTGGAATTGATTGATTTGAAACGAAGCAAAGGAAAACAATTTGTTTTGTGTGTTTGGGTTTGAGTGATGCGTCGTCGGTCGGGGGCGTCATTAGCATTGTTTTGCCTTTGAATGAGGAAACAAAACTCATTCCTGCTTTCAATCAGCGCTGATAATGAAGCGGCGCCGCGGCCGACGCGACCAAATAACATCCCCTGAGCTCTTTCTTTTATTTTTGTCTCTCAATTAAAAGCAGGATGTGTCGAACTTATTTTTTGACTCGCGCACAGAAGCATAAGAGACTCTTTTGATTCAATTTATTCGGCTTTAGTTCTTCTCCATTGGAGGAAAATTGTGGATCCAATTTGAATTAATTTTGAAAATATTGATTTAAGATGAAGGTGACAATTTTTCACAAATTTACATTTTCCTAATATTTTTTAAAGCCCGATCATATTTTCAATGAATGCCCAAAACACATAAAAAATTTAACTTAAATTTATAAATATTTTCATTTAAGTTAATGATAATTAATAAGAAATTTTTTACCGTTTCTCTTAGCGGCGGTGTTGCTGAGCTCGACGAGTCTGACGAACCTGGGCCTGCTGGGGGGTCCGACGACGTCTCGCCACGACTTCCACGCAAACGCCAGCATCACCGGGTCCCTGGACGTCTTCAGGATGGACACGAGTTCTGCGTTCGTGACTTGGAATTTAATTTTTGCTTTTTTTTCCCAAGGAAATTCTTTTTACCCGGGTCGAGGTGGAGGGAGCACCGTTGCAGGGGGGTCGAGTACAGGTTGTTGTAGTTGCCGGTGAGCACCGCAATCGCGTTCTCCAGACCCGGCGCCGGACACACGTGGCTCTTGCTCTGGATGTCCCGCATTTCCGACAGCACGTCTTGCATCTACAACTCACATTTTTTAATAATAAATCCGATTTTACTCAGAACTTTTCAGACATATGCAATCAAAATTACCATCTCTGTGTATATTTAAAAAAAAAAACGTTTTAAACTTGCCACAAACAATTTGAAAACTCACCAAACATTTTGAGTTATCTGGGTTTTCACAAATTAAATTATATTAAATTTTTACTTCAAATCACTACAAAGTGTCAAGTTAAGTTTTAAGCGGAGACGCATTTCATTTCATGAAAAGCTGAATTTTAAGGAGAAGCTCAAAGTTTAATTCTCGATGATTTCTTCTGCCTGAATCTCAATTTAAATTTTTAATAAAAGATAAGAATATTAAGAAATCATTCAGATCCCAATTTTATAGGAAAATATTCAGAATAAGTAAAAAAATTAAAAAATTACTGAAATTGATTTTACACCCGGCGAATTGTTTTACAGTAAAATTAGTTTTCAATCAAAAGTTGTAGCAAATTAAATTCTGTACATTTTTTTGCATTTACCACTTTCTTCTAAATCCAACAGGAAAAACACGACAGTATAGAAAAGCAGGAATGTTCAAAAAACGCGGTTTTCTCCAGATTCAAACTGTTTTCATAATGAAAGTTTCAGCAAATTTCTTGTTAGTGCTGCGGTGCAGTTTTTGCCAGCAATTCCATATTTCTTTCTAGCATATTTTATTTTTATTTTTAATAATTTGATAAAAACTGCGCGATTGCAACAATGCGGACAAATAAAAAAAATTAAAACTTGAATTTTGACTTTGTGCTTCTGAAAAGGCTGAAAATAATAAACAAAAGATGAAAAACCTCTTTGGCGAGATCGTCGGGCAGTCCGGCCGTTTCCCTGGCGCGCATCCCCAACCTGAGGAATTGTCGGTAGATCCGTGGCTGCGAAACGGAAAGGGCGCGCCAATGGACCGACGACTCGGCCCGGCGCCACGCCGACCGCACGAATTTGTCAAAACGAGACTGCTCCGCCGCCTGCAAATTTTTCAAATTTCAAATTAAATTAAAATTATTGGCCAATTTTTTTTTAAACAAAAAGTTGGAAATTTCCGATTGAAAAAAATTTAGTGTTCAAAAAGGGACTATTTAAAAAATTTAATGAGGGCGATCCAAAAGGCTAACTTGGCCCAGGCTAAATTAACCTGGCCTGGGCTAATTAAACCCGCCATTCAATTTTGCTGGTGGGCTAAGTTAGCCCAGGGCTAAGTCAAGTTAGCCTGGGCCAGGTTAGGCTTTTGGATCGCCCTCATTGATTTCTTGGGCAAGAAATGGAATATTTTAACTTATTTTTGGGAGAATTTAGAAGGGCATATTTTTTGGAATAATTTCGGTACGCAAAAATGAACGGTTTATTTGTGAGATTTGGTCACAGGCGGTGCACTCACGGCATATTCGGCGCCTCTGGTCGTCACGTTGGTGGCGTAGTCCCACTGGGCCGTGACCAGGGCCTTGCACGCCCCCACGCTCTGCACCTCGTACTGACGCAGAAACTCGTTCGCCTCAGAAATGTGTCGCTCCTCGCCCTGTCAACATCGACAAAATTCACTTCACAAATTGCATTTTGATTGATACATCTAAAATTTTCAATAAAAAGGCGAATAATGATGCTCAAATTTTTTTACAAAAGAAGTAAAAATTATTCTCTTTTAAGAAAAATCAAAATTTTAATGAAATTAAGAAAATTGTAATTTAATTTTTGATACAAAATCCACCACAGCACTCTTCAGTTTTCATTAAAAAATAATTGCAATTAATATCTAGTGAAATTTCAAAGGACGATGGACAAAAAATATAACCTTCATAATAAATCTTGAATCAATTCATGAATATTTGAGACAGCATTAAAAATAAGAATTTTTCACTTTAGCTAGTTTCATTTAAATAAACCAATAATTATAATAAAAAGTTTAATTTCTTTTCTAGGGAAAGAAAGTAAGTTTATTTCAGTAAATTGTCTCGCGCGCATCTTCTCTATTTCTGTTCAACCCTGAGTTTCATTGTTGCATTACATTAAGTTAGCAACAGGTTCTCTCGCTTTGATGAGCGCAAAGTATCCTTGTTTAATTTTTGCACAACAAACTCTTCTTCTATTGACAATAAAAATAACAAAAAAATTTAACTCGTGTAAGTTATTTTCTGCTCGAGGATGACAAAACTAGAGCTTTCAAATTTGCTTCAGTTAATTATTGGAAATTAAACAATTTGGAACTAGATGTGGCACTTTTAAAACTGACCTGGAGGCCGAAGTTGTAGGACTGTGCGGCGACCCTGGCGGCCGCCAGGGCCGAGAGCAGCACCTGCAGCCCGAGGACCCTCATATGTGGAATTGAGTGTGCTTGGATTATTTCTTGGCAGGCGTCTTTGGGGATCGAGGCGCTCAGCGTGACTGCAGCAGCGAGAGAGGATCTACCTGCGCGAGCGAGTGTAATGTCGCCACACCCTGACAAAGGAAGAAGACACACTTGACGCAACAACGCATCGCACGGACCACGAAATTAACTAATTGCGTTTCGTAATTATACTGCGTCGCCCAAACCGTCAAGTAGAGTTGTTGTTGTTGCTCCAAAAGAAAATAAAATTCTAGTTAAAAACGAGATAAATTTTGACAATTTTTCCGCAGATTATGATTTAAAACTTAAATGGTATTTTTTTTTATGCTAGAAATTAATGCTAAATTAACTAAATCGACCTTCACCTTTCACATATAATTAAAATTGTACTAAAAATTGTTAAATGAAATTCAGCTTGACGATATAAATCTACCTTATAATAAAAATTTTTATTCATAAATTTCTGAATTTCACTAGGAAATGGAAATTTGGAGTTTGTGTCTTTCATGTCATTATAACGGAGCGTGTGTGTCTAACAATAAGTAAGACGATCAGAAGAGCTCCTGTGAAATCGCTGGCCGCAACCCGCTCGACACGCCAATCCGGTGGCGCCACCTGTGCGGCGGCCGGCTAAAGCTTTGGCGCCAAGAGCCGAGTGCGCACGCGCTCTGGGGCTCGTCTGGCCGATCAGCGCGGAGGAATACCAGCGGTGTGCTCCGCAGTGGCCGCGATCGCTCTCGCGTCCGTGACCGCGCGTCCGAACCGATCTGAAACCAACTTTAGCGTCGGGTTAAAGGTTTTCAAGGTTCAAAGACCAGCTGGGGGGAGAGAAATCGGCGATTTGCAGGAAGGCGCCGCGGATCTACTTGCGGCGGCGGAGCGGTCTGTGCGATTAGGAAGATGTCGGTCGGCAGCAAACTGCGCCCGATTGAAAAGTAGCGTGTCCGAGCGAGGAGATAGAGAGAGAGCTGGGAGTGTCCGGGACGCGGGACGATGCGGTGAGATGTCGTCGATGCTGCCGTTCTCGCCGCCGATCGTGAAGCGACTGCTGGGCTGGAAGAAGGGCGAGTGCGAGGACAAGTGGAGTGAGAAGGCCGTGCGCAGCCTGGTCAAGAAGCTCAAGAAGTCCGGCGGACTGGACGAGTTGGAAAAGGCCGTGTCCAACCAGGACCCCAAGACCAAGTGCATCACCATCCCCAGGTACTCGTCCAATCGCACCTTCTTCGAACCAAGAAAAATAAAAAAAAGGGCCGATTGCGAGCGCGGCCTTGAGACTCTTCCGGCCCCGCTTCTTCTCTTCTCTTGTTTTGCACTCTCTTCGGTTCTTTCTCTCTTGGCTTGTTTTCCCAGACGCACTTGTTTATTTCGAGGCGAAGTAATCACGACACTCGAGGCCAAATATTTACCTCCTAATGCATGCTGAGTTTGGAATTTGTTATTAATCGACGAATTACGAGGCAATGTTGTTGCGAACAAACAATTCCCATTGTCCCTTATCGCTCCACATTCAAAGTTAACTCATTCCAAATTTTATTGTTTTTGTAGTAATACTATTTCTAGGGGATGATTCATGCTAAAAACTTGCCGTCAATGAGTTCATTCAGCTTTTATCAATTTTATTCAAATAATAATAAATTTATAATTTGTGGCAATACTTTTTTTTGTAATTCAATTTTTATAATTTTTTTCCTATTGATGCACTATAATGAAATTTTTGGTTGGCCCGAATGCAAGTTAAGACATTTTTTTTTCAAATTTTCAAAGTGCATATTATATTAAATTATATTATTTTTCTTCCCTGCTCAAAATGCTGCTTCCAGATTTTGTTTCGTTTCCCAATCGAACGCCGCGTGCTATTTTTAATTATTGCTTTTCGAACATTATAAGACTTGTTGAACAAATTTATAAATTTAATCAGGATTTGTTGTTGTTGTCAAAAGCAAAACCATTCATTTCTTAAAACAAACACTTGACAATATTTTCCTTCTTTCTCTCGATAAGAAATGCCCCTAAACTGACCTTTGGAATTTTAATTTCTTGTTTTGCTAATTTCTAGTTCTAATAATTATGTTACATAATCCGCCAATTAAATTTCAAAATTGCAGAGTATTTCAAATCTTTGGAGAAAATTCCAATTAAAATAAACTCAATTTTTTATTACATCTTATTCGTAAAGCGAAATTGACAAATCTGGATTTTATTCGCACAAAATGCTTTTATTAATTCGCAGCCAATTATCGGTCGGCTGATGTGTTGTTGTGAGTGGGAAGTGAACCGCGAACCGCCCATTCAAATCACGCCTGGCCGTGAATAATTCCATCGCATCTCATTGCTCTTCCAAAAACAAAGCTCCCTTTTTATCAATATCTCACCTAGACGCGACAAGAAGTTCTTTTTTCAAGAAATACTCGCACGATTATTGGAGGTCGCCGCTATCTGCCGATTATCGCAGCGATTATGCAAATAATGAATGGGTCTGGCCGAAGTCCACAAAAGTCACTCTCGGTTGGCGTGAAATTGTAGAATCGATCAATTTCCAATTTTCTCCAATAGCCGCATTCATATGAAACGTCATAAACATTTGAATCAGAAAAATGCTATTGCGCATGCGTGAAATCATTTGAAATCTACTGCGCGTGCGCAACAGATCCAATAGTGCATTCGGATGACTAAAAATTATTTAAATATAATTTTTTTCAACGATACATACTGAATTTTACGTTGAATCCTACTTTTCGAAGATTTTTATGTACCGCGCATGCGCAGTAAATACGGGATAATGATAATTAAAATGATTTAAAAACAAAAATAAAAACCGTAGCGATTTCTTCTGTTTTAATCAAAGATTCGAATTACATTCGAATTGTGTTATCAATCATAAATTACTGCGCATGCGCAATAGACTTGGAGTCGCTCATTGCTCAGTGTAAATACGCTTCTTCCCCTTCGAATCTCACTGTTGTGCGTGGGGTGTGTGTTTGTGTTTTTTTTCTCTTGTGGTGGTTCAAGGTTGACCCACCCCGGCGCGGTCTGTCCACTTCTCTTCACATGATTATTTTTCTATCTCTGTCCACTCATGATCAAAATTTAATTTTTTTTATTTCCATCCATGCAATTATGTATTATTTTTTGTTTGTTTCGGCCTTTTGCAGTCCTCGCGGCGCTCAAAACTCTGCGTCAGGCTCGAGGGTGGACTCCGGGGGATCGACCTCGTTCAGGTACACAATCCAGAATTACCAGACACGCAGGTATGAGCAATTGACACACACGATCGGCACCACCCGCACACACACGTCAACAAACATTCACCACCAACACACTCTCGCTCACACAAACAAACATTTCCGAGTTTTCTGCTCCATCCAAGATGGCGTCGTTCAAGGAATTTTAAATTCGTCGTAACTTTGTCAATTTTGGCCTGAAAATTGTTTCCCGGCCACGGTTGGAACTGCCCGAAAAAGCTCTTTCGAAATACGGAATATTCAAATTTTGATCAAGAACCGCTTTAAAGGGTCAATTAAACTATGGGTGTTGAAATTTCAATAAACATTGCCGATTGTAAGTTTTGAGCAATTTTGGCGGGAAAAAAGAATTACCCTTCATTTTATGGCAAATTCCGATTTCCAAATGAATTTTAAAAATTTTTTAAACGAAAAAAATTTATTCTGTTGTCTTTGATTTTTCTTTTCAACTTTATAATTGAATTTGACAAATATTTCCAGATTATTAATTCTTTCGTTTCCCTTTCATTTCAAACGTAAAGATGAGATGAGCGTGTGTCAATTTGGCCGTTTCGCGACGTCGCCATTTTCCGGGATCAAATTTTGAAACTCGAGCCAGACGTTTTTATTTTTTGCGCGCACAAATAGGCGAAATGCGTGCGCAACGCGGAGACGGAGGGAAAAAATTGTGTCTCGTTGTCTAAAAATAAACGCGTTTGCGGCTCCAGCGCCGAGACTAATTATTATTTTATTCCAGCGGCCGAAATCGCGAATGAGAGTTGGCGCGAGGGGTGCATGGGGGTGAAGCACCACCCTCGGCGGGTCGATACGGCGCGCCGCCGACGTCGCCCCTTCATTCGCAAAATCTCCTCCGTTGCTATCCAAACACGCCGCCTTTTTTTTCTTTGAATTCACTTTAAATTCCGACTTTGCCTTTCAACCTGGAATAGTTTTATGCAAAAATGGAGTGGCCTGAAGATGACAAGGACAAAATTAAACACAGCATCAGATAAAAAGTAATTTTGAAGAAGCGTCTGCAAAATAAACGATTTATTTCCAGATTTACAAAAATAGTTTTAAACTAAAATCGCTTTTTAAGGGAAATTTTTTTAAATTGATAAGATTCTACCAAAAAAAGGTTTGATATCAATAAATTATTTCATTGTGTAGTTTTAAAATTGTTTAAATTATTTGAAATTAAAAAAAAAAAAAATTTGAAAACAAAATTTTTTATATTGAATTGAATGGTAACACTCGAGGTGGATTTCATGAAAAATTGAAACCGGGCGAACCTCGTTGCAAAGAAAAAATGAAAAAATAAAGGACAACTGACCCCAAAGGCGACCTGCGGTCTGCTGGTACTTTAAAACCTAGGATTTCTTGTGTCCGACTAAAACTAAGTGGGAGGAATTAATAAAAAAGTAAAAATAAAATGGGAGAATTTTAATTTTAATAAACAAAAATTGCAGAAATTAATTAAGCAAAAGAGTTAGTCAACAGCTTCATACTGTGATTTTGGCAGAAATTTCCAGGGCAATGAACCCAAAGACTTTTCTGGCAAAATCACAGTATTCTGCCGCACTACTGGTTAGGACAGCTGTTTCGGCCAATCCAGGCCTCATCAGCTAACCTGAGTGCCGGTCCTCTCCTTTCGGAGAAGTCCGAGAGACTGATGCTGAACGGTGGCTGCTGCGGGGTTTTATACCCGAGCGAGGCCGCTCGCACCGCCCCCTGGCGCGCTGATTGGCTGACTCGATCGCTCTAGAAAAGCCAGAAAAGTCTTTGGGTTCATTGCCCTGGAAATTTCTGCCAAAATCACAGTATGAAGCTGTTGACTAACTCTTTTGCTTAATTAATTTCTGCAATTTTTGTTTATTAAAATTAAAATTCTCCCATTTTATTTTTACTTTTTTATTAATTCCTCCCACTTAGTTTTAGTCGGACACAAGAAATCCTAGGTTTTAAAGTACCAGCAGACCGCAGGTCGCCTTTGGGGTCAGTTGTCCTTTATTTTTTCATTTTTTCTTTGCAACGAGGTTCGCCCGGTTTCAAAATTTTTTATTTTTTTATTTAATTTATTAAAAATCATTTTACATAATTTTTTTAGTAACGATTTATTAATTTTTATTATTTATAATAAATAAACAAATTTGAAGGGAGGGGGTGCCATGAAAACAGACCACCCTGCGAAGAAGAGTGGTTGGGGAACTTTTTCGACCAATCGAAGATCGCAAATTGGCTTGTACGAATTTAATAATTTTGAATTGCTTGCACGTGTACCAATCGTATTTAGTTAATTATTCATATTTGATAGAAAAACTCGTGATAATTCGCATGATCTGGAATTTTCACTTTTCGAGTTTCTGATTTTGAATTTAAAAAAAAGAACCAAAATTTCCGTTTTTAGAACCTCACGTCTGACTCGTTTGTCTTTCATTTAAAAGATGCGTAATTTGAGGGGGGGGGGGGAGGGGAGTCGTCTGTGCTGCGAAGAATTCATTCCATCTCGTCAATTCGCGAAAGTTGATCTCGGTCGCTGGCTGCGCTGAATTTAATAAAAACAATTATTTGCATAGGCCGACGTAGAGTCGGAAGAATGGGTAATTAAAAGGGGCCGCCGACGCTCAAGGTTGCCCCAAATCGAAACCTGATTTCCCGCGCAACCCTGCAGCCTCTCTTTTATGATGCAAACAAAGGCTCCAGACTGTGCAGATTTTTTGCTCGCGTCGCCGAGCCGGCTTTGATCGAAAGCAGAAAAACTTCAATCGTGACGCGATTTGATCAGTTTTGGAGCTAAATGAACTCATTTTCAAAAATCTCATTCCGAAAATTTTAAGATTCGGAATTTGCTTTTCATGTTTAATTTAAATTGCAGCAGAATTAAATAATATAATTCAAATTAACACTAATAATTTTTTTTTTTTTTAATTTGAGCTTTTTGTTTCAAAAATTTCAAAAAAATTTTACTGCGAACTTGTTTTAAAAGCAATTTAAAAAACTCGCCACGACATAAATTTCACCGTTTTATCTCGCAAGTGGGCTGATAAGAAGTTGGTCGCGTCCCGGTGCAATTATTTCCGCCATTTCCGGTCGCGATTCGAGAAATAAAAGCAAATTTAAACCTTAATTTTTCAAAGTCCTATTTTCGCACAGTTTGATTACAATTTGAAAAAATTGTTTGTGAGGTCGATCGCCGGTGTTGATTGCCAACTGCATTGTTTTTTTGTTTTTTATTTGATTGTTGACGCATTGCTGAAAGGTAACTTGCATTGTTTCAGGTCGCTGGACGGGCGGCTGCAAGTGTCGCACCGCAAGGGACTGCCGCACGTCATCTACTGCCGGCTGTGGCGCTGGCCCGACCTGCAGAGCCACCACGAGCTCAGGGCCCTCGACCTCTGCCAATACGCGTTCAACCTCAAGCGCGACGAGGTCTGCATCAACCCCTACCACTACTCCAGAGTAGAGCAACCAGGTCAGCACAACAAACTTGAAACTTGAGAGAAAACCAAGTTTGATCCATTTTTCAAACTACTCCTTTCCCTACTACCCATTTACTAATGGCGGCAACTATTAAAGTGGGTCAATTTCATCCCAAACTCTAATTTATTACTTTTTAAGGTTCAAAGCTATGATTCATAAAAATTTTGATTCTTTGTGCAAATTTTCTTCTACTCCTTTTCTTACTACCCACTTGTTAACTGTACCAACAATAAAAATTGATCAAGAAACTCTTTAATTTGATCAATTTTAACCTTCTCAGTTAAAATCATGAAAGTATATTAAGAGTTCTTGTGAATTTTCTTGAACTCCTTTCCTTACTACCCTCTTATATTGATGAAATTTTCCTTTAAAATTAATTTAATTATGTTTTTGCAGAACTGCCCGCGATTTTGGTGCCGCGGCACACAATTACGGGCGACAACAACGAGTACCCGCTGCTGGACGACATCTCGACGTCGTCGGTGCCCGAGAACACCAACTTCCCTGGGCTGGGCAACCTGGCGGGCCACGCCAACCTGAACCACCTGAACAGCCTCAACAACCTCAACTCCTCCTCGGGGGGCAGCAGCCTCCACAGCTCCAGTCTCGTGGGCAGCTCGCTCAGCATTTCGGCCTCGTCCGCCGCCTCCACCGCCTCCACCATGAGTCCGGGCGGGGGGCAGGGCTCGGCCGCCTCCCTCAGCCCCGTCCCGCCCACCGAGACGCCGCCCCCGGGCTACATGTCCGAGGACGGCGAGAACCAAGACCACAATGACAACCTGAGTGAGTCTTCCAAACACTCCAGAGTCCAGTGACAATAAGAACTTGACACTAAATTCTTCAAAATTCAAAATTTAAATAGGCTGTATTCAAAATCAACCAAATTTGTTTTTGATTGACTTATCATTCAAACAATTCAATTGTGATGTCCACATCATCTGTTTTTTTCATTGAAATGAACCTTTTTTTACAAATCTTGTATGGTTTTAATCCTCAGGTTTGTTTGCAGACACAAGTTTACATTTTTTAAGGACAATGAACGCTAATTTTTTTACCAGAGTTTGAAGTTCAATTGGGCAGTTAAGAGAAGATTAATTAGCTTTTAATTTGAGATACTCATTTTTACCATTTTATTCTAAATTTTGGTGAATTTTGCAGGTCTGTCTCCAGACTCTAGTCCGCACGTCGACTCCCAGCCTGTGATGTACTGCGAACCGGCCTTCTGGTGTTCCATCAGCTACTACGAGCTCAACACGAGGGTTGGCGAAACTTTTCACGCATCTCAGCCGTCCATCACAGTGGACGGGTTCACTGGTTTGTTTAAATTAAAATTATTATTGTTGTTTATTTAAAATTTTGTTTTATACAGATCCGAGCAACTCTGAGCGGTTCTGCCTGGGGCTGCTGTCGAACGTGAACCGCAACCAGGTGGTGGAGCAGACGCGGCGCCACATCGGCAAGGGCGTCCGGCTCTACTACATTGGCGGGGAGGTCTTCGCCGAGTGTCTCAGCGACTCGTCCATTTTCGTGCAGTCGCCAAACTGCAACCAGCGCTACGGATGGCACATGGCCACCGTCTGCAAGATTCCTCCTGGTATTTCATTGGATTGATTATTCTTAAATTCAAAACTAATTGGTTTTGTCCAAAGGCTGCAACCTGAAGATCTTCAACAACCAGGAGTTTGCGGCTCTGCTTTCGCAGTCGGTCAACAATGGTTTCGAAGCTGTTTACCAGCTGACCAGGATGTGCACCATTCGAATGAGCTTTGTCAAGGGCTGGGGAGCCGAGTACAGGTACTTGGAACAACCAAGATTTTGATTTGAAGTCGAAATTTGAAATATTTCCTCCAATTTTCATTTTAAGATGAAAGTTATAAAAATGAAAATGTCGCTTTTGGCCAAAATTAAATTTAAAAATGATTTACGGTTTTAAAGAGGAAAGTTATGTTCTCAATTTTTAGTTTTCTTTTGTATTAGTAAATCTTCATTTTAGTCGACTAAAAATTGCTTAAAAACCAACAAAATTTGATTTCAAGTTATCAAAAAGTTTCAAAACCTTCTTCGTCTTGCTAATTTTTCCAAATTTGTCGCAGACGACAGGCGGTGACGTCGACGCCGTGCTGGATCGAGCTGCACCTGAACGGGCCGCTGCAGTGGTTGGACCGCGTGCTGACCCAGATGGGGTCGCCGCGGCTGCCCTGCTCGTCCATGTCGTGAACTTGTGAAGAACTAAAGCCGGGCCCTGTCGGCGCCCAACGCTGATTCTCTCCTGCGACGTGTGCGCGCGCGTTTTGTGCTTCTGGCAAGCAAACTCTTTTTCTAAGCAGATATTTTTGCGAGTGAGTCCTCGGACGAAGAAGCACTTGTTAATCCTAGTTACTAACCTGCTCCCTTAACACACGCATGCCCCAGTTCCTACCCACGTAAATTGACGGAAAACAAAAATATATATATGTTAATGTACTCTCGAAAACAATAAGCTGCTCAAACGCTCTCTAAACGTATAATTCAGTCTTGCCTGCAGAAAATTTAAAATCTATTCCGAAGAAGCTGCGACTTTGTTGTTTGCGAATTTTAAATTATTTGTCGAATCAAATTTAACCGTTCTCGTCTTCTTATTCGTATTTTAAGCAGTAGTTTTTCTAACCAGTGCCAATGCAAAAATCTGTTACTTAAATTGGCGGGCCATTTTTCCGGTTATTGTGGCCAATGTGCTGAAAAGAATTTAAAGCTCTTGTATATTTTGCAGTTCCTCCTCGTTTGGCCACAGTAAATGGAAACCAGGGCTGTTGAAAATTGTATCTCGCATATAATCGTAAAAGTATATTTAGGCGGAAAATATAAAAACTGATTTAGTAATTTATAAACGTGATAGATAATATTAGAAAAGCACTCTATCGAAAAGAATTTAAATTCAAAATTATCTCTACGGAAAAAGAAAATTATTTAATATAAATCTATATTTAAATGAATATATAATATATAAATCTTCATAGTTTTTGGACAAAATCACACTTCTTGCTATATTCTTGCTGGCAAAAGTTAAACTTCTCCGTAGCTGTAAGTATAAAATTAGGACTCGCCTAGTTGGTATAACAATTAAACAAGTAGAAAAAAGAACAATTAAATAAAAGTACCTGCATGTGAGAATAGCTAACGCATCCGGTCGATCAGTTAAAGCTTAATTAACGAAACTCAAGAAAATTAGCAGCTTTGTACATAAAGGAAGAAAATCAATAACCTTCTTTCGCGCAGCTTAGTACGTTTTGCAAGTAGTTCTTTTTTACCGCGCTCTCATTTGTCTGTGTGTTGACGAAACCAGTTCAACATAAATATAATAATTGTAGCATAATATAATAATTAATTAACACAACAAAAAGTGCAATAAGCGAAGAAAAAAAAATCACGAGGAATCTGAAATTTTTAAATCACCGTATTTTTGCAATTCTAGTAGGAGATTTTTTAAGAAAAACGCGCACTTTTCCAAGATGATTTTTGAACCTTTTACACAACAATTTAAGATAAAATGTGTACGAGCCGATTAGTTATTGTCAAAATCGATTGGAATGGTCAGCAGAGCTGGGAGTTATTTTGCTATTACCTCTACACACACACACGTACATAATATTAAAAACTACTTTTCTCTTAACTTACGTATTTTAAATCTATAGCTAAGTGTCTAATAACAAATCGCAGGATCTGAATTGCAGTTTGTATATTGTTTGTTCGGAATTCTGTGTTTTCCGAAGCAGCCACAACATGTGAAGATGAAAAAAGAATCAAAACTACTCGTAGCCTCCTCTCTATGAAATATAAAAAATTGTTAAATTTCTATATAATATTGGTTGTTCCGAAAATTGAAAAGCTTTAGAGATTTTTGCTGCAGCTGCTGCTTTGTTTTGACCTCTGTTCTTTATGTGTTCAGTGTTTCGTCGAGAGCGACCAGTTCGGTTCGGCCGCTCCCCCCTTCGCAAAAAAAGTTGGCAGTGTCTCCGATTTGGGACGAAAACGACGCAATCGAGCGATGTTCATTCATTGTTTACTGTTCTCTTTGTAAGAGTCATCACATGTATTCGATAGGACTACACGATATATAATATTAAAACGAGCTCTACAACTATATAGAATTTTTAGTCTTTTATTCAAATTCATCCTTTGGGGGGGAAAAAAACGATAATAATAATAATAATTTAAAAGAAACACATTAATAACTCAATTTGTATGAACAATATCCCAGTCACCAAAATGTTCCTTTTGAAGTCCTCTTTCCGTCTATGTGCCACGTCAAAGGTCACCTCAACGAGGTCAATGACCTTCGCGACATGGTGGCCATGTGTGACACATCTTCGGATTCATAATTGAAAGGAGATCATTTAAGTCTTCAAAATTTATTTTTCTTTCAAGTTTTAAGTTTAAGGACACCTAGAATTGAAAGCAGGGCGTGTTTTTGCTAATTTGTGACTCCACATTTGGAAATTTATTGTGATGCACAACATATAATATGAAACGATCAGTCGCAGAACAACAACTCAGACGTCACTCATACAAAAGAAGATTCTTGCGCGTCCAAATTACTAACAAAACGCAGTCTACAATTGGCGGACGCTCTTTCTCTGTCAGAACAAAGAGGGAATTTCAAGTGCGGCCCATCGCGGGGCGGCCGAATCAGTTGGCCGAGGGCGCGGCCGTCCGGTGCGACGCCAGCAACTGCTTCAGGCTGAACGTGGACAGGGCCAGACCGAGACCGGCCAGCAGCGCCGCCGACGGAAGAACCACTTTTTCTCCGGCCTGTTGATGCAAAACACCCTGCAACAATCAACATTCAAAACAATTTAATTTAGATTGATCAAGATAAAAATAATTCAGATTGATTTTTGACTATTTGTGGCAATTTCAACTTGGAAATAAAGATATCTACGTTTAAATTAATAATTTAAATGTTTTTTGTTATAATTTAATGAAATTTTCCTTTGGTAACTACGCAACGAAGATGCACCATTGGAAAGGTCAGGTCACAGGGAATCGATTGGTGACCAAAAAGAAGAAGGTTATCGTTACATTTGCAACGGAAACAGTGGTTATTCAAATGGAGCGATTTGGTTGGCTCGAAAGCTTCCCCCACCACCAAATTCAAATTTAATCCTACACATCAAGTGTGACAAATCGTTGGAAAGGTCAGGTCATCACGAATCGATTGGTGACCGAATTTTTAAAGTTTACTCGAAATTAGTTAAAGTTAAAATATCTTTGAATGACAATAAGTTTCTGAAACTGTTCCAAAATGTCAGGTCCGACGATAAAATAAAACCTTCATGAAAAAAAAGATTCCATTGCCAATTAATTTGTGATCAATCGCCTTGCCGGGGAATTCTGCACACTGATAAGGTTATCAACTAAGTCAAGGCTCCAGACGTGTAAAAATATCCACTCACCAAATTACGCGTCGGAATTCAATAAAGACGTTTTACGAGTGAAAGTTTAACATTCAAGTTGGACTTTGCGCTCAAAACCAACAAATTAGTGACGTTTGATTTAGGTTTAGGACAATTGAGAGGAGAATCTCGTGCCAGTTGGCAAAGACCGACGATAAAACTTGTTCCAACTATTTGATAATTTGTAAAACTTTGAGCAAAGTTGTGTAAATTAATTGAAAGGAGAGTGAATAAAAAAGAGCTTGAAATATATCATAAAGTGAAATAAAAAATGATTAAAATAATTTATAATTCAAAGAATCAAGTTTAAAATTACCTGCGACACTGAGGTGGAGAGTCTGACGGAGTAGGCGGCTGTTCTGGTGAGCAACATTTCTCTGAGTGTGGCGGCCGCGGTGTTAGGGGGGCCTGCAATCACAAGCGCGGTCAGCGATCGACTGCAAAAGTCGGCGGAGGGGCGCCTTAAAAAACACACCAAGGACTCTTTTCCGCCAAGGCCTCGCGCGTCCTCACGCACGCTCGCCATTTCATTTATTTTCGGACGCCTGTTTTTTTATTCTTTGCAGGCTCAAAAGGAAACTTGTTTCTGCTCGCTCGGGGGTGCATTCCAAACTTGGCGTGTTTGTTGCAATTATAATGAATTACATCTAGAAAGACTCGTTTTGCAAAACACAAGAAGAAGATTATTCTTTTAAATGTATTTTTCTTTCGAGTTTGAAGTTATTATGAGAGCAATAATTGAACTTTCGAACAGATCTAAATTTAAATTCGGTGCTCCTGTTTAATTAAAGTGGGTCGGCTTGTAAGTGCCGCAATTAAATCTTGCAGACTCGGTTCACTTCTTCAGCCTGTCTGAACTTCTTTTTAATTGCGAAGCATTTTGTTTTGATTGAAGCTCTCTGCGGATTCTTTTTGATTTTTGGTAAACAGCTAAAGGACGTGCGTGCCAAAGAGACTCTATTATTAGATAATATTATTCTGTTGAGCGGCGCCAGTGCTCTGGGGTGTGAATGGCGCGCACATTCATCCCCTCGCTCAAAACAAAAACAAGCCCCGTGACCTCTAGAAAACACGAGATGTTAATTCAAATCAGAGGTTACTTGAATTAAATTGAGAGTGGATTTGAATGATTGATGCACAATTAGAGGGAGAAAGATCTAAAATATAAAAGCAACCCTTAAAAAAGTTGAGAAAACCAGCTTTTCAATTGAAAATTCTAGAAGATTTTGACAATAAATCTTTGAACACGGTTGGTATCCTTGAAAGGAATGCACCGTGTGAAAGATCAGGTCCCAACAAATCGATTGGTAACTTAAAAGGTCAAAATCACTGTGATATTCGTCAAGAAACCCACAATTTAAGAATTCAAGCGTTCTGATTGGTCCGAACGGTTCCCCCACCACTAAATTCAAATTTGACTATAAGTATCAAGTGTGACACATCGTTGAAAAGGTCTGGTCATCACGAATCGATTGGTGATCAATGTACGCAGGTCACAAAACAGTATTGCAAGAAATGTGGATTTTTTTTATTTTAAGCGTAACTTATGGTCTAAAGAATTTTTTTACACTTGTCATGTTGGCCAGCTTTTAATTTATCTTGGTTTTGTGTATATGTATTTTTTTTATACAATCACTTGGTCCAATAACTACAAACTGTTATCTTATCTTGATCAGGACAAATAAACTTGTCGTTTCGATTAATATTTACTCGGTTCACTTTCAATTGTTTTCAAAACCACGCACTTTGTTTCTTTCACGAGATAAGAGCGTGGCGAGCACATGTCTGGACACGAAATTTGTCCACGCGCTAGAAATTTAAACTGAATTGGCACCGACTTGCTAATGAATCGCAGTAATTGAGACGCAGAACGGAAAGAAAGCCAGACGGGGACTATTTCCAGCCCCTAATGCGATTAGCACCGAGCCACTGATTGACTTGAGCAAAGTTACGCGATCTCAGGAAGCCAAAACGATGTCAAGAGCTTAATTTCAAATCTCAATCCAAGGTGCTCAAGAATGATAAATAAATAATTGTGATGGTAATTCTAAACTGCAGAGATTGTTGGGATTAACAGGGAATTAGATTCTGGAATTAAATTTCTTCATTTCCTTTCCAGCATAAATTATAATTCCAGTTTAATTGCGTTTTATTAAAAATAAATAAGTTACTTTTATTCACTGACCATTTTTCAGTTACATTTTTAGAAAGAGAGAATTGGACTAATGTCAAAATTTCTGAATCACTGTTTCAATTACAGAAATTAAGTGTCAATTTGATTAAAATACTTTAAAGTTTCTTCATTTCTATGACTTTGAATAAAGAGCGAATTGATTCAAGACTTGATTGCAAAGTGCAATAAATTAATCAACGCTGCCTTTCCTTGTTGAAAGGGGAAGAAACTTGACCTTGGCATTGCAGAGGTCAATTTTACTTCCCGGCGTGCTTTTTTTCCGAGGCTAGTGAACCTCTTTGGCCAAACGCGGATTTGGTACTTGAGAATAATAATGTAATTGCGCAGCAACTCATTTTCTAGCCGGTCAGACAAGCTAAAAATAAACAGTCGGCGCCGCCGATTCGCGCTTACATAATTTTTTTTTTTTCAAATTCCAAATCTCTCGCAGCTTCAAAATAAAAACGGACCGTTCTGACTCTTCTTCAGTCTCACAGTTCTTTATTTAAAAACAGTTTCTAATTTTAATAACAGTCGTAAATTTGTTCTAAAATTGTTTGAAATTTGCATCAATTTTAATCAACCAATGTTTGTTTCATAACTAAAAATTTAGAAGTGGGTTAAAAACACCGGGACCCGGTGTGATGCTGGCGTCAGTATGTTATTTTCACCGGGAAAAAAACGACCAATTATTGCAATGCCAAAACCGACTCTCCACTACCGGTTGAGAATCGCAACCGGTACTGAAACACGGAACGATAAATACCAATAAATTTCACCATCATTGCAAGCGGCAGTAGTATCGCGGTATCGTACCCGCATTCAGAGTATGAGCTGGCGGGTTCAAATCCACGTCTCATACAACTTTTTTAAATTTTTTTTTCAAGATTTAGAACTAAACCGAAAATTTATATTCATGAAAATTCCATATTTTATTTCAAATTATGTATACATATTACTTTTTTTTAAATTTCATCAACAAGCATGCAGACGGAGTTGTAGGCACCCCACGATCCGGCAACTCGGAGTTGGGCAACTCGGAGTTGGGCAACCCCCAAGATTAATTTTTGCAGAAGCCGCGAGCGAGGGGTGGAGGCGCAGCGAGGTCGAGGACGTGGGGAAGGCCGTGCGCAGGGCGAGGACAAAAGGGCGGCTGTGTTCGTGGGGGGGCTCCGCAGGAGCCCCCCCACGATCCCCGCCCTTTTGTCCCGCCCGGAGCCGGCCTTCACCACGTTCTCGGGCGAGCGCGCCTCCAGCCCGAAGCTCGCAAACCCACAACGGAGTTGCCTACAAAAGGTGTTGTCTACTATCGGTGAAATGCGCGCACACGAAATTAAAGGGAAAAATTTATTGAAGAATTAATATTTTAAAAATAAAGCCCTTGTAACGATTGCGGTTCTCAATGTTGAACGGTTATCGGTATTGCATTTTGGTTAAAAACCGCCTCTACTTTTTCCCGGTGTAAATAACATATTGACAAATTTTTTCCACACCGGATCCCGGTGTTTATAACATATTAACGTCATTTTCACACCGGGTCCCGGTGTTTTTAACCCCGTTCAAAAATTTAACCAGATTATTTTTTTAAATAGTCAAGTGTGTAAGATATTTATTTAGTTTCATGTCTAAAGTAAAAATAGACCTTTTTTAATTTGTTATTTGGAATTTTGAATCAATTAATTTGTAACTACATTGAAAATATTTGGTTGCGCATATTTTGATTGAAATTGGATTGAAATTATAAAAAAAAAAAATTATTTAAATTTCTTTGTATTCCAATAAATTATTTTAGTTTAATAATGGTAAGTGTTAATTTAGGTGTAAATTTACAAAATTTGAATAATGAAATTGAAATCAATTATTTAGTTTCAGAAATTTGTTTATTGGGTTCAAAAACTGAGGGCAACTATGCCCCATACATGAACTCATCCATAATAATGACAAAATAAAAATTTAAAAATTTATTTAGTGTTTATTTATTTAATTTCAATTATAAAAATTTGGCCGAACTTCTTTTCTATGACAAAGAATGATTTAATTGAAATTAATGTTTTTTAACTTATATAAGATTGAAATTTAAATTAATAAATTTTGGGTTTTTTAATTAAATTAGGAAATGTTGACGGATTATTTTATATTTCATTGAAATTTCTAAAATTTTTCCAATTATAAGATATTTAATGTGAAAAAATTGTGTTTAATCTGTGGATTAAACTAACTATTATCCTCAATATTCCTCTTCGTAATAAGTTGCATAAAGAGAGTTACTGGGACGAAGTCTGAGCAGCTTGCCAAGTAATCAATAAAAGTTCACTCGGCGGCGAGTCGAGAAAATTCTGCTCGAGCTTCACAAATTTATTAAAAAATAAAAACTGTTTGCAGTTAAAATGAACCATTAATTGCATTTTACAGCGTCTTTCTGAGATAAAAATTAGCAATTTTATTTTTAAAATCAAAGCGTTGGAATTATTGCGCGATGAAGCTTTTGCTCCACTTTCTTTTGCGTCTCCTCCACGCGAATTTTGCTACTTTTCCTTACTTTTTCACAAACAATTCGCACGTGCGTTAGTGTAGCTCGCGAATTAGTGAGATTACGTAATTCGCTAACATTGACCTTAGCAATTCAGTATTATTTGGCAGGCGAGAATCGGCCATGGCGAGCCCGACACCCAAAACGGAGAACCCGGAAATTGTGACTAAAACGGGCGCCGCGGATCGAACCTTTTAAACCTTTTAAACGGCGGCTTTGGCGGGAACAGGTCACTTAGGGTTCAGGTCGGTGACCTCGGCGGAAGGGGCAAAAATGTGAAGAAAAAGGGGCTGAGAATACTCACGCCTGTCGAAAGTTGTCGGGCCTTCTCCAAAGTGAGAGAAAATGTGACAAGGATTACTGCGCATGCGCACCTCTACAGATCTACCAACCAAACAGAAATTTTACAGAAGTATATAAACTTTTAATTTAAAACATTTTCTAATAAAATTATAATTAAATTGTACAATTCATATACTTAACTAATTTAAATTACTAGCTTTGTGCTTTTAAGGAAAAAATAAAAGAGAATTTAATTCAAAATAAGGTTGTTTTGTTGGTGTTTCGTTGTCTCAAAACTCTTGAAATTTAAGGACACATGTTACACGTCGAGCGCGGGAAAATCAAAAGCTTGGCCCTTTTCGCTTGGGAATTAAAGATTTTTCTGATTCGGACACGATGGAGGAGGAACGGACGCCGGTGATTTTGAAGCTGAACAAGAACCTGACCTTGCAGCCCGTCCACGAGGGCTACTCGTACCGGCAACACCACGAGGACAGGCGCAAGTCGCAGTGGCGCACCTTCATGTGCTCCAACTACGCAAGTACTTGAACTAAAGACCTTTTTCTTCCTTTCTGCATTTCTGCTAATTTTTTTTTTTTTAACCTTTGGTTTTTCGGCAGAGTCCGGGTGCAGGGCGAAGGTGAAGACCAACTGGGAGAAGACGTTCTACCTGGAGGAGCCGCGGCCGGTGCACACGTGCGGCGGGCCCGACGAGCAGAAGTACGAGGCGACCAACTTCGCCGGCGAACTGAAGCAGGTGGCCGCCGAGACGGGCGAGAAGCCGCACGCCCTGCTCGGCAAGCACCTGATGACCGTGCCCGACGAGGTCGCCGCCAAACTGCCCAACCTGAGCAGCCTCAAGAGGACCCTGCGCAGGGCCAAGCAGAAGAGCCGGCAGAAGCAGCAGGCCCTGCAGCAGGACCCAAACATGGTTGTCGAAACCGTCTACTTAAATGGTAAAAAATTGGAATTTTGTAAAGTTTCATTAATAATTAATTTATAAATCAAAGGTTGATCACTCCAGGGTGCTAGGAATTCACTAGGAATTCATTGAAATAATTTAAATTTCAATTATTTAAATATGCAGATTTGAGTTCTCTTCCATCTAGAGTCACTGAAATGTGACCTCAACCTTTGACATCCAAGTGAAAAGTTACTCCATAAACCTTTAAAAACTTTTAGCTCAAATTTATTCCATGATTAAAGAAAATCCCAATGGATTTTGGCCCTGATATTTTTTTAAAATTTTGAACTTTTTTATTAAAATCATGCCAATATTTTAAATAGCATAAATTTATTTCATTTTGGTCTAAAGTTTTCCATAAGATTTAGAAAAAGTGTTGTCTTATCGTTTGTTCAAGTTTGATTCTATTTTTTTTTTTTGTCTCTTATCTCTAATTTAATAATACGAATCATTTGTTTTAGCTCACCCGCCGATAATGGACGTAACAATCGGAATGATGGACACGACCAACACCATATTTTTCATGTGCGACATTCAGGAAAAGTTCAAAAACGCCATGCTGCACTTTGACGAAATCGTCGGCTCGGCCAGCAAATTGGTACCAAAATTTTTTAAATTGATTTAAAAAATATAACTTTGCTCAGGTTCGGGCGGCGCAAATATTGCTGGTTCCGCTGGTGGTGACCGAGCAGTACCCTCAGGGTCTGGGCAAAACCGTGCCCGAGATTGACATTTCCAAGGCCAAGGTGGTCAGCGCCAAGACGCGCTTCAGCATGTTGACCCCGCAGGTGGACAAAGTGCTCGACGAGTTTTCAGACAGGATCAAGGTCGTTGTTCTCTTCGGAATCGAGGTTTGAGGAATTTTTTTGATAAAAGAATTATAATTTAATTTTGAATTCAGGCGCACGTGTGTGTGGAACAAACGGCCCTGGAACTGCTGCACAGAGGCTACGGCGTCCACATCGTGGCCGATGCCACCACCTCCAGGACGCACGAGGACAGACTCCTTGCTTTTGAAGTAACAAAAATCACATTCAAATTCCCTTATATTCAAATTAGGAGAATACAGATTCTGACAGACCTTTTAATCATATTTAAAACGATCTTTAAAAAATTTCAGTGTAAAAAAAATTATTTTTTGGACAATTTTAGTCGATAATAATTACTTAGGATTTTTTTTCAATATAGTGGTAAAAATTTATAAAAAAAATAAAAAAACGATTTTTAGATCATTTCTTTTGGGGATTTTAAGAAACTTTAAGCGAAAAAAAAATTACTTATTGAGTATATTAAAAATATTTTGAATGGTTAAAATGTTTTTGGAAAACATTGTTATGATTGACAAAGTCCCAAAATATTATTTCCCATTGTAACCAATGCAAAGATCTATCCCTTAGTTTAATAAGATTTTTGAAGCACTAACTCCTTTAAAATTGCTCAATTTTTCATTTTCCAGAGACTGCGCCAAGTGGGCTGTTTCATTTCAACAAGAGAAGCAGTAATTTTCAAGCTTTTGGGTGACAAAGAAACGCCGAAATTCAACGAAGTCAGAATTCTGTTTGCAAATACAATGACCCCGACCGGATTGGTTCCAAAACTTTAAATATAATAGAAACTTTAGATTTTCACAACGTGGTTTTAATTCACCTTTTACAAACTTAGTGCCTTTTCAAGGTATAATTATTGTAGATCACACGATTATGGAATATCAGCAGCATTAGCAATTAAGGCACTTGCTTTGATCGTCCGTCACAAAGTCACTATAAATGCAAAACTCACTTGGGCGAATTTCCTCTCTTGCACCTGGAGCAAATTTTCATTTAGATCAGAGGAAAAATCTATTTCATTAGGATAAGCCAACCTCTTTTTGTGCTTGTGAAGCGATTCTTGGCCGCTGTCCTCGTTGTCGCTGGACTCTGAGCTGGAGGAACTGTCGGAGGAGGAAGAAGAAGAGGATGACGAGCAGCTCGAACTGTCCGAGGCCAAGCCGGACGCCTGCTCAAGATTCACCTTCTCAGCCACCGCGGCCAAGTCCGGCCGTTGAGCCTTGAAATATGATTCATTAAATAAAAGTCTAATATATAATTTTATAAAAATATTAATTCCTCACTAAAAGCTGATTTAATTAAAAATATAAAGTAATACTTGATCCTAATTTTCAGTTATATAATTAAGGCTGAATCAATTGTTAATTTAAAAATATCTTAACATCCCTTTTTTTAAATGAAATTGTGGTCACAAGATTGTTTTCTGACTTACTCGAAGCACCTTGAGCCACTTTTTGGACAGCTTTGGTCTTCCGCGGACAGTCTTGTGCCACACGATGGGGAAGTTGGTCACACTGCAGAAGTTCTGGGTCACAGCAATGGTCACGTCCAGGTTGAGCACCACGTGCCACCACCCGCCCGGCACAAAAACAGTCTCTCCCGGCTTCTGCAGAATTTCCAGCTGAAAATTAAACTGTTATTTCTGATTCGCTCTGATTTTATGAATATTTTTCTACGGGTTTGCAATCTTGGGGCCACGAGGGTTGCTGTGTGCGGGGGTAGATGGTTCTGAACCACGTGATGGCCTCGTCACGCTGCTTGCCGCCCTCGGCCGAGGTAGGTTTGATCAAGTCCCGAGGTGTGTGCGTCGGAAACAGACACCACCTGAAATTTATTAACTTTTGTTAATAAAGAAAAGAAAAATGGACAAATTATTTCAATATAAAGCCGAGATTAGCCTTTAATTGCTTTAAATTAAATAATTAAATGGCTTATTTGATGCAGCAGCCACACAAATTCACCTATTTTGAGATTTTTTGTAAAGAAATTCGTCAAGTTTAACATTAACAAACAAATTGGCGTCTAAAGATAGCAAAAAACTCAATTTTGATTAAAAAAAAATAAATTCCCATTCAAACAAATTGGATTTTTATCAAATTTTGTGCCTTTTGTGTCCGTCAAGGAGCGAGTTCCAGGCGCTGGTGCCGAGGGGGTCGATGTGGATTCCGGTGCCACTGCGGCCGGGCCCCATCACGAACCAGCGGTACGGCGGCCGCCTGCGTTCACCCACCATGTGGAAGAGATCGTCGGTGAAGTAAAAGGGAACCTCGTAGTCGTTCAGCAGCTTCTTCCGCCTCGGGTGCTGCAATTTATGTCAAATTTAAAACTGTTTTAATTGAACTTGATCTTCTATTTACGTCGCCGAAGCTGCTGTCGAAGATGTAGAGAGGGCTGTCGTCGTCAGTGCCCTCCATGTACTTGATGTAGTACTTCATCTTCATCTTGACGCTGTAGCCCTCGTTGTCCTCGCCGCATTTAAACTTTTGGTTTCTGTACTTTTTGGCTAGTTTCTGTAAAATTTAGTTTAAAATGAGATTGTGATTTTTAATTTAAAATTAAAACCTCTAAGGTCCACTTGTGTTTGGCTTTCCAGGGATCGGTAAGGCCACAGATGACGACCGGTTTGTACACTTTCTCGTACTTGTCGATGAACTCCTGAGGGCTGAAGTCTTGGTGGTGGATCCGCTCGACGTTGTCCTGCACCACCGTGTACTCCTCGAACCTCTTCGCGTAGCCCTGCTCCGTCCACGAATCCTTGTGGTTCAGCTCTGGAATTAAGGGAAATTTGTTTGAGTAAAAAACCGGTGTCGCGAGAGGCCGAATTCCGGGTCAAACTCACCTGGCCGGGCCTTCTTTTTGACCTCCTTGACTCTCTTTTTCGTTCTGCTGTCCATCGTGCACGAAATTTCTCGGCCAAACCGTCCGAATGTCAAAATAATTATCAAAAATATCAGACTAAATGTGTTACGTGCATAATGGGACAACAAGCAATGCCCTCCGCCAATGCTGCCAACCAAACAAAATAGATTTGCAGCGATTTCCGCTCAACAATGAAGGCAAAAGTGATTAGATCAACGATTAGATTGTTGTTCTAGATCATTTTTTGGGTTGAAAAAAACCTTCCAAAACAGTTAAAAATTGCTTTTATTTCTGATATCCGTAATTTCTTCTTGCGTAATTTGCAGCAATGCGAATTTTTGGCGGGAAATTCAAATTCGTCAAACTTTTGGACTTTCGCTCGGCTAACACGTTTTTCGGTCACTTTTTCGTTCCAGCAAATGTCCCGGCAGGACGACATGCCGGCGTTTAAGGAAATCTTCAAAGCGGCCAAGCACGTGGTTGTCCTGTCAGGTGCGGGGATCTCGGCCGAGAGCGGAATTCCGACCTTCCGAGGGTCCGGCGGCTTCTGGCGGAGCTACAAGTCGCAGGATTTGGCCACTTTCGGGGCCTTCCGTCGCGACCCGTCCCTCGTCTGGGAATTCTACCACTACCGCCGAGAACTGGTGCTCACCAAAAAGCCGAATCCGGTTCGGTTCGATTGATAATTTAAAAAAATATGACTCAAAATCTGTTTCTTTTTTCGAAGGCTCATCACTCGGTTGCCGAACTGGAAGCTCGGGGCGACCGCAAGGTCACGGTCATCACGCAGAACATCGATGGCCTGCACCAAAGCGCCGGATCCAAGAACGTCATCGAACTGCACGGCTCCTTATTCAAGACAAGATGTCTCTCCTGCGGACAAGTCCAGGAAAACCGGAGTTCCCCGATTTGTCCTGCTCTCCACGGACGAGGGTACAAAATTAACCACCCTGAAATTATCCTCACTTAGCATTGTATCAAATTCAGGGCACCCGAACTTGAGACTCCTCGCAGGGATTGCATTCCGGAGGACAAACTGCCGAGGTGCTCGGACTGCTCCGGTTTGCTCAGGCCGCACGTCGTTTGGTTCGGAGAAAATCTAGACAAGCAAGTCCTGGACAGGGCTGGTAAAATTATAAGCTCTTGATTTTTAAAGATCTGAATTTTTGATAATTTTAGGAGAGGAACTGGAGCAGTGTGATTTGTGCCTCGTGATTGGAACCTCGTCCGTCGTGTACCCGGCGGCCATGTTTGCCCCTCAGGTTGCAGAGAGGGGTGTCCCGGTGGCTGAATTTAACATGGAACCCACGCCGGCCAGCCACCAGTTCACGTAGAATGATTGCAATTGGTCGTTTTCAATTTAATTAAATGACAATTTACCACAAAAAGGTTCCACTTCGAGGGGCCTTGCGGCACCACTGTCCCAGAGGCCCTCAAGTTGGATTAATTCCTCGTCTGCAACTTAAATTCTGCGCAAAGTGAGTACCTTTACTGATTCTTATGGTAAAGGGATTTTGAAATTAGGATGATTTGTTTTAAATATTGCCACAATTTTATCTTTTAAAAATCTGAAGGTGAATGAATATATGGAATATATACTTAGAAATTATCCAGAGAACAATCGAAACATTAATTTGTTCTTTACTTAACTTAAAATTATTCAATTAATTTAACACGTGCTAAATTTATGGAAAGAAAACAAACTTCCGTCGATTAAATGAACTGAAAATTAAACAGTATTAAATTAAGCAGAGAGCATGCGTTAGTTTTGTGTGCATTTGCGGTTGCTAGGAAACAGAAAATTCAAAATATAAACACAATCAATGGGGTGTCCTGAGTTGTCTTTTATGCAGATCACTCGGGTTGATTTGCATTATTTCTGTCGGGCCGATCGTTTTTTTCTCTGATGTGAGATGATGGAGGACTTGGTGGCCACTTGGGAGGTGCCGCTCAGCGACGGACTTCACAAAATCGAGTTCGAGCACGGCACCACCACCGGCAAGAGGGTCGTCTACATCGACGGAAAGGCAGGTGTCCTTTGACCTCCAGTTTTGTGTTCAGTTTATGGCTTTCTTTTTTGGCCGGTTGCAGAAGCCCATTTAATCCTGCAGGTGTCCTTTCAAATAATGCTTCAGTTGTTTTAATTTAATTTTAAAGTTGGATATGAACATTTCAAAATGGCAATGGAAATTTGAGAAAGCGCTTTAGAATACACTTTATTTGAAGAAAAAGAAAACAACTTTTGAAATCAATTTTTTAAAAATTTTCCCTCAACTTTGAAATAAGTTTATGGGTTAGCTGTTGATTGGTGGCCAGAAAGGTCAAGGTCACTGTGAGATTTGTGTTTAAAACAGAAATTTTTCGAATCAAGCGATCTTATTGGTCCTAACAGTTCCCCCACCACTAAATTTATATTGGCTTTAAAGTATCAAGTGTGACACATCGTCAGAAAGGTCAGGTCACAAGGAATCGATTGGTGGTAAAAAAAAAATGTCAACCGATCTCATTGGCCCATTTGTTCCCCCCACCACCAAATTCATATTGGCTCTAAAACATAGAGTGTGACACATCATTACAAAGGTCAGGTCACGACGAACCAATTGGTGACCAAACTGCCTTGTTCATATCAGCTTTTAGAAATCTTAAATGTTTTAAAAAAATAAAAAACATGCTTTTGAATTGGAAACTAATTTGGACGGTGTGATGTGTTGTCGCAGGAGCTGCTGCGGCGCGATTGGATGTTCAAGTTGGTGGGTTTCGAGGCGTTCCGCGTGGGCAAGGCCAAGTGTCTGATCAAAATCGACCCGGTGGGCGGGTTCGCGTACGGCTACTCGCTCGAGGTCAACGGCAAGAGTCACCACAAGTTCACCGAGGCGCAGTCCAAGGTGATGCGCACGTGGGTGCTGCAGCTGGACGGACAGCAGTTCCGCGTCGTCCTTGAGCGGGACACGCTGGACGTGTGGGCCAACGGCCGCCGCCTCGACGCCGAGGGCGTCTTCGTCGACGACGGCAGCGAGACGCACTTCGCCCTCGGCGACCACCCCGCACACATCCGCGCCTCCTCCAGCGGCAACCGCCGCGAGGGCATCATCCACAACCTCATCGTTGATGACCAGGTCATCCCCGAGGCCGCTGAGTGAAAATAATTTTCATCAAAACCTTTTATTTCAAACAAGCGGAATCAAATTTAATCTTTTAGTTCGTTGAAATGCTCAATTCTCTTTGTGTTCTCTTCATGTGTTTAAAATGTGCAGTTTTATAGTGGAAACTTATTAATTTTGATGAAAAATGTTTATGTTGACCTCGGTAGTTTTTAAAATGAAATTAATGAAATATAGATGCTAATTTTTCTGGGTGAATGTTACCGTCTTTTTCCTTTCAGCGAGCTGTGTGTAGTGAAAATAAAAAAGGATTTTATGTTTACCAAATCTAAAAAAAATCTCCTGATTAACTCAAGTTGAAAACAAAATTTCCGTTAAACTTTTGTAGCTCTCTTGCTGTAATTTTATTGAATTTGTATATATACACAACATAATTAATTTCTAAAAGTTTATAATTTTATTCAACTTTTATTTTTAGCATTTTGATTGCTTACAGCACTGCTTTGAATTGCTGGTAGTACTTGCCGAGTTCCAAGTCGCAAATCGGCGCTTTCTCTTCGATAAATGAACCAAAGCCGACAAGCTCCAAATCTACAGACTCGGCAATCCTTTGTAGCTTTTCAAGAAGCTTTTTCCTGTCTGTGCTGGAGTGGGGCACCAATTGGAACTTCCACACTGTGTACGGACTCAGATGTACGTCACCGTTGGCCATTTTTTCCAGGGCAGTATTCCGGCATGCGTATTCGAAGGTTTGGTGGAAACAGTGGCGAAATTCGATAGGGTCTCCGTGGATGACGTAGAAGTTGTCGCCGCATCTGTAATGACCTTGGCCCGAGTGCACCATCTTGACCTGGAAATGGGTTAGCAATTCTTGAACGGCACTGGCCACCGAAGGGTCACGTGACGTCACGTTGAGCAATATCGAGCTGAACTTGACCGCGTTCTTGACCCCGGGACTGATCACCGACGCGGAGAGCGACACTTGTTCGCCCCTGAGCAAGTCTCGGATTTGGGTGGGGAACTTGTCGTTGCGCCAGGTGAAGAATGGTCTGAATCTGGGATTGTTGGAGTTAAAATGGGAAAGTTTTAGTGTTGTGTCGATATTCTTGATCACCGTAGACTGCATATTTTCAATATAATCGATAATCTCTTCAAGAGAATTACGTAAAATTTTGGCTTGGATCATCATGTTGGAATTCGCGTTCATACTTGCCATCTCGAGGTGAATTTTTTCCAGCTTCTCCCCACCATACGGAAACAACAACTGCTTATAGGTGGTGAAGATGCTGTCAAAACTTCGGAATATTTGGCTGGCTAGAATCCGATTTACCAGAATCTGGTTTCGCAAACAGAAGTTTGGATTTTCAGAACGAGTGCATTGTTCTGCGCTGACGCCTCTGATCAAGTCCTTAAGCCTTAGCCCGTACTCAAGTTCGTTTAGTTTGTCATCCACTCTGTAGATTACCTTGTATGCCTTCCTAAGTCCCTTTTCTATAAAGTTCAAAATTGAAATTTCTTGTAAGGATTGTTCTATGTTGGAAATTTTTTCGTGGAACTTTGTTGCAGTGGATATTAAATTAACAATTTGACACCCATTAGTAGAGTTTAAGAAGGAATTGAACTTGCTGAAGTACAACAAATTTACTTCTTCCAGCTGAAAAGAATCTTTGCATTTCAACGTGAAAACTCTCAATGATCGATATATAGTGTCGAAAACTGCCTGAATATTATTCTCCTGTTTGAGTGAGTCGATAGTTTTTAAAAATCTCAAAAAATCCTCAATATTTAGCACATTGAGGTCGGTTAAAATATAATCTAGGAACTCCAACGTTTCTTCAACTCTAGTTGTCTTGGCTGCTTGCGAGAAAAAATCCTCTATTGCTTTGGAGATTCCGTATTTTGATTGAAACTTGTATATAAGGGGATGTGACATATCTCTCTGCCCTTTTTCACCGGCTTTGACGTGAATGCTTGAATTTTTGACAAACGTAATGGAGCTTCTGCATTCGTACAGGGCATACGACATTGGCAACGTGTAAAATAGCAATCTGCATGTGTAGCGTCTGTAGGTGATGTATTTGTTACCTGGCCCTGCCGCCCCTCCCTTCCCCTGAATCGCTGGTTGCCCTTCTCTGACGATCTTGGTCACGTTCCCGACTGAGGTTCCATTCCGGACGTAGAAAGTTTGAATTCCTGCTTCAGCCCCTGCCCCGCCATCGCCACCGTCGCCACCATTCGTAGGAGCAACACCTTCTCTCTTCACCTCCATGTAAAGGTAACGGTTGTTTTTTTGTGAAGCGGTGACTTTGCCTTCTCTGAAATTCGCCTCGAGCATCTTTTTAATATTCTCTTTTGTTCCCAACAAAGTTCCGTGATACGAGGGAACCGAGGGAACTTGTGGTATGAGACCATCTCCTCCGTCCTGTCCGGCGCCACCGTCGCCTCCAACTGATTGAATCACCAAAAGGTGAGGATTCACAATGTTCAGCGACACCAACGTGACCTTTCCCGAGCTGCATCCGTTCCTGCCCTTAACACCTTTCTCGGAAACTCCACCTGCTTTTGCCTTTTCAAGAGGAAGAGCATCTTCGCCTTTCATGAAAATCTTTCTCACAACTTCCAGTACTTCAATCAGAGGACTGACAATCGTCAAGTGTTTGTTCTGCAGAGCGAAGTCGCAGTCAATGAAAATCTTTCTAGTAGCGATCAACGCTATTTCCTCAACGGTGTCATTACTTTGCAGCTGGTCAGCAAAATCACTCAATTTCAAACTTTCACCAATGATTGTGGTGACTCCAGACTCTACTTGTAAGCGCGCGTCTACCTAGAATTGAAAAAAAAATCGATTGGGCTCATTTAGAAATTATATATAATCTATGAAATCAGCAATAGAATGAAAAATCAATAAAATATTTTTTAAAGACGAAAATGAATTTTTGAGAAAATTTTATTTATTTCTGACCTATAGGTCTTATTTGTGTACCATTGTATTCTATTTTAGTGATCATTTTCAAGCCTTATCTCTGTACTGGCAGTTCAAAATAATTTCAAAAACTGTATCTTTTTAGATATGCAAATTCGTAAATACCCTTTGAATTTTCTCTTTACTCAAGCATTTTTCTGTGAAGTTAAATCAATAATATTTAATTTTAATCACGAGTTGTTTGATTTTGCCACAAATGGCAAATAAAACTCACTTGCTGCATATCATCAGTTTGGCCCAACTGATCAGCGGTTAAGCTGGTAACGAGGCACAACCAAAAGAGGCTCCCCAGCGAGCAAAGCTGCAACATAAAAATAAAAAATGACGACGCGAAGAATTAAAAATGCAGTAGAAAATTTAACGTGGTGCTTATTTAATAGTTAATGAGAAGAAATAATGCAGTCGTTAGAAAACATATTTCTGTACCCTTGCTCATATAAAGAAGGTTCTGCAATAACAGCTGGTTTGAATATAAAGAAATGAAATATGCGTGTTCAAGTTAAAAACAAATCATACATTCTCACCATCGTCAAACAATGAATTTTGAGGAAGAGTAGGTAGTTCTTTGCTCGAATGTTTGCTAAAGAATGAATAAGTGTTTTAAAAGAGAAAAAGCAAGAGGCGAAGTTGTTTAAGGCTGAGCATGCCTTCGTTAACTGTCGCATTAATTCCTTCTCAAACATTTAATATTCTTTGCTAAAAACGATCATCATTGAAGGTTACTGTATGATATTTTTATTGACACCTACTAAAAATCCTAATTATAAATGGGAATTTAATAAATAAATTTTGATAAATTTGTAGGAATAATTTTCAAAATTATGTGGAAACTTCAAATAAATTGGCAATTAATTTAAACCTGCTCAAACGCGTGCTCATCCTTTAACGAATCCTTTGATTGCATTGAAATATTTTTTACGTGTCGCTAAAAATTTATTCACCGCTCATTCTCTGCACAACGTTTCAGTTCTTGGCAACTCTCCGTTTCGCGGCGATTGCAAATATAAATTCATTATTATGGTGAGTAGCGAAAAATTTGTCTTTCACACATTTTGACATATTAATTGATTACCTTATTTCATACTGCACGCAATACAATTTTAAGTATGAATTTCAGCTATTTCAGAAAAAAACATTTTTTTTTTTGCAAACTCTATTCTCCAAGAATAATTTTTTTTTTCACAAAACGATTAAAATTACTGCTTCGCGTTGCAATGTTGCAGCTTCGTTTTATCCTCCTCTCCTCTTTGTTGATGATCTGCACCACAACCGCAGAAGATTATATCTTACGAGTGAGTCAAAATTTATTCAACTAAATTAAATATTAAACCATGAGTAATTTTAAAAAGTTTTTTTTTGCTGAAAATTCAAATTGAAATTTTAAATCTAATTATTTCTAATTAAATTTCTAAAATTCTTTTTTGCTAAAAATTGAACTTTGGATTTTAAGTTTATTTGTTGATAAGGAATATCCGAATCTCTTTATGCCACCATTGTGTAAACAACATAATTCGGAGTAATTAAAAATTTGGGGTGACCATCTTATATAAAGAACCAGATTAGAAAAACCTTTAATTTTTCTGAAAATTGAGCTTTGAATTCTTAATTAAATTATTTCAAAGCAATATCCCTTAGTTCCACCATTGTGGTTGACCTGGTTGAAAACATAAGTCAGTGTGATAAAAAAATATACCCTTTTTACTGCGCTTGATAAAAAAAAAACATGATTTTGCACCTTAGCAATTCAGACACCGCTTTCCATTTCTGAAGAAACGGATACACTAGATTTCCTAGATTTCTTGGATTATTTTTTAAACAACACGCTCTTGGAGCTTGACGACTACCTGTGCATATTGAAAAATATCATTTTGTCCTTGCAGGAGGGAATCCATGTGATCAACGCTGAAACCATCTGCTAATCAGTTTATCACTCGTTCAGGATTTTCGCTTCCAACTGCAAATCTTGCGACACCGTGAGGTTGGAAGAACTGAATTTGCTATTCATCAGCCGCTTGAATTACTTACAAATCTTCTCTATTGATCGGAATGTTGCTCTTCGTTTTCCATTCGCAGCAGAAAATTTTAAAAGTAAATTGTCCTCCATCGATTTCTGGTGGCCAGCAGGTGAAATTTTTTACACCGTCGACTATGAGCTTCAGGCGGCTCACCAGCTAATTGGCAGAGCCGGAGAAATATTTGCCAAAATGGACAAAATTCTAATGTTTGAAGTTAAAGAAGAGGTCGCTGAGAAACGTGAGGAAATGATAAGCCACGTGAAGGATTTACTAACTGAGAACAATAGAAATATAGATAGTGTTGAGAAGCACCTGAAATCGGTGGTAATGAAAGCAATGTTCTGCACGTTGAACATATTCTCGTTATTTGCTGGCACATTTTTACTTCCTGCATTAATTATTGACGAAACTTACGGCAGCCATATAACCAAAAATGATGACATGAATCCTGATCTTTTGTTTTCAAATAGATTCAATAATATTTCAATGTTAATCGCTGAATACAAAAAGCAAAGGCGGTTTTCTGATGAAATTAAATCAATTGAGAAGGTGAAGGCCTTGAAGGCGGTGATGGCAATAGAGGCCAACATCAACGAAACTGTCATTGATGATGAGCAGCGAAAAGCAGTCGGAGTAATTGTTGACGATTACAACAAAGCAAAATCTGAATCTAATTCAACTAGTTTTGTATTAATGCCAATTCTTGAAGAAGTTTTTGAATTTGTTAGGAAAGCACTTGCCAGGAAGATCGCAATACTTGAGTACGAAAATGGTTCTATAGGGAAAATCAATGATTTGAAATCTGCTGAGGTAAAATTTAAAAATGCTGACATAATTGCATCAGGATGTGCGGCTTTTGAATTGGCAAATACTTACGGACAGGACGATGCGACTCTGGTTGTGATCCATTCTGCCATAGAGTCCAATGCAGTCGCTCTGCGAGAAATGGCTCGTTACGATCAAATCCTCAATGATCAAATGTTGCCAAAGCTCGAGTACATGCTGGAAATTTTAAGCGAAATGCAGAGCGACAACAAAGACATCACCATGGCTATGCTCAGGTTGCGGAAATTGAACTTGAAAAAACAAGCTCGTCGTTTCAATACCCTGATTAAAGAGTTTGCACATGAATTCGCTGGCGTTTGTGACAGTGGCAGCTTGTTGATGTATCTGGAAGCGTACATGGTCCTCCTGATCAACTCTTACGATCTGCTGAACGGAGCTGAGTATGCGATTCAGCTGAAGGCCTTCATCGGCCGCGTTGATACAGGCGATTGCAGTCGATCCGAAGATCTGATCGCGTGCTTCCGGAACGAGAATTTAGTCACTCAGATCCGAGCCGATGAAATCTTCCGTAACTGTCTTCAAATTTTCAACAGCTATCAACAAGTCCTGTTTCCCTACGGTGGCGACGTGACCCTCCGAAATACCTTCGCGCAATTGAACGAATTAAATGCTAAAAGTTATTCAATTGAGGCCAAAGCTGAGGTTCTGCAGAGTGCAACAAACCTGATCATCTATGACTTGCAGACTATTCAGAACGAAATCGACCCAGTGAAGGACTCAACCTTGATTCACACAGCTTTCAACTCGGTGGTGTTTGAGCCCTTCTTCACCTGGCCCAACACCAAGTTTGGCACTCAAATAAAGAGGTTGCTAAGTGGTGAAAAGGTGACGCTCTCTGCTTCAGTGTTCAGCCTTGGAGTGCGGAACGTGGTCAAGTACAACTCGGTGATGCTCAACGTCAAGTCAAGCGATCTCTCAGCCAATCGCGCACTCCAAGATTTGTTAAACCACTTTGAGGTTGAAATGGAGAGCCTAGGCGACATGCACTACCGGTGCGGAGATTCTTTCTACGTCAGCAGCAGCCAGCCCGTCCAGTTCGAAAGGTGTTTTGAGATGGAACGAGAGACTTTTCCTTGCCACAGCCGAAATACAGTCATCAATCAAACTCTCCATTTTGACACTTTCAAAGTGACTCCGAGTCCGTACACTGTTTGGAATTTCCGACTAGTGCATCGCTCAGCTATCGACAAGCAGCAGCTGCTGGATGAGCTGAAAACCTTTTCCAATTCTGTGGACTTGGAACTCGTCGGCACCGGATCCTTCATCTTGGAGAACGCTCCAATCTGCGACCTAAAGCTCAGCCGGCAGCATATTAAAAAAACAAGGTAGAAATGACGCAACCTCCTAAGAGGTATGCAATGCCGCCTTACATCGCTGTTAGGCGGGTTGCTGTCGCTGGTATTTTACTCAAAAATATATTGAATTAATTGATTTATTAGTAAAAATGCAAGAATTATGAAGCTGAAATGGAACATTACATGCCTTTCTTGATGAAAAAATCACATACAAACTTTCTTTAAAGAATATTAGAAATATGAAATTTATAAAAAAAAAAATACAATCAACAGGAACTTATAATGTTTGTCGACAGTGTGAAAATTTATCTACTAGGGTGAAAAGAATTTCAATTGCAAAAAGACGAATCGCCTTTATTTATCAGAAATTTACTTGTCAGAAAATAATCTTTGGCGATGATGTGTAAATTTCTTATCAAAATTCATTGCTCATTGTCAGAGATAGTATTTTTTATCGGTCAGAAATTCAAAAGTAAAGAAAATGGAAGGTCAGAATTTAATATTATTTTTTTTTATAACCATAGTTTTAAGGTCAAGTGGACGTAAAATTATAAATTTTTTATAAGCAAATATGCTAAGCAACATATGTCTCACATGGAATGTTTCTCGTTTCTCGCTTATCATTCAGTAAATAGAAATATTAATTAATCATACTGAATTTAACTTAATTTTTAAGGACAAACTAAACCTTATTTTATTTCTCAACCGTTTCACTCGTTTCACTTAATTCTTCAGATGTTAAATATTTACTTGTAGAGTTTTCTGATGAATTTTATTCTGGAAAATGAATAATTTTGCTTGCGTTCTGATAAACAATTTCTGACCAATTATTTTTCAATAAATGAAAAAAAAATTTCGGATAAATGTGATAAATGAGGGGTTCTAAACAAGACTGCTGATAATATATGTTGAAAACTGAGTAAATTTTGGTGTTTTTTTAAGGTGACTATGCCATTGGAAATAGAGAAAGATCGCCAACATATGTCTAAACACAAAAATGGCAATTGAAACTGATGATCAATAAAATTTTTTATTGATTTTATTAAAAAATTGACTTATTTTGAAATTTGATTTTTTTTTTATCTAGTGTGTTTAATTAAATGAATTTTTGGAATTTTTATTTAAAATCCAGAGATAGCAACGCTCATAAAATAATATAATAAGTAGAACACGAGCAACAGCAACCCGCCTAACAGCGATGTAAGGCGGCATTGCATACATTTTAGGAGGCTGCGTCATTTCTACCTTGTTTTTTTAATATGCCAGCCGGCATTACAATTCTTTGAACTGAGAGTTAAAAATAAATGAAAATCATCAGCATCAGATAATGTTTTATAATAATAATTTAGTTTTCAATGTAAATTTTGTTTTTGGAATCGCTTGGGATGAATTCGCCTCCTAATTTAATTTATTTCAGTATATTAAATTGAAATAAATAGTCACTATATTATTGATGAAAGTTTTAATTTTCAAACTCCTCACAAAATATACTGATTTTTAACTTAAGCTAATTAATTTTTATGACAATGTGGATATAATTGAACAGATAATGAGAAAAAAAACTGTATATTTTCCATATTTTTTTAAACTGTTGGTTTGAAATACTGAAACGCCACTTTTTCTGAGAATATTTCGGTTGAATTTTTAATGAATAATTTATGTAAATTTATCACAGTCGTTTGATGCGATTTGCAAATTAAAAGATCCAAGTCGCAGAGAGCAGAAGGAGCGGCAAAGTGAGCAGGGTCAAGCGGGTGGCCGAGGAGGTCAGCGAGTCCAGGGAGCGGCACTGGTTTTCCCGCCAAATTCTGATCTGCCCGTCAGAGTCCTTGGCCAAAATGCACACCTGCAGGTCACCGCCGGTCTGCAACGGTGGAATCTCGTCGCTCCTCACGTTGTATGGCACCTTTTTTTTAATCAAAATTTAAAATTTGTAAAAATAAATTAAAAAAATTTTAAAAGCACCTCTTTCTCGTAAACGTTGTCTTGAGTATTTTTGTCCCTGACGATGATTTGGAAGTTTCCAATGTCCTGCCTCGTCGGCACGTACCACACCATTTTCACGCCACCGTCCCGAGTTCTGAAATTCATAAATTTTATATATTAATTTTTGTGAAGTTTAGGTATAATTTTACCTGGTGACGCTTCTGTAGGCGACGTCGGGCGTGATTCGGAGTCGCTGCTGCTTGGGCGGTTTGAGGCAGGTCAGTTTGTCCTCTGGCAGGCTGGCGACGGCCCTTCCCTGCAAGAAGTTTGGCGTGGCGCAGGTCACGGTGTCCCAGGGCGCAGGGTCGCTTTGGCCCTGCAGCCACCTGACCACAGGTCGCAACAGACAACTGCACTCCAGAGGATTGTCTGAGAAAATCGTGTTTATAAAAATAAATTAAATTTAAAAAAAAAAATACCAAAGAAATCGATTTTGGTTCCGTTTTCGACCATGTACGAGAGTTCCTCGGAGAAATTCCTCAGCATGTTATCTGACAAATCCAAATAGGAAAGATTGGCTTTGAGAAGCTCTTGGAGCGGGAGCGCCTCGAAACGATTGTGGTTCATAACAAGCGAGGTCAAGTTTAGTGGAAAAGTCTCGTTCTTCACCACCGGAAGTTCCGAAAGCTCGTTGTACGAAAGGTCCAGGTGCCTCAGCGAAGTTAAATTTCCCAGCACGCCTTTTCAAAATAATTTTAAATTATGAAATTCAAATTTTAAGATTTAAATCTCACCAGATCTGATTTCGTTGATGAGGTTGTGCGAGACGTTGAGCACCTGAACCTTTTTGGCTCCCCAGGTGAGGTCCATCGTCAGCACTGGAATGGCGTTGTGGCTCAGGTCAACTTCGCGCAATTTGTAGGGAATGTACGGATTGCTCGGGAACATTGGCCGCGTCACGAATCCGATGTTGTTGAAACTCAAATCAATCTATGACGAAAATTATTAATTCATTTATCGCCTCTCGGTAAATTATAGTTTATGAGTTTCAGTGAGTTGAATGTTGTATGCCTAATTTTCTCCATACCAGTATCAAAAATTAAAAATTAACATTAATTTAAATAATTTTAGGTATAAACCTACACGGTCTACAATATTAAAATAATTTATTAATTAACGAAGTTAAAAAGTAAATTATAATATTATATTTAAACAATTCAATAATTAATTTAAGTTATATTAATAAAAATAAACAGCTTATTGTAAAATTTACATTTATATTAATTGAAAACTGAGATACAAATTTGTGTTATTTGATAAAATAATTATTTTGAATAATCACACAAATAAACTAATTTTAAACTTTATCAAATGTAAAAAAAAATAAAAGTTGTTTTTAGAAAAATAAAGTGAATATTGAAATGAAAAAAAAAACAGAATTGGTATACCTTTTCCAATGAGAGGCAATCGTCGAGCAAACCATGCGATTTATTATCCAGTTTTTCGAGCCCATTGTGAGACAGATCCAATTTCCTCAGCGAAACCAAACCTTTTTTTGATTAAAAAAACAATAAAGTCAAAATCCAAAAAACATTTATCTTACTTTGGAAGGCTCCGTTGGGAATTTGCGTGATGTTGTTGTGGCTGAGGTTGAGCGTGAGCAGTTGGAGGAGACCTTCGAAGGCGCGAACGCTGACGTTGTTCATGTTGTTGTGCGCCAGCTGCAGCTCAAACACGATTGGCAGACGTCCAAAGGCGCCCTTCGGAAGGCTCTGGAATTTTGATTTAAAATAATTTTTGTTTTTGAAATTGATAAAAATAAAACATACCTGAATGTTGTTTCCTTCAAGATAGACGTACTGGAGGGAGGTCAAAGGTCCAAGGGCAGCTTTCGGAGGACGGGTCAGGCCGTTCCGGTTCAACCTGAGGATTCTCAGGGTCAAAAGGTTGGCCAGGGCGCTCGAGTCTTCAGCGAGGGAGTCTCCCAATTTGTTGTCGTCCAGGTCCAGCTCGAGAAGGGCGTTCATCGTGGGCCAAATACTTTCGCCCTCTGAATCATAATTAGGAAATTAAATAGCAATTTTGATGAATTTGCATACCAATGGGTCCGGTCAGGGTCTCGATTTGGTTGTGGGGCATGCTGAGCACGGACAGGGCCGGCGCCAGTTGGAACTGGATCTTGTTGATTTTGTTGTGGCCCAAAAGCAAAGTTCGGCAGGAACTGAGCCTGGCGAAGGCGCCCCTGCCGACCTCGGTCAGGGCGTTGTGCCGCAGGTCGAGCTCCAGGAGGGAGGGCAGGGCTCCCAGGACGGCGCTGCTCAACTTGCCCAGCGCGTTGTGACTCAGGTCGAGGTTCCTCAGGCTGAACAACGGTTGGAAAACGGCGTTGGCGACGCTCGTCAGTTGGTTGTGAGACAAATCCACCGACCGCAACTCGTACAGCTTCGGAAAACCGTTCCTAGATAATTGGCAAAGAATTAAACATAATTTCTACACTGATTGTGAGAAAAATGTTAACTGAAATTATTTAATTAAATTGGCGTACTAAAAATTTCGATAGGTGAAATACGAAATACAGGAAAATTTTCTATTATTTTCAAAAATTCAATTCATCAGATTAATTAGAAGTCAAGGGTGTTTACACTGAGAAAAATGTTGACTGAAAAGTTACCAATAAACTCAACTTTTTTTTAAGAAAAAATAGTTTAGAAATTTTAGTAATAATTCCTATATAAAACAATGCTTATTTTCAAAAATTCTGTTCTCCAAATGAAATTAATTATTCTTGTGATCTTTCCTTGAAATTTTCATTTACGAACCAATGCAAATGACAAGGAAAATTAACATCAGGCTTTTTTTAGAAGAACCATTTCACAATTATTCTTATGTTAGTAGAAAATTTTTTAAGTTTCAATATAATTTTGACGTACCTGGGAATGGTGGTGAGGGCGTTGTGGCTGACGTTGAGGACCTGCAGGCCGGACATGTTGGCCAGGGGGATGGTGGCGAAGTTGTCGATCTGGTTGTGCTGCAGGAGGAAGGTGGCGGCGTAGCTGACGGAGTCGAAGGCCTTCTTGGCGATCGAGGTGAGCAGGTTGTGGCTCAGGTCGAGCACCGTCATGTTGGCGCAGTTCTCGAAGGCGCCGGCCTCGATCGAGCTCACCTGGTTGTGCGACACGTTCACCGTCACCAAGTACAACTCGACGAACGCGCGCTTCTGGATCTCGGTGATTTGGTTCTCGGCCACGTCCAGCCTCTCCGCGTACCGCAATCCTTCAGAAGCACAAAGAAAACATTCAGTTTTAAAGAGAAAACTTGTATTCGAAATTTCACAGTTAAAATTTGGCTAAAAGTGAACTTTGATTTTTAATAAAAAAAAATAAAAAAATAAGTTAGAAATATTTCCAAAAAATTAAAATAAAAACATTAATACCTCATCATTACTTGTACATAGTACAAAATGTGCAAAATTTAGCAACTTTTTTACCAAGAGAATAGAAAATAAAGTTTTGTATCTAAATGTTAATAAAAAGTAACGAAAAATAATGAGAATCTTAGAGATGTAGATAATTATCAAATTAAAACCAGATTTACGAACAATTTTTTACTAAAGGTATCTGCTAAATTTTCAATTAAGTTTGAAATTCTGTCAAATTTGGCCCTTCGCCCTAATTAAAAAGGTTCATTTCAGCTAAAAATTAAATTTTTTATTTACGTAGTTCCGATGCAAGTTTTCAATGGTTAACCAAAGTTTAATTTAATGTCATTTTAATTTAATATAATTTAATTTTGAATTTATTTTATTGAGAAAATTGTACCTGCAAACATCTGGAAGTCGACCTTGGTGAGTTTGTTCCTGGCGAGGTCGATGGTGCCGATCCTGTTGAGGGAGGAAAAGGCGCCTCGGCCGACCTCCTCGATCAGGTTGTCGGAGAAGAAGAGGCGGCGCAGGAATCGCAGGCCGCGGAACGTGTTCGCCTCGAGCCGCTTCAGGTTGTTGTGCGACATGTCCAGGTGCTTCAACAGAGTGTTGCGCGCGAACCCACCCCTCGGCAGCTCCGTCAGGGCGTTGTGCGACAAATTCAGGGTCAGCAGCTTCGGCAGGTCGGCCAAAGCAGTCGAGTCAACCTGACAAAAGCAAATTTATGATTCATTTGCAGATTTCAATAAAATTTAAATTGACTTTAATAATATAATTTATAAATAATAATAAATTCTTGCATTTTAGTAATAATTTTTTTACCCCTACAATTAAAATTTGGCTAAATTCAAACTAAAAAACAAAAGCTAAGCAAATTATTAAACTATCCTAATTTTTAGAATAAAATTGTACAAAATTATAGTAATAAGGCATGATTTTTTAAATTTATGACAAAATTAATTGCTAGTAAGTTGAATATATTTAGGAATTATTGGAAATTTTTAGTAATTACTATTAAAAAAACTCGCAAAATTGTGCAGGGAAATTTGAAATCATTTAAGCAAATAAAGATGAAAATATATGGATAAAAAAGTTATTTCAAATTATTATAATTACATAATTAAATTAAAACTTCTGGATGAAGAAAAAAAATTTCCCTTATATTAATTGAATCAAAAATGACTGTTTTTTTCTTCAATTGATCTATTATTCTGGCAAAATACATGAAAATTAAATGGCAAAGAAATGATTTTGTACCTTGATAAGGGTGTTGTGGGCGAGGTCGAGGGTCTCGAGGTCCCTGAGACCTTTGAAGGCGCCCCTCTTGAGCTCCGTCAGGGCATTGGCGTGCAGGTCGAGCAGTTTGATTTTCTTGCTGAGGGCGAAGGTGTCGGGGGCCAAATCGGAGAGGGGTCCGTCGGTGAGGGCAAAGACCTCCACGGCCGGCAGCGGCACCGACGACGCCGCCATCGAGTGCACGGCGTGGCCCTCGACCTTCAGGGTCTGTTGGGAATCAGGTCAGAAGACATTAAAAGACAGAAAACAATTGAAAAATAATGTTGATAAATAATTTCTAAGAATTAATTTAAATTAATTCTCGTGTGCAAATTGCAGTTGACCTTTTCTTTAGCTAATATGGGTACCAATGGGAACGGTTTCTCATCCCACACGGTCATTTAACACGATTGCTGAGATGCAAATTAAAATTGTAAATTATAATTTCCGTTACATTTCCTTTTTCGCAAAGATGCTTGTCTTGATCTCTGTATTTGGTGAGATGGACCGTAATTTTGCATCCTACAACTAATCCAATTACCGTTTGAAGAAAAAGGTCTGGTTAAAATTTGGAACAAAAATCCCAGTTTTTATTTTAAGCAGAAAATTATAAAAGCTTAATTTTTAGTGTTTTTTAAATTAAATTTTAATTAAAATGTTAAATAAATCTAACTGGAAATAATTTAATTTCAAATAAAAATGAAACTAAATGTCTTGATTGAATTTGAACCTTTTTGTTACCTTTGCCTCTGTGAGGAGGTTGAAGGCCTCAGTGGGGAAGTCTGTGATTTTGGTGTTGGCCATGGTGAGGGCGCTGAGGGTGGCGTTGACGCCCTCGAAGAACTCGGGGGCGACCCTGGTGACGGGCGTGCCCTCGACCCTGAGTTCGGCGACCCTGAGGGGGCGGAGGGCGTGGCCGAAGAGGGAGGAGAAGCGGCCGTGGGCCACGGTGAGGCGGGCCAGCGGCCAGGCGGCCACGTTGGACAGGGCGGCGGCCATGGGCGCGAGGCCGCTCAGGTGGCACGCGACCCTGAGGCCGTCGTCGCCCCCGCCCTGGCACTCGCACGGGAAAATCGACCTGGGGTCGGCGGGACACGCGTACTTGGGCCCCGGGGGCACGTACACGCCCCCGCACCACCCCCACAGCGCGCACGCCACCAACAAATGCGCCCTCAACATCATCATCTGTAAAAGAAAGAAAAATAATAATAATAATTGACGATTTTTTTTTAATCATTATAATTGAAATATCATAATCAAAGAAATTCACCTTTAAAATTAGACAAAATAATTGGTACATTTTTGAAAGAGGAGATTTTTGAAAAACTTAAAAAAAATCCTTACAATTGTCTTTAAAATTTTAATTTATATCAATTTGATAACAAAATGCAGTGAATTTAACAAGAACTTTTATCATAATATAACATTGGACTTTTCTTTCTATGGGCGTGTAACTTAATTGGCAATGCCGCATTCACAACTTTCGCAGGTCACGTTTTGTTTTGTTTCGCTCACACAAGATAATATATGGAGAGTGAAAATTTGAATAATCAACTTTCGCGTTTTTACTCTCAACATGTCAATACATATCATTTGAAGGAAAATATTCACAAAAATTTGAATATAAATTTATTTTCTTTCTCTCTTTTTAGATCAATCGGCTGCTCCACTTTTGGCCGAGGTGAAATCGCGACCAAACTTTTAGGCCGCCAATTTTTTTTTATAATTTTGTTCGTCTAATGCATTAATTAATTAACAATTTGGACGCCTCGGTGCACTTTTAAGTTCCGTTGAAACGTTTCTTTTGTCAAACGCGGCACCGCCCGCGCGCCTCCTACATTTCCTGATACAAAAAAAGCGATCGTTCCCACGTGAGGAAGAATTAATAATGAATTTCGCCTCCTCTTCTATTGTCAGAAATGAGATCATAAAATAATAAAAATAGTTGGACAGGTTGTGTGGGTTCTTTTCACGTCAAAGGAGAATTTTGAATCGTAACCATCAATTTGAAACAACAAACAATCCATAAAAACGTTTCGTCTTTTTATGATAATAATGTACAAAATTTGTTTCTTTTTTGTAGAGAAGAGAAGAAAATCGGCGATTTGTGTATTTTGCAAGTATGCTCTAAAAATATAAAAATAGTCAATTGATTAAAATTTAATTTTATATAAAATTTGATCCAATTCTTCTCAAAGTCTATAACAAAAACTAGGAAAAATATTGCAATAAATCAAATTTATATCACATTTGTTCAGGTTGCAATTAAAATGAAAATGATTCATACGATTTTGTGCCATAAACTTTTACCACAATATTATAGTTCGAGGCAAGTATTGACTTTTACTTCCGCATTGAAAAGCTCCAGAACAATTATTTCAAACTTTAAATATGAATAATATTTTGAAGCAAGTTTTGACTTACGTTTTACTTGGATGGAATTAGAATTCAGTCCTAAGTTTTGGGGTTTTGGACGTAAAGCGAAGACATAATTATTCCTAAGTTTTTGGATCCGCCGTGTACTTTCTCGAGCTCCTTCTCGGCCGGACTGCCTCTCTCGAGAGAAAAACAGGCGTCGCTCCACTGCCGCTCGACCTACATTCACCTTTCAAGGGCAACACACCAAACGCTCACCAGGTTGCACCTGACACCGCCAGAGGGAGACCTCGACCGCACCTGTCAAAAACACAGGATTTAGAAAAAAATTAGTTCAAAAATTTTAATATTTTATATGCTAAACACTTATTTTTAGTTATAATTTGTATTATTTTTCTGTCCAAAATTATAAAATTCAAACAAATGTATGTATGAGTTTTTTTTAGTTATATTTTATTGTTTCATAAAATAATATTTAAGCAGGAAAGGAAATTGCAACTATTTTTACGCCTTTATTTATACAATAGTATGTACTTATTTTTTTTTAACTGAAGTTTATATTATAAAAATAATATAATATTGAATTTATCTCACGCACATAGCAATTACTTATGAAGAATCGGAGCGTTTCTTGGCTCACGCGCGCGTTCAGATAAAGCCTTCGAAAAACTGGAGCACTAAATAAAAAGCACTTTGTGGAATCCACAACCATCCTAGGATGACTCCCCGTTTGGCCACAGCGATTTTGATCGCAATTCTTTTACAGGTTAAAAAAATTAATCCCCATTAAAATCAAATTTATTTCTATTGTATCTCTCTGCAATAGTTTGTTCTTGCATCAAATCGGAAAAACATTCACGTAAGCATGATTATTATTTTTGTGCCATTTAATTCAAATACGAAGACTGATTTTTAGACTGAAAAACCGTCATTGAATGAAAATCAAAATGGTATTTATAAAGAAAAGCAAAAATTTTGTAATCACAAAAGAAGTTGCAGCGAAACTTGAGCCCTTGTTGGTGGAAATGGCGACGAAAAACGAATCGGCGCTGCCGAAACTTGAAACCTCTGAAAACGCTAATGGTTCGGAATTGGTTAAGAATTAAATTTTGAATTGATTTAAATTGGTGTCAAGCGCGGAAAATGACCGGGTACATCGTGAACGGGGTGGAAACGACGGCGGCGCAATTCCCGTACCAGGTGGCGCTGAGCGTGGACGATAAAATGTTCTGCGGCGGCTCCCTGATCGCCGCCGACAGGGTCCTCACGGCCGGCCACTGCTGCCAAGGGTGATCATTCCAAATTTACTACGAAGTGTGTCTATCAAGCACACTTTAAAGGAAAACGAGCGTTTCTTCGACTTTGTATTTAAGGGTTGTTTTTCACTGTTGAGAGTTGAGATGATCAGAAAACAAATATATAAAAGTGCAAGTAGAAAATTTAATTTAAGTAAAAACAGACGCACCAGCCTAGACCGTGCCTAAATCAAACGTTGGAAATGAGTAATTTAGGCACACGGCTACCGTGTGTGGGTAAAATGTGCAAATTTGACACACTTAATCTGCTATGACTGCTAGATTCTCGGTCTCCTTTTCTCTCTCCATAATTTCAACACAAAAATGCGTCTGTTAGACATATGGTTTTCCCTAGTGTTTAAATTAAGCACACTTTTGCTAAAACGAGCTCTTTGAGCGTAAAATTTGAAACTCTTGATAGTTTTCCTGCGTTGATTGCTGAGTCTGTTGAGTCTTTTTTGATCTAAAACTGGATCGCAGGTACTCTAGTTGGATGGCGTACATGGGCACGACCAAACGGCCGCCGCAGAACGACCCTGGTTCCATCTCGGTCAAGGGCAAGAAGTGCTTGGTTCACGGCAGCTACAACAGGACCAACTACGTCAACGACGTCGCCGTCCTCTTCCTCGATCAGCCGCTCGACGAAGCCGTGCTCAAATCCGGTCGGTTTTCAGTCTGTTTCTCCACCTCCCTGTAATTTCCTTCCAACTCTCGCAGGTAAAGTTAAGATTATTGAATTGGCATCTTCCACTTTCAACGTGACCAATTTGATGTGCAACGTCAGTGGATGGGGTCTGGACAATGATTATGACAAAGGTTATTTTAAATTCACTTCTCATGACCAATCAAATGAACGGCGTGGAGTAATTTGATCGGAATTAAATGCTTTGCATCTACATATCTATAGGCTTGACACACCATTATAATCAAATTTTGAATTCAGAGGGGAACGGAGGTGAAGAAAGAAGAAACATTTAAAGTTTTGAATTTTGAATAATGCAATTTGATGTTTCATAGCGTTTGCTTGAGATTTTTTTTTAACTTTGATTTCCAAAAAGGTGGCGACCTTTTGGCAAGATTGAACTACGTGACCCTGAGGTTGGTGCAGACGTCGGTGTGCGAAGAATTCTACAGCTTGTTGCTCAACACTTACAAAATCATCTGCGCCTGTGGCGAAGGAAATCGCTCCACCTGTCAAGTCCGACATCATTTTCAAAAAATGTGTAAAAAAAAATTTGGTCAACGACTTTGCAGGGCGACAGCGGAGGGCCGTTGGTGTGCCTCAACCCCGTCAGCGGCAGGGTGGTGCAGGTGGGCGTGGTCTCTTTCGGGGGCTCCACGTGCACCGCTAGCTACCCCCTGGGCTTCACGGCGGTGCAGAATTACCTCGAGTGGATCGAAAACCCGCAAGTCCACGCACAGCAATCTGAACCCAAGAGGCAATCCAAAAACACCAAAAATCGCAGGAACAAATTCAACCACTCGTAACAGGCGAATCAAAATTCTGAAATAAATTAAATGCAATTAAGCTCTTCAAATTTGGCCACAACAATTTATAGTTGTAAATAACTCAAAGGTTTGGAATGTATTTGACCATTTTCAGTGCTACAAATGTTCTTTTATCGATTGATATGAAATAAATTCTTCTTTTATAATTTAAATAAAACGCATTTCACAGATTTCACGTCTCTCAGTTATTTTCACTTTTGTTTTCAAAGCTTGCACCAATAATTTTGAAATACCTTCGCAGATTTAGCAGGTTATTGAAACGCGCTTAAGTATTCAACAAAAATTTCCTTTAATCCTTTTTTCCGCTCTTTTCTTTTTTGAGAGAAGAATTTACTTTAAAAAATTAGCAAGACGAATATTTTGTTCAAATTTCAGAATAAATTGGTTTTTTTTTTTAAAATACTCTTCGAATGTGATAGGAGTACAAATTGAAAGAGGAGTCTAAATAAAAAAGAACCCAGTTTGAAGTGGGTCAAAATAAAATTAAAAGTGCAAAGTAAATATTTTTAGAATTTTACCGATAAGCAATAAGTTATTCTGACATCTATATATTTCTCAATTGTTCCACTTGCGAAAGTTATAAAATCAAAAACTTTTAACCATTTGCGAGCCTTTTTATTTTTTGTATTTTTTCAGCTTGCTTATTGTTAGATAAATATAAATTTTTTAACACAAATAACGCAATCGCCAATCAATTATTTGAGTTTATTTCCGCTCCCTTTTTAAAAAGTATTTTCTTCTTCGCTAGCAAATGTGTTTAGCTTTTGAGATTGCATGTTTCTATTAAAAGAAAAGAATATTGAAATCATTTCGTGCACTTTGCAAGTAAACGATTTCTCATGCAGAATGGCGAGAATCGGAGCGTTTCTTGACTCACGCGCGCGCGTTCAGATAATTAAAGCTTTGGAAAAACTGGAGCAATTTGAAGCGGAATCCACAATTATCCCAGGATGGCACCCCGTTCGGCCACCGCGATTTTGTTCGCAATTCTTTTTCAAGTTAAAAAATACATCCACCGAAAAATCAAGAAATAATTTTAATTTTATCTCTCTGCAAAAGTTTGTTCTGGCGTCTAATCGGAAAAATATTCACGTAAGCATAATCATTTTTTCCTATTCCTATATTTCAGAGACAAATTTGCAGCCCCAAAATCCGTACCTGACTGAAATTCAAAGTGGTATTTGAATTTAATAATAAATTAATTTTGTAATCACAAAAGAAGTTGCAGCGAAACTAGAGCCCTTGTTGGTGGAAATGGCGACGAGAAACGAATCGGCGCTACCGAAACTTGAAACCTCTGAAAACGCCAATGGTACGGAATTGGCTAGGAATTGAATTTTCAATTGATTGAAATTGGTGTCAAGCGCGGAAAATGACCGGGTACATCGTGAACGGGGTGGAAACGACGGCGGCGCAATTCCCGTACCAGGTGGCGCTGATGGTGGACAATCGAATCTTCTGCGGCGGCTCCCTGATCGCCGCCGACAGGGTCCTCACGGCCGGCCACTGCTGCCAAGGGTGATTCATGTCAAATCGAGTGTTGTCTATCAAGCACACTTTTTCTGAGGCTAAAATTCATACTTTTTTGCCAAAAAAAAAAAAAAAAAAAAAAACGAGAGCGCGATTTCTTTTGACATTTCAGTTGCAATGGCATATTTTTGTCCGCACTAACCATCCTTGATAGACTCACTTAATTTTGTATATACTCGGGGCCTACCCTTCGAATTCAATTTGTCAGTAAATGGGTGTTGAACAGACGCAGCAGCAACCTTAAATGCGCCTAAAACACACAAAACAGCAGGTGTAACTGATCCAGCAGTTCTGGGCTTATATCAGGCACACTTTGCCGAGCCGTAAAGGTTTTTTGTGGAATCCCCAGTTCAGCCGGTGATTCCTCAAAATATGAACCTTATGGCACGGCAATAAGTGTGCCAGATAGGCCCGCCCAGAACTGCTTTGAATCCAACATTAAAAGTTGAGTTTGTTAGGCACAGCTTGTTAATTATCCTAATCTTGATTTCATTGTCAATCTATCGATCAACTAGAGCCCGTTCTAGAGCATTTCATTTTCATGTAAGAATTTCAAACAAAAATGCTCCAGTTAGACATAATAGACATGATTTTCCTTGATGTGTCAATATTGAAGCGCACTTTTGCAAAACACTCTTTTCTTTGCACTTTTATGAAACTTGAACTTGCTGAGAAAAGTCGCGGACCTGTTAAGTCTCTGTTTTGTTATGTAACTGGATCGCAGGTACTCTAGCTGGGTGGCTTACATGGGGACGACCAAACTGCCACCGCCGGGTGACGTTGGCACCGTCACGGTCAAAGGCAAGAAGTGCGTGATCCACGGCGGCTACAACAAGACCTACTTCTTCAACGACATCGCCGTCCTCTTCCTCGAACAGCCGCTCAACGAAAGCGTGCTCCAGTCCGGTCAGTGCTTTTTCAACCTTCGTATTTTTCCTTAAATTTTAAAATCTTTGAAACGCAGGTCGCGTGAGGTTTATAGAACTGGTTCCTTCCACCTTCAACGCGACCAACCTGAAGTGCAATGTCAGTGGATGGGGTCTGGACAAAAACAGCGACAAAGGTTTCGAATGAATTTGTTACATCCGCTAGATAATTTATCAAATTAGGCCAGAAATCTCTATATTTTTAGTTCTTGCCTCTGCAAGGGTTGGAAGGAGCATTGAGGATTTTTTTTTATAATTTTCATGGGTTTAAACTCAATTTGTGTTGCAACGTTTCCTTGTTACAACCTGCAGATTTTCAATGGTTTAAATTGATAAAAGGTGGCGCCCTTCTGCCAAGGCTGAACTACGTGACCCTGAGCGTGGTGCAGACGTCAGTGTGCGAAGAATTCTACAGCTTGTTGCTCAACACTTACAAAATCATCTGCGCCAGTGGCGAAGGAAATCGCTCCACCTGTCAAGTCCGACTTCATTTTGCAAGAATGAATGGGAAAAAAAAGTTGATTGCAATGACTTTGCAGGGCGACAGCGGAGGGCCGTTGGTGTGCCGCAACCCCGTCAGCGGCAGGGTGGTGCAGGTGGGCGTGGTCTCGTTTGGGGGCGCCTCGTGCACCTCCAGCTACCCCCTGGGCTTCACGGCGGTGCAGAATTACCGACAGTGGATCGACGAACCGCTCGTCTATGCACTATCCGAAGCCAAGAAGCAGAGCAAACAATCCTTCGCCAACAAGAAAGCTGGCCGCGGCAACAAATACAACCATCAATGGCATCAATGAAAGGCGAAACAGAGAAATTATATGATCAATTCAAAAATGAAAGAAAATAGTTAATTCGGAAAAGAGTAAAAATTTAAATGTACTTCACACATTTTTTATGTTTCTATCGATATTTTTCTGTTTTTCATAAATTAATTTTAAAAAACGTTTTATTTGCTTCATTTAATGAGAAGATCCTCTGATGAAATTTACTCTGAAATTAAATCTTCACAGCCTTTTCCAATGTAATCAATGTTTTTATTATTATATTAACTGACTTATTGATTTAATTTTTCCATATGAATTGGGGTGATGTGAACGTGATTAGGTGAAATTTTATAATTGTGGTCAGGCCAATTTTGAGAACAAAAAAATTTTAGAGCATTTTGAAAACTCAATTCTTCCAATGAATTCAATTTATCCCTGGAGCTGAAATCTACTACCAACGCTAATGTAGAGAAAAATTACCATCATAAGCCGTTTTTTTTCAAAAGCGCCTCCTCAAAATAAACACACCTTCAGATTTTCTTTGTCTTTCAGTTGATCAGAGAATTAGAAGGAAATAAATACCCAATTTCAAATCATATCAGCTGCAAATCCATCACCGAGAATGATGATAAACCATTATTAGTGTAACATGTAATTTGAATGTCAACATAAATATCGTTTTTATTAACATTTATTTCACGAGCATCAAAGGTTTTCTTGAAATGTTAAATTGAGCCTTTTTTCCTTTTGCAAGAGAGAAAAATGTAAAAGAATATGGGAATAAATTGCTAATTATAAAATAAATCTTGATCGTGATGGGAATAAAGTTGAAAGAGGTTTTGTGATTGCACTACTTTCTCGCTGACCCCTGCTGGCCCTCGATTTCTTATGCAACAAAGCCTCAAGTCGTGCCATTATTCCATAATGAGATGCGCAAATAACACTCTGCGGGATGATCTCATTGGAAATTTCTCCTCTTTTTTTTGTACTTAAAATTCAAAGACCTCCAAAAATTCCACAATCGTGAATTGCCGCTTGCGCAAAGAATTAAAAACAGTGCAGAAATAATTATATGAATATTTCCATTTATTTCTTTTTTCTTTATTAATCACGAGCGGCGTGAGCATGAAAAAAATCATCAAAAGAGGCCGAATTTCGGTCGTGCCGTGTCAAGAACAAAGAATTGCACAAAAATTGTGATGCAAATTTTACAAGATCGATTTTGAACGAGGAAGCGACCGACGAGGACAAAATTCGCTCCAAGGTCGGCGACTCTGAATAAAAAAGAACCACGCCCTTTTGTGACTCTTCCTCGTTTCCGAGAGTTTTTCATAGAAATGAATAAAAAAAAGAACATTTAATTTTGCGCGATCGGTAATTGGCGGTCGCGGTTGAAAGGGAAAGGTACACTTGAGGTGTACTTTGCAATTGTTCCGCGCCTCCCCTGCTTAGAAAGAAATAAAGAAAGAAAGGTGTTGCCGTAGATTTGAACCGCGCTGGCCCCCGAGTCATGCGCGGAGAAAGTCGCGCGCCGTCACGAAAAAAATCACCAATACCAAGTTGAATCAATAAAAAAACAGAAAAATTAACGGAATTTTATAAATATTTTTAAACTCTTAAAAGTGTTAAAATTTCATGTGTTGTCAAAAAATTTAAATTGATATCAAAAATTTCATTTAAATGACTATAAAATTTAAATTAAAAACTTAAGCCGCATAATTTTCCTCTTTGTTTATCTGAATTTCAACAATTCGATTATCAAGTAATTATTATTATTTTTTTTTTTTTTGCATTTCGTTTCATTTACTTCATAAAGCAAGGATCCAGAAAATGTTTTATTAAAAAGTTACAAATTGGAAACAAAATTTACCGCGCCTTTCATCTTATGTAAGTTATTTCTCTCCATTTAAAGTTTTGATGACAATTATTAATTATTGTCAAAAACCAAAGTCAATGCGTTGAGATCTTTAGTTACAATATAAATTATTTATGATCTTGAATCTCCAAAAATTTGAATATTTTTATAGTTTAAATTTAAAAAAAAAATGATTTAAACATATTTACAGAGACAATCATAAGCTTTTTAAACTCATTTCAGGTAAAATTAACTTTTTTGTACGTTTGTTAATAGTTTTGCCAAGTTTTGGAATAAAATTTTTAATTCTTTATCAATTCTTTTGGAGCTTAATTAAAAGTCAACCTGACGGTTGAAAATCTTTACGAATTTTGTCGATAACATGAATGAAAATTTGGATTTTTGAAACGTTTTGTTTGGAAAACGCCTTTGAATAATAATGTGAATAAAATAAACTTACAAATGATATTGAGGGCGATCCAAAAGGCTAACTTGACCCAGGCTAAATTAACCTGGCCCGGGCTAATTTAACCCGCCATTCAATTTTGCTGGTGGGCGAAGTTAGCCTGGGCTAGGTTAGTCTTTTGGATCGCCCTCATTAAATTTAAGTACTTCTTTAATTTTCCACTGGTATATAGAATTTGATAAAAAGTAATTAAAAAAAAAATCAATAAATAATATCATGATTTTCATGAAAATTTTCGAACAACTTTTTATGAATTTGGATTTTCATTTTCCAAATTTTTTGCTAATGATTTAATTGTTGGCAAAACTAATTGGAATCAGGGTTTTTTAGGAAGTTGGTGTGTTATTGAAGCAGATCGAGAGGCGTTTAGAGAGTTGAACGCGCGCGCTAGCGAGTGAGCGAGCGGAGGGGCAGAAGAAGAAGAAGGATCGAAAGTTGTTGCGCCAGCGATTGTGAGTCCGTCCGAGTCTCAGAGTCAGTCTGTGAGAGAAGAGCGAGTGAAAGAGTTGGTCGGCCATGGAAACCTGCTGAGTTCTTGTTAATTTTTTTTTGTCGCCACCGAAAGAGAGAAAAACCGATGCGTTTCGGGCTGTGATCGGCTCAGGAGAGGAACCAAAATAGTGCCTTAGCTGGATTATTATTTTCGATCGTCAGTTCAACTGTGAAAAGTCTCTTTAAAGGTGAGTTTGCTGCTCTCTAAAGATATGAACGACTTTCACGCATGCGAGTTCGAAATAAATTGTAATTTATCAGCGAAAATTGTGCCGAGCGCGCGGTGTGACCGACCGACCAGCATCTTTCCAATTTCTAAACTGCCTCTTTTCCTCACCATTAAGATTCACTCCGACCAAGAAATACTGACAAGTTATTTGTTCGTTTGAATCTCAGTGAAGCAAAAATTTTACAAAATTCAAAGACCATATATCTGAAAGTGTTGAAATTTTTTTTAATTAAACGCCAATTTTTGGATATTTTTTTTAGCTATTTCCTATTTTGTTACATAGCTTGAGAATTCAATTGAAAACATATCAAATTTATTACATTTTCAAAATCTCCATAGTGTTTGATATCGAATGGTGCCCTGAAAATTAAAATTGACTGTCTAGTTAAAAGTTTTGAGGCTTTTTAATGGTAAAAAAACCCGTTCACAGTCAAAATCTGAAATGTAATTTAAAGTTTTGCACTCTTATTGTATAAATTGCACTTATTTTCTTCTCCCAATCGAACTAAGAAACAGCATTCCTTGGTGATATTACACATGGTTGTTATTTTTATATTATTGCGTGTGTGGAAAGAGTCTTGAATTGGCAGCATTTTCAGCCACACCTATCCAAAGAGAAAACCACCTGCCGTTTCAAATCTCAACACTTTTGGCCAAGATCTCAGTTCGCTGCGATTTCACTTTCAATCAAACGTCTTTATTGTTCACTCAAAAAGATTTATTTATATATTTTGTTGAATTTTCATTCCAAATCTGGATCCCGACGGAAAAAACATTTACATTCAAAGATTAAATTAAAATCAGACGAAAATTCCTTCTAGAAATAAAAGTTTCCATTCTTAATTTTATAATTTTTATGATATGATTGAGCAAAAAGTTGTAAATTTGCAACTAAAGATCTAGAATGAAAGGGGCGTGTGTGTGTGTGTGTGTGATTTTGAGTGGAAGGAACAATTGGGCCCATTATGAAATGATTATCGAGGTGCTGCACTAGTTTTAAATGGGAAAGTGCTGCGATTGGCCAAGTGCGGCGTCTGCGTTGGCCGAGTCAAGGCTATCCAGGCACCAACCGAGCACCGACCGCCGCCGGCAAATCGCTACCACCAGACCAAATCTGCCGCAGCAACAAACGAAATTAAATTTACCAGCTCAAATGAATAAATTTCAATCCTAAGCAATAAAAATTTGATATGAATGAGTAATAATTTCGATTTTTTGTATTATTGTTGATATTTTGTAAGAGAAAAATATGCACTCAATAATTGAATTTGAACAAAATTTGCTCAACATTAATTTTCTATTCATTAACAATTGTAATTAAAATTTGTAAAGAATGATTCGTTACAGATTTGAATTGGAAAAGAGGTTTGGTCGGAAGTGGATTGTTACATTATCCGAGCGCGAGTGGTTTCACTTTCGTGCATAATCCAAGACAATCCGAGACAACGTATATAATAAATTAGCATATCCGAGGTGGCGCCGCCGCCGCCGCCGCACTTTCTATGGAATATGTGGCCGCGAAACGAGGATCATCGGCGCGAGTGAAATGTGTCCGTGGGAACAAAAAAAAATAACGCCACCGCACTCACAAACACCAGCCAATTATCGGCGGCTCACATTTTTTTTATGTTGCTTCACACGCGTTTCTTTCCCCCAAAACAATTTCGGCGGCGCCCCAAAAACCTAAATTTCCCATATTTAAAAGTCACAATTTTAATTTATTAGAGTGTTATTTTCATCTTCATCTCCATTTGAGCTTGATTTTATAAATTATGTTGAAATTCGAATTTTGTTCTTTCAATAATTGAAAAGTGAATAAAGTTTCAATAGGATGAAAAGAACAGGTGCAGATTTCATTGGTTTAAATAAAACATTTGCTTTTATGAAACGCTCAGAATTCCCAGAAAAGTTTTCCCTTTGGAAGATTTTGTGTTTTCCCCACAATATGAAGCAATTTTTTTACTCCAGCTTTTGAAAAGGTCAAAATTAATTTATACCCATCTTTGATGATTAATTTTTTATTTCACGTTTACGAAATCAAGCTTAGAAAAATTAATGGTTTTCTTCTCTCCGTATATATAAAAGTGCAAAAAAAGCAGCGGTGACGTCACAGCGGAATAATTAACATTAGTAGCGCCTTGACACCTATTCGCAGCTTCGTCCTAATGAGAACCATTCAGCGCTTTTTATTGTTCAAATGGGAAAAAAGTACTCGACGAACTGAGAACACTGCTCGTCGCCTTTCGGAATAGAAGACCAAATTGTGCAAAGAAAAAATCACTGAAATCCTTAAATTTAAATTTCATAAAACAATTTGCCTTCAATCTTAATTTTTTGAAAGTGATTTGTGAAAAAAAATCAATTAGAAAGTAGCATCTTGATAATTTGATTTAAATTTTATAACAGAAATATTTATCAAATGTAATTCAAATGCCAATTTTGTATGTTCAAAAAGAATAAAAAAGTCTGTGAATGGTCCAGAAATTTTTAATAAATTCTAATATAATTCATGATGAACTAATAAAAATTGTTTTCCATCAGACAATTCTTTTGAATTGACACAATTTGCAATACTATCTGTTTTCAGAACAAACTTTTAGAATGATTATAAGTTTTAAACAAAACAAAAAAAGCTCCAACTTGTAAGAAATTTGTAGAAAAAAACAGCTTTTAACTTTCAGATTAAGATTAATTTTATAAGAATAGAGAATGAGCTCCTGCTTTTTTTGAATTAAGTGACCTCTAATTAAATTAACACCTGCTGTCGGAACTTTTTGCGGATTAGAAACGCGAGATTTTAACAGATTCAACTTGTAATTCCTTCAAGTGCAGGGAGGCGAAAAATTGAAGATTCGAGGTCGGCATAAAAATGTTTGTGCCGGAAACGGAAATGGGCAAAAGACCTTGTCTCTCTCTCTCCCTTTATCTGATCCGCAAAATGCGCTTTCTTTGCTTCGGATAATTTGCATGAATTTGGATTTTGAAGGGAAAGGTCTCGGCGCGTCCTTCGCCACTCAATCTCAAACTCGCGGCGTTTCTAGGACAATTTCACTCGCTCAAGAGTCTGCGCCGCGTGAAAAAACAATCACTCTCGTCTCGAGTGTGTAACCGACTTAATTACCGGCATAGACGCGATTAATTGAGCTCCGACAGCATTCACAAATTCCTGCCTTCGTTTTCTAAAATGCATTTATTGTCATTTTTCTATAGAGTGAAAACCGAAATTACAAAAAAAAGGAATGTCGTTTTTATCCATGTTGAAATTTATATAAATGATAACTAGAAATCCATAATTATTAAATTACATAATTTACTTTGGCCCCCTTCCGTTTCAATTTGAAAACCTCAAGAAAAGCAAATCAATTTTCTTGACATCTTTTTTTTATAAAATAGACTCGCAATCTAATAAAATCATAATATTTATGTCAGTTAATTTTTGCCAATTTTAAAGTGCAATATTGAGATGAACAAGATTTATTGTGGCAAAAGTATTATCATTTATAAATTGTTATTCTTTTCTTAAACGTTGGATGAAATTATTAGAAGGGGTTGAAACCATTCAGATTTCAGTTTCAAATGCAAATAAAATTCATTCATCATTATTATTTTGCTGAAAATTAAATTGAACTCTAATTTACAAAATTTTTACTGCTGTTATAAGCAACACTTATGTTTATCAGAACTTTTTGTAATTTTAAACAAAGAATTGAGCACATTTTTGTAATGTTGGAATATTTTACAAGAGAGAATTTGAGAAAGGGAAATAAAAAGAGCTCTGAAAAGCAAATATCAATATCGAAATAGAAATGAAACTTAAAAAATCTGCAAATTTCCCTTTAAATTTTTTAATTTTATATTCTTCTCAAATAATCCTCCCATAGAAAATTAAAAAAACAATCAAATTATAATTTTGAACAAAATTTCATCATGGAAACGTTTTTGCATAAAAAAAATTGCATTTAATTTTCGCTCCTTCCTCTGTTTGGTTGCGAGTTTTTCGCTGAAGCGTGTTGTTTTCCTTCTAGAATAAATTGTTGTTATCGCATTTTATCAGAATAAAAGTGCGGCTTTTGCAATTAAGCTGACGAGGAAAGCTCGGCCTGGCCTGGCCTGGCCTGGCTCGGCCGGGGGGCAAAGGGTTGGGCCAAATCCGCCGCCGCCGCCGCACTTCCTAGCTCGACTTTGCTTTCCCTTTCACCCGCCGCAGCTCGCCACACACGCACCTGCGAAAGAAGATGCTTTTTGTTCAAATAAGTGACCTGAGCGGCGCAGAAGCCTCTTCCCATTACGCAACCGCAGCTCCAAATAATTACTTCCACCGCGATCTAAAATATTATTTAAGGCAATTCAAAGATCTTTATTTTTGAAAAGGCCGAGTGAATAAAGTTTTTTTTTTGTAATATTTATTTATTAATTGGGGTGGGATTTTTACATGAATTTTGGTCAGGCTAATTGAATGGAAAAAAATTTCAATTAAAAAAGTAACAGTTCATCAATTCATGAAATTTTTCTTTAGGTTTTGACTTGAATTTTAAGAAGTTGTGCTAAAATGAGCGAGAAAAAAAACATTGATTCAATTGGGCCTTTTGTTAGCGTAAACAACAAAATTTGACATTTTGATTTAAAATTGCTATGAAGAAATAAATATTCAGGGAACCAAAAAATTTCCCCAACTTGTTCTAATTCTTGTATACCTTATTTGAACACTTTTCACGTCTCATAATTGATTCATTGCATTAAAAATGGGAAATTTTCACTTAAATTCGTCTGGAAGGTTCATTTTTTATTTTTTAATTGAAGCGGCTTAAGCTTTAGAAAGGGAAATGAAAACCGGATCTGGCGCCGAAATTCTTCTTCAAAATCAATAAAAATTCCTTCTATTCGATTCAACAAGAGCTAATTTACTTTTGACTTTTGTTGGCCCACAAAACTCTCACTTTCGTCACTTTCGTTTGTTTTTGTGATAATTTTTTCTCAACTTGATTATTGAATTGAGCAAACAAATCAAACAATAACGTGAGTGTTTGTTGAAATTACGAAAGCCGAGTTGCGGTGACCCCGGCTGGAGGTCAGAGAAAGTCAAGAGAAAAAATTACTCTCGTCGTCGCGCGGCTCGTCTCGCATAATATTTAATTGTGCGGCCAAGACTCCTTTTTCGCGCCACGTCGTAATAATTATGTGACGCAACAATTCCGATCCTTAATTGGAAAAACTGTTTTCTAATCACCACAAATCGAATCAGAGCAATTCCATTACAATGTTTTTAACAAGGCACTTTGCGGTTATCTCTATGAAATGAAATATCAGAAGATTATTTTTTTTTATCATGTTTTTATATTTAATTTTGTCAAATTTAATTGCGGCTGTAATTTTAGTTCGGAGGAAAATGTTAACCCTCAAAAACTCGGCTCTTTTATTTAAATCAAATTGTGATCAATCATCTTCAACCCATCAAATTTTTTCTTTCTTCAATTTCGTTCTATCCAATTTCATCTCGCGTTTGTTTGTAAAGAAAAGGTGTGCGTGTCTTTTCTAGCAATAAATTGTGCATTAAAAGAAGAATGGGTTAATTGAAAAGCAGATGCAGCAGCGACGGTCACGGTCGCCTATTTTCCTCTCCTCTCCAGCTTTCTTTCCTTCAAGTCGAGCCGAATATTGAAGAATCACGTTGAAAAAAAGAAAAAACATCCGCACAGACGGACCAGAAGTGCGACCCAGAAACCTGAAACGCGCCGCAAATTAACTCATCGCTGTGCCACTTTTCCGATACCACACTTGCGCTTTTCAATTCAATCTTTTCAAGATAAGCAAATCAATCAAGATGAATCTTTGCGAGTTGAATTTGATTAAAGACAGGAAACCATTTTTTTTATATAACTTTTCAACACTTAAAACACTTAATTGGAGAGTAATTTTTTTACTTCTCTCTGATAATTTGTGTGTGTTTTGGCTTTAAATGTAGCTACAGAAATGCGATATAATTTAAATGAAAATAAAATACTTATCTAATTTTAATTCACTTTAGATCCGTTTTGTGAAAACAATTTATATTTACTTAAAACCAGATTAAAGAAGAATTTTGTAATGAAATTCGAGCCTAAAAGATCAATTGATAAATGTGTTTGTGGAGAAATTTTGAAATTAATTTAATAATTTATCAAAAACCGCTGAATAATTAAAACATAGAAATTTAATTCATGCAGAAATTTAAACTTTTTCAAACTTTTACTTCATTATTGCTTGTGAAATTATTGAATTTGGTAATGAAGTCAATTTTCATCAATACAAAGTAGCGAATTCCTTCATTATTCTTCGCAAGCATACTTAAACGTTTTGTTGCGAAGGGAGTAGTTTTCGAAGTCACTCTCACTGGTCACGCGTGCCGCGGGGAAAGTGACAAATTCACTCGTTCGCTTGCACGCTGCGCTGATAAAATAATTCTGCCGAGCGAATATAATTGTGTGTCCGAGCGACGTGTCCATTCACAATTCGCGATTACGCCACACTCGATCGGAAGAAAGAAAGTATAAACTCTTTTGCCTTTTGATATCATCGAGAGCGACGCGCAGAGAATTTCTCTGATTAATCGGCCGACCGGACGCGTGCGTAATTTCATAATTAGTTTTTGTTTGCGCACCTCGAAAGTTCACATTCAAATATTCGCACATCCTCGCTTGCCAACTACAAACTTTCTACGCGTTGCAATCGGCAACATTCAAATTGGATAAAATCATTTCAAAGTTCTTGAAAATGAAAAATTTTTAAATTCAAATACGTATCATAAGAAATTGATCTAAATTGTTGGAATCAAAAAAGAAAGCTTTCCAGAATAAAAAAATCCGGTTTTTTAAAAGCAACTTTTCCCAGTTGGAATTTGCGATGAGCGAAACATTTATTGCAGAATTACAAAATATTTCTAAGAATCATTGAAATTTGGAATTTCAATTTTAAATTGCTTTGCCATGAATAATATTTTTTAAGTTTCTCTCTTGCACTGAAATTATGCTTGTGCAATTCCAAATGCAAATTTATGCGCAATCAAAAGGTCAAAAACTTTGCGGTCTAAAAACAACTGATATGAAAGGTGTGATAACAACAACCGAAATTTTACTTTGGTCATTTTTAACCTACAATTTTTTTAATTCCTTTTACATTAAATCAATATCATTATTAATTTCCTCATTTTTTCCTGAAGTTGATATTCATGATTAATTTAACCGATTTATCACATTTTAATGGAAACACTTTCATAAAATGGAGAATTTTTGCAGCACGCACGCATGCATGCATGGTTGTTTTTCTACTTTTACTTTCGCGTGGAATTCGAACGCGCGTCGCCAATTCAGGCTGCACCTCACCTGCCTCTTTAATTAATTAATATTACTTTTTTTCACCTTCACTCGAAGCCACGCCCGAGCACGGTGACCGTGACCGCAGTTTTTCCACCGCGACTTTCCTGCTCCTCTGAAGAAATTGATGATGTTAACATTTTCTCTGTTTGCAGGTGGCGGCATGAGGGGCCGCACAGGCACCCCGAAGCGGCACCATGAACGTGCCACGCCCTCTTCACTCATCATCCTCGTCGCCATCCTCGTCGCAGGCAAGTATTTTTACGTATTATTCGCTTTGATTTTCAAATTCAAAGCCATGACAGGGATTAACTCTTAAAAATTATAATTTTAACATGAAACAAAGATGGCTGCCAATCAGAAGACTTGGAAAGTCTCAAATTTTGATAATTTTGACCACACAATAGTCGTTTCAAAAGAAATTTGAAACTTCATTTGTTGAAGATTTTCACACCCTTTCATTATCATTTTTAAGTTATGCAATCTTCACTTTTTATTAGACAGCTGAAATTACCAGCAATTAAAAGTCAATTTTTCCTTTTAACTTACTAATGTAGTCATTGTTCTGCAAAGCAAACTTCTCGCGCATAAATAAATCCTGTTGCACAATTTTGCTATTCTCAGCGTTGCAACTGTGAAACTCCCACCGCATTTTATAATGCGAAGAACGACGAGCGCGTGTAATATTTTTTATTTCAATTGAAAAGAAAATTACGAGCGCGCAACCTTTGCTGGTTTACGAGCGAGCGAGGAAAAGAGATTCAAATATCTTGGCGTGTTCTTGGAAGAGAGACAGAAAAAAGGGAGCGAATCGAACACTGACCTCCCCTGCAGTCTCTTGCCAAAGGTCATTCAACCTAATTGTGCACTGTGAAAGCAAAAGTTCAAAATTGAATTTTGAATGGCCGAAGAATCAAATTTATTGAGAATAACTTGGAACAAAAAATTACCCTAAAATATTAAGAAATTATTGGATTTTTTAATATATTTGTGTCATTTATTTCAATTTTTTAATTAATTTGATTATTCGGCCATCCTAAATTTCAGCTTTGAAAATTTGCTCATTAAAATATCGTTTTAAGAAAACTCAGCAGCAATCTGTTCTATTAAATTACTGTTTATACTCGCTTTGATTATAATTATTTACAAGTGGAAACCATAATTACTCTGTTTTAATCTCCACACCCCGTAAGATAATCGAGCGATTTCAAAACTTTTAAAAGCAATTGCAAACGGTGCGAGCAATTCCAGTTGTTGTTTTCAAGCCAATAAAGCAGCGTCTGGCTATAATTTTATTTGTCACGCTCTACTTGATTTTGAGCGGCGCGCGCTTTTACCAAACCCGCGCCGTGAAATTGTTTTCTTTTCCGCCGATTAAGGATTTTTTTGCGTCGCACCGACTTCAACGCGTGCGGCAAATTCCTGCGCATTCGAAAGGAAAATTTTATTGATAAATTAAATTATTGGAAAGGATTTGTGCAATTAGATTTGAAAAGTACCTTTTAATGAACAAGACAATGGTCACGAAAAATCTGATTGTGGAGAAAAAGCACGAATCGAGAAAAACAAAAAGTCATTCAAGGTCTTTCCACGCCTTTGACACTTTCCGAACCACTTTCATCGGCCAACCTTGACAGACAAAACAATTATTCCACAGAATTTAATTCAAGAACTGTTTCTTATATTAAAATTTCCATTCATTTTTACTTGAAATATAAAAATTCTGCTTTAGCCGGACCGAAATTTGGAGTAGGTCGGCGAAGAGGCCATAAATTCTGCTCTAGTTGAAACTCGCTGGAAACTTTTCCCGTACATTTTTTTATTTTTATCAGAATCGAACTGATTTTTGCTCTGAGGAAAAAATGCACGCCAGAGAAAGGGAAAGGAATCGCTCGAGAGATTTTCCTATTAATGCACACACACGTGTTTTATAATTCCAATCAGAGTAAAATATGAATTCATTCACGCCGGAAGAATTCGAGAAGAAAGTTGCCGGGATTAATTTTCTAATGCCCGCTCAAGTGCGGCTAATTTTTGCACCAATTTCACTCGTTTTTTTTCTTCCTACAAGAAAAAAACTCAAAATCGCTTTTCGCTTGAATAGAGACGCCGTGCTCGCGCGAGCACAAAAATCTCAATTAAAAGGAAAACAATATCAGAGAAATGATTCTCGCAACAAATCCACGCGCAAATATTATTGAGCAACAATTCTCGACTGAAGTCAATTTACAATAAATTAAATTTGTATTAAAAACAAAATTCCAAGCGTATTTTAACTTTATAAAGTAGATTGAATGATGTGATAAGTTCATTTATTTCTTCATGTTCGGGTTAACTATAAATATTTTATTTACGAAAAAAGAAAACTATTTTCCAATTGAACCACTCGAATGTTATTATGTTAATATTTTTTTATTCAGCTTCAAGCCTGCTTCAATCCTAATCGACTGAAATTTGAAGGGGAAAATTTAAGATTTTTAAATTTAAAATATTAACCTTCTGTTTTTGTTAAAATAAAGAAAACACTTTAAAAGAAAATGTAGAGTACATATAAAGTGTACAACTTTTATGGTGCTGGAGTGGGTTATCGCACAGCGCCATCTATCGCACAAAATTAGGAATTAAGATCATAATTGAGGAGAATTCGCGCTGTAATTAGTCTTAAAAATACCCTGACATCTTCCGTGCACTGATCAAACTCGGTGATAGAAAAATTTCCTGCAGCAAACATGTGTTTTCTATCAACAAACATGCCATGTGCCTATTCGCGCTTGTGTTGTGAATATCACCAAGAATGGTATCGCGTAATATTTAAGTTTTTTCTTCGCATTTGACGATTGAATTCAATATTTGACACCATGATCAGTGAGTATTGTCCTTGGGCAACACATTATTTCCTTATTTTCTCTTGATATTTGCTGATTTCACTGAAAAAATGAGGTTTTTGCGTTGTGCGTTAATAGCCGACCGCTACACGAGCGGTTTTTATTTTCGCACAACGCAAAACAGCAGTAAAAATTAGGGTGTTTGACGTTGGCTCAATGTTTTTTGTAGTTTAAATTAATGCCTTTCTTGTCCCCTTCAAGAAAATGTCAATATGAAAACATTTGGTCACTCGCCGGGTTCGAATTATTCGCAATGTAACAATGACCTGACCCAGGACCCGACATAAACTCCCTTGAAGTATAATAAATATAGTTTATTTAGGCAAATCTATGTTTCTAATTGTTTTATTGAGATAATATTTTCAAAAATGAAAGAGACGATTTTTATGGTCACGTGGGTGTGCATATTTACCATCTCGATAGGCCTGTTTGGTCGGAATTAAAAGGTTTGCTAAATTGGCTGTGGTAATTTTTCTATTTGTCCAAAAATTAAAAACTTTGGCGAAAATTAAAGCTAACAAAATGAACTTTTTTTAAAAAAAAAATATTTCGAAAATTTTCCAATTTTTTTTTTGCTATTTGGCGATTGTGTGAAATATATATTTAGTCGCCCCTGTAAAGTATGCAATCGAATTTTTTCACGAAAATTTTCTAAAAATAGTTGATTATATATGTGACCTTCCCTGAAATTTTCAAATTTTTATTTTAAGCCGTTCTTAATGAAAAAAAATCCTAAATATTGGTCTGCATTTGAGATTTGAGACCTAAATTTGAAAAATTTTTTCATTATGAACGGCTTAAAATAAAAATTTGAAAATTTCAGAGAAGGTCACATATATAATCAACTATTTTCAGAAATTTTCGTGAAAAAATTCGATTGCACACTTTACGGGGGCAACTAAATACATATTTTACACAGTTGCCAAATAACGAAATAATTTTGGAACAATTAAAAAATAAATTTTTTTTAAAGATTTTCATTAGCTTTAATTTTCGCCAAAGTTTTTACAAACTTCTTAATTACGTCCGAACAAGGCTATCGAGATGGTCAATATGCACACCCACGTGACAGTAAAAATAGTATCTTCGATTTTTGAAAATATCATCTCATTAATACAACTAGAACCTTTCAAAAATTAAAATACATTATTTGTTAAGCGATACGGGACTCTTGTGCGATAAATGGCTCCGAACTGTGTAATAAGTAGCGCTGCTGTGCAAAAATAGCGGAAACACGACTTATCTCATTAAATTGCAATTTTCTACCCACTGGCAATATTTTTAGATGAAACCAATGATAAAATAGATTAACAAACATAATATGTATGACCTTATTTGATAGTTAATATGATGACCAAGTGTCATATTACCATAATTTTTGATCAATTTCTTAACCAATGGGGCTTAACTGTGCGATAACCCACTCCAGCACCATATATAAATTTTTTTAAATTTATTTTTATTGATGATATGATAAACAGATAAAAATACCTTTATAATTATGTTTACAATACAAATTTGGTTTATTGGAAATAGACTACATTCGAGAATCGTTTCACGAGAATTGTTGCGGGAAACATTTCTCTGATCCATCCAATATGACGACTTCACATTGTCGTAAATTTTGATCCTATATGCTCGTGAAGAACAAAAAGATGAAGAATGTTGATCTAATTAAAAGAAAATTGTATTTTTTTTTCGAAATTCAAGATAAAAGGGTGTTTAATATTTACGTATTTTGTTGAAGTTCAAATGAAATTCCTTTTCGATGTATTTCTTGTAACATTATTTGAGAAATCTTATTAATCAATAAATTTTATTGTGTCTTCTTTTATTTATTAAGTTTTGCAACATTTTGCAGTATTATTTATTAGTTACAAATAGTTTCCAATAGTATCACAATTAAAATGTATAATAAGAATTCTTAACAGAATTGTTTTTTATTTTAAATTTTAATAACACTTTGTATTTTTCTGTTGCAAAAGGACACTTTCGTCAATATTATTTTTTTTGTTCCGCATGATGACTAAAATTGATTGCTGAGACCGTAGATTTTAGCTAGAAATTCCAACGGTTTATTATTAATTTTGTGTCAGGAAATCAAACCCCATATTGAATTGTTATCAGTGAATTAAAGCTTTGCTTGTTTCCTCTGAAGTGTTTCAAAATTGTGTCTGTGAAAATATAAAGAAGAGCAAATATTAAAGAGCTTTAAACGATTCTCAGTGAAACTATCATTTTATTGTCATTAAGGCTTTTTATTCTGATTCTCTTTTTTTAAATCGATTTAATTTTTCTGTCTGTATCTTGAGGGAAGAGATTAATGCAATTTTATATTATTAGGAACTTTATAATTTATTTTTACTATTTATTTATTATTTATAATTTTTTTATAAGTTTTCAGTTAATTATTATTATTTATTTGATTTATTTTTTCAATTTTCATTTAATTATTTTTTTTAATTTTGAAACTATTTTTTTTCTTTCTGATTGCAGGATTTGTGGCGGGGTCGGAGGCGGCGAGCGGGAGCGCCGTGGTGAGGTCGCGGACGCGGCTGCCGCAGACGGCGGCGGCGACGGCGGCGCCGGTGGCCGAGGCGGCGGCCGTGCTGCGGCAGCAGGTGGCGCAGAAGCGGGCGGACGTGGTGGAGCCGGAGGCGGTGGAGGCGGAGGCGGCAGTGGAGGTGGAGGAGACGACGGAGCCGGAGAACGCGACGACCAAGTCGCCGCTGACGGGGGTGCCGCAGAACGACTACCGCTTCGACCCGAACTTGCCCAGGGAACTCAACGGCCAGAACCTCAGCGACTACCCCTTCTTCAACGCCGTGCCCGAGGACATCGACTTCAAGTGCGACGGTCTGCACGACGGTTTCTACGCCAGCGTCCAGCACAAGTGCCAGGTCAGACACACCAAATCAAATTATAAAAAAAAATATTCAAAAATAATACCAAAGCCTTGTTAATAATTTTGAAAAATGCTTCAGCTTTACCACCACTGCCTGTACGGAACGAGGTACGACTTCCTGTGCGCCAACTACACCGCCTTTGACCAGAGGACGTTCATCTGCCACTTTGTGTCCGAGGTCGACTGCGTCAACTCGCCAAAGTTTTTCGCAAGGTTTCTCATTTCTTCCTTTAAAATATCAAGTCACTGGAATTTGATATGTATTAATTTTAGCTCCAATGACTTTGAAATTATAACATTTTAATAAGGAAACATTTTTTTACAAATTTAAATTTGAGGCAAGCTCAGGGTTTTAACTTAATTTGACACGCTTAAGATAAGTTTAATTCTTTGGCTAGTATGATTTATTTAGAAATATATATTTGATTGCAAAATTAAAAGTTTTATTTACATTGACATATAACTTTTCTTTCCCGGAAGATTTTTCAGTATTTTGTATCCATTCCTAATATGCTTCTATTTTAAGTGAAAAACTAAATATTTTCTGGATCATGAAATTCAATGATTATTAACAGATTTTTAACTCAAATACTTTTTTTTTTGCTATTTATCTGTTTAATTAAAGTGAGTTTTGTGTAGGAACGAAGCTCTGTACAAAGCGGACACGACGACGACGTCTAGCACGACCACAACGACCACAGTCGCGCCACCGAGAGAAAGGGACAGAGACAGTGGCGGACGCCGAGGAAACAGAAGACGGCCCCGTCCGCGAAGGCCGTACGACGACGACGACGATTTCTATGACGACGATTACGATTATGATGCAAGTATCGCATGAACTCTAATTAATTTTTGCGTTGATCTTCATTATTTTTTAATCTAATAAATTTGAATTCCAGGACGAGCCTCCGTCCAGGAGGAAGCGGCCCAGGAGGCCGAGCAACCGGCAGCGGGACAAGTACTCGGACGAGGACTACGAGTCTCCGAAGCCCAAAAGTCCCTCCGCCGACGATGCCCCTCTGCCCTCGAAACCAAACAAGGCCGTCTTCGAGAAGCCCCGGGCACCGCCCAAGATCAGACCGCCTGTCCCGGTGAGCGAAAAGGACAAGTACGCCCGCCCTGGGGACGACGCCACCTCCGAGAAGCCCAAGGAGGAGGACTACGAGGAGGCGGAAGAAGCGCCTGCGCCCGCTTTCAAGAAGAACAAGCGGCCGCAGAAGGAGGAATCCGAAGAGGAGGAGGAGGACTTCAGGCGAACGCCACCCTTGGGGGCCAACGGAAGGCCCCTGAGGAGGAACCGAGGCCCCGGCAGGAGACGCAGGCCCAGCATGCGGCCCTACTATGATGAAGAGGATGAGTACATGGAGGACTACCGGCCCATGAGAAAGCGGCCGTACAACCGCAGGCCGGCGGCCTTCGACGAGTACGAGGACGACGCCCCGCCCCCTAGGTCAAGGAAGCCCTCCAGGCAGCGTCAGCGCGAGTACGATGATGAGTACGAGGCTGAGGAGCCGGAGAGAAGGCCCGTCAAAAAGAGCACCACCACCACCACCACTACAACAACAACGACTACAACACCTAAGCCAACAACCAAAAGGCCGAAGCCGTCGACGACAACGCCGCTTTACGAGGAGGACGAGTATTACGAGGATGAGTTTTACGAGGACGAAGAGCCGGTGGTGAAGAAGAAAACGGAGGACGTCACGGTTGCCGCCTCGTCAACAACAACCAGCACTTCCCCGGCACCAACACCCAGCACCAGAAGGCCCTTTGTCCCCAAGCCAAAGCCCAGCACCACCCCTCCCCCGGACACGTCTCTCAAGTTCACACTGAAGAGTCCCGAGGACAAGCAGGGCGAGGACTTTGAGTTCTCCATCGACGACTACGTCAAGCCAACAACCAGGGCACCTTTCGCCCCCAAGGTGTCTAGGGCTACGAGCACCACCAGCACTACGACGACAACAACAACAACAGCAGCTCCGGTGACCATCAGGTCTCGCCAACAACCAGTCAAGTCGAGGGTGCCTGTTGAGTACGAAGAGGACGTCGTCCAGTTTCCTTCGAGGAACCCGACCAAGACGGCCGAGTTCGGCATCTCCCCCAGGAACCCCCAGTCTCGGACTCCTCCGGTGAAATCACCTGCGACCTTCACCTCCCCTTCCGAGGGCCGATTCCCGTCCCGAAACAAACCTAGTGCGGTGGACTTCACGTCTCCCGGGGAGGAGGAGGAGTACCGCACCATCGTCCAACGCAAACCTGAAGTGAAGACGCCGTCGCCACCACCCAGGTCGCGGCTGCCGACGTCCTTCCTGCCGCGAGGCCTGAGCCCCGTGGGCGGCGCGAGGGGCAAGACGACGTCCATCGCGCCCCCACCCCTGCAGTACGAGGACGAGGAGGACGACGCGTTCAACGACGCGCTGCACCCGACGGGCGCCGGCGACGCCTCGGCCACCGTCAGCTACGTCGCCCAGGGCCGCCTGCCGCCCATCCGCGGCCCGCCCCAGCGTCAACAACAACAGCAACAACAGGACAGCGTGTACGACGACGACGCGCCCTCGGGCCCCGCGGCGCGCTTCGACCCCTACCAGCGCCAACTCCAGGCCCCCCAGGCCAGGCCCAGGGGAGCGGCCAGGCCGCTGGCCGCGGCCGCCTCCTCGCAGTACCAACAGGGCTGGGGCCGCGACTACTACTACCCCACGTACTGATTTTGCCAGATGTGATACCAAGTGTAAATAAATTTAAACGAAATTCGTACACACTCTCTCTGCGTGCCTTTTTAAGCTAGTGTGTGATGTGTGAGATCGAGACAAGCAAGGAGCGCTCGGGCGAGGGACAAAAAGCAGTGACAAAAGTAACTTTGTAAATACTCTTCGCTTCTCTACTTTCAGCGAATTGTTTTAAATTTCACACTGGCACTATTTATCTTATTTGAACCACTCTTGGAACGGGTCAACTGATTTTGACAATAATTGGCAGAAAAAATGCGAAAAAAATATTGAAATATCGAATGTGATTGTGAAAATCAACAATATCTTGGCCTCTTTTAAAGATAGCTCACGTGTCGCCATTACCAAAGATTTCAGGAATTAGACGCCCTAAAACTTTGCAATGCTGACCGAAGTCGCAGGTCAAAGGTCAAGTTCACCTTTCGAAACTTGAATATTTAATTAATCTGCCAGAGTACCTGGTGGTGATTTCTTTTTTTAATTTCAAAATAGCCCAAAGTTGCCTAATTTAGTTGTTCACAACATATTAAAAAATGATGAGACTTTATTTTCCAGTTTTTCACATATTCAGAGTCGAATGGTAAAAAACGTGTTTTTTTTTTTTTTTTTTTTTTTTTTTGAAAAATTTAAATGGAAAATTTTTTGCAACCACAATAAATTTTCTCCCTTTAGATTTTAAAGGTCACTTGTCACCTTTTATGATCTGGTCACATGGAACGAAAGAAAATTTTAAGGGGATAATTTTGTGTCATTTCACATTTTGTCCTGTTTTGTCCTAAATCCAAGACAAGGAACCTGCCAATTAGTTTAAAAATCGCTTGATCGCGGGCCAATTAAGAGTGATTAAAAATAAAATAAAGTGCCCACTAGATATCTTTAATTCAAGAGTGTTCTAATCTGTTGGTGGCGAATGTAAATAATTTCGAAATGCATCTTGCGGCCCTAGGAATTTCTCAATATGGAAAATAAACACAAGCTCTCTATATTTAATACAAATTTATTTTTTCTCTCTTTAAAAAAAAAACCATTTCAGTCGATTCGGGTGCTAAAATTAGAAATAAATTAAATAAATAATTTGTTGGCGTTGCTCATCGGCGGCCGAGCTTGTACTTGGCGAGCAGGGCCTGCTTGGCCTGGTGCTCGTAGGCTTGCTCGTTGTAGCCCTCGTAGGCGCCGTACTCGTGGTCGTGCTCGTGGCCGCCGTCCCAGTCGTGCGAGGCCTCGGGGAAGTCGGGCCCCGCGTTCACGGTGACGTGGGGCCGCGGGTGCAGGTGCAGCACCTTGACGATCGGGTGCAGCGGCCGCACGTTCGTCTTGAACTGGATGAAGAGGCTCGAGGCGGCCAGCAACAGGCCCAGCATCGTCACGCCCAGCGACTTGAGCTGCACCAGCGCCGAGAACGCGCTCAGCACCGTCATGATCTTCGACATCTTGAACGTGATCAGGCCCAGAAGGTTGCCCACGCCGTGGTGACCGTGGCCCCCGAGTCCGAACTTCTTTCTCGCTGAAATTGCATCATTTTTCAAAATTAATTCTTTCCTTTCCTGTTGAAAAATTAGCTTTCTGTAGAAATAGAAGAAATATTTAAAAAAAAAGTTAATCAATGATTCTTTTTGTACCTAAATAAGGTGTTTTCAGTCCAACTGTTTTAGCAAAATTGGTTCATTTTTTTTCTTTTTCAAGTGATAAAATGTAAAAATTTGTGATTTTAAAACCCCAATATGAACAAAAAAAGTGAAATTACTTTAAAATTTTTATTATTTATCAAAAAGTAAATTAAAATTTATTAATTGATTAATTTGTATTTATTAATTTTTTTTTAAATTTTTATTAAATTATAATATAAAATTGAACAATAAAATGATATTATTTCATGTCAAAAATTGAAAATACCTTGCTCGAGCTTCCTGCCAGCGTTTTCCAACTTTTCGATTCCCTTTTTGAGCAGGGCGCGCTGCTCGTCTTCGGACTCGGCGCCCAAAAAGGCGGACACGCCGTCGTAGAGCATCTCGGCCAGGACTTCGAGGGAGCCGGCCCACGACGAGCTGGGCTCCTTGCCCAGGCCGGAGAGCAAGGCCGTGGCCTCCTTCAGGTCGTACTCGTCGTCCGTGTCCGGCTCCTCTTGGTCTTCGTGGTTTTCTTCCTCCTCCGTTTTGCTCTGCAGCTCGTTCTCCTCATCCTGCAATATTATACTCAAAAGGTCACACGCACGCCTTTGCGCTTTTTTAATTGAGTCGACAACGGACTCTCAACGGAGAAATGACCTACTAGGGCACGTAATAGAGAAATGTGCGCCGAGCAAATAAGGAATGAAAACAATAATTTATTTTGTCCTACTAATTGCAAAAGCATAAAAGATGTGTGGTCAAGAGAAAACTATTTTTAAAACCACAAATAAAAAGAACTTTTACTGAAAATGTCATTTTATTTCAAAGACATTGAAAAATGGTGTACCAAATTAAATATCAAAATTATTTCTAAAATCTCATTGGAGCGATCAAAGCAAAAATCTCATTATCTCATTTTTTTTTGCAACAAGGAAAAAATATAAAATGCAAAAATTACAATTCAATTAAATCTGAAGCATAATATTCTATTTGAATTGTGTAAAATTATCAATGTAAACCCAAATTAAGAGAATAATTAAAACAGGGTGATCTGAAAACTTAACTTTTCATCGGCTAACTTAGCCTGCTGGGCCAGGTTAGGCTTTTGGATCGCTCTCTAATGCAGAGTGTGGGCAATTCAAAAGGCTAACTTGACATAGGCTAACTTAACCTCACCTGAGTCAATTTAACTTGGTCAGGGTTAAGTTCACCTGGGCCAGGTTAGGCTTCAAAAACCATACAGAATGCGATTCTAAAGGCTAACTTGACTTGGGCTAACTTAATCTGCCCTGGGTTTATTTAGCTCGGGCAAGGTTAAGTTAGCCTGGGCCAGGTTAGGCTTTTGGATCACTCTCTAATACAGAGTGAGAGCGATTCAAAAGGCTAATTTGACTTAGGCTAACTTAACTCAACCTGGTTTAATATACCCCGAGATATTATTAAGGTTAAGTTAGGCTTTTATGCTCAATCACTATTATTGAGGGCGATCCAAAAGCCTAACCTGGCCCAGGCTTATAACTTGAACTTAGCCCCGAGCTAACTTAGCCCACCAGCAAAATTAAATGGCATGGGTTAAATTAGCCCGGGCCATGAGGTTTATTTAGACTAGGGGCCAAGTTAGCCTTTTGGATCGCCCTCATTATCAGCACCTGCGAGATAGGTTTGCTTTGGACGACGCTGGTGCCGATGTTGAGCCACTCCCTGATGGCCCTGAACGTCTTGACCTGGACGCAGGGCCAGTCGGCCAGCATGACGCACTCGAGCACGGTCTTGGGCGCGAGGTACTCGCCCTCCTCGTAGTCGTCGTCGTCGTCCAGCTCGATTCGGGCCTCGGGGCCGTCCTGCGAAGGCGCGAGCGTCGTCAGGCCGTCGTCCGCCTCCAGGTCGGAGGCGGCGGCGGCGGAGGCGGCGCTCAGCAGGAGGCAGAGGAGCAGCGTGTTGGCTCGGAGCATCGCGGCAGGCGTCTGACTCTCGAGAGAATCTCGCTTTCGACGCGGAAACTGCAGCTGCGTAGGCCCCACCTGGACACGACGACGGACGCACCACTGACCGAGTAAAGAGACTCAAGTGCATAATTCGCCTGCAATTAACGGGACAAACAGGCTCTCGTTGCAGCGTGCACGCTGACCCATTATTGCCGTATATGCGCCGATCAATGAACAGATGCATCTGAAAACCTCCCACCTCGTTTTCTATTCCATCGAGAGAGAGTGCATAATTGGAGATGACTTTAAATTTACTTTTAATTGGTTTTCCTTCTCATTGTTTAAATCTATTTGGATTCGCGACATTGCTTGCAATAAAAAGAGGCCAGGCAGAATAATGAAAATATAACAAATAGTCTTAAATCATTATCATTCCATTAATTCAGATCTTATGATGATTATTTTGGGTAACAATTTCCTTTGGAAAAGGATGCCTGCTTTTAAACTCCTGAAAGAAAAATAATTTTAAAAGAATTCAAAAAATCATGTTGAGATATAAAGTATTAAAAACACAATATTATGCATATAAAACCTGATTTTTTTATTTGGTGCACAAAATGAAAACACGAACAAAGCACAAGCAAAATATGTTTGACAATGATTATATTTATTTATTATTATTATAATAAATTTGGACTGGGAACAAAGATACCCAATGAAGTATTTTTTCACAGTCTAAAATTATATTAGCCATTTTATTCTAACAAAATTATAAGAGGTATCAATAATAAATAACATTTACTGCTGTGCGGACAAAAAGTAGGTATCAAGTGCCAACACTTTTGCACACACAGATAATTAAAATTCCTTGCTGAAAGCGGTTTGTTTGCTCCAGATATCTCAACAGGCTCGGCTTGAATGAGCTTTTGCGAACAGTGACGTAGTTATTTCCCGGCATAATTCTTACACTCCATCACTTTTAGTTGCAATTCTATAGAATTATGATTCTGAGATCTTTATTTTGTAGTTTCGATAATAATTTCGCCGACGATTTAACGGCATTTTATTAAAAACTTAGCTCTTTTGGATTCAATTTTCAGAAGAATTCAATCAATCCATCATTATTCCTTGTTGGCACTTTTAAGACGCTTTATATCATTTTAGCTGCAAAGGAAATTTTATATTCATACTTTTACGCTGTACGGAGATTATTTTTTATATTGTCATGTGTTTGGGTCTTGTCTTTCAGTTTGTGTCACAGTTGTAGGGTACTCAATTTTTTCTCTTTCAATTTCAAATAATAATAATTAACAAAATTACTTTTTTCATTTCTCTTGGATGCATATTTCAACCTCAACATTTATAATTAAAATCAATATGGTTTCCCTGGGTTCATTCAAGTTATTCTTCAATAACCCCAGTAATTTATCATCCGATCTTTCCAATTTTAACATCAAATTGCACCCGAAAAGTAGCCCTTTCAATTTTGTAGTTGCATAAAATTGAAATAATTTTGGATTTTAATCTTTTTAAAAAAAATTAAATTAAATTTTATAAACATACTTGGTTCAAAGTGTGCCTTTCCATGATTAACACATTCAAAATCTGGACACTTTGCGATGGAAATATTCCGCAAGCATGACGTAGCCATTGATGGCTGCGTAGTGGAGGGCGCCGTGGCCCGCAGCGTCCACAGCATCAACAGCCAATCCTTTCTCAAGCATCCATTGACACAAAGTATCGTTTCCACTGTACGCGGCTAGGTGAAGCGCCGTTTTATCGTCCTTGGTTTTTTTGAAGAGTAAAGTCGGGTTCAACAAATTCAGATATTTTACCAACTCGAGGTTTCCATTCAGGGCCGCGTAGTGCAGCGCATTCCAGCCCTTGCTCGTCACATGGTCCACGGACACACCGTTCTCAATCAACCACCTGCACAAGGGTTCGTAACCCTTTCCTGCAGCCAGGTGCAGTGCCGACCTCCCATCAATCGCCACTTGATGTATCAGAACACCATTGATTTGGTTCAAATACTTGACAACTTCAAAGTGGCCACTGTTTGTCGCCACGTGAAGGGCATTTAGTCCAGAGTTGTCTAACACATCCGTCTTTAAACCTGCTCGTTCGAACAACCATTGGATAATTTCCAAATTTCCATTGCTCGCCGCCAGGTGAAGAACAGACATGTCTTTCTTGTCTTTGCACTGAATCAATTGAGGCTTCTTTTCAAATAGATACTTGATGACTCCAAAATTTCCAGCTCGAGCGGCGAAATGCAAAGCGTTCCACCCATCATTGTCACCGACTTCAACGTCAGCTCCGTTTTCAACGAACCAACGCACAAAGTTTCCCTTGTCAGCCGCAATGTGCAAGGCCGTCCTTCCATCCGACGCCTGCTGACGCACCATTTTTAATTCAGAAACCACCAGATAATCCAGCAATTCGGCATTTTTTCCTCCATAAGCCTCGAAGTGCAGATTGTTCCATCCGTCCACGTCCCTCTCGGTCACATCAACACCTGCAACCTCGACGAGCCAATAAACCATCGAGCTTGAGCGATTGTGCCACACAGCGAGGTGCAACGGATTCTGCCCTTTTCCGGTCTTTCCTTTGACGAGTTCCTTGTCCATCGAGTGCAGATATTTGACAACGTCAAGCGTGGCGTCGTTGCACGCTGCTGCGATGTGGACAGCGTTGCAGCCCTCTTCGTCAACTTCGGATATTTCAATGTTCGGTTGGATCAGAAGTTTGACAATCTCAAGATTTCCTCTGCTGGCTGCGACGTGCAGAGCAGTTCTGCCCTTTTCGTCCTTGTGTGCCAAGTCAACTCCGTGTTTCAATAAAGCTTGGACGCTGTTCAAATGACCACTGCGAACGGCTGTGAACAAAGCGTCTTCCTTTTCACCAGCCTCGAATATTTCTGCTTCCAATATTTTGTTCAGCATCGCGTCGTGCATTCTCTCGGCTGCTTTTTCAAGTAAATTGATTTTCTCCTCCTTGTCATTGTCACCTTTCGATATCAACCTCAAATCTAAGCTTCTCTGGCGGCAAACATTTATTAATTTGGAGAAGATCTTGACGAAATTGTTCTCCACGATTTTCGGAAGCTTCTTGACGAGTGCTTGGCGCAGATTTTCAGTTTGGTCTGCGTCGACCATTTCCAAGAGTTCCAAGGCTATGCGCTCGCTATTTTCAAATGCCGCACACAAACTTTCCTCGTCTGCAAAAGGCAAGTACATCTTTGAGTGCTGAAAAATTTTGACCAGATCTTCCTTGATCACAATATTTACTATGAAGTGATTCGTGATGCATTTCTCCAGGAATTCAGCATCAGGTGCAGACAAGAAGTCTTCAGATGAGAGATAGGAATCGTAAAATTTGCGCACATGGTCGAAATCTTGGAGCAGTAGGAACGGACACGACAAAACACCGTTTTTAATTTCTTCGATGAATCGCTGGGCAGCAAAAAAGTGGCCATAGGTTTGGTGGACAAAATTCACTTTTCCATTTCTCACTGAAACAATGCCTGTGTCAATTACTTCATCAATACCTTCCATGTCTGAGGCTAACCACGAGTTTCCCTTTGAAACGACTGCCACTGCCAAATCTCTCAATATTTTCTTCGAGTACTGCACAAATAAGGGATTCATTCCTTTCCTCTTCAGTGCTTGGTCAATCCTGTAATGTGTGAAACTTTCGTAAATTTCCATCAAGGAACTTGCCTTCAGCGTCGAATTTGCCACAACGTCTGTGAAAGTCAACAAGTGCAGTGGATTGCCCAAGACTTCAGGGCCCAGATTCGAGTTTAGCAACAAAAACTTGACTTTGCTTTCACTGAACTGTGGAGCGACAGCCTTAAGCAACTCTATTTGCTGATCGACCTGCAGCGGCAAAATTTCAAATCTACATGTCGTGATTTCACTTGTTGCATTTGTGATCAATTGTTCTGCTTGCGGCCTCGTAGAAATCCAAACTTGTACGTTTGCCTTGATTAATTTGATGATATTTTGAATGGCTTCATTTTGGTAAAAATTCGGAATTTCGTCGAATCCATCCAACATGAGCATAAAATTTTCTTCTGCAATCAGCTTCATTAAGTTTTCTGCAGATTCTTCCACATTTTCCGCAATAGCTTGCAAGAAAGATGGACCTTGAACCTTTCTTTCACCAAAGTTCGCATACAAGTCTATCAATCTCACATTAAAAATTTTTAAGCTGTGACGCGACCTATCTTTCAATTCTCGTCCAATTTGGCCCAGAAGTTTGGTTTTTCCCATGCCTGGAGGTGCCGTCAGAATGCAGAGATTGGAATTTTCCATCATTTTTTCTGCTATTCTGACCGTTTGATGGAACGTTAAATGCTGCACATTCACGCCCAAATTCAAGCGCAACTGAGGCTCAACGAAGATCTCACCTTTTGGGAAATGAAGCAGATATTGCAAGGAAGAAACCAGGCAGCAGCTCGAAAATTTAGAATGTTCTTTGAGCAACAAATTCATCAGTAATTCTTGCAAACTTGATTCCTCCATTAATTTTTGGCTCTCGAATATTCCTACAAAATCGTTCAGCAATCCTGAAATATTGCAAATTGAATAAATTTATATTTGCTTCTTACAATTAGCAATTTCTCAGCAAAATCTAATTTGAGGAAGAGGAATTTATTTTACCTTGAGCGTCCAAATAAAAGGTCAGAGTTTCGCTGTGTTTTGTTCTATGGGCAGAATCAATTCTCGAAGTCATCTCAATTTTTTCCCCGCTCTTAACAGAAATTGAATTATTCAACCAAATGGAAAATACAATAGGACTAAATGTTCATTTACAGAGACCTTTCTAGAGGAAACTTATTGCTTATTGGATTAATTTTATATGGTTTCTGCAAGTTCTTTAAATATACAAGGCAAATTTATTAACTAAAAAGTCTAGCATTTTTTATACACTTTGAAAGTTGAAATGAAAAGTTTTGTTCTCACCAGCGCTTCATTGATGAAGAAAAACAGCTTCGGCTTTCCTATCCATTCCTCGCTTTCTGGTCCCAAAAATCTGTCAACAATTTCTCCAACAGGCACCATTTTCTTGTCACATTCAATCCAAATTTTTCCGTTGATGTCTTTGCTCATTTGTGAGAAGAAAAATGCAGCAAAACAGTCGTAGTCCTGCAAGCTGCTTTTTTCTGAAATTAAACTCAAAAATTAAACAATACAGTTTTGGCATATCATTGTGGCTAGTGGTGGAATATTAATTGCGTCTCTGCGTTTTGGTGAAAAACATAACGAACAAATTAAATTGGCAGGAAAAAATTGAATTCTTTTCCACAAATTATTAATTCTAGAAATAATTGGACACATGTTAAAGCATTAAAAACGAGAATTCGCACAACTTCAAGCGTGAATTTACTGACTTACCCGATTGTAATATTGTATCATTGATGAATGCCAAATTCGTTTCAAATTGCAGATTATGAACCAGCGCGTTTTGCAATTGTCTTATTGGTTTGCTCATTTCCATGCAGAAAATTAAAGCCCTTCTTTTCCTTGTTACTCCCGGTTTCCAATGCCATTTGTAATTGAGCTGATGCTGAACAATGCGAGTTCCACCGCGATCTCTGCGAATCAAAAATTATTAAACCGTGTATCAAATCACACTTCCTGACTCATACAAAGTTTCATTCAACGGAGAGAAGGAAAACTTCCTGTCCAGTGGGAAGATTTTGAACTCTGGCGTTTTTCCTTTCTCTTGATACACCTCGGTGCTAATTGAATGTACTCTGAACTGAACCGACGTCAAAAAGTGAGCCAAACTTTTGTCTTCTGACATATTGTTCAACTCGTCGCAAAGAGCTCTCACGAGTAACGTCCCTTTTGTGTTTCTGCGTACCAACGTACCTGCAAAATGACGATGAAAGATTTAGTTTCAGAATTTTGTAGCAAATCAACCTTTACTCTCAACGGTCGAGTACACAATTACAAAATTATGCATCCAGTCAACCCAGTCCACCATCCTCGCCCGATTCTTTCTGGATGGCTCTGCGACGCTTTGAGTTTGATCAACTTCCATTGGATGCACCACCTTGTGTTCTTCCAGACTATATCTGCATGGCTAAGAAAACTGGTATTGAAGATCTTAAAATTGAACTTTCTGAGTCTCACCTTAAAGAACACAAGTTTCAGGCAGTTGAAAAGTTTTTTGTTTTCTTGAAGCACTCTCAAGAGCTCTTGATTGGGATCTTCAGATTTATGCAACTCCTCTTGTGTCGCCATTCCGTGTGACAAAACGATCAAAATCAAAACAGACGGCACTGAAGTACAAACACATTCGATTGATTCCAATTAAATGAATTAAAATCGTTTCAAATCTGAACCTTCATGTCCTATGCATCTGTTCAGCATTTCTTCCACTTCCAGAAGAATATTAGCTCGCAAGTTCAATTCACGAAATTTGCATCTTCGTCTGTTTTCAAACGTGCGTTTGAGATTTTGAACGTCTTCATCGACACCATCTGTTATGACACTTGAGTCGGAAGATTCAAAATGGTAATGGAGAAGTAGAACAAAAGTACTGATGCAAGAACATAAATAAAATTGTATCGATATTGCACAAAAGTGAATATTTACACGTCTGCATTTTCTCTCGAATTCCCGTCCGATGTGCTGAAATAGCCCAAGCTAGATTTGTTTATTGCTGAAATTCATAAACAATTAGTTTATTAAAATTCCACTCAAAAATGAAATAATGTCAAACCTTTTTCCACCAGTGTGACTCCCGGGAATGTACCGTGCCCCTTTCTGCCCATTTTTAGGCTTTTGCTTCTCAAATTAACTTGGTTGTTGTTGTTGCGGTGTTTTACGCAATATTTGAATCCATTTACTGAAAACAATAATAAATCATCAAGGTCAATCAGAACTGTTTAACAAATTTGAATAGCACAAGTTACGGAACGGAAACTAGCGCATTTTGAAATCAGTGAACTATTTAATTAAATTAACCAGGAGAAATTAAGCAAAGGATTTTTTCTAATAATCAGTATTTAATAATTAATTTAATTAATTAAAATAAAATTTTGTCTTAACAATGACAATTTAGCGTGAAGCAAAATCAAAATGTAGAAAAAAATTGAAAATTTATAATTAAAATTAAGGAAAGTACAATATTATTTTTTTTTCTTAACAGAAGGCAAACGAGTTTTTTTTTCAGAGCTGGATCGCGGCCGCAGAGTAAATATTGCTGCAGGAAGGGCAACGAGCAATACGAGACTTTTTGTTTGATCATTTCGAAATGAGGGTCACATAATGATATTGCAAGTTTCTTCGTGTATGACTTTTCTACAAATGCTTGGTGATCGAATCATCGGAAAGAGGAAGGTTTTGCCCGAAAGTTTTCTTCGAACCGTTGACGCACGCCACACGGAAGAACTCGAAGATTTTTTCCCGCGTAATTGACTCATTGTTTAAAATTATTTAAAATTAATATTAAATTATTAAGCGACGAGCAATAAAAAATTAAATTATTGTAACAATTTGACATAAATGTAAGCGAAGTGGAAAAAGTTAATTTTATTATCATGAAAATTGCTAAATTATCTTTGATTTATTAACTATACTTATAAGAATTAAATATTAAATACTTTTTATTGTTTATTTCGTTTATTTTTCACAAATGTAATCATGGAAAAGAAAAATGAATTTGCACTAAAAGATATCAGTTAGCATTCAAAAAATGATTGCTGGATTTTGATGTTAAAAATTATTTTGAGACGACGCCTTTGTAGCTCTCATTATACTCTCGGCCATATCGCCATATGGGCCCCTGCTTAAGAAAAATCATCGATGAAGATGCAATCCTTCATTGGCTATTTGCTAAAGAACAAAATATTACGTTACCTTTATCTGCAGAACGCCCTCTAAAATAAATAAATATTTTAAAATATTACGATCGAAAGTCTCGGGAAGTCTAGCTTTTGTAAGACTTTTGTAAGACACGAAAAATCGAAGCGCGCAATTACAAGCGAGCGTGCTGCTGCCACCTATTGTACTAGCATTGGTACTAACATCTCGCCTGGTTCGCATAATTGTATGAGACGGCGCGCTTGATTTCAGCCAAGTTTTCACTATTATTATGACTTCATGATTCATCAATCAAAATAATTGCAATAAAGAAAAGCAAAGAAGGGATAATATAATCCCCCCCACTACAGAGAGGGGCAGCACGAGCTGAGCATGTGGCCATATCGGGTGAGGCAAGCAGTGAAAAAAATCTGTCCTCTCACTTTTGGGCAGACCGGAGGTGGAATTTATTATGAACAAATATCCATTTCCCTGCGTTCGATTTAAACTTTAACTTAATCATTATATAATTCGAGTATTTTGACATTTTTTAACGTTGAAAATTTCCCAAAATATCGAGTTGCACAGCCAATTTGCCACAAAATTTTTCAAAACGTCCATCCAGACATATTACGTATTATGTAGGTGCTTTTTTTGGCGAGGCAAAAGTGACCTTGGATTGAAGCCAAACCTTGGTAAAGTCTCAAGTAGTTGTTGCTGTGCGCGTGTTTTTTTCTGTTCTAATTAGTGTGGAGTCTTTGTTTGTGATGTGAATTGTAAATTAGTATCAGGGTTTATTTTTTAGGACGTTTTTATGTGGTACTTTTAGAGTTTTGTCGTTTCGTACGAGAAGATGCCTTTGGAGATTGACTATAATTTAAATAATAATCAATAATTGGATGAAATCAGAACAGCATGCAAAGAAATAAACCAAATTAAAATTGAATACTAAAAAACAATAGTCAACAGACCATTTCACATGATGGTGTCATAATCATTAAAAGTTTAAAGAATTTAAAAAAAAAATTGCAATATCCAATAATATCGACCGATAAATTTATTCAAATGCACAAATTCAAGCAAAAGTTCGTAAAAGAAGGCGAATGAATTTTGAACGCTGAAAAAAAAATGGAAAGTGAATTACTAAAAAGACAAATTAAATTATTCAAAGGGGTATTTTTTCCCATATCGAATATGATGTAAATAAACATTGATTTAATATTCTGTGCTTGTCAATCAAAAGGTTTTGTAAAGAGGACTTGTCTACTTCCTTTATCAGATGTTTTAAAAGTGATTCAAGTCCACAATTAAATTTGCGTAAGAAAAAGCAACATTTTTCTTATCCGATTATAAAACTTGATCGATCTACAAAATATGGAGATCAAAATGGAGATTTGATTTTTATATAAAAAAATTTTTCAAAGAAACTCATTAAAAAGAATTTATTTGATATGGAAAGATTTGAAATTTTTAAAAATTGGAAATACCTCAAGAAAGTGTGGAGAAGAATTGCATTATTGCAACCTTGACGATTTTTCTGCGAGAATCTTGGGCAAGCAAAAATGAAGAGGTCTTTTTATACGTGTCAGATAAGACTTTTTACAAGACTTTTATAATCTTGAAATTAGAATTTTTATCAAATCAGAAGCGATTCGAAACAATCGGCAAATTATTTTAGTGGATTGAAATATATAAAAAATTTAGAAGTTTTTGCTGTTTTAGTATAGGCAGTACACATTCGAGTGATTTTACTAATGATAATAAAAATAATAAAATAATGCCACTTCAGCCAATTCGAAATCAAGCATATTTTTTAATATTTATATTTCTCTGTTTTAATATGTATGATAAAAAATGTTCCAGCGTTAAAGAGCCCAAATTATTTCTATATTAAATTTATTTTTGAATTTCACTACGCTTGTGATAAATATTTTTAATTTCACCCACAACCTATCCCCATAATTAACATAATTTAACCACAAATTACCGATGTATTAAGCTTCTTTGCAAATCCTGTTCGTGCAGGAACGTCTTCTGCGGCTTTTTGCTCCGATTCCAAATCTTCCAAGAGCAGAAAACTTGCTGGGAAAGGCAAAATTGTGCTGCCCGGCTGCATGTAAACAAACAACCAAACAAGAGTGAGCAGCTGTTGCTCGCCTCGCCTCGAGCGACGTGCATTAAGGAGAGTAAAAGGTAGAGGAGGCGCGGAGAGGAGGAGCCTCCTATTGTTAAACGGGTCCAGAGCCAATCAGCGCCCTGGTCTCCTAGGAGGTAACCGCCCTTCCGCATCTCCTCTACCTTTTACTCTCCTTAACGTGCATTTTCGCATCGCAGTGCCACCTACAGGCACGGAGCTCAACCAACCTGAGGATCACGCCACGCGTCGCTCATCGATGTGCTCCCATAAAAGCCTCTTATGGAAAAAGCAATGCAAAAGTCTCAGTTGCGAATGGTTGCAAACTAGAAAAACTGCATAGACAATAATAGGCAATATATTGATCTTTAATTAAGAAAATTGTTGCAGCAGCACTATTTGAAACGCAGTGTGAGGCAAAATGAATGAAGCTCATCGAAACATTATTTATTAAAAATAATGAATGACAATTTTAAAGAAAATCGGTGAATATTTAATTGAAAAAGACAAAATCAAAGCTGTTTAAGGTTTTGAGACTAAACACAAATAATTAAGTTGATTTAAATATTAGCTTCATGGAGCAAAAGTCGACAGGAGTCTTAATTAAAAATATAAATGTCAATTATCCTTATTTTACTGTTACATAATTATAGCGTGCAATTAAGGAAATTAAGTATTGTATTCTTTTAACAAAATTGCGTAAAAGTAGGGTTCAATTTCAAAGCTTTTTTATAAGACATTCTTTTTTGCATATTTTGTCGTTTGTTCCTCTCTCAAATACAGTTTGAAATTAACATAATAATAATAATTCTGCAATAAAAAAAAAACACTCAGAACTTGCCTGCAGAGCTAGAATAATTAACACAACATTAATTAAAAACATGAATTTAAAAAAAAAATTACCTCATCGAATGTTATTTTACCTTTCTTGAATTCATCCAGCACACAGAATTTATAAGAGTCAACGAACGGATCGTCATTGTCGCGGATTATTATATTATGTAGGTGATCAAAATTGTAAATAATGAGGACGGACGAAGACGATAATTCTTGCAACCAAATCGGGATATAAATTATTCGACGTATTTTTGTGACTGCGTATAAAATTATTAGTTTGAGAAGAAAAAAATATCACTCACTTGGCAGGGCCCACTTTGAGCACAAGTTTTGAGTTTTTACCACGCTTTATGATAAAAAAAGTACCTTTTCTGTCGCGACTGTGTTCGACACTTTTGATTGCTAGTCTTTCATGGATGATTGTCGTCCGCGCACTGAAAATGTGACATTTCAAACTTTTTCTTGATAGGAACATTGTAAAGCGGTGTGGGCGAAGCTTAGGTGCAGCCAAGACTGGGTAGACTTTTCTTCGCGCCAAAAAAACACCTGTGGAGTTTTGATCACAGAGTTGTATAATATTTATTCAACTCTGTGGTTTTGATTCAACTTTTGATCTGTTTTGATCGCTGAAGAGCTGAATTGCAGAGACACCTCGCGGAAGGACAAACAACTACACACCGCGACAAAAAATTTCAATTTTGGCGGTCTATCTTTGCACGTTCCAGCACAAATGCACGAGGAAGAGTAAATTTACCACATATTATTTTTCTTTTTCAAGACTTTCAAGAGATACAATAATTTATAATTTATATTCTGTTCTTTTTGCAAAAAGAGAGTACTTGTTTAAACATTAATTAATTTATTTAATTTTTTATTAATTCAAAAGGAAAATAATTCATTTCTCATTATTTATTTTTTTATGTTTTCCCAAGACCTCTCATTATTGAAAAGAATTATATCGCCGATCGCGTAAGAAAAAACTGAGTTGTTGAACGAAAAAGCAAAAAGAGTCTGCTGAACCTTCCAAAATCGGAAAGAAGCAAAATTGACTCTTTTTTAATTAAATAATTAAAGGTGAATCACCAATTTGAAAAAGGGTGATTGGAATTTGACGAAATTTGAGCCGTCACAAACGGCTTTCGAATGCGTCAAACAATCGCCACTGTTTGTTCGTCGATTTCAAAGAAAATCCGTTGAGGAGGCGGAATTTGTCACTCTGGTGTGATAAATTTCCTTCCTCGTTTTCGCGGAGATCGACGCGTTTTCAGTCTGAGAAAAGATAAAGCGCGGTGAAGGAAGTTGCGTGTGTTGGTGCGTGTTCCGAATTCGCCGTGCAAACATCACGATTTCTTATCAAGCGGCGCTAGTCATCGTCGCTTGTTATCTCATCAAAATAAGAGGTGCAGCCTCCAGGTTAGATAAAAAATATACTCTCCTTGGGCAGCCCACAAACGCAGACAGACCCACTCCTTCAGCCATGTTGGCACGACTCGCGGCGCTGGCTTTGGCCCTCGCGGCCCTCGCGGTTTCGGCCCAAATCGTCCTGCCAGGAGGTCCGAATCTCGTTTGTCCGAATTCAAGATGTGAAAAATTGTTAATTTTCAGGCGACACAAAAGTCCAGTGCAGCAACGACTCGGTGTGCGTGGATCAGTTCGGCCCGATGGCTCTTTGCGACGTCGAGTTCTGCAACTGCTCGCAGGGCGCCGAGTTCAACTCCGAAGAGGGCAAATGCGTCGCGCCGATCACCTCCTTCAAATCTGGCAAGTCACTAAGTCAAATAATTAACAAAAAAAAAAACAAAAAAAAAAAAAACTATAAAATTACTTGAAAATCGACTTCTTGCCTAATTAAATAGTCCAACTTGTTCTGCTTAAAGTTTGTTTAAGCATGAAGACAATTTTAATCAAAACCTTTTATTGAAAAAAGTTAAACTTAATTATTAACCAAGAACAAATAATTGAATTAAAATTACAGCAGCTGAATTACAGCTTTCAACTAAATTCAGGCAGGAATTAATAAAATACTCTCTTCACATTAAATTCAAAATTTTAGATTTTAATCAGTTAAATTGAAATTGAAATAAATCACTTTATTTGTTAATAGAAATTTTAATTAAATAATTAATCTTGAATTGGCAGATCAATCGTGTCAGACGGACCGCGACTGCCGAATGGAGGACTCGCGGTGTCGGTTCGGCAAGTGCCAGTGCGAGACCGACTTCATCCAATCGCACGACCAGACCAAGTGTTTGCCTTGTGAGTTTTTATTGCACTTCTTCTTGCGTCATTTGTTTAATCTTGCACTCGCGAAACAATAAATCGATGTGAACAATTTCAGTGGCCAAAGAGGTGGGGTGGGGCTGCGAGGAGGACCCCCAGTGCACCACCAAACTCAGCAAGACCACCGAGTGCCGCGACTTCACGTGCGTCTGCAGACCGGGCACCGCCATCAACAACCTCGGCGCCTGCGTTGAATCAAAAGGTACAATTTTAAAGTCCCGCATCGGTTAATTTTCTTGTTCCGGAATGTCAAAGTGGGTCGATTTTTATTAATTAATTTGATGTGGTGGTTGAAAAATTGCCACCGTTCAAGGGTGGAAACGGGGTTTTTGTCGTTTCCCGCCAAAAACATTTGGATTTCGCAGCAGATCAAGGCTGATCTAATAGTTGAAAAATAACAATTCCAAATTGCTCTTTATTTTTAAATATTTGAAATTATTAAAATAAAAACATTATGGAAATGTTTAAGGTCTGGATTCGTATTGTGCGTCAAACAACGTGTGCACCACGGAACACTCGGAATGCATTCAGGGCGTTTGTGCCTGCAAGGAAGGTTTCGTCGCTGCGGCAGACAGCAAAAGATGGTCAGTGAAAAAATTTCAAAAAGATAAATAATTATATTTAGCGAATTAATTGTTAAGAGTAAAAGCGGAAGTTATTCCCTGCGGTTTGCCACAAAACCGCGCAGGTCATGGTACTCATTTTTCTTCTGTTTCCTTTCAAAATATTTTATCAACATCCGCAATATTATTGTTTTTATCTGATGTTTGTAGCGAATAGGAAATGTAATTAAAAATATTTTTCTCGTGTATTAATTTTCAGTTTGGAGCAGGCGCAAGGTTTCAAATCGCCGTGCGAGGAGTCGATCCAGTGCACGGGACCGTTCGGGCCGCACTCGGTGTGCCAACGCGGCGAGTGCACTTGCAAGACGGGCAACCACTTCTCGGACATGATGTGCTGGCAGGACAGAGGTGCTCATCCCACTTTTCACTCGGACGGAATTTATCTAAATTTTAATTTCAAGGTCTGACCGACCGGTGCGACAGGCCCGACGAGTGCTACATCGCCGACGACGGCAACAACCAGAAGCTGCAGTGCACGGCCGGCCAGTGCATCTGCAAACCAGAGTTCAAACCTGACCTCAGCACCCTCCGCTGCTCAGGTATTTATAAAAATAAAATCGAGGTGTAAAGTTAACAGCATACGTAAAAATGGCCAATTTATTATATTCTTCACGCAATGATCTTTACATTTTCTCAAATATTTACGCGGCATGAACCAAAGATATTTTACCAACCGAGCAATTCCTTGTGACCCGACCTTTCGGAATATGTGTCACACTTAATACTTCGAAGCCAATGTAAATATAGTGGTGAATCCTTCTTTTAGGATAACAAGATTGATCAATTATTATAATTGCTGAATTCTTCACAATTTTCTCGGTGACATTGAACTTTCTGGTCACCAGTCGATTCACCGTGACCTGACCTTTCCAATTATGTGTCACACTTCATGTTTTAAAGCAAATTAGAATTTGGTGGTGGGGGAACCTGTTCGACCAATCGGATCACTCAATTTCAATAATTATTGATTTCTTGAAAAATTTAATGGTGACCTTGACCTTTTTGGTCACCAATTGATTTCTTAAGGGCATGCCTTTCAAACAGTCCTTCTTACAAACACTTTTACCAGGTGAATTTCATGTTTTATGACAAATCTGAAAACCATAAATTTGTCTTTTGACATTTTGAAAGGCGATATTTTTCTGAAAGCTCTGATTTTTCCATTTTTTATGCCCTTCTTCTTTAAAAGGTTTGCCAATATAGAAGATTTTTGTGCGCTTCTGTCCAAATTACAATTTTATTTTGAAAATTGATTCATTAAATATAATTTGTTTAATTTTATTATCTGCCATTTCAGGTGCTCCTCGCATGGCCATGCTGTCAGGGTTGTTGGCCGTGGTTTTGGCCGCCGCGTCGTTGCTCTAGAATTCGCATTTTTCGTCCGTTCAAGTCGCAGCCACCAACTTTAATTAAACACCGGCGAACTCTCTCATATCGTGTGTGCCATTTTCTAAATAATAAAACCCGCGTGCGCGTTTTCTCGTCAACTTTTATTTCGCAATTTGCTCTCGGTGTCGGTCTCAAGAGAGGGCCGAGTATAATTATGACAAAACTGCAGAGTCTGCGGCGGCGCCCGCCACCGTCCCCAGCCGCGCGCAATAAATGTTTACATTCGAAACAAAATTAACCGGCGGCAGCGCCAAACTGCCGAATCCGCAGAGCAAACGCCGAATGTTTGGCCGCTTCATCAACACTTCCTCGCTCGCTGCATTAATTAATCAATTCCATTTGTTCCAATAAAATGCAAATATTGTAAAGTTTGAAAGTAATAAAAATTGCATCTGGTGTTAAGAAAGTGAAATTAATGTGTGTTTTAATTACAATCTTGCGATGAATTGTGTAATTTTTCAGAAGCAAAGTTTTTCTAATCCACAAGAACTGTTCTGATAATTGGGAAATTTTAGGGCCGTCTTGTAAAAGAATGAGATAATTTTATTTCGAGATTGTATTGCGGGTTGCGTACTCTCTGAAAAAATTTCAATTCATATTTTGTCTCACTTTTCTGGAACAGGAGCCAATGTTGGAAGGATCCTTCCTCATGAAAAAAGATTGGAAATTTTATCAGCTTTGAGGATCGCTGTAAATTTTGTCTCTAGCTCTAATAAAAGCCGACTTATTAGCTATAAATCTTGTTTACAAATTAATGGAAATTTAAAATAATTTTTTTTTATAATGATCTTGTTCGACACACCTTCTTCAGATTAAAACAGCGCAAGAGGAAATGACTGCTGAGGGCAATTAATTTCGTAATTATTTACGCGTTTCAAAGTGACGTATGAATCTATGAGTGATTCAAGAAAAGATTAAAATTTTTTCAGTCAAGGAAAAATGAAGCGAACCGCGCCCTGAATCAGACTCTCAATAAAGATACGCGCTATCTGCGAGTTGGCGAGATAAGAGGTTCGGCGAAAAGGAGAGAAAGAAACTGGTTTTTATTTTGAAAATCTCGAGGCAAGAAGATGCGGCGGCGCCTCATGGCCCGCGCCTCCATTCTGCTCGTTTTCTTCGCCGCACAATGCCCGCCTTTGATGGACCTGATCATGGTGCGCGCCGAATTCGATATCGTCAGAGGTGAGACGAATAACGACGCTTTTTTGTGCATTGTTATCTTCAAACCCAATTAAGCCTTCCACTTTATCAAGCAACGGAAAAAATTTTGATTTGTTTCAAAAGGCAGATAAATTTAAGTTATTTTTTAATAAAAAAGACGCAAATTTTTAACCCCCAATAATGTCTTTTCAAGCAAAAGGTCTCAACAAAGCATTAATTTTTCAATTGCATTAAAATAATTACTTGAAATAATTTAAACGTTCAATTATCCAGATTAAAATAATGATTATAAATTCTCCAAACATTATTTAAAATAAGACTTTAAAATACAAAACTAAGCAAATCCAAATTTAAAATAATATTCTATAATTTTTATTTTCAAATGAAATTAAAAGTAAATAATAATTAGGGTCCGCTTTTTTAATTTAATTTTAATTTAAGAATAAAATTAAATTGAATTTTCACCTTGCAATTTACTTGTAAAGCAGGATTCGGTGCGTTGGTTGCGAGCGAGCGGCGCTGGCGTTGTTGCTCTCATTGATTTAAAAAGGGATGCTGCGCGACCGTCTGCGTGAGCATGAGCTCCTGGCACCAAGTCGCGGGCCGCGAGCGTGCGCCTTGACCGCAACCCGCGCTCTCTCTCTCTCTCGCTCGCTCCGTCCACACCCGAACGCCCACTCGCCCCTCTCAACCCAATATAATTATATATATTTTTTTTGCAATTATTTAGCAAACTTCAAAGCAACAAGGAAATGATCAATATTATTTTACTCGCTCGGAAGGAAATTAATTAATTAATGTGTCATTAAAGCTTTCGACTAACCTCCGACCTTTCCTTTCATTATCTATTCCTTTTACTTTCAAGCTTTCAAATTCAATTAGGATTTTAATTTATTTTTTGTTAATTCATCAAAGTCGCAAATACGTAAACAGGACGAATATCTGATAAAACCACTATGTTTGCTGATTCTTGTTAATAATTCAATTAAATTGACGAAATCGAGTCACTTCATTATTTTTTGTTCTTGTTTTCTGTCCTAAATAAATTTGTTTCCACATGAAAGTTGATTGATTCTTGCTTTTAATTGAATAAACCAAATTTATCACAAAAACCAATGCAATGGATAGTTTAATTAGTAAAATCAATCAACTCCCTGCCCATATCTTAATAAATTATAAATATGCTAAGGATGTTTTGAAAGGTAATCTTTATCTGATAAAAATGATCAATGCATAAAAAAAAAAATTATGCTCTGTACAAATCAGAACACTGACCGAGATCAAAACACAGCAGGAAATTACACTAATTGAATTACTTAAAAAATAGCAGATATTTAAAAGTGATTTTATTATTTCTTTGTAAAATTTCTTCTTCAAATGACAATTGTGTCGAGAAAAAAGTTAATTGCAAAACATCGACGAAACTTGTATTTTATTCTGTGAAATTGTGAATGTTTTTTTTTTTTTTTGACGTGCAAATAATATTAATAAATAATAATAAAAAAAATAATAATAATTAATCGAATCCCCTTTAGCATAAATTTGAACGGGATTAATGATTTTTGGGTTAATTTTTGTTTGCATTTTCACGCAGTGACGTCAACGCGGTGCTCGGGCGACGCCGAGTGCACGGAGAACGCCGAGTGCGCGAAACCGCACGGATTTTGCCACTGCCGCCAGAATTTCGTCTTCTTCGAGGACCTTTGCCTCCCAGGTGAGCAATCCAAATAATCCTAAATTAACCCTGTTTTCTATGCTGTTTTCTTTGCACTCGAGTTTCAAATTAATCTCCATGCTAATCATGAGCAAACAGAAAACCCATGCAACTTTTAAATCCTCACATTCATTCACGATATAAATCTGGAAATTTTAAAATGTTCATTACCAAGTGAGGTGATATTAGTTCTCAAAATATTAGCACAATATGTTCATATTGAAATAAATGTGCTATTTTTACAATTCTAAATTAAATTGTTTTTTGAGAATCACTTAAAAAAATTTCATACTTCATTTCTTTATGATTATTCGTTTCTAATTTTGCAGTAATTTGGTAGTTTTTCCAGACAAATTAAATTGGTCTGTCCGTTCAAAAGTTTGAAGCTTTAAATATATGTGAAAATATTTGTGGTGTAATTTTTTTTAATATTAACTCTTTTCAATTATATCTTGCCTTCAATTTGCTGGAAGTTTTACAAACAAAATCTCCTGAAAATACTTTAAATTTTCTTTTTGAAGTAGTTTTAAATGCTATTTTTTTGCATGAACTCACAATACAAACTTTATTTTATCTCAGATTTACTCGTTTTTCTCTCTCTTCAGATTGCAAAAATTTGCAACTCTTGGATAATGAATGGATCTGCAACAAATTATTTGTACTCAAGAGTGTTTTCCAGGTTTTCGGTTGAAGGAAACGATAATTATTTGTCCCAGTCGTGCGGCCGCAAAATTCGTTTTGTTGCTCTGAGCGTTCCGAGTGTGCCCTTTTGTGAGAGCCGACGCGAGTGATTAGCGTGGCCGAGCACGTGCTCATCTGTGCGCGCAGCCACTTTTCATCTCTCGCTATACGTCGTGCCCAAATGTCCCCTTAATTTCGCTCAGACACTTTCTCGTTACCAAAAGCGCAGAGAGATGCACAAAGGCTAATTAAAATTATGAATAAAGAGAGAAAGAAAAAATCAACGCGCTGCCCAAAATTATAATCTCTGCGAATTCAAACGAAATAAAAAATGAATGAAAAAGTTCCATTTTCCCACGAAATTAAGCCTTCGCTCCTTTTCTACTTTAATTGTACTTTAATTCCTAATTAAAGATTAATAAATAGCAAATGCGCCTCAAAAATGTTGAAATATTAAAAAAAAGTAATATTTTTGCTCATATAATATAATAATAATATTTATCAAAAATGTTGACATCGCCTTTACTACTGAGGAGGATTTTACCAATTTTGAAGGGCGCTCTCGTTATCTGTGCTGAGCAATAAAATTTATGGAAATCTGTGACGGGTCGTTTCGGAATTTAGTGCATTTTCGCTTTATGAAATCCGAGCGCGAGTCGTAAACTTTATACGACTCGCCAAGATGTTTGTACCAGATTTTTTTTTACTCACCGCGTATTTTGTATTTTGCAGTGGCGACGAAAATCGGCGACGCGTGCTGGGCCGAGGTGCAGTGCCAGTTCACGTTTGGCGCCGACTCGACGTGCAGCGCGGCGGCGAATGAGGCCGAAACCGGGTCGTGCCGATGCAACCAGGACAGCCACTTTGCAGACAAAAAATGCCACCAGTCAAAACGTACGTCAAACCTAAAAAAAAAAGATGCAAAAAATTTATAAAAATTATTTTTAGGAGAAAAAAATAGCATCAGATTTTAAATCTTTGAAGAAGTTGACACTCGAGGAGATGATCATGGAAATGAACGAATCGGGCTTTTTTCTCGATGCAGAAATTGTTCTTGTTTTCAAATGAAAAACCAATTTCTGCAACGAGGAAAAAGCCCGATTCATTCATTTCCTTGAGATTATATATATTTACTTTGACTTTAGTTCGTAAATTAACCAAACTTTGTTCAAAAGAAAAGCAAATTTCATAAAATCAAAATTACTTGAGGGAAAAATGCACAATCAAAGCAAATTTTTTTGTTGCCTTGATTTTTCTTTCCCCACCGTCAGAATTTATATGAAATATTCCCAAATCTACGAAAAGGAAAATCTAATTTTAAATTTAAATTTACGATTTTTACAGATTTCACAAGTTAAGTTTCTTATTTCAATCTCCACTTAATGCTAATTAATTTTCCCTCCAATATGCTTTATTTTGCTGAATCCTGGTTTCAAAGTCCATTCTTATTAAAGGGAGACGCGAAAAGCCATTAAAACTTATTAAAATTCCACTCTATTCGTTTAAAAGCATAACATTTTTTCATCTCGCTTATCAATCAAGAGCAAAAAACCTTTTCAACGAGTTTGTGGCTACAAATGAAATCGAAAGAGATTTGGTGCAATAAATGAGTGTATGCGATGATGGACGGGTTGCGTGGGGGGCAAAAAAGGGGTGTCGAAAGCAAACACTAATGGGATTATGATGGCGTGTGTGTTGATTTGGCTGCAGTGTTGGGCGAGCGGTGCGCGTCCCGCAGCGACTGCTTCACCAAGGACGGCCGCAACGCGTACTGCGTGGCCGGCAGGTGCGTCTGCCACCAGGAGTACCACCCCAACAAGCCCAGGGATCAGTGCATCCTCAACGTTGGCAAGTCTCAATTTTAATTTAAAGGGCGAATTTAACTCTTTTCTTACTTCAAATCTTAGTAGCTCTATGAGGGACGATTACACTGATGTGTTAAAAAGTAGTTTTGCTAATAAAAATTTGACACAGTTAATTACTTTTATAGATTCCAGAGCGGCAGCCATCTTTTTATTTTGGAAACCAAGGTTGTAATGTATAAACTATGTAACATAAAAAACGTAGGCAATTAACTGAATGTTTAATTATATTTCTGGGAATGCTTTAAAACGCTTTCATTAAAAGACATCGTCACATCACATCTAAATCGAGTTTTTTTTTAAGAGTTTACAGAGATTTTTTTCTTAATAAAAGCAATTTACATCACCCCTTTAACTTTTATCAAGACCTCGGGTACTTTGTTATGGACTGACAAGTTGATTATGCTGGCGCTGCACATATTTGCATGAAAATTACATGGATTTTGCATATCGATCAATCACTCTTGGGCAGCCCGGCATGTTGCACTCTACCTTTATTTCCTGCAGGTTGAACTTATAATTGTACTTTTTTTTGTTGTTCTCAAGAACTGGACGGGGAGTGCACGAGGGACGAGGAGTGCGTGGCCGAACTGTCCGTTTGCCACGGCAAGTGCAGTTGCCAGACGGGGGCGGCGCCCTCGGCCGACCGCAGCCGCTGCCTCTTGGGTGAGTTTCACGTTGACCTCTTTTAAAAGAGAAAAATCTGAGATTTGTGATAAATTCACATCCTGTAACGATTCTTGCCATTTTCAGAAACATAATTCTGACAAATATTGAAATTTTTTTCAAATGGCAGCCATTTACTGTTTTCCGGGAAATTTTCAATGCCAATATCTCCGCCAATTTTTGTCCAAAATCAATTTTCTAACCAACTTTGGAATCGTCAAGCAAAGCTCTGCATCAGGATGCCAGCTATGGAGTTTCCATATTTGAAAGTTTCCCCCCCTTTAAGAATAATTGTCACTTTTTAATAATAATTCTATTTTTTTAAACATAATTTGTTAAAACTTTCCGCACAAATTGAGCTGCTTTTCAGGCGAGTTGAATAACCGTAATTTATCTCCGAGTGTGTTTGGGTTAATTGCTGCGGCGTGGCGAGACAATTGAGTTTAATTGCAGCGTGGATTTTGCAGTTGCCCACGAGCTGAACGGGCCGTGCGAGGTGGACGGGCAGTGCGTCCAGTTCCTGCCCCTCACCGAGTGCAAACAGGCCGAGTGCACCTGCGTCCCCGGCACCCACCGCACCGACGACAAATGCTTCCACACCAAAAGTCGGCCAATCTCATATTTACTCTCTCCTTTTTCCGCCAAAAAAATTATTGCTAATTTTAATTCTCAAAATCCAAAAATTTAAGCATTTCAATTATTTCTTCGGCTAAACAAAACAAAAAATTGAATTATGTTTATCGGAATGAAAACGAGACTTTGAACATTTATGAAAATTACAAAAAAAGCTAATTGGTGAAATTGTAATGCGAGTTCCTTTTTGATGAATGATGGATAATTCCATTTTCCGAAAACGAAACACAGGTGAATTTTGCAATTGAGTTTTTAATCAGCTTTTGTTTAGTTTTTCCACGGATTTCGCTAAATAATGAAACAAGCAGGCGAGTTTTATTTCCAAATTCATATCAGATTAAGGAGCGTTTCATTTCATCCGTTTAACCAAATTAATCCAAATGAAGCGAAATTTCCTCCCGTTTTTCGCGTTCACAATTTGCAATCGTTTTTATGGCTGAATTTTTTTACAATTTACAAGTTTCCTGGAGTGGTGGAGCAAAAAGAGTGTCTATCTAATCGAACGGAATGTGTTCTGCATAGATCTGAATGACGTGTGCGAAGACTCGAGGGAGTGCGCGGGTCACTCTGGCTCGATGATCTGCGCCGCCGGCAACTCGCGCTGCAGGTGCGCCCCTGGATTCAGACCCAGGGACGGCTTCGGCTGCCAACCCAGTGAGTCGAAAATATTCCATTTTGATCCTTTCACCAAAAATATAAATTGCAGTTTACGATTTTACCCATTTTTCATTTTCAAAAAGAAAAAAACTCCATTTCCATTTTGAAGTTGGAATGAACGGGAATGAACTTATTTGAGACTTAAAATCTCATCCAAAATTTCAGGAGTAAATTTTATTTAAAGAAGAGAGAAACTTTAACGCCCTTTGAATGAAAATTTTAGTTTTTTTTTTTTTACAAAGAAATCCAAAGTAATTTCATTGAAATTCGGATCTTCAAAACTGACTCGTCATTTTGCGCTTGATATTTTAAATTGGATTTAATAATCGGGAAGTAAAAAAAATTGATGATTGGAAAGCACTTTGCTTTTTTTTCCTCTCAGAGAAGGATTTAATGAAACGCGCGCCGAGCAGAAGTTGATTCGTTTATTGCATTTTATTTTCTGCGCCGCTCGTCAAGAGTAAAAATAAATCTTGTAAACATTATTTTTCTGTTTCAGATTCGGGCAGCGCTCTGGCGGCTCATTTGATTATTTGCCTCGTTTCGTTTCTCGTCTGCAATTTTTCGTGAGGAGAAAAAACTCCACAGGTTTCAACTCGCGCCCGATGAGCCACTTTAATGGTGACGAAGAAGTTTTGCAAACTTATTTTGCGAGGAGGGAATGAGAGGACGAACGCAGGATGGAGGTGATTTCGTAATTGCTTCCTCAAAAACTTTTCGACGCACAAAACTTTTCCCAGCGCGAAATGTGCCGCTCTGTGAAATTTGACGCATTGTCTCGAAATGGAGAGTGACGAATTTCATATCGAAAAATAAAACCTGAAAATCAAACTTCCAATGACGTGTTTCATTTGTGAAAACTTCAAGACAATTGTTACGAAAACAGTTTACATTCTTAACAATTTCCTTTTTAATCTTAAGACTAGAATTTTTAATGAAATTGTGTCCAGAAATAATAAAAAATAATGCACCGCAATTTGGTGCTTTAAGGGTTCTTTAAAAGCCAATAAAAGGATCATCTCGGTTTTATAAAAGAGAATTAGGAATGTAAAAAAGTCTCAAACATTTCACTGAATTAATTTTTCAGCCTCATTGCTCTGGCAGATTGAATAGTGAGACCATTTTTAAGCTTAAGTTTATAATAACTGCTGGACTGGATATCGACTTAAAAATGATTATTCCTAACTTGTTTTGAGGAAAATAGAATTAATATCATGGACAAATTTTTAAATAGCTTGTCACGTTAAGCGTCTTCTTAATGAAAATTTTTAAGGTTTTGCTAAAGCCGAATCGCCCAAATCCTTGATTCAGTCCTAAATTCAAACTGATATTTAAGCAGTTTTTTTTAATTTTTGTTTCATTTCGTCGTTTTAACTACTTGCTTGGTTGGTACATTAAATTTGTTCCGTTCCTTTCGAATTAATTCTTAATTGGAGGCACAAAAGCTTCAAGCCTATTCATGTCTCTCTCTTCGTGAATTGCAGATTTGAATTCACCAAATTCTAGCCAAAATTGAAGCTGAGCACATAAATATACGCTTTGAAGTGGCGCTTTTCAAAGCGTGAAGGAATGTGGTCGACGTGGAATTTCATGGCTTGTTGAATGCAATTTCCAGAAAGGATGAAAAAGCCCCGACGGACCCACAAAGAACGAGACTTTCCAACAATTATGAAGATTAATGCAAACCTTTTCAAGAGGAAAAACGCAAGTTAACAACTTTTAAGAGGAAAATAAAATATTATTCAACTTCTTCGGTTCTTTAATAATTTATATTTCTTTTATTCTGTTTAAATTGTATTTTCAGTGATTCTGGGCAGTGCAAAAAAAAATTATTTGAAGTTCAAATTAACGTTAAAATTTCAGAGAATCAACTACAACGCCACAGATTTTATAACAAAATTACCATCTTAGTGCCAAGTAAATTTCATAACGCTTTAAATTCTCCTCTCTTGAAAATTTTACTTGCAAAGCGATTTTATTTATTTCTTCCTCCGGCACCTGTGGACATAATCAATGATGTAGCAGGCTTGAAAATCAATTAGCAGCTTTAAAAGGGAAGGCGCACGTGTTGTTGGATTACAATCAACTTTGCTTTGTGTTCGGCCGCAATTTGCATGCGATATTGACGCGAAATATGGCGGCGCCCGCGGCAGGCTCGAATAAATAAATAAAAATGGAAACTCGCTTTATTATCGCCCCTTGTGTGTTGCGAATGAAACGCCAAGAGCTAATTGCTAATTACTCGACTATATTTCCCAACAATTTTCCATACATTTTATAAACGCACGACGAGAGGATGTTTTTATTTTGCCGAGTCGAGCTGAAAAGAACAAATTGTATAGAAATCTTATTCAAAATTCAGAATTAATAGAATATTCACTAATTAATTTGAAACAAAATTTGCATTGTCGTTGATTACTTAGCCCAGGACCAAATCAAAGGAACGCCGAATTGCCCGAATTCAATTTTCTTGATGGATTCTCATTAGTCGGTGCTGAAGGATTAAGCAAACTTGGAGCGGCAAATGCAAATTTGATTTGCAACGAGCGAGCAAGCGTTTCTCTCATTCCGTTTTCACGTCTCCAGCAAAAAGATGAGAAACTCGACACAACCGAGGAATTTTTAAAAAGTAGTTTGCGACTAATCAACACAAAATAATGATGGCATCACAATTTTCGGTAATTTTATGCGGGTATAATAAAAGAAGCAAACGGAAATATTAAGTAATTAAGTAATTTAAAAATTTTTCTAGAAAAGGGAATTAAAAAAATTAGCAGGTTTTAATATGTTTACTTACACATTGAAGTGAAAATATCGATTTTGCCAAAAAAATAATTGTTTAAACGTCTACAAAATAACATGCAAAAGTCCAAGTTCAAAAAATTCATTTCAAGTGCTATTTTTTGCTGTAAAAAGTGAAAAATTATTTTTTTTTGTGCAATATTGAGATTAATTTTATTAAGAAATAAAGCAATGTACGTGTTTTTCTTTTTGAATGCGCTGGAATGAAAATTATTTCGAAATTTCAAAATGATTTTCCGCTGGAATGGTAGGCGCGGAGGATGTTGAAGCGACTTCTGTCATAAACGAGAACGTTTTGAAACATGCCTTCCTACCAGCGACGGCAACTCGGCAAAACAATTATTTCCGACATTACAATTTCACTGCGAAATGGAAAGTGCGCCAAGTAATATGCAAATTCTTTAAAAAAAAGTGCAAAAATCGTTTCAAAAAGGAAATCAATATTATTCAAAAATTTGATTGCAAAAAATCTAGGACCACAGTGTACAGTGTAATCATCTAAAAAAATGTTCGTTGGAAGGACAAAAATGTTGATTTATGACCCGCTGTGCCAATCGCTTTGCAGGAAGTAATGAACAACTCCGAACGTGAAATAAATAATGTCATATATTTCTCTTGCACAGTGACAAGTCCTTGGTTTGAATCACTCCCTGGGTTCGTCGCAGTTAATTGCGAAATCACGCTTCCAGAACTATTTCCATCGGAACGGGAAGGAAAGGGAGAGGGAAGCGACCAGTATATAAACTGTCCAACTTGACCAGTCGACGACAAACACTGAAGCTCAGACATGCTTCAGAAGGCGCTCGTGATGGCGCTGTTGGTTGTGCAGGTGAGGAAGAAACCTTTCCTCTCAATCAGGGTTTGAAAAAACAAATTCAGACGGCACTTGGCGCAAAGGACGAAGGGGTCATCAAGTCCTCTCAGTGGACCTTGGTGGCTGAGGACAATCGTCCCGAGGTTGACAAACCTATAGGTAAGTTCTCTGAACCCAGGGTTGGAGAAAGAAAGATTTTGATCTCTCCTTGAAGGCCCAACGGTTGGCCATGGTCGCAATGTCCAGCCTGGGCATTTTCTCAACCATGGGTTCAAGGTGGAAATTATTCGTACAATTCTCTTCTGTGGATCAAGTTTCATTGGTCATTCTTTAATTGTTCAATGAATGAAGATTTATGCATTCTTCATGTTCAATCAGCAAAATTGTCTGGTGTCAGCAGAGAAATCACAGGAGGCGATTTTGCCAGCCTGGGCCAGTTCCCGTGGCACGCTCTGATCGATGTGGACAAAACTTTGCTGTGCGGAGGCTCCCTTATTTCGACGCAATACGTCCTAACGACTGCCTTCTGCACAGGGTCAGTCACGCACGTGTGAATCCACCCGAAACTAAAATTTGAGTTCATAGGGCCTCGTACGACATCACCCTGGGCCTCATCACCCTGAACCCGAACGACCCCGGTTCCGTTCGGATCAACTCGAGATTCGGTTGCCCACACCCGAAGTACAGTTACACGATGAACAGAATCTACGACATCAACCTCATCAAGCTTCCCACTCGTGTCACCTTTACCGGTTCGCCAGAATCTTTTGCTCTCGCAGCTTGAAGATTACAAATTACAATCCTTAGCCAACATCTCGCCGGTGCGTCTGGCGTCAGACGCCACAAAAAACTTGACGGGCCTCAAGCTGAACGTCAGCGGCTTCGGCCAGACCTGGGAAAGTGCGCTTTCTATTCTTCTTCTGATCAATCCACACAAAAACTGATCGAAATGTCACTCTAGGTGGTGGATACAGCAACAATCTCAAGTTCGCTAGCGTGACCGTAATCTCGAAGCAGGCTTGTGCGGGTTGGTATCCTGGCAACTTAACCAACGCCACTATTTGCACGAAGCACCCAAACAGAACATCTGCGTGCAATGTTAGCTGATTACGTTAATTATTGTTGCATTATATCGTCTGTTATTCATATAGGGAGACAGTGGGGGAGCACTGGTTTATAAAGGTGTCCAGTACGGTGTGTATTCGTTGAGCAATCAGGAAGGATGTGTCTACGGTCCTACCTACTACACTAGAGTCACCACCCTTCTGCCCTGGATAAAGCAAACCATGGCAACAGGTTAGTGATTTTCTTAACTTCGTTTGATGCTTCATTGTAATGTGAAAATATTAGGTTGTGCGACGACCAATACACCAATGCCATCTACTGGCTTCTACGTTTCAACATCAACAGGCTCTCAGCCTCCAATCACGACGACCACCATCAGGGCGACGACGACAATCAAGACCACAATCAAACCCACTCCCAAGAAAACAACAACGCGAGCACCGACAACTAAACGACCCAAAACCACCAAGAAAATCTAGAAGACCCCAATTTTTATTGCGACACTTCTTTAATCTCAAATATTATTCTCTTAATATACAAATGTGCAGGATGCATATGAATATGAAATGTTGAAAGTGCGTTTATGTATTTTTTATAATTCGGATCATATTCAAAAGTTACTCTTTCATCTTGGGTCTTGTGCAGTTTTTGGTTAACGCTCTCATCGTGTTCCTCACTCGCACAGCAGACTGTGAGATTGATGAGGTGAAAAGAATTATCTGATTGCGCCATGACGCTTGATATTTAATACTTTGCAAATAGAATACTTTGAAATGATGCCAGTCAAGTATTTCAAAGTTGCGGCTATGAATTAAAATGAATCTTTTGCCGAATTGCAAATTTTGCATAGTTTTCAAAACTGTTCTGTATTTCTGCGACAGAAAAGGGATAAAATTGCTTTGATTTGAATTTATTTATTCCCTGCATGTCTTACCAGAATGAACATTAAGAATCTGAAATTGGAATGGTACAAACTACAATTTAAATAAAATCCTTAGTCACAAAATTCAATTTTAAATTTACTTCCAAGAAACTTTCATAAAAAGAAAATAATAATAGCAAATTGTGGTCTCACTATTTATCTGAATTTTAAAAATGATTAAATTTTGCATTGAATAATAAATAATTCAATAAAAGTACCAATTAAATTTCAGTTGTTTTCTAGAAAATGTAAAAAAAAACTAAGAAAATACATTTCTCGGTCAAAGATATTAAATTAATAAAAAGTGAAAATTTCCATATCTAAGGTTTTTGGACCGCAGTCACGCTTTAGGGTTTTGCTTTGGACGGTGGTCGCGGTTGATAAGTGGCAAGGTAAGAACGCCTGCCGTACAGGTGACGCAACCCGCCCAGCTCGCGAGTTGCCGATTAGCATTTTTATTGTCAATTTTGGAGCGATCGAGTTTAAAAAGAAATCTGAGGAGATGAACGGGAGCGTGCAATTTTTAATTCAAGGTCGCATTCATTTTTAATGACTTTTTAAAAATACAATTACGTTTGATTTTATGGTAAAATTATTCAAACATTACACACAACTCGGACAATAGGTTTGTTTCAACTCTATATTTTAAATGTGTTCTTTTGTCTCCAGAGCTTCAGAAAGAAAAACTTGAATTTGTATAGTTGGCCGTAAATTAGCTCGGGTGCTCCACAAGTCCTTAATTTTTTTTAGCAGTTTTGATACGCAATGCCTAGGAATCACTCTGAATTGTTTTTTGCCAGCATTTAAGAGAACTTGGCTTTAATTGTCAACAGGAGAGGCGCAATTTGCGGAGAAAAATACTCTCATTATACCTCTTCAGATTTTATTCAATTAAATATGTCTTTGTTGAAAAAATATGTTTCCAAAGTATTATATCTGCAAATGAAAGCAAAGAAAATAAATAAAAGGAAAACTCATTTCCTATGTATTAACTTTATGTTATTACGTGTTGAAAATCAAGGGAACTTGACCAATGTGACGAAAACAAAATAATGTTCCTCTTACAATAAGAATGCAATGCAGAAGTTATTTAATTTTTAAGTGAATATTCATAACTCTCCCTTGAATGAATTTAGAGATTAGCAAAAATGAATCTTTCGGCAATTATATAGTGAAAAAAATTCAAACAAGCAAACTTCTAATTTAAGAGTCAAAACAAAGAGAGAAAAGTTTGCTTGAACCATAAACTTGGTTGTAGCAAAAGTTGGGTGCTTTTAAACCTCACCTAAAAATTCTTTTGTTGCTCTTTGTGCGTGCTAAATAAACTCACTTTAGAGCTTTTCTGCTCTGACAAAGGACTCCCTGCCTTACACAGAGAAAAACTCCAAAGTAATTAAATTAAACGAATAAAGAATAAACAAATAAAAATCCAGCACAATAATGTAAGTACACAATATGAGTTTTGAAATTTTAATTTTATCAAATAAATCATAAACATTTTTTTAATTAATTTACTGAGATTTAGGATTCATAATAGCGAAGCAAAATTACTCGGCAATTGTGCCGTAAAATTAAGTGTTCAGGCTTCTCTTTCATTTAACTTTGAAGCCTTTTCTTTATATTTTATTAATTTTAATGCGGTACGAGCAAAGACTCGGCTCTTTTCTCAGTTTTTAAAAAATACTGAGATCTACGATTAATAAGAACGAAGCAAAATTAATCGGCAATTGTGCCGTAAAATTAAGTGGTCAGGCTTCTCTTCATTTTAGTTTTGAAGCTTTTTCTCTAGATATTAATGGGGTTCGAGCAAAGATTTTGCTCTTTTCTCAGTTTTTAAAAAATACTGGGATCTAAGATTTTAAGAGCGAAACAAAATTACTCGGCAATTGTGCCGTAAAATTAAGTGTTCAGGCTTCTCTTTTATTTAATTTTGAAGCTTTTTCTCTAGATATTAATGGGGTTCGAGCAAAGATTTTGCTGTTTTCTCAGTTTTTGAAAAATATTTTTCGCAATAACAATAAAAAATTTCTATTTTTAAATTAAAAGGAATATTTAATTAGTTTAAGCTAAATTTGAAAGAATCTTTTTTATTTTCTTTTCACGGCAGAAATTGTTGTTAAAAGCCACAACTTTAATTAAACGTCAAAATCAGAATCTAATGATTTAATTTTCTCCTACCTTTGTGATGATAAAATCCGAGCCTCAACCAAGATTGAGGAATCACGATGTTTTGTGAGTTGAATTGGACTTTCCATCTTCCTGCAATCACGGAATTCACAGTGAAATTCGGAATAAAATGTTCATTGTTTTGCAAATAGTTCCAGACACAAACAAAAATACGTGTTGACTGAAGAAGGGGATGAGTTGCGGTGGCGCCACTTGTAAAAGATTAGAGCTGGGCAATGAATGGGGAGGGGAAAGAACCAAAAAAGCAACAAAAGAACGAAAATGTAATTAATGAGTCGGCGGAATCTGCTTTACTGGAACGTAGAGAGAAAGGCCGCAGGTGTGAGCCAATTATTATTATGATTAATTGGAGCAAAATTAGAGAAATTCTCACTCATTTCTTAGCCTAAATTTAAAGTCGACAGAGAGAATTTATACTTTACTTTATTCTTAAATGCTCAAACAACGAAGGTTATGGAAAGTTTCCATAAAATATAATCTATATATAATTTTGGAAGGAACAAAATGTTATAGACAAAGTTCCAACTCTTTGAGTAAAAATTGAGACCCAAGTTTACCTTAAAAATTTACCTTTTTTAGACTTTGTTTTGTTACTGAGCAATTTCGAAGTTTTAAATTTCACCTTGAATCGTTGCGTTCTCCACAATTAACTTCCGTAGTTGATTAAATCTTAAATTTAATTTGCCTCTTTTTTTGAAGAAGCACTTTCTGTCGAAAACCGTGCATTACTTACAATTAGGAAATGTGGTTGCGATTCTTTAATTGGCGTAATGAAAAATGTCTCCACACAAGAGGGTTAATCATGAACATTGAAACTACACCGGGTGCAAAACAAGGCAATTTGGCGCTCCCGTTTAATCGCTTTACTCCCGCCTCGGCGCCTCAACTTAATTAGCGGCCTCAAGAGACAAGATGCACCTCATCATTATCCTCGCATTAACGTCTCGCAAAAAATCACAATAATTTCACATTTAGCTCTTTTCCACAGCAATTAAAAAACGCTCGACTTCCCCCACCCTGCATTTCCAAAGTTCGGGAAAAGTGTGGGAATTTTTCAGACGCTTTTTATGCTCGGAATGGGAGTAAAAATGTCTTCGTCTGGTTTTATTGTTAGTAATTAAATCAGATCGACTTCGTCGGGACTGTGGTCGTGTCTCGGCAGCAATTCAATTTAGAGGAAAAGTTGCTGGGGAGCCCATTTGTCTCTTGTTTTTCCTCTCCAGCTTTCAGAGAGTAATGGAAGTCACGTGCGCGTCTAATTACTTCCTTTCAAGAGTTTTCGCGCGAAATAATTTCCCTTTTCTCTAAATTTAGGCAAGCCCACGTGCGCAATTTTGAAAGAAATTACACGGGATAATTGAAAGCCTGGCGTACTTTTCCACCTGCATCTTGTCCGCACAAGGTCGAGGCGGTTGTAATAAGAGGAAAAACTGCAAATAAACACAAAACACGCAAGCAGAACAAGAGGGGGAAAAGCCACAGCCCAGATTTGCTCGGTCGGAAAACGACACGCACATCATTGATGTTTCAATTTGATATGAAAATTTAAATGGAAAAATGTGATTTAAAATTTTAAAGATTGGTGTGGTTAAACGAAACCACAAAATGTTAAAACTGAGTAGTTTTTTTTTACCCAATTCACTCGACTTTTAAAAGGAATTTATGGAAAAGTTTCATTTTTTAGTAGCTTTTAATTTAGCTTGAAGATTGTAAAAGTTAATTCATGTTAAAGTGAGATTCAATGACTATTTATAAATTACTTTAATTTTATACCAACTAAAATTGATTAGGATTGTTAATGTTGTTCATTTTTACGCAAAGCTCTCTCGTGTGAGCTTGTCCAATTCCCATTCAAAAGGTATGGAATCTCTGCAGGCTGAGCAATATAAAAGAGGCTCTCTTGGTACGCGTCGAAAACCAAAGAGTTTGACAACTGCTCTTTCCGCCCAACTTTGCTCTTCTTTTCTTTCCGCCCGGCTCAGCCGCACTAATGGCGAATCCGGTTTTGACGATCCCCTAATATAAAGCGGCGAGTTCGGAAACTGCCATGGGAGAAAAAGTATCTGTCCCGAATCGAACACCAAAGTTTAATTTCCAATAAAAACGAGACGATAATCCAAATCAATTCGAGAATCCCATCTCATTTTTTTCCCTTCAAACAACTGTCACAGCAAGGCCTTGCGAGTAAATCAAAGACGCGTGTTTCGAAACACACTTCCAGAAGAAACGCAGACACGGTCGGTGAGAAATTTATGCCCTCCTTTTAAGTAGAATGTCAAAAGTTACCCTCATATTTTTTGGATTTACCACCGCTCTTTGTAATTTGTCAGCCACTTTTGTTCTGGAAATTTGATTTTCTTCGGTTAAATCAAGAGCATAAAATAAAATAATAAAAATTAATAACTCTCAAAACCCGTCGAGGAAAAGCCGATTTAAAATTCAAATCATCATAAAATTAGAGTTGATTTGAAATCCAGAGTTATTATTATTGTTGTTTATATATTTGCCAAATTGTTACATCACATTGTTTACTTGCAAATTGTTGAAAACATTTATTTGAGGAAAAATAAAATGTTGGACTAAACGGCACCACCAGTAAGCAAGAATTTTGCTAAAACTTCCGAGGCCAAAAATACCGCATCCTCGGTTGACTAATTTATGAGTTGGTTAATAAAACTTAAACAAAACCTTTTTCTGACGATGAGGCCCTGATTTCTTCTCCCTTCGTAAAATCCAAATGCTACAGAAATTTATAATGCAAACGCCCGCAAACAAAGCTTTTCCAATCGCACAATTTAGAATTGAGATGAAATTTCTCTCACTTTCTTTCACTTAATAAAGTGAAATTGTTTGGCTGCGCAAAGCGTTTCCCGTTTTCTTTCCGCCCAAATTATATTGGAAAACCAATTTCGCATTTGGCAAAAGCGGAAATGATGAGAGCGAGAAATTCGTTTTCCAGATATTAAGAGACGAATTGTCTCGAGTTTGGCCAAAAGAAACTTTCGACTTGAGATATAAATTGGCCCTTCTTTGGACTTATCACGAAATAATTTCTCTTTACACGCAAGTCCAACTTTCCGTCTCGCTCGCCAACTTTCCACTAAGTGGAGACCCCAAGAAACTGTTTATCTTGACAATTAATGGCTCCACCAAAAGGTGAAATAAAACAACATCAAGAAAGAAAGGCTTTTTGCAATCAAATTATTTTAAATTTACATATATTTCTATTTATATCGTTCAATTATAAACGTGATTTCAACTTAAAAATGAATAAAAATTGCCATATCAACAAATTTATTTCCAAAGTTGTTAAATCAGAGTGAAAAATACTTTGGTAAGATCTATTTTTTTTTTTTAATCAATTAAAGTGATCAAATATTAACTTGACTTGTAACTCGGTTTTGTAAATTAAAATTGTTGTTTAAGTTTGTGTGTTTTTCTATTCTAATAGAGAGTGTGTTTGTCAAAAATTTACATGGCCTAATTTTGTAGGTTTTGGGGAAGATTTTGCTGCTCTACGGTATGAAATAGATTTTTTAAAGGGACCGAATTCCGCGCGATACGAGGCGAGAAAAAAGAAGTATTAGCGAAGATTGCCATTTTTTCCGTTTCTTTAATTCTTACAGAGACAGAAGAATATGGGAGCGATTCTTTGACTGGAATTAATTATCAAGCCTTCTCAGCTGCAGCCGCACCGATATTGTGAAGAAGCCTCAATTGAAACGCGCTTTTTACACTCGCAAAGTTTAAAAGCAACAAAATTGTTGCACAACTCTTTATTTGTATAATTACGCTCTATACTATCAAATTTTAAGCATAAATGTGTTTGGTTTCTGTTTGAAAAGAAAATGAGTCTCATAAAACTTAAATGAAACACCGATCTAGCCTGTCTGAAAATCAAAAGTTATTCTTTTATAGAGGATCAACAATTCCTTTCCAGTTGTTTTAAAATTTGAACTTTTTTGAAAAACAAATTTCTGGAAAATTCCAGAATATGTATTTTATTTTCGGCCACTTTTGTCCTATATTTGAACAAAAGCTGAAGTGCCCAATTTGGCGCGGCGAGGAAATTCCAGGGATTATCATTTCCACTTGTGCCTTGATATTTGCTCAGCTGCGCGCGATTTTCCTCCGGGCAAAATAATAACGCAATTTTCGGGAAACGTGGGACGAAGGGAGTAATTAGGAAAGAAGCTCGCTTTCCTTTCTTTCATCTTTCGCGGCGCGTCTGCCGTGGAATGGCGCAAAAAAACAAAAGCTTTTCTTTCGTAAGAGCTCGTTTTCATTATCGATTCAGCCCCTCTCACAAAAGCCCAATCCGGGCCAACGGCCACTTTCAGCGGCCCATTTAAAAAATTATTAAAGTGTAAATCTCACTTTTTGTCGGCTTAGCGTGTTACAGAGTCAAGAGCAAATATAAAAATACCACTCACCCTAATTTTCATATAATTTCTTTTGTAAAGGTTGCTTCAATTCATCTCAAGAATTGCTTCTATATTTTAATTTCAAGGAATGGAATGCTTAATAAACACTGCACATCTATAAGGAATATTGGGATATTTAATTAAAATTATGAAATACACAAATATATCCATCCCTAAAACACCCTGCCTTCCTTTTATTTTGCGTGTGACTTTAATCATCATTTCACTCGAGTGCCGTGTGTAACTGCGAGAGCAGCAAGCAGAGAAAGAGAAGGAAGAAAAGCGGAGTGTGTGTGCCGGTGAGCGCCTGCATTTATGCAACCAGCTTCACTTCCAGAGCAGCACGACACACACACCTCCCACCTCTCAATCAGCAATCCACCCAGCTGATAACAGCAGCATAGGTGCCAAGGGCAAAGGCCATTGGCCTCGTGCGGTTTTCGTGTCAGTCGCCTTGCAGACGTCAAGTCTCAAAAGTCGGCGCCGCTCGAGGAGCGAGCGACCGAAATCCTCTCGTCAATTGGAGGTTCCAAATGAATTGTTGGAGTTTCTAACGTAAGTTGAATTTCCCACAAAATCCCTTTTACAAATTTAGAGCGACATAACCCGTTCGGCCTTCTGACCGTTCCATCCCCGATTTTTGTAAGGCAAATTAAACTGACCGAATTTCGCGCACACCCTAGGCGCCCTGCGGGGCCGTTCGATCACCATCAACTGGTCCGGCAACGCAGAGCCGTCCCGGCGTAATTGGGAGCGAAGTGCACGTCGTCCATTGCGTGACTTCTCGCTGCTCATCGGAGTCCGTCACCCTGACTCCCGAGGTCATTCCGCTGCACCCTGTGCAACCCCAGCCTGACTGCAAGCCAACGCAGTTCAGCTCTCTGCAAGATTTCTGCTCGTCTCTTCACATCATTTAAGCAAGTACAAAACCCGAACCGAGTGCAAGAAATCGAACTTGTAATATTCGAGTGATTTTCTCCGAGTGCATTCAACCATTATTTTCAAATAATATGTAAAATCAATTATTTTCCTACCCATCCTAATTCCTACCTACACAAACAATACTAATTTATAATATTCATGATTTGAATTAATTTACCAATTTTCCATTATTCTCTAATTAAATAATTTTGAACTGAAATTTCATCAAATAAAATCTTTTCCTTAATTCATTTCAAACTGCCGATTTTGATTTGTTTTTCATCTTGGAAAGATCTGAAATTAGTTTTGAAGTTGTCTGAGTTAATTAAGTTGAGGAAATTAAGCCGAACCTGCGATCAATAGGATCTGATCTATCCCTGAAATAGAGTCTAACAAGTCGTTGTTATACATCATTAAGATACGTTAAATGTAAAAGATGCGAGCAATTTTCATAATTATTTTTAAAAGTGGCGACTCTTTGGCGCAGGTTTACTTATTCTATGAAAATATTTCTCAAAATCTCCGCAACAAAAATTTACAATATTAAAAATTGGCGAGACTATTTTTTTTTCGAGATATTTCAGGTCGAATGGCAAAAAACGTGGTTTTCCGATCATTTTCCTACACAAACCAACATTTTAACATTTAACCGCCCATAACTTTGTTCCTGTTACTGTTGCGCAAAAATGTCTAATAAGAAGAAGTGAAATATCTCGAAAAAGAAAAAAACAGTCTCCCCAATTTTTCAAATGTTGTTGACTATCAACCAGAGCAACATTTAGCTGTAATGGAATTAAAAATTTTTATGTACTAGGTACTTTGGTGGCGCATCAAAAAATTGAAGCTTATTTATTTACTTACTCTCCATTCGATACAGTCATGGGTTATGAATACAGCAAAAAAATATACATAAAAGTACAGAAAAAGCTAAAAATACGTTTGAAAAGTTGACCCCGAACTTTGACCTATGACCTTGGTAGCTGTGGCAAAGTTGTAGGGCGTCTAATTCCCTGCAAATTTGCTCATATGACCACATGAGCTATCTGCAACAGGAGCTGAGATATTTCTGATGTTTGAAAACACCTTTTCTCAAAATCCCCAACTTCGAACCCCTGTAAAATAGGCAATTTCAAGAATTGTCAAAAATCCTTCTAAACTATTTGTCTACACCCTAATGGCATCCAATGTGCCAAATTTTATTCAAATCGGTTGACCCGCTTGCCAAAAGTGTGTCCTTTAAAAAAAAAAAGTGCCGTACAAATTAAAAATCAATCATAAATTCGCATTTTGATTGAAAATTCGTGTTAGACTTTGGTACTAGACAAAGTTTTGATGGCTGTGGTCGACTGGCATTGCGCCGTCGTAAAAGAAACGACGACGACTACGACGACGAAGCCAAACCAGTTGGATTAATTTACAAAGGCGTTGATGCGACTCGCGGAAAGCATCCTTGGCATGCAAGTGTGTCGAGGGTCTCAGAAACACAAATATGGCCAGATATTTGTGGGGCAACCTTGATTTCGGAGAGAACTCTCGTCACCGGTATGCCATTTAAATTTAGTAACTAAAAAAAATTGTTATTTTATCATCCCCTTAGCGGCCCATTGTTTTTTTGATGAAGAGAACAACCTGTACGAAGCAACTCAACTGAAAGTAACACTTGGAAAGCATGACCGGCTTAAAACTAGTGACGAAGAGACGTCGCGACAGGAACTTTGGGTTTGTATCATTGGATTGCAAAATTTCCAAAAAGTCACCGCATGGCATATGAGTACAGTGAATTGCTCGCAGGAGTCGATTCTTAATTTTTGGTGTAAAAACATCCGGAAAAAAACGTAATCTCAAAAGAAGTCATTTCAAAATCAATTTTTTTTTAAGAAATCTTTAAATAAATAAAAATAATGGACGGCTGTTTGAGAAAGTTATGCTAATATTTTTACATTGCATAGTACTGACCTTGATTTAGGAAAATATAACCCTAGAGACTGTATAATAACGCTTGAGGTGGATTTCATGAAAATTTGAAACCGGGCGAACTTCGTTGCAAAGAAAAATGGAAAAATAAATGGCAATTAATTAATTCCTGCAATTTCTTTTCGTGTAAATTAAATATTCCCTATTTCATTTTTTATATCTTGTTAATTCCTCCCAATTAGTTTAAGTTGTTGTTATTATTATATATGTTTGTTTATTTGTCCAATCCAAACTGTTTATTGTTTACATACATTTGTTGAAAATATTATTTATTTGAAGAAAGGAATTTGAAGGAGTTTGGACACGACAAAGTCCTACGTTTATGAAAGTACCAGCAAACCGCAGGTCGCCTTTGGGTCAGTTGTCCTTTATTTTTTCATTTTTCTTTTGCAAAGAGGTTCCATTTTTCCATTTTTTCTAGAAACTATGTTTTCCAATACCCATTTTTCAACAAAATTAAGCATTTCAAAAGAGATGGGTGGTTTCACGATAGATTTTACTCAAATTGGCCAAAAAATGACCAATCTTGATTTTCACATATGTTGTTGGGCTAGGTGAGAAAATACTCTCCGTAAAATTTCACTTGAAAATTTTGAGTACTTTTCCGGGAAATCAGATTTCCGAAAAAATGCGATAAGAAACAGAAAATGTTGAATATCTTTGCTTCTATTTAGAAATTAAGTATGCTCTATTCAGTTCTAGACGAAACTTTTTATGCCCGACAACTTTTCTGTTGACAACTTTTGTGTAGGTCAAAGGTCAAGGTCACTAAATTGCAAATTTCACTTTTTGACGCAATTTCGCAAAGATGCACCCGTCAAATGTTTTCAGGGGTATAGGAAAAAATGTAGCCCCAAGTGTGTAGAACAAAATCCTTGATTTTCAAAATGGGGTTATTTTTTGTTTTTGAGATATTTTTAAATGAAAAAATGAATTTTAAAAACCAGTCCAAAACAGCTTTTTTGCATCAAAAAACAGTACTTTTTTAAATTCGTTTATAAATATCTCACAAACAAAAAATAACCCCATTTTGAAAATCACGGTTTTTGTTCTACACACCTCAGGCTACATTTTTTATTATACCCCAAAAAATATCTGAGGGGTGCATCTTTGCGAAAATTGCGTTAGAAAGTGAAATTTGCAATTTAGTGACCTTGACCTTTGACCTACACAAAAGTTGTCAACAGAAAAGTTGTCGGGCATAAAAAGTTACGTCTAGAACTGAAGAGAGCATACTTAATTTCTACATAGAAGCAAAGATATTCAACATTTTCTGTTTTTTTGGACATTTGATTTCCCGGAAAAGCACCCAAAATTTTTAAGTGAAATTTTAGGGAGCACAGCGTCTTATCTACCCCAACAACATATGTGAAAATCGGGATGGGGTCCTTTCATGAAAAAATTTTGCCAATTGGAGTTAAATCTATCGTGAAACCACCCAGATATATGTTTCTTTTTGACTTTGAAAAACGAAAGAAAGATGGCAAAAACTAAAAATTGTGTGGCAAATTGTGGAAGGTCTTTTATATAATTTTTGTAAATTATCACAATTAATTAAAATTTTCGCAGGTTCTTAATCTATTGGTCCACCCTGGCTACAACCATAGTTCACAGCTGTTTGAAGACGACATCGCTTTGCTCCTTGTGGGTGAAAACGAAATCAATATTAATGATTATGTTAGACTGATTTGTCTTTGGAATGACGACTACCATCTGGACAAAATTGTCAACAAAACAGGCATTGTAAGATAGCATTTCATCAGCAAAATCCGGACATTATGATATATAAAAAAGAATAAATTGCTGCGATATATGTTGTATGCGAATTGATTGCCTTCACAGTTTTAATCTTCATATAACATATGGACTTGAAAAATAAGGAACGCATATTTAAAAAACAAGATAGCGCAAGATAGAAATGACGCAACCTCCTAAAAGGTATGCAATGCCGCCGTACTCCGCTGTTAAGTGGGTTGCTGTCGCTGGTAATTACTAATAAATTATTTTATTTATTTATTTATGAGCTTTGGTGTCACTGAAATTTTGATCAAAAATTCAAAAAAATCTGACTTTACAAAAAAAATTTTAAAAATCAAACTTTTCAAAATCCCAATAAGTCCTTTTGTTATGAAACGAAATAATCATCAATTTGTCAGTTTCAGTTACTATTTTTGTGTTTAGACTATATGTTGACGCTCTGTCTCTATTTCCAATAGCATGGCCTCAAAATTTATTGATACGTGGACATCTGCATACCTAGCTGCGTCTCCTTTAAAAGAACCAAACTTTATTCAGTTTCCAGCATGTTTCATCAGTATTGTTGGGAATAATCCCTCATTTCTGAGGAAAAGGTCAGAAGATATTTTTTCTCATTTGTCCGGAAAGTAAAATTTGTCAGAAATTATTTATCAGAACAAACAACACACAACACCGTATGCCGGCACTGCATGTCCACTTGTCAATTAATTTTGAGGCCATGCTATTGGAAGTAGAGACAGACGAGCGTCAACATATAGTTTAAACACAAAAATAGTAACTGAAACTGACGAATTGATGATTATTTCGTTTCATAACAAAAGGACTTATTGGAATTTTGAAAAGTTTGATTTTTTTAAATTTTGTTGTGAAGTCAAATTTATTTTGAATTTTTGATCAAAATTTCAGCGACACCAAAGCTCATAAATAAAATAATTGAGTATTTAAAAGCGACAGCAACCCACTTAACAGCAGAGTACGGGGGCTTTGCATACCTTTTAGGAGGTTGCGTCATTTCTACCTTGCTTTTTTAATATGCCGCCCGGCAGGAGCTATGAGGCGTGCCCTCTGCGGTGGCGCCGCTGTAATTGATATCATTTGTCTATAATTCAGGTAGTTGGATGGGGTTTCACTGCTGAGCACAAGCAGGCCACTATTCTCCAAAAGGCAGAGCTTCCTGTGACGTCATATGAAAATTGCTACAACAGCGGAATGCGTTTCTATCAAAAATACATGCACCCCACCGAAAACTTTTGCGCTGGTGTCCCCCAAGAACGTAAGTTGAATTGATGACGATTTCCAATAAATTGACATTAATTATCTTTAATTTTGAAGAAAGAAGTGCATGCATCGGAGACAGCGGCGGAGGATTCTTTTTCTATGACAAATATGTAGACAGATATTTTGTGCGGGGCGTTGTCAGTCTGTCAAAACTGAAAAACGTGATTGATGATGACGGTTATCTACTTAACTCATGCAACCCAGCAGCATATGCACTCTACACAGATGTCACCTCTTACATGCAGTGGATCGTTGACAACACGCCAGATATAAACAAATATTTCATTTAAATATGCCTGACAAATTCATGCACAAGTTTCTATCTGTTGTTCTAAATTTTATGCTGGATGTTTTTATATAAAAATGTATATAATTAACAGAATACAGGGCGGCCCAAAATTCAACAACAAATGTATAAATTTGCTGGACGTTTTGCACGGGTCGGATGGAGATAATTTGACACTCACGGGAGGGGGTGAGAAAATACCGCCTCGCAGGCAGGTGATTTTCTCCCTGGCCAACGGCGCGCATGCATTTGGCCTATGCGGGAGGGGCGAGAAAATCACCATCTCACCTCTGCGCCTGGTAATTTTCTCACCACATGACCACAGTGGAGTTTTCTTGGCAGGAGGTTGTAGGAAAGGAAAACTGTGGAAATTTTATTGGATTACTTTTAAATTTACAACACATATTTCTCAATCAAATTATCTAGCAATAAGATCCAATCTCATTATATGTGAATCTTTAAAAAAAATGTAATGTAATAAAATTGTTTGCCATATATACTATAATACTGACTATTGTTGAGATCCACCAAAATATTCTTCTAGCTTTTTTATTGCTCCGGGGGAATTTACAAATATAATTTTTAAAATTTTCAAATTACTTCCAGGATTACTTTTAAATTTACAACACATATTTTTAAATCAAATTATCTAACAATAAGACACATAATTTAATTCTGAGAAACATTTTAAAAACAAAATCAATGCAATAAAATTATCTTAGGTAGACATTTTTGGCAAAAGCGGTAAGTTTCTGAATTAAATTTAATGAAAATAGTTTCAAACCGCTGGTGATCAACGTCTCGTTGGGTTTTTATAATATATTATAACTAGATTACTTTTGATAACATAACAAATTGCAATTGTTTAAGCAGTTCCTAGTCTTTCAAAAGTTTGTATTACTTTTATGAAACCACGCCGAGCTACTTCAGAGAATTATTTTAAACTAATTTCTGTCATGACAAAATTTTCTAGGGTGTATTTCAAAATTTAAAACAATTTTCTGCATGTATCTTTTAAATTACAATCATGCAAGGAAAAAATTGCAGTTTTGTTATGACACCTCAGTACCAGCTGTTACGGTTTGAAGCTTAGCTGGAATTAATGTCCTTAGTATTATATAATACATAGTATCACTTAGATACATTGAAATAATAAATAAATTTTTTTAAAGTTATTAATTGTAATAAATAATGTTGTCACGAGGCCCTCTGTGTAGTTGTGAGTGACACCGTGCTAGTAGTAGAGGACCTCGTAACAGGGTGTAAAGGGTAGAAATGGTAGTACGTGAGTTCTGGATAACACTATGGATGGATTTATTGTGTAGCGCCGGACGGTACAATGATTATGGTCGGAATGCTCGTGTGGGTGACTCGCAGGTGACTGTCCATGTGGGTTCACTGGATGACGGCCATGGTGACGGCGTCTCGTCGGACGGCCTCGTCCAACTGCTCAGTGAGGTGCAACTCTACTGGTGCATGGCTGCTCTAGTGCATAGCCCGTGTACGACTCTGTGCACGGTCGGTGTACGACTGCCCTGGCTGCAAGGCCCGTGTCCGCCAGTACGCTGTACTGCTGACAGTGCGCTAATACCTGACTCAAGCTCATCCGCTATGTCACACCGTGACAATATAAATACTTCAATGAGGAAACTTGAAAAAACTTTTATAAAAATTTTCTAACATTTTATTAAAAACGTATATTTCAGTAACTTTTTCAAGTAACAATAATTGTAAGTATAGATGAAATTTTTTTACAGCTTTACCTTTTGCTTCAAAAAAATTATTTCTTAAAAAAACTCTCAGTCAATGTTGAGCAAAACGTGTCTTCATTTTTGCTCTAAATAAAGTTATTTTGATTTCCCTGATAATAAGGTATAATATCACGGCCGTGGTTTCAGCTTGTCGCTGAAGCTCTATGATCAAAAGTAGCAGTTTAAAAAACAGCAGAAAAATTCAACCCCTGCGCTCGAGAGTTACAGGAGAGCTAGACTCATTGATTCATTACAATTCAAATACAAAAGTCACCTCTAGAACCCTTCAAGCCGCCCTTGAAGAAGGACTCCCTGGAGAACCATTTTTCGTTCCATTCTTGATTAATATACAATTTAATCTCAACAACAAAAATATTATTGAATAAAATGTAATAAAATATATTATTATTTTTTTGCGAAGAGCTGATATCTATCTAAGTGAGAAGAAATCATATGACCATTTCTTGATTGTTTTATTTTCTTGATAATAACGATAGAAATACGTATAATAATTTACAGAGCCAATTGCAAGATGATCTTCGAAAAAAGTGCTCCAATGCATTTGATCCTCTTCCTCAGCTGCAAGATATTTCTTCCTGCCAAGGCTGAGCACAATTTACATGACGTGAGTTTAAAATACAGTACTGACATTTTGTGTCATCGGCACACAATTTTTTTTTTTTTTTTTAATAAAATTGTTCCCAATCCTTTCATCAATATACATGTTTGGTTACTACTTTGCTTCAAAATGCTTATTTGATTTAACTTCCGAGCCAAATCTATCACTCGATTTTGAGGTTATAATTTTAATAAAAGTGCTATAGATTTCAGCTGCTCACAAGGGAACAATTTAATTTTAATTAAACGACTGCACAACGGAGGGTGTGAAATTAAACGACTCCATGGGCAGAAGTAAAAAATTCGTTTTAGTAGAATATTAAAAGCAAATATTTGTACTCATAAGTCGATTTGATTCTAGTGAGTTGTTTTAGAATTGGATTCTATGCTTTTTCTTCTTTCCAGGAGGTTTCAATTAGCAGCTGCTCGGATTATGTTAGTAAACCAGTATTTCAAACTCCAGGTGAGCTTATGTTTATAAACTCAATTACTTCCTTCATTTCTCCAATTTTATAACCTATTCAGTAATGAACATAACAATTTATTAAAAAATCTGTAATTCATTGGATGAAAGTTTTTAAATCTGTTTTTCTTATGAATTACCAACATGCTGACACTATTTGTATTTGTAATTAGAAAAAATAAAATATGTTTTATATTATATGCAATATTTGCAATATTTGTATATCGTTAGCAAATTTCACAATTTAAATAAGAGAAAAATGTATTGAATTACACTACAAATGAAGTGATTTTTAGATCTTCACTTGTTCAGTCACTTGAAAAATTAAAGACATCCTTTGCTTGTTCAGGAATAATTAAATAAATCACTAATTATCATTGGCCTACCGATTGGTGATTATAATTAATGAGTACGTAAAGCTTGATTGATAATATAAAATTTTATAAAAATCGATAGGAGAGCTCTTTTGAAAGCTATACTTGTGGTGGTGTCATTTTCAAAATCTTTTCTTCCTTGTATGTACATTTTAAACAATATATGTATAAAATATAACAAATAAGTCAATTATTGAAAATGTGCTTCATTTGTAGTGTACGATACTGATGAGGAAAACTTGAGCTTTGAAGGGTGCGGACTGTGGCAGCCAAATGGAAATGACACAATTCCTCCTTGGCGCGTTGCTATCAGGATCAAAAACTTCGAGCACCAAACGTGCACTGGTTTGCTTTTGTCACCTAGGTCAATCCTGTCAGACGGTACAATCATTTTATATTTGAATTCATTGACGTTCGATGTTTTCAATATTTTTACTTCAAATTACTTTCAATCTAATCAAGTTTTGTATCGCAGATATTTGTTTCCACCATCTGCGTGCCTTCCAAAACGGATTCGACGTTCAGATTTTTGGTGGTGATTGTGTTGAAGGCGAACAAAACTGTTTTCTTGGCAGAAATTTCCTCCAAGTGGTAAAAATGGAAAAACCTAGCTTGACTTGTTTTAACAAGCAGCATTTGAAATGACTGTGGGCTACGAATTAAATGATTTTCAGGAATTGTCAGATGTAAAAAAAGTAAACTTGGTGGACGAAAGTCATTACTCTCGAACGCTACTGATTTGGAACGTAATACAAAGAATAGAATTTTCGGAGAGCTTAAAACCGATTTGTCTGTGGAATCGAGATAACCAAAACGATACCGCTGAACTTTTCTATATGAGCAATATGCATTCGGTAGGTACAAAATAATACTAAAAAAAAATCAAATCTTGTGAAATGATTTGCCCATTGAGAGGGCCAGGGGGCAGATCCTCGCGACGTGACATTGGCAATAAGAAAGAACATTACTTTGGCAAGGTCAAACGTCGTGGGGATCTGCACCCTTTGACCAGTCCTGAACCCTTTGCCTGCCTGGCGTTCGTTCACCTTGTTCGGCTTCCTGTGAGATTCTATTGGCACAATAAGAGAATAGATGGCAAATTAATGAGTGAAGGTGTGTATGTGTATGACAAATGTAAAATAGGAACTATACAGATGATTCTCAAAATCACGATAATAGCAATGTAAAATTTTTTTTTAGATATTGATGAGACGAATCCGACCATGTCTGGATTTTCATTATACGATCACTGGAAGCCGAGATAATTAAGGTTTTTGATTTTTTCAAAATGTCCCGTGAAACTTTTTTGATAAAAATTTATGGAGTTTGCCTTCAAATTATGAGGATTAAGCCACGAAATTTTCAGGATGCCAGCATCAAATTTGGGGGGACCCACTGTGGATAATAACAGAATTGCTCGACATCTTATTAATAGTAAAAGTAAAAATCCATGTAATATATATTTGTGAAAACCTGGTGTTTTCTCTATTAAAACATTAATGTTTTTGAATATTTACGTCACCTCATAGCTGACTTTGCAACAATATTTTTGTCACGGGTATGGATATGATGAAAGATTGGCCAAGTGGGAGAGCGATATTTATGGGAAAAAAACCATTCAGACATTAAGGAAAGGATCAATTGGTAAGTGCATTTCATACAATTTCATTCTATCCCATGAATCCCATCTTATATGATGTTGACAAGAAGCAACTCATGAACAAGACGCAACTTGTCTAAGATCTTTATCCAAACTTCCAATTTTCAATAATTAGTCTTGAATACAAAATAAAGCGGCCTCACGTGCTTCTTA